CGGTTAGGAAGAAATCTAAACGGTGAAAACAAAATTTAAACGGTCAGGAAGAAATCTAGACGGTTAGGAAGAAATCTAATAGGTGAAAACCAAATTTAAAGGGTCAGGAAGAAATCTAGACGGTTAGGAAGAAATCTAATCGGTGAAAACCAAATTTAAACGGTCAGGAAGAAATCTAGACGGTAGGAAGAAATCCAAACGGCGAATACAAAATTTCAACGGTTAGGAAGAAATCTAAACGGTGAAAACAAAATTTAAACGGTCAGGAAGAAATCTAAACGGTGAAAACAAAATTTAAACGGTCAGGAAGAAATCTAGACGGTTAGGAAGAAATCTAAACGGTGAAAACAAAATTTGAACGGTCAGGAAGAAATCTAGACGGTTAGGAAGAAATCCAAACGGCGAAAACAAAATTTAAATGGTCAGGAAGAAATCTAAACGGTGAAAACAAAATTTAAACGGTCAGGAAGAAATCTAGGCGGTTAGGAAGAAACCTAAACAGTGAAAACAAAATTTAAATGGTCAGGAAGAAATCCAGACGGTCAGGAAGAAACCCAAACGGTTAGGAAGAAATCGAAACGGTGAAAACAAAATTTAAACGGTCAGGAAGAAATCTAGACGGTTAAGAAGAAATCTAAACGGTGAAAACAAAATTTAAACGGTCAGGAAGAAATCTAGACGGTTAGGAAGAAATCTAAACGGTGAAAACAAAATTTAAACGGTCAGGAAGAAATCTAGACGGTTAGGAAGAAATCCAAACGGCGAATACAAAATTTCAACGGTTAGGAAGAAATCTAAACGGTGAAAACAAAATTTAAACGGTCAGGAAGAAATCTAGACGGTTAGGAAGAAATCTAAACGGTGAAAACAAAATTTAAACGGTCAGGAAGAAATCTAGACGGTTAGGAAGAAATCTAAACGGTGAAAACAAAATTTAAACGGTCAGGAAGAAATCTAGACGGTTAGGAAGAAATCTAAACGGTGAAAACAAAATTTAAACGGTCAGGAACAAATCAAGACGGTTAGGAAGAAATCTAAACGGTGAAAACAAACTGTAAACGGTCAGGAACAAATCTAGACGGTTAGGAAGAAATGTAAACGGTGAAAACAAAATTTCAAAGGTTAGGAAGAAATCTAAACGGTGAAAACAAAATTTAAACGGTCAGGAAGAAATCTAGACGGTTAGGATAAAATCCAAACGGCGAATACAAAATTTCAACGGTTAGGAAGAAATCTAAACGGTGAAAACAAAATTTAAACGGCCAGGAACAAATCTAAACGGTTAGGAAGAAATCTAAACGGTGAAACAAAATTTAAACGGTCAGGAAGAAATCTAGGCGGTTAGGAAGAAACCTAAACAGTGAAAACAAAATTTAAATGGTCAGGAAGAAATCCAGACGGTCAGGAAGAAACCCAAACGGTTAGGAAGAAATCGAAACGGTGAAAACAAAATTTAAACGGTCAGGAAGAAATCTAGACGGTTAGGAAGAAATCTAAACGGTGAAAACAAAATTTAAACGGTCAGGAAGAAATCTAGACGGTTAGGAAGAAATCTAAACGGTGAAAACAAAATTTAAACGGTCAGGAAGAAATCTAGACGGTTAGGAAGAAATCCAAACGGCGAATACAAAATTTCAACGGTTAGGAAGAAATCTAAACGGTGAAAACAAAATTTAAACGGTCAGGAACAAATCTAGACGGTTAGGAAGAAACCTAAACAGTGAAAACAAAATTTAAATGGTCAGGAAGAAATCTAGACGGTTAGGAAGAAATGTAAACGGTGAAAACAAAATTTAAACGGTCAGGAACAAATCTAGACGGTTAGGAAGAAATCTAAACGGTGAAAACAAAATTTAAACGGTCAGGAAGAAATCTAAACGGTTAGGAAGAAATCTAAACGGTTAGGAAGAAATCTAAACGGTGAAAACAAAATTTAAACGGTCAGGAAGAAATCTAGACGGTTAGGAAGAAATCTAAACGGTGAAAACAAAATTTAAACGGTCAGGAAGAAATCTAGACGGTTAGGAAGAAATCTAAACGGTGAAAACCAAATTTAAACGGTCAGGAAGAAATCTAGACGGTTAGGAAGAAATCTAATCGGTGAAAACCAAATTTAAACGGTCAGGAAGAAATCTAGACGGTTAGGAAGAAATCCAAACGGCGAATACAAAATTTCAACGGTTAGGAAGAAATCTAAACGGTGAAAACAAAATTTAAACGGTCAGGACGAAATCTAGACGGTTAGGAAGAAATCTAAACGGTGAAAACAAAATTTAAACGGCCAGGAAGAAATCTAAACGGTTAGGAAGAAATCTAAACGGTGAAAACAAAATTTAAACGGTCAGGAAGAAATCTAGGCGGTTAGGAAGAAACCTAAACAGTGAAAACAAAATTTAAATGGTCAGGAAGAAATCCAGACGGTCAGGAAGAAACCCAAACGGTTAGGAAGAAATCGAAACGGTGAAAACAAAATATAAACGGTCAGGAAGAAATCTAGACGGTTAGGAAGAAATCTAAACGGTGAAAACAAAATTTAAACGGTCAGGAAGAAATCTAGACGGTTAGGAAGAAATCTAAACGGTGAAAACAAAATTTAAACGGTCAGGAAGAAATCTAGACGGTTAGGAAGAAATCCAAACGGCGAATACAAAATTTCAACGGTTAGGAAGAAATCTAAACGGTGAAAACAAAATTTAAACGGTCAGGAACAAATCTAGACGGTTAGGAAGAAACCTAAACAGTGAAAACAAAATTTAAATGGTCAGGAAGAAATCTAGACGGTTAGGAAGAAATGTAAACGGTGAAAACAAAATTTAAACGGTCAGGAACAAATCTAGACGGTTAGGAAGAAATCTAAACGGTGAAAACAAAATTTAAACGGTCAGGAAGAAATCTAAACGGTTAGGAAGAAATCTAAACGGTTAGGAAGAAATCTAAACGGTGAAAACAAAATTTAAACGGTCAGGAAGAAATCTAGACGGTTAGGAAGAAATCTAAACGGTGAAAACAAAATTTAAACGGTCAGGAAGAAATCTAGACGGTTAGGAAGAAATCTAATCGGTGAAAACCAAATTTAAACGGTCAGGAAGAAATCTAGACGGTTAGGAAGAAATCTAATCGGTGAAAACCAAATTTAAACGGTCAGGAAGAAATCTAGACGGTTAGGAAGAAATCCAAACGGCGAATACAAAATTTCAACGGTTAGGAAGAAATCTAAACGGTGAAAACAAAATTTAAACGGTCAGGACGAAATCTAGACGGTTAGGAAGAAATCTAAACGGTGAAAACAAAATTTAAACGGTCAGGAACAAATCAAGACGGTTAGGAAGAAATCTAAACGGTGAAAACAAAATTTAAACGGTCAGGAAGAAATCTAGACGGTTAGGAAGAAATCTAAACGGTGAAAACAAAATTTAAACGGTCAGGAAGAAATCTAGACGGTTAGGAAGAAATCTAAACGGTGAAAACAAAATTTAAACGGTCAGGAAGAAATCTAGACGGTTAGGAAGAAATCTAAACGGTGAAAACAAAATTTAAACGGTCAGGAAGAAATCTAGACGGTTAGGAAGAAATCTAAACGGTGAAAACAAAATTTAAACGGTCAGGAAGAAATCTAGACGGTTAGGAAGAAATCTAAAATGTGAAAAGAAAATTTAAACGGTCAGGAAGAAATCTAGACGGTTAGGAAGAAATCTAAACGGTGAAAACAAAATTTAAACGGTCAGGAAGAAATCCAGACGGTTAGGAAGAAATCTAAACGGTGAAAACAAAATTTAAACGGTCAGGAAGACCGTCAACTAGGTCATTTATCGGCCGATTTCCATCAAATTGCGACAGACCTTTCTTATTGGTGTTGTCGACATGTCGCAATGTCCCATCCGCTGCCACTTAGTTGTTTTCGACCAATTTCGTCGCCATACCATAACTAGGTCATTTATCGGCCGATTTTCAACAAATTGCGAAAATCCCTGAGAGATGACATGCTACTATTGTCGACTTTTAAAATTGTCCCATGGAGACTAAAGGCGACTTTTGTCTCTAAATTAAAACATCCCCGTGAGACGACGGTCGACTATAGTCGATTCCTCAAAAAATGTCCTTAAGACGACGATCGACTTTTGTTGCATCACCATATTTTCAATCGCAAATTGAAAATAATATTTTTTTTCCTGCTTCTTACTTTGTTTTGGCGAAAATTCCAAACATATTGCTATTTCATCCTTAATCAGCGACCCAATTTAACGAATGTATAACCCATATTTGGACGCAAGTTGCATGTGAAAAACACATAATAACGTCGTCGTGTAATGGTTGCGTGAGGGAGAGCTCTCCAGCCCTCCAGTTATAACATGAGTTATTTAAGACGAGATGGTTTTGTGCTGAGGCAGCATTTTTAGTTATCTTTAAATGATCACCACTAGTACCTAAGTAGTGTGCATAATTAAATAACAGTGCTTCATTCAATGAGTGCTTAATTAAATGTCTTAATCTTAAAGTCCATTGAATTGTGTACAATCGTTTTGCCAAATTGGCACTTTAGGTTAATCATCATTTTTAGACTTACCCATCCTGTGTGGACAGGAATAGTTTAGTCGTTCTGTGGAGCGTGTGTGTGTGAGATCCTTTCAAATAAACCTTGATCAACCCCAAAACTTAAGAGGCAGTTTGCGACACTTTATTTTGCACAAGTCTCCTCGCCGTAAACTTACCGTGCATATTTTTAACATAACAATATTTTATTGTAAACAAAAGTTGGCAATACTTTTGGGAAATATTCAGTGAAATATCCCATCTCTTGCACTCGGGGACCGAAAAATTGTTGATCATGAGCAATATGGGTAAGTTGTACATCATATACACGTATGTATGTACATCTATAATTTATATTACTTATCCAAATCTGTTTGGATTTTATAATCCGCGAGTACTCTGACAAAAAGGAGGTCTCAGACGACGAGGAGGAGGAACTAGACCATGACGTAGTTGATCATAAAGCAGGAATGGCTGTGTTTACTGATGATGATGATGATGATGACCAGCGCTCAGGAGATAATGCTGCAAATGTATTTGAATATTTTAAATGTATTATTCTGATCATGCATAGCAAGCATTATATTTTACAGCAAGAGTCCCCAATCTCAAGAATTCGGCGACGCACAACATCGCGGTCACAAGTCGTTCCAACTCCAGTGGTTATCCATTCCACGATAAATTCGACGTGGGGAGATGGAACCAATTTCCACCCTAGACCAACGCAGTTTGTGCCCCCACTAGGGAGGTTTCATCGATCATTCAATGCTGACTCAGATTCTACACCATTTCAACTGCTTCGAATGTGTATCGACGACGACATGGTGGATACAATTTGTCTCGAATCGAACGATTATACGCCCGTCATCAAAGCCAAATTCCCAAAAGCATTGAAGAGGTGGACACCACTAAGCCGTCAGGAGTTTTGGAAATTCATGGGTCTATCAACACTGATGGGAATTGTGAAAAAAGGAGATGTGAAGGATTATTGGAGCACGGATGAACTAATATCAACCCCAATTTTTGGTAAAACCATGAGCAGAGATCGGTTAGTAGATGCATACATTTTATGCATACGTGGTGTCAGACAATGATAATTATTGCATTTGATAATTTTAGTTTCACAGATATAATGAGGGTACTTCACTTCCAAAACGATGGAAATATACCCACGGGAAATATTGATCGATTTATCAAGCTCGGCTCGTTCTTCCCATCGTTGATGTCGAAGTTCAAAAATTTTGTGATTCCGGGGGAATATCTCTGCATAGATGAGAGTTTGATGCCGTTCAAGGGACGACTGAGTTTCAAACAGTACGTACCCTCCAAGAGGGCAAGATTCGGCGTCAAGTTCTACATCTTGGTGGATTGTGCAACAAAGGCAGTCCTAGCTCTGCTTCCATATCAGGGCAAAAAAAACAATATTTGCTGCACCGAAGGATATCTTTGGAGTAGGTGGTGCTGTAGTGCTCACTTTGCTGCAGGATGGATATCTTAATAAATCCCACCGTGTTGTGGCTGACAATTGGTTTTCCACTCCCAAGCTAGTTGCAGAATTGTTGAAAAATGATACATATTACCTTGGGACTGTTCAGAAAAGGCGATGTGAAGATGCAAAGAAACAGATGCGAACGAAACTTAGGAAAGGAAATGTTGAGAGCTGGACTAACGGTGATATTCTTATTGAACGGTAATACAAACCTCCGTAAAGATTTATTTTTTATTTCTAATAAAGAAAAATTAGTAATAAAATAATTATATTTCTAGGTGGGAAGACAGACGAGAGGTTTGTATGATAAATTCATTCATGGGACATGCAATGACTGAGAAGCTTTCAACTAATCCATTCAACACACGGAATAAACCTAACACCGTTCTGCTCTACAATTCGAAAATGGGAGGAGTTGACGACGTGGACAAGGTGACGAAGCCGAACAAGTCCATTAGGAAGACCATTAAGTGGTACAAAAAAGTGTTCTTCCATCTCTGGGACCATGCGGTGTATAATAGTTTCAGAGCGTACAAAATTATTCACCCAAATTCCAAGCGAAGATACAAGCAATTTGTGGAGTCACTCGTAAAAGAAATTCTTCAACAGTTCCTAACTTATCCGTCTCATGTCGGACGACCCCTTTTACGCCTCTCCGAAGAGTTAAGACTTCAGGGTTCACACTTTTCGGAACAAACTCTAAAAGGTTCCAGGAAAATGTGCGTATTGTGCTGCTGAATGTGTTCAGAAGACAACATCGTATCGTTGTGAAACATGTGAAAATTGGCTGTGTGTTACAGGAAAGCTTTCTTGCTTCAAAAAATATCACACTGAACGACATCTTCCAAAGAAAAATTCACAAGCACGGGCTGATCCTCTATTGCCCTCCCTTCCGCCATACGAATTAGATACACCCGATTTTCTAACGTTGCATGATGTTGATTTGAATTCGTCTCAATTTCGCGTTAATCAAAATAATTAGATGTTTGCAATATTTGTTCATTTGTTTGCTGATTTGTGTTTGAAACAAAATTGTTAGTCAATTTGCGAGGAAAAAGGAAACTGAATAATTATAGAAATATTTAAACTCTTTAAGATTTTGCTCATTCATCACCACTGCATACATAAAAACACTGCATTTATGTTAATGTATTTTTTTTAAAAAAAACGTCGTCTCTTAGGACTTTATCATATTTTTAATTATGCCCCTCAAAATTATCAGCAATTATCACTGGCGCCCCCGTAGTAACGCCAATGAATAGCTTCGCAGTCTCTGGGAAAAGTTAGGGACAATAAATGTAGCCCTAAAGAGGTTAAGGTACCTTGAAAATTTTGGGGTAATTTGAGAATTTTGGGGGTACCGTGAAAATTTTGGGATAATTTGAGAATTTTGGGGTAATATGAAAATTTTGAGGGTGGACGGCTAAGGGTTGCCGACGGGACGGCTGGACGGCTAACTAAGTGATGCAATGGACGGCTGGACGGCTAAGTGATGCAATGGACGGCTGGACGGTTAGGGGTGGTCGGCTGGACGGCTAGGTGACACCTCATAATGAACTTCATACAGAAATCAGCGAAATACAACGAAATGTGCGACGTTGGACTAAAGTTATCCGCTAGATCCGAGGGGTGTGAGTGCGGCGTATCTGGAAGCAGGCTGAGCTGGAGCTCGTCGGAGGGGGCCGCAATATCGGCTCCGATTAGTGGGGGTGTCGGCAGGTGATCACTGCAACACAATAAAGACACATTTCACTTTGCCTGTTCTGGAGTGCATGCAGTTTAATCTCTGTGCAGAAATAGCCCTTCCTATTCTCAGGGGAACTTCCTCTCTTTCGGCGAAGACGAGTCTCACAAATGTGAGCAAATGTACCACCACTTTCCAGTCCAACCCGGTCCAATCTCGTTCGATTAATAGCAATAATTATATAACACACGTTCTGCTGAATTATTTATTCAGATTGAGCTCGAATCATATTCATGCGAGAATAGAAAAATGAATGGAACAACTTGTGTAATTTTTGCATATAGTAAAAGTGTGGTATAATATTCTTAACTAGTTAAAATATGTTGTAAACTGTCACGCTGATCTGTCGTCTTTGTCTCGTCCAGGTTTTGGCTGATGAAATCCTTTACAACTTGGACTAGAATAGAACAGAGAGTCGAATTGAAGTCCCATCGATAGTCATCATCACATTTGTGAGTCTAATAAGGGCAAAATCTACTCACCAGAGCATGGATTGCGATCACAGGGTCAGAGTCATAATTAGAAATGGCCACTCGCACTTTCCCGGCCGAGTCGACAGTGATTACTTTTCCAGTGCATTTGCCATTTTCCTTATTTCCAGAAATTACGTCGCAATACTGACCTGGTGCCATTCCAGTCTGATAGCAAGAGCAGAAAAACTAAGTAATTATATTTACTAAAGTGTGAGTTTGACTGACCATGATTTCGGCGTAGACTGAGAAGAAGGCTTCATTGCTGATGACGATGAAGCCCTTGTCTCCTCTGCTGAAGGCGATCGCATTGTTCCCATTGTCCCACCAATTGTTCAGACCAGTCCCTGAGATGCAGAAAATATTCAAATGACAATACAATGAACTGGATGTTATGACGCATACCAGCGACCACATTTCTGAATCTGGCCATGTTATAAATCTGTCTCCAACGATGTTCGCATATCTGCGATCGAAATGTAGACGTTACATATGAATTTCAATGGATGATCGACCAATGACGTTGACATACATACCCAGCCACCGCTGCAGGTCATGTCGGAATTGACCGTCACTGTGTTAATCGATCCATTCGTACTCGGTGGCCCAACCTGACATTTTACACGAATAATTTCGTTATTTCTCCTTAAATTCCCAATTCCATGCGATATTTTATGCAGGTAGAGTTAGCTTATTTATTGTGCACCCAATCGTTCTTGTCGGAGCCGAGGACAAAGTTCTGTTCCCAGAAGTAGGAGGACATCACTCTGGCGAACCCATACGGGTGAGCAAGTGTAAAAGCCTGAGCCATTTTGTACAGTTTAGCGTCTCTGAAAGTGAGAATGTTTCTTCCTCCGGCTCCGTGACCTCGCTGGTTGTCGTGGTTGTCCACGAAAACGAGGGCATTTTCCGACGGGTACATCCCCCAACCCGGTCCTGTAATTACCAATCGTTTCATCCCATGCAGGTCGCACTGGAAAGTTCACAGTTCTTAACTTACCCCAATTTACAAGCCATCTGAGCTGATTGAAACTGTTAACATACATTTAATTTTATGGTTAATTTGTTAATTTGCATAGGATTAGAGGTAAAACATGCGTGTTACCCTCGCAGAGCTTCTCCCAAATATTTTCCATATTTGAACTCTGTTACACAACCATTATCAAAGTATTCGGAACCTTTGATTGGCTCATTTCCTGTGCGATTCACATAAAAAGACATGATTCGACATGAAAGCATATGCGAATAATTGGTTTGCTCGTACCCAAATCGATTACTTCTTGGAAGATGAATGGTCTCGAATTTTCATCAAATCCGTGCGCGGTGGAGAGATTTTTTAGCAGTTTGACAATAACGTTCAAGTCTTGAGGCCACATGTGCTTAGATGCGTCAAACCTACGTGGACATGTCCGGAAGGCCAAATTATTTCAAAATAGTTATAATAACTGAGTGAGCGTCTTTTCGTTAAAAGTCGTATTCCTACCGAAATCCTGCGACACCATAGTCGATCAGTCTGTTGAGAAACTCGACGAGTTTATCTCGCACAAAGGCATTGTCTTGTTTCAAGTCTCTGAGGCCGGAGAGGGCGCAGTCTCGCACTTCGTAGGAGTCGACGTAGTTGACAATGCTGCCCGACGGATTGGGACAGTCCTCCGGGTACTTGTTAAAATGGCTGGAATTATACCCCACCCCCGGGTAGTAGTACGAGTCCCCACGAAATGGGCTGCCCCCAGTTCCCACCCCAGAATTCCCGCTCCCCGTGCAGTGATTGATAACGGCGTCCACATAGATTCTGACCCCCACCTTGTTGCACCTGCTGACCATGGACGCGAACTCGGCCTCGGTTCCCGAGCGAGTCTCCAGCTTGTAGGAAACTGGTTGATACCTTTCCCACCAGGGCCGATTGGGCGACGTGATCACCGCGTTCTCATTGGGTGGAGAAACCTGCAGGTTAAAGCAATGGATATTTCGATCAAGACAATTGTCGAGCGGAAAGAACTTTTCATGGAGTCAACCTGAACGCCTGCGTATCCAATCGGAGCCAGAAATCGTTCGCACTCGTCCGCAATGTCGTTCCACTTCCACTCGAAGAGATGAACCATGGTCTGTCTTCCGCCCACGTAGTTGGGGTCCCATTGTCCCTCCACCACCTCCGCCACTCCACCCCCACCAAACACCACCACGGCCAAGATCAAATTGTTGAGCAGCATTTCCCACTTTATTTGCTCCTTGAGTAAGACGGGTGCGGAGGCAGGCTGCAGCTTTATATATTCCGCAAATGCTAACAAAATTATGCTGATGCACATTTAGAATCATCGCAGTTTTATTAATATTTAAATTTGCACATGTGTCTATTGATTGTGGTCCCTTTCATGACTTGTTTGAAAATGGCAGCACATGGCAAATAATGGTAAAGTTTGCAGTGTTTGGCTATAGGTGTACAACGTACTGAGTAAAGTATTTGCGAGTGGAATGATGTCCACATTTTTGCAAGTTATATAACGAGAATATTTAATCGTTGATGGTGGGTGTATGATAATGAATGTAGGGTTGCCGTCCGATCTGATAGGATAAAAACTATTCATATCCACATTCACCACCCGGATTTGGATAAATTTAAGATGATTGGTCGAATAGGATCGGATAACAAGTTTATCCCAATTTTAAGGTGCTATACGATGACGCGTTGATGCGTCATACTTCAATACTCCAAAACTATTTGATCAATCCAATTTATTCTATCGGATTTTATCCGACGCTAATTTAACCTATCCAATCGGATAGGATACGACAGCCCTAAACGAATATGTGCATGTAGATACATACACATGTGGGTATAACAAATACTATGCTAATCCAACATAATAACCGGATTAGCACAGCACGAAACAAGCAAACATCAATGATAAATAAGACAACAATTTATTAAGGCCAAATAAGTAAAGAGGGCGAACAACTTTACTCGAGATCATAAATTAGTAAATCTTTTACACGTGAACATGTCAGGTTAACAAGGTTTTCTTATTTTTGTGCCGGTACACCCATTCACGTCTTCAAAGCTTGGACTGCGAAAGAAATCATGAAATGAAGCATTTTCCAAGTTCTCACGAATGAATGCCTTAATGGTGTGCATACCTCTGCGTGAATCGCCACCATGGGATCTTCGTCACTGTTGTTGATGCTGATACTCGCCATCCCATCGTTTCCCACAGTGATCGTCTTCCCAGTGCACTGACCACCCTCCACATTCCCCGAAATGACGTCACAGTATTGACCAGCAGGGAGACAAGTCTGCAATCAAGCTTACAATTAGTTCAGCCATGGACCTCGGTCGTTGTTTATAATACCCCCTCGCTCATGAAAAGTACGAATGCACTGACCTGAAGGCTGAGAATGAGGGGCGAGCTGTCGTTGTTAATCGCAATGAAGCCCTTGTCCCCACGACAAAAAGCGATCTGATTGTTCCCGTTGTCCACCCAGTTGTTGAGCGTGGTCCCAGAAACCACATTTCGGAATTTCACCATATTGTAAATCTGCCTCCACCTGTGTTCGCACACCTGCGCAAATCATAAGCTCATCATCAGGTACGTTGATTTCTAATACGCAATCAAGGCTGCGGTGTGCATACCCAGTCACCACCGCAGGACAAGTCGTCATTGATTGGAACGTCGTCAATATTTCCGTTCGTGTTGGGTGGACCCGTCTAAAGAAATCAGAGGTTGGGTCAGTTTAAAAAGTGTGAATTTGTCCACGAGTGGGGTAAATTTCTCACCCAGTCGTTCTCGTAGGGTGTCCAGTCGTAGGACGACATGACTCTGGTGACGCCATAGGGATGGGCGAGCATGAAGGCGACGGCCATTTTGTAGAGACGAGCCACGCGATAGGTCAGAATGTTCTCTCCGCCAGCTCCATGACCTCGCTGGTTGTCGTGGTTGTCGACGAAGACCAGGGCGTTGTTATTGGGATACATTCCCCACCCCTCGCCTGCCCAACATTGGTCATTTATATGTCAATTTACATTTAAGCAGCCATGCATGCGGATAGTGCAAGAAGTACCCCAATTGACGAGATTTTTTAGTTGACCAAATCCGCGGAAGGTTTCCCCCAGGAATTTCCCGTACTTGAATTCTGTGACTCGCCCCATGCCAAAGTATTCGTCGCCCTTGATGGGCTCACCACCCAAGTCGATGACCTCTTGGAAGAGGAATGCTCTCGAGTTTGGAGGGAAGCCGTGGTCCGTGGAAAGGTTGCTTAGTTGCGACAAAACGGCCTCCATGTCGCCTGGCCACATGTGCTTGCTCGCGTCCACCCTGAAGTCAAGGACAAAATACTCCAGTGGCCAAATATATTTGCGTGCAATTTTTAAAGATTATACCTGAAACCAGCTACACCGTAACCAATGAGTTTGTTGAGATAGGCCACAAGCATCCCTCGAACGTAGTCTGTCCCCAGTTTCAAGTCTCGAAGACCAACAAGCTCGCAATTTCGGACCTGAGAATAATTTGTGCAAAAATTGTAGCTGTTGGTCTGTTATGAGTAAAATTTGGAGATAATCTAGCATACCTCGATCGGGTTATTGTAGTCGCCAATGGATCCTGACGGGTTTGGGCACTCGTTGGGATAGCTGTTGAAGTCGTTGGGCCCGAATGGGACGCCTGGGTAGTCCTTCGTCCCCCCATTGTAAGAACTGCCCCCTGTCCCTGTCCCGGATGACCCGCCTCCCGTCATGTGATTCACCACAGCGTCGACGTAGATTCGAACACCCGCCGTATTGCACCTTCTGACCATGGACGCGAACTCGGCCTCCGTGCCAGAGCGCGTCTCCAGCTTGTACGAAACTGGTTGGTACCTCTCCCACCAAGGGCGGTAGGGCTCGCTGATGACTGCATTCTCATTGGGTGGAGAAACCTGCATGAGGCGCAGGACTTCGTAATTTCAACCAAATGCACAAAAGTGAAGCGCGCATTTCTGTGCAGTTACCTGAACTCCACCGTAGCCCATCGGTCCAAGAAATCGCTCACACTCGTCCGCAATGTTGTTCCATTTCCACTCGAAGAGATGAACGACGGTGGTGCGGCCAGGGGCGAAGTTTGGTTCCCATTGACCCCGCACTACTGCCAGCCAAGCAATTGCCAAAATTGAGAGCGTGGTAGAAAACATTTTTGAGAGAAAGTCAAGTACACGTCTGCACTCCGAAGTGGTCAACGGCAGCCTTGCTCTCACCACCACGTTGTCCGTCTGTTTTTATACCAAACGCCCGACTTGAAGTGAAGGTATGAACACAATGCAGCCGAACCCATGATCCGTGCATGGATTGCAATGTATAAACTGTTGATAAGTGCCAAGTTTTGATTGATGAGCCAACTTTTGATGCTATTTGATATTTTTAGCCTGCATGAGATGACCACGAGTTGTAAACCTGGACAACCACACATACGCATACCGAGGCATGCACATTATGTGTCCAGTCCGTCTTATCCCCCTGTTGAGATCACACTCATTTCAAGGATCGTGATTATTTGTGATATGCAAGCGCTGCTGCGTAAATACATGGTTATGACGCGCTTGCTCAACTTTCCTCTACGCAGGTGGTCATGATTTTACAAAACGTGACCACGAAGATCTGAACTTGAGAGTCGGTGAAACGAGGCTAAGATTTTTGAAATTTTAATTACGTTACATTGTGACCTCCAAACTTTACACCTCAACAAATGTACAAACAAGGATTGCTTAAATAGTAGATTAATACATAAATAAAACTGATTGGGTGGGAAGCGTACAAATGTACCAAGACAATTAAAATCTATAACAATCCTTAAATTTGATCATTGTAAATTTTAATTGTGTAATAATATATTTCAGCGGAATATTTTCATATATAAATTATTACCTCTCGAAAGCTCTACGACCTACATAAGTATTTCTACCTGCATATTTCCAAACAGTAACAAAAACAACAAAAAACGGTACAAACAGTAGTGAACAAGGGCGAAAAATGTGACTAAAAAACTCTACCGTCGACAACCCATAACTTTTGCGGAAGGTCGACTACACAGTTATACATACTTGTATCGCAGAAATAGCTATCTATTATTTCGCTAATTAATTGATTATCTCGTTTTGGCCAATCTCAACTCATGCGTATTACGCCTGAGGGCATAGTACTTGTCCAAAGTAGTCTTACACGGTATGTACAGAATTCGTAATCTTAATGCAAATCGATGGATGGGGAGTGTGAAGTAGGCACGTGTGGATAAGTTCGCGACGCTATGTAAATTTGTCTGTCGTCTTCGAATGGTTCCATTCAGTGCTTCGCGTTGGTCTTGGTTGTCGTTGGTTCTGAGCAGTGTGGGAACAGATCGTCATAAGCTGGGGGGCAATCTTCAGGCTTCTTTTCGTTGATTTCTGACGTTACCAAAGTTGACATGGGCGTTCTGAGAGGGAGAAATTCACGCAGTTTTGCATTATTTTGGATCATAGAGTATGAAATTGTAGGAATTAAACTGTACCCCGACGATCCCATGTGAAACTCGAGGTGATCCTGGAAGGGGGCCAAGTGGCCAAGATGGCTTGGAGGCTGGTGTCTCGTCCCATACTTTCGAACACAGCAACAGGCCAAGAACATGAGCAGAATGACCAACACGAGGGTCGCAATGCAGGTGACGGCAAACACGTACAGCGACGCAGGGCGATCTTTGCCTCCACTCCCGTGTCGCACGGAGCCATCACACTTTTGCTCGTCTGACCCGAAATCAGAGTCGTTGAAGCCACAGTTTATTTCCCCGTCACAAAATAAATCAGCTGCAAAAAACAAAGAGTAGAGTTTTATCCACCATTCATCATAAAATGTGTTTCGTTGCTGTGTCATATTTTGTACCTGGGATACAGGAATGGCTGCGAAGGGACGAACATCTTTTGGTCTTCCCTTGACTTATGCTCATGTCGGAACACTCTGGTAACGAAGAAAGCATTATTACGGCTCAGTTCCACGCGTATAAATTTACTACACAATTTTCCACAATTACCGTGATACGCTGTAAAAACCATCTTGAGGAAGACTGGCTTTTTCTCTTCGTCCGTGTCCTGGTCGTCGGTGGAGAAGGAGACGTCCATCTGCCCCTTGTTGTCGTAAAAGAATCGTGGACCAGTCACTTGCTGAGGAGCTTTCGAGTGATCATTCTCACTCAATTCACCGCAAATTTGCCCCGTTTTGAACCCATCGTCTTGCTCGAACTGGGCACAGTCAGTCAAACCATGTCAGTCAGTTTAAACTCAATCAGTTAAATAACGAGTATGAGGAAAAGTGTACCTTGATCCAATCCCGACATCCGACACCACTGCCCTTCTTTGTACGAAGATGCATCCCCTGAATAACTACCATCACGCCGAATTTCTTGGGGGCAGTGACTTGGAATTTGCAGCGAAAGTTGAGAAAACTTGGCCAAAACTCGTCCCAGCTACAAAAACGCATGGATTGGGTTAAAGGCATGTGCATAATGGAGGAAATTAGTCGTTCTGTTACCGCGTCATTTTGACCATGACCGTGTTGTTCGGATAGTTCTGAAGGCGAATCTTCTTTTTTGCCAGGTTGGAAAATGGTCCTACCGCAGCACTGGTGCACACCTCCACGCTTTCAAGAAATTCTGAAAATTCAACCATTTTTTTTACATTGCGTTCTTGTTGTGTAATTCAACATGTAACGGATTATTAAGGAGCGAGTATAGAAAGTAAAAGGGCAGCAGAAATTCGTAACAAATTGATTTGGGCTGCAACAAAGTGGGCGAAGTGGCAAAACGTGATATTTGCCACTAGTTCTTGTAATAGGAATCACACATTTTCTCAAAAGCATGTATTTTCCACATGTGCAACTTCAAGTGCAAAAAATGGAATCTGCCTTTCAAAATTTTCTGATTCATAAAAAAACATATTATGAACATGTTTCTAATGGATGTACAACATCTGCAAATTTTTTGAATTTGGATGGGTATTGAATTACGAATAAATACAATTTTTTATGAATTAGTATAGTGCAAGAATTGTGCATGTCGACCATGATCAGCATCTATCATCTGTTTCCAATCCCATGATGCGTGATCAAGTTGCATGAAAACCGAGAACGTTGACACTGAAAGATTTTAATATCACTGAACCGAGAATTGAGTTAACCGGTTATCTTTTCTACAACTTAATGAAATGAAGTGACGCTCCAGCATATTTTTCAGATTAAATTATTGTCAACATGCATATGCTAGCCGATTTGTTTTGTCGAGTTGAATTGTTTAGATTTGTCTGGTTTTTATGTAATTTGCAGAACTGAATAATGTTGACTAAATAATACACATGGTGCACAAAAGTCTTGGTGCAAACAGGTTTAGGAAGAAGATTCCAGATGAACCTGTTCCAAATACAGCAGCAAGATTCAAATTTCTGCATAAAAAATAGCCAGAGAGTTAGTTACACATGGAAATCGGCATGCTCAAGAAAAAGTCCGTCGGTGACAGACCGACTTTTCCAAACTCTCAGTCAGTCAAGATGCATGAAAAAATGGTGCAATCGATTATGCAGATTGGGTGACCTATGTAACGGGTAAAAATATTTAGCCAGGATGAGGTTCGTGGGATTTCTAATATTCTTGTCATGCGGTTTTTACTATGTCTGCAGGAATTTGTGGAGCATTTGAAACTGGGATGAAGGCAGGCACCTTCATTTTTATAAAGAAACTGACACCGTGACTAATTATATTTTTCCACTCTGTTACCCACACCCACCAACCACCACCTCCAACGAGACTGACTGCTCTCCAATTCGAAATCACAATTGGCGTCACTTTCATCTTCTCAGCATTCCAACGTTGTTATGCTTCAATGGATTCCTCATGCAAATCAATAACGAGTGCAACACATTGACACACTAAATATGTAAATATAGACTGGATTCAACAACAATGGTTCAGCCTCCGAAAAAGTGCGCATTTTACAATCCGGTCTAATTTGCTTTGCCCACATGATGTTAAGTTGGTGGCGGCGGATGGCTTACTCATTGTGAATTTCTGACCAAGATAAATATCCCGATATCCGCCAAGCAGTGATACAACAAACCACAAGAGCTGATAATTATGGAGTAACAGATGGTTACTTTATCTCTTGAAACAATGGCTGGGAACGGATTTGACATGCTCAAAAGTGGAGTAACAGCGCGTGCTTGAACTAATAATACTTAAGTGAGACGTGAGAAGTTATCGGGTTTTATTTGCGACTGCATAAACGAGTTGCATGAGCTGATTATGTATCAAGAGACGGTTGATTTTAAAAATAAACGTTCGGATGAATAACTTCCTGCAGGAAGTGGGAAAAGTAAAATATGAGCGCATTTCTAGGTGATGACTTTCATACATACGTAGAAAACATGTGGGGTATGTAAAATGAATGCGGATGCGTTCCTCGCAGGCATCCAGCATGACCTGCATCCCATCCTCAGTAAATGCATCTCATCTCCCCAATAAGTGGAATTTAGGAGTTTAGGTTGCATTGTTGGAGAGGTGAGCTGAAGGTGAAGGTCAAAAGTGGTGAAATTAGGTGCACCTGACTGAGGCTGAGGACCCTTTTACCTTAGCATCTTCCAGCAAACCATACATTTTCATTTCCATTTCTACCGTATCTAACGGAGCATTGTTCTTCGTTACCTGAGGTCAGGCTTCAGTGAGGAACCATACTTCATCATTGGGATAAAGGTGCCTTACTTACTGTTCTAACATTTGGTTAGCATCAACGAAATGGGCCTGCTTCGTAAATACAGCCAAGAAATAAAAATGTTGAGGAAATGCGATGAAACTTCTTCCTCTGCTCTCGTTTACTTTATTCCACTGCTCTACCTTTCCCAATACTTTCGTATGCACGTAGTATACGATGTGCGATGAGACAATAATCCCGTTATTCGTGCAAGGAAGAACCCACGACATGATTGAAAGTAAAGTAAACCGTTAATGGTCACGATTACGATTAGCTTAATGTCTCTCCTCGCCTGTGGGAAATATCATCAATCAATCGCGAGGAGGAGGGTTTATGGAAATTTTTCGTACTTTACATCATTAGAGGACAATTTATAGTCGTTGAGGAGACAATTATCGAACCATCGAACCAAGTCAAAATTATTCATTTACATGAACCTCGATTTTATGCCAAGTAAAGTTTGGGTTAAAATTCTGACACACATTTTACGTAAGATAATAATGGCGAGGTGGTGAAAAAGGTCACATCTGTGCGAACTATACACAAACGTTTCATGGGTCCATTTCTGTAATGTGAGCCCAAACCGAAATTCGTAACAGCTCCCTTGCCATCACACACTTGTCAATATGTACGTAGAATTTCTATCTGGAAATCTTTTCATGGTTTAAATTTGAACCAAATCAACAACAAAACTATAAAAGCATCAAATGAGCATTTTGACTCGCAGTGGTGGACAAAGGCATAATAATATGACATCATTTTCATTACGTTACGAGAGGCAGAGATCCGGGACGTATTAGAAGCGGAATAATGGTCGCTAATTTCGCATCCTAACCAAATAATGCCATCCACACACACCTGGTGCTGTCGTGGGGCTGGGGAACAGTATGAGTGAGACTAATTGGAAACTAACAAAGCAGAGACATTTTCACATTCGGCGACGACGACGACGATGAATCAATGGATGTGAATATGGCGAATGCAAAATGGTAATGAAAAGAGAAACTTCTATTCTCAGTTCCGTTTGTGCAAAGTGAAGGATGCGAATCATTCTCGTTTTCTACTCCCAGCCTTTCTCATCGGCGAGGAGGAGTAATAATTGCAAAAATCAACAGCACGTCGAATTGTTCTTAGCTAATGCGCATTACCAATAAAAATGTGTGACTCATATTTTATTTCAGAACGACTAAATTCACAGAATTAAAAAAAAATGTTTCCCTTAATTCACATTAGTTTGGTTAGCCATCATGGTTAAAGAAGAGCGTTATTGTTTGCTCTTTGGGCATAAAAATGTGCATCACAGCAAAACCCACGAGCGAGATGAGATAGCAGAAGAGGCGAGTAAATTTATGATACTTACGTTCTACATATTCCCCACTCGTAATTTGCAATAGGAAGACACACACACTGAGCAAATGGAGAACAAGAACTGGGAGCCACGGTCTCTTTGCTTTCGACATTTCGCTAAAGTATTCCTTCCCCCAGAATAAATTTCACTTTTTTTTTCGGGCAAAATTACTGGAAGACTTTGAGAGATCGCGGAATGACGCTGTTTCGCAGTTCTTACTTGGACGATAAAGATAACAACGTCCTCTTATGACTCATCCCAGTCGACACTCGTTTCGCAATCTTTCTCTTGCTTATCACGATTTACACTGAAAACTAAATGTCAGAATCACATCTTTTTTTTACATGTTTATTTATGAATTAGTGTCGATAAGACTGCAGGAATATTATAAAACCAACACGTCCAAGTCAGCCGTGCTCAAACTGTAAACTTTCCACAAGCAGCCTGGCAGCCTCTCTGTAGCTCGAATAATAATAATATGAAGCAAAAACTTTAAAACTCTCGACTATACCAGTCGTACCACCATCAACGCAATGTGATGCGAGTACATGCAAAAGGTTCTGGCTGTGTATTTATTATATGGGAGCTACATAGATAGTTGTTGTCAGAGGGAGAATCTCCTACGTATCCTCCTGATGATGGTTATGGTTGGGAACGAAGGGGATGAAAATTGGAGGACGCATCTTTGCTTCCTTTGACTGGTCGGAGGGTAGGGAAACAGGCAACGGATGGGACACGGATCAAATGGCACATGAAATGAAGCAGGGAGTTTGCAGTGCGTATACCCGTGCAACAAGTAGAAATGTGAATTATTGAATTATTGTGAATAGGGAGCGATAGTGAAACCTTGTAAAGTGCATAAAATTCAGATTTAATGTGCATGCAAATTGCCCAGCGAGCAAATCCTAACGATTTCCCATGTTGTTGTGTGCACGGCAGTGATGTCAGCACGGGAACAGTCGTTCAGTCGACGCGATTTGGAGTGAATTGACAATTTGAGACAATTGCCAATTCAGACTGGTTAACAATGTGCCTTTCGAATGAGCCAAGGAATAATTTGCGACCCGTGTTGTTTTCATTTCGTTTTCCTTCACTCGCAGAGGAGAGAAGGATGACAATGCATCCTGATGAAGATGAGAGTGATCTTGAGTGCGTATGCTTCTGGTGGCCAACCAACTGTTGCATTGTTAAAATTGGCGTTGCAATGTAGGCTACCGGGTTGTGTATACTTGCACTCGTTGTAAATGTGTACTCTCTTGTGCTGTTCTACATCAAAGAGATTCTCATGAGTAAATTTGACAGCTCTCAAGCAAGAGCAGAATTGAACTTTTATTATTCATTTATGTAAAAAAAAGAGTACCATTCTAAAATCCGCTCAACTTTTACTTTCTACATTTTCTTCGTCTAGAAACCTTCATTTGCGCAGGCAGGAAACGCATAATTTGTGGTGGACACACAAATAATAGGCACGAGATATACAGTAGAAAGGGAATTTTGTATGCATGCACAAGTCGCCGATGATGGTGAGAATAAATAACCCGTAAAATATTGCTGCTCTAAATTAGCAAAACCATTACTCGAAATTGACGCTAATTATTGGAGGATAATTAGTGAATAATAAACCATTTTAATATAATCACTGAGCGAGATTGTTGAGGTGGCTTTTGAACTTGGGAACGAATTAAGCTTTCACCTGGAAGCTTAACGGTTCTTCTTCATTCTGGTCTTCTTCTGGTTCTCGAATCGTTTCCAGCTCAATGAAGAGCGGTGTCCCGTCCGCCCTGGTCGTCACGTGCTGCTGCTGATGGTGCGGGTGAACGTAGTGCAAATTTAGGTGACTTCCCCCACACGACGACGACGAGGCCTGACCGACCTGAGTGGACGAGTTGTTCCGTGAGAGCACCGTCGTGGACACGGTGCTGAAAGTGCTCATACGTCTCGGACGAGAAGTCAGGTCACTGCGGCGTTGTCTGCGAAAATCCCACCTCTCTTGAACTTATGAATAGTTACTATATTCGTCTCTATCAAATAAAACTCACCCTGGGGGACAAACTCTGGCACAAATCTTGAAGGAGACGATGATGAGGATGAGGACGATGATGGGGACGGACGCCACGGCCAAAGCGATGACACTGCCATTGGTTGAGGGCGGTGGAGAGTCCGAGTCCGAGTACTCCTGAGCCTCCAATTCCGCCGCTCGGGTGGGGTTCTTGCTCGAGTAATTTGCAGGCGTCAACTCCATGACCAGATAAATTCGACTGTTGATAAATTCGAGTCCCAGGTTTATTGGTTTAGCGAATGTGTCGGCTTCCATGTAGTTTCGCACCTTACGACCAAGGTTCGAGCAGATGTGTGTATGTACGAAGCAGCAACAGCGTATGCACGTTTAAACTAATATCTTCCTGTCTTGGATGAAATTAGTGTCATTATCATCATCCATAATTTCATACTCTCCTATTCAGTGGGAGGTGATGTTTGCATTAGTGCAAATTATTACGTATTGTCTTTAATGTCTATTCTGGGCGCATGCAGGCGCTCTTGAGCCACGTATGAGATACGATATGCACGTTGCAGAATGACTGACGAAGACACGTTGAAAAAGCTGTTATATAATCGAAACTATTGAGATTATGACCAAATGGTGCAAAATAAAAATGTAAAGTGCTCTCAATGCTAATCTTATTGTATTGAGTACATAATAAAATATTGTGCATTTACAATCGTGCTTGGTTCTTGTAAGAAGAGTTTTTTTTTAAATTTTAGACTTCCAAATTTTCAAAGATCTCTTTACGTAGACTTGACAAAATTTAAGGAAGTAAGTCGTCGTTAAATTCGTCCGTGTTTTCGTCGTCCATTTCCACGGAATATATTTGACATTCGGCCATGAAGGAGCTGCTGATAAGTGGATGCTGGTTTTGTCCTCTGACCGAATTATTGGCCATTTTATTGTCATTCAGGGTTGGTCGAGTAGCGTAACAGCGTCGAATCATTCGTCTCCGGGTAAGCAGCAGTTTCGAGTGCGCCGAGTTTTTTCTGAAAATTTTACAAAGCTTAAGTTAAGATGCCCTTGGATGACGCGTTGATTTTTCATCTCGCGAGATGAAACCGGATTACAATTTATATGTAACGCCAAGTTAATAATCCAAAGTTGAAATGTCACTTACTTGAAGTATGGTTTGAATGACTGTCTCAAAACACAAATTCCCACATAAACCAATGTTACGAAGAACATAAAAAATATTCCCGTCTCGATAAGGTCCTTCCACTTGGGCAACCGGTGCTTATCCGCAGTGTGCGTCCCATTCTGTGAGACCAAAGAACTCGAATATGCATGGAAAACAGTCGAGTTGGAAATCTCTGGATAGTTTACTGCATTATTCTGCATAATAAAAAATAGAAAAGAAAGATGCCCCAAAAATTGGTGGCGACGACAAGTGCAGAATTTTGTGGGATTTGGATTTCACATGCTGAAATTGGGGTGAGATTTCGGATAGCAAGCAGATGACGACGACTGAATGCACCTGAATTCCTGAACGAGAGAGAGAGAAGTGTTTAGAAAATGTGGAGAGTCTGATTTTTTGCAGGATTTGGTTGTTTATGACTGAAACGTCAGCCTCCGTTTTCACTTCACTTCAATTATGTTTGTTTATACAACCTCATCCTCGGAAGGTTAATGGAATTCACCACAAATGTCAACACGAATTTGCTTCTCGCTGACGAACGGAACATTTGGTTGTTCTCCTGAAAGGAAAGCCAACAAATGCTCCAGCAGGAACTCAAAATCTCCCTTCCCATAATGATCCAATATTTGTGGAAACTAAAATTATGCCAGTGATATTTCTTTTCGACTTTTGAAATAATTTTTGGCCCAGTGAAAAGTAGTTGTAATAGTTTGAAATCTTTATTGCGAGTCTTTTGAATTAATGCTTGATTTGTATCGCTGAGGTAAAACGGATGAGTTATTTTGGAGACATGTTAGGGAGGTGTGGTTAGTGCTTCATGGCTTCGACGTAGGTGGGCGGGTATTCTCTCTCCATTTCGAAGAAGGACGCGGGTGGGGGTGGCAGATGTTCCGTCGACTTTTTGAGGGCAGACTTGAGCACGCGACGTGGCGTGGTGTTGGGATCGGGCAGCGGAGACTCCGACCCCACCGCCCGATTCGGGTCAATGTTGGTCGTCACGGGGGAGAAGGACACCGTTCTGGCTTCCGGCCGGTTGGGAATCGATTCCCACAAGTTGAGCGAGTTTTGGAGTATTTGTTGTGAGCGGGCGTCCCTTCCGGACTCGTTGGAACTGGAACGTCTGTCAGGTCGCGCAAATAATTAATTATGCATTGCAAAATGGTAGTGACCAAATATTTCTGATCCTCAATACCTCATGCAAGTAATGTAAATGATGATTTCCAGGGAAAAGACGAGCATTCCAAAGATGACGATGGGTAGGATTGTTAAGAAGACGACGAAGCGAACGTCGAGGCGTCCCTTGAAGTAGAAGAAGGACCTGGACTCGTTCCTCTCGACGTTGGTGGTGGTGCTGGGGTAGTCTGGCGGGTAGAGGAGCACCGGCTTCCCGTCCTCCCTCATCTCACCCGACTTCCAGATCAACTTGACCCGCTTCCCGTCCCCGTAGAAGGGGAAGATGAGGTCCTTGCAGCTGAACTCACCGCAAACATGCTCGATTCGTGGAGGTCGTCGCGAGTTACAGCCCAGACTGGACAGGTTCAGCTCGTACTGTTGCAAGGTACACTTCTTACTGTGACCTGACAGCCATGGAAAAGTGTTTACATATTGGTTCCTATTAAATCTTATGTGCAACGTAATGAGTAATTTATGTACCACTTTCGGAAGTAAAGTAAATTTGAAAGTAGAAATTTTTCCTAAATTTTTCCTCGTTTTTGAGAAATCTTTCCAGGTTTCTGAAAATGGAGAAGGATTTCTTCCTCCTCCGCTCATCTCTAGGCCAGTAGATATGGTTCGCGACGGTGTCCAGGTCGACCGAAGTTTCGTCGCAGGACAACTCCACACCCTCCTCCTCGTCAAATTGGAGCTAAATACAAGGGCAAACATTTTAACTCACGTTTTGCACTTGTTAGTAAAACGATAATTGGCTACAAAATTCAAGCAAATATTGATCAGATTGGGGGATTGACGTGTGTAATTAGCAAATCAACATAGCTCCAACTATGATGATGATGGTTTCACAAACATGACTTTTGGATACGCATATTTATTAGGCCTGCCGTAACCACAATGTCTCAACCTTCGCCTACTGCACACCATACATTGCACAACTCGTCAATAATGCCTAAACATTTTGTCAGGGCTGACTTATTACTCATATTTGGTTTTCGTATCAAGTTCCATTACAGTTTTATTAGGAGTCAGGATACGAAAAGCAGAACAACGTTCTCTGAATTATTCATTCCCAGTGTGTGCCACTCATCAGCAATTTTACTGGAAAATTTAGCAATTTTTTTGCAAACTCTCGTAAGAAAATATTTAATTTGCTTTACGTCAAAATTTCATGCATCCAACGCTGTTTGATTTTGTAACAAAATTCGAATTAAAGAAGCTTATGTGGAGTAGTACCTTGATAAATTTTGTGCAAATTTTGGCATTAGCAGCTTCAAAGTCAAGTGGAAGAAAGCTGAGATTCATGAAGAGTATTTTATTGACGACTCGCGAACTTGTAGCGTTTGTCCTCCCACCGCCCCCACCAGCGTGGTGCTGGTTACTGTTTGGGGGGAAGTTGATGGCGGAGGGTCTGAGGTCGCAGGGGAGAAAGGTCATGGGGGAGAAAGTCTTCAGCGCCCAAATGTCGTTCGGAACGGGCGTGTTTGGGTTGATCCCGTCCCCGCGGAGGATCAGCGCCCCTGAGGAAGAGTTGAACTTTGAGGAGGACGACGAGCTGATGATGCGATTCTCGTTCCCTCCAATCATCGGGTTTGGGCAGAGTTGGTCGCTGAATATGTCATCTGTGGGTGGAGACAAGATTGGAGATGAGTTGTTGCGTGGTCGGAAGAATTAAGTATACTCACCATTGCCAAGGAAGGACCAACGATTGAGTCCCTCTGTGTGCCGATTATTTGCATACACGTCTCGCACCATGAGCGACGACAATATTGCCAGCAGCACGGGCACCATTATCACAACTTGTGCAGATTTTGTATATACACCTCCACTACTACGACCGCTACAATTAACGGAAGAGCGCCTTATCACTATTGTCTTCTTTTTCACGACTCGTCCAGAAAAGTTGGTTGGTTTTAGTCGGGTTCGGATCGTCCACCTGGGACAAGACCCGTTCCTACTGGACATTAAAAACGAGATTGGAAATGAAAAGGGTGAATTATGGAGAACAATGGAGCCCAATATTTTTGGTGTCACATGACGATAAAGTGTTACGAGTGAGGAAGTGAGGGATGGACAATTGAGGTTTGGGCGAGAGTGAAAGTGGGATTATTTGTGGAGCGGAGGAGTCTATTGAACTCTCTTCCCTGCATCCCAAATAGCTCTGGGAGAGTGAAAGTGGGTGAAAGCAGAGGAGAGGAGAAAGCTGGCTACACCGAAATTGGGGTCTCCTCCGAATCCGGGTCGTTCTCCAACTCATTCACCCGCGGACGCTCTCCTCCTTTTCGTATACATATACAGTCGTACCTACGCAGAGAGGGCATAAAACTATAGGGCGGTTGGAACACTGGGTCGTCGTCGTAAGATGCAAAATGCATGACTTTTTCTCCTTCTTCCCCGCCCGCTATGCCCCTTCCTCTCCATTCACAATAACACACACGTTCGGACGGACGGACTTTCTCTCCCACTGCAGATTCGCCACCAGGATATTCCCAAGTCCTACTCTTTCTCCTCCATTGAAGGCAATGGGATTCATTTGCAGAGGAAACTGCCAGTCCCATTTCATTCCTGATGAAGCGTACGCCACTCTCTCTGACCGCTTTCTCCTTCCTGCATTAATGAAATACATAGCACACGGCGCGTGTACGGCTACGTAAATAAATTGCCTAATCAAAACACTGCCTCTCGCAGGACAGAACTATCTCGTGGCCAAATTAAATATACATGATTCTCACTTTTCTCGCAGCTTGGACGATGCCTTGCATCAGTTGTGAAGAGGATTAGACCGTTTCTTATGCTCATACGGCGTAAGAGATCTCCTGGGATTTTTCCCTTTCCTGGTCCTATGTACGTACGTACGTATGGGGACCGGTGGCTGGTGAACACGCGAGGTTCCGAGTTATTAGACGAAGAGAGGAGCAATAAATCTTATTCCGCCGGAAGCCACGACCTTAAGGGTTCGCATGCGGAGAAAATTATCCGCTCAACCTAGGTCACCGCATACACGCTTTCTTTCTGCCGTGCTCGTGAGAGGACGAGCTCATGAATTATATGAATAAAGAGAGAGTTAAAGAAACGTTAAAGAGAGAGTTGGTTCTGGTCGGTCGGATGTGTAGGCAGGCAGCAGGGTTTGGAATTGCACAAGATATTTGTGTCACTCTGTCCTAATCGTAATGGACGAAATACGACCCGTCCTTCCACCGGGAGCCATTATTCCGTCAACACTTCCGGATAACATGTCTAGTTGTGCACCATACCGCTAATAACGCCCTCATGGAATACGCAACCAAAAAAAATTACAACGAGACCGGGATGGGAACAAGCTTTTATTAAGAACGTAGCATGTCTGTCCCACGTAGAGTAACATTTTGATGACTTTTTACTCATGGTTCAGCGGATTATTTATGGTGACTGGTTATGCTCCCTCATGAAAAAAACGTCAAAAGAGCTACATAATTTAATTATGGTTCATCATTTTGCACATATTTATTTATTTATCGCGAGATATGGCGACCACTCGGAATGATCAGATCAGGTCGTATATGCATACATAAAATCAATAAAAATGTCCACAAATGTTGTACACATTAAAGAAGGGCCAATTACTGCGTGATTATTGTATGTTTTGCTATAAAACAACGATCAAGCTGGATATTATATGCATATTCCGCAATTTGGGTAACAAAGAGATCATCTTGCAGCACGCACGTGTGAAGAAATGTATCAAGAAATGCACAACAACTTATCGCTGTTGACATTGAACAACAAATGAACAGGTTTGTGTTTGTGTGTGAATGCACCAGAGTAGCGGATGTCCACTTTTTTGTGTGCGAATCCTCGAGTCTTGCGAACTATCATCCACATTGTGCAGTAATAGTTAGGATTATGTGTAAGTAAGATAATTTGTGTTGATGCGATTAGTGAGGGGTCAGCATTTCTGTTATTTGTATTGGGTCTGGTTAGTTCCATGCACGTCGGAAATGACATGAGGCACAAATGCAGGAACTCATTAAAGCGATTGGGATGGAGTAGAACAGTTAGTTGTGGCAATGGAATTGGTGGTTTGGCTAATAGGTCGTCTCAATCCGGAAGATCTTTTTTTGAGGAAAATGTGAACAAGTTAATAATAATTGGAATAAGAGAGAAGCCTTATCTCAAATTGCTTGCCATTCTCGCTCCTCAGAACGAAACGTCAACACTGTGCTCGTCGATTTGGTCCGAATTGATTGAATTTGCAAATTTGCAGATCTTGTCGACAATGACGTTGGTCCTGCTCGATGAGGAGGTCTCCGTTTTCGAAGAGGTAAATTTTTTCTCCTTCTGGTTGATCTCGTGAGTGAGTGGCATTTTGTCCGAAATGAGCAGCGAATAATTTGGCTGGTTCCAGTTCCGCACGCTCACCGTGGACCTCAACGTGGACGAAACGACGCGTCTCAGATTTTTGCGAGCTCGAGACCTGAACGTGAAAAGGGGGGAAGAAATGCTGCGTCGATCAGTCGAGTGGCGAGAATCCAATGAGATTGAGACAATCAGTAAATGGGAAATTCCGTCTGAAATTCTGAAAGAGTTCCGCATGTATTTCACGGGATTGGATGAGCAGGGTTATCCAGGTGAGACCTTATCAACCGCTGAGAGTAATAAGTAGCAACATGGTAATAATGAATGTGCTAGTTTACTTGATTCCACTGGGTCGATGGGATGGTCGGAAAATTCTGGGGAAGGGGTTGAAGGAGGAGAGCATCAAGTTCATGTACCGCACATTGGAAACAATCATGGCTGCGTGCAGGGACCTGGGCGTCACCAAGTTTTCCGTTATCGTGGACAACGACGGCCTCACCTTGTGGAAATGTGCTCACTGGGATTGTAAGACATTTGCCTACCATTTTCTCACTTGTTATGTGCCAATGACACGGATGACGAGGGCCTCATAATTGTTCTTCTTAATTCGTGCAGCTATTGAATCCAGCATCCGAGTTATTAAAGACTTTGAGTCGAATTATCCGGAAACTTTGGTGAACGCCTACTTGGTCAACAGTACGTGGCTACATAAATATTTCCTCTTTCGTCTGTTTGGCTAATTAGCAAGTCTGATTTTGTAAATTTCTAAATTGACTAAATTCAGCCCCCACTGTGTTTTGGCAAGCTTTCAAATTCATCAAACCAGTCCTGGCTGGGAACACGCTGGCGAAAATCAACATTTTTGACTCTGATAAGAAAAAGTGGAGTGCGGCTTTGCTGGAGAGAATTCCGAAGGATGCTCTTCCCAACGAGTACGGAGGTGACGCCAAGGCCTTCGACATCCATTTAGCATAAAGCAAATATACATACGCATCGACATATTTATTGCCCCACACTCTCCAAGGTTCCTAAGTATTCTCCTCTCTTCAGCTTAAATATATACGTAAATCGCGCATCTTATTTTTGTGTCAGAATAATTAATTTCGAAAAATAAAACAAAATCAGCTCAGATCGACTAGGAATTTAGGTTTATTTTTGATTGGATGTATTGCGTAAGTTAATATTTTGCACTATAAATTTTGTCCGGGGTAAAAATGTGGCGTGGGTTTTGCCAGTCACTTTTTGAACTCTTCTGGTCGAGTGGTGCAACCCATCTTTCCAGCGTCCCCTGAAATGAGGTAGTGTGGAGGCAGAAGAAATGCAAGTCTGCCGTAAATGTTCAGGACGTCCGTGTACAAGGACATGGACCTATTTGAAGATCACAAAAGTGCAATTAATTACACCCGCTGACATAATTCAGAGTCCAGTAACTTACGAATTAATGGGATCGAAATGAGGTGAGTAGGTGGCACTGCGCACCATGGCTTTGGTGTTGAAGAGGTAATAGGCTGGAAACACGACGAGTCCTCCGTGCATGGCCACCCTGTACAGCCAAGTGTACGAAAAGTGACGTCGGGGAAGGAACCAGAGTGCTGCAAACAGTAAAATATGTACGCGTTCTTAAAAATCTCCATCCACACAAGCCAATTCCGACAAGTACTTATCTATGTATTTATTACCCATGAATGACAACAAGACGGTGTACATTCCTATGCGAAGGGGGATTTCCCACTTGGCGAAAGCGTCGTGTGGGAGGATGGTGCTGACCCCGGTGAGACCTCCGACCAGCCCGGCCGTCACGAAGCCAGCGCGGATGATGGACTGCGCCCCGAGGAGATAGAGCGGAGCGGCGGAAAGGCCGACAAGTAGCGCCTGCGCGATCGAGCCAGCCTGCTTCGCACCAAATCCTTCCCGATACGGCAACGACCTCACCAACATGGTCACCGCGAACTGAGAAGCCATTGCTAGGCCGATGGCGAGCAAGGGCTGTGCCGAGATGGCGTTCAGAAAGATCGGATTCCGAAAAAAGCTACAAGATTTCAGCACGATTTTATTTCCGGCGTATGAAGAAATCAAGAGCTTGTTTGACCAACCGGAACGATGCGGCGGCGCCCAAGGTTGATATTCCTAAGGAGTTGAACATGTACATGTACGCCGTGTTGATTCGGTCGCTAATAAATTCGGGGGCGTAGAGACCTCCTCCACTTGACGACACGAGTGTCGACACTTCTCCATCATCTTGGTCAAAGAGGGTGTAGTACAAGAGGGAGCCTGACCCAAAGACGAGTCCCGCAGTGACAATTCCTTGGCCTGAAAAGGGTCACGTAGCAATTAAATCAAGTAATTGCTGTGCGTTGTGGTTCAACGAACTAGTTGGTGGATGAGACGAACCGATGCCCGCGACCGTCTTTCCCACCGGTCCTTGTTTCGCCTCGAGGACGAGAACGGTGTCCCGAAGTTTTTGATGCAGTCGAACCTTGTGCTGCTCGGGTTTGGATTTTTGCTTGGCCTGCTGAAAAAATGTTCTCACAAGTTTCCGAGATCTGTGCGGAAGGGGCGATGAGTGGCATAGCGTTCTACTCGTCAAGTCGGCAGCAATTCGGGACACATTTTTCAGCGAAGTCGGACCTAGAAGCATTTTACCCCGGCGACAAGACCATGAAATTATTGGTTGCTCTCGTTGAAGCAACGTGCATTATTACCTAATTGTTACTATTTCGTACATATTTCGTACTATTTCATCCACCTATTTCTGCTCCCTACGAAATCCGTGTTACATGGTTACGGCATTTATTCATCGCGAATGTACAAAACCAGTTTTCCAGAGGCGGACTGGCATAATTTTAGGAGAATGGAAATCGGCCTAATAATTGGCCTTATGCAATTCAAGCCAGGAGCATGTTCAAGGACGTTCACTTACTATCCTTATTCTCGCAAGAGATGACTTCTTTCTGATCTTCAATCACGACTCGCGAGAGAGAAATTGAGAATAATTTGGCGAGATAGTTATTCTTCAGACCTCTTCTGCTTTTGCCAGTTAAGATTAATCGCAAATTAATTAAATACAGATCTCCTAAAGGATTAAATAAAGTAGTTTTGGCTGAGTGTTTGTTCTTCTGAAGAGCATACACACAGAGATAAAATGAGCCATGTATGGGTTTAGGGTGGCAAATATTTGTGCGTGAATTGAGAAGAGTAGAATTCGCGAATGGAAGGAATGCTTGCAAAAAAGGGGGCAAGAAGTTGTGTGGTATTTGCTTAGCTTGGGAGCGATCTTTCAATCAATGCCAATCCAAGACGCCACTTAAGCATTGGTCGCACACCCGGATTTCTTGTTGTGCCATTATTCCTTTGTGGCTGGGAGAGAATGGATGGACCAGACCACCACGCCCAGCCACCACCACCACACAAAGCCATCCAGGCGTATTTACTTAGGCGTGTGTACCTCCACACCGTGTGTACTACTAACCTAGTGCAAAAATGCTTATTTAGCCAGCCAGCTCTTTCATGTAATGCAACACGTATCGAAGTGATGCAATCCCTACCTTTTAGAAGCCTGATTGTGAAATAAATTGTGTTTTAAAGTTTAAAAAAAACTAACTGCTGAGCGGAGCATGCATACATCGACTTGTTATTGACTGGATAATATCAGATTGCGAGATTTATTATGCAGCACTGATTGCACTGTCGTCTTCCGTATTAAGTAAGTGAGTAGGTAATAACCACTCGTGAAATGATTTAATGGATGCATGAACCATGTTCTAACGTGCTTATGACTTGGGTGGGTTCATTATAATGAGCACTATGAGGCAACTTAAGGGTTAGTGAGGCGTCTCTGGACAAAATCATGCGGGGTATAAAAGCCCAGGAAAGCATGGTTTGGGATCAGTAACGCCTTTGTAGCCAACTAATTCAATCACTTCATCCTCACCAAAAACCAAAACCTACTCCAAAATGTTCAAGTACTTGGTAAGTGGCTCACAACACAAAGCTAAATTAATTTCCTGTGGCCAGAGGAGTGATTTTTCTGGAATTTAATAAGTAATTTCAGTCTCAGATTTGAAATATGCCTAATTTTGTCTCAGGTTGTTCTTGCCCTCGCCTTGGCCTACGTTGCCGCCGCTCCCCAACTCCTCCTCCGATCTGCCGCCGTCCTCGACAACGAGGGTGCCAAGCAAATTGGACTCCCATTCTCAAACGGATGGACCGACGGACCCAACAACGGTATCGGCCCAGTCGTCCACGCCTATGCCGCCCCCGTCCTCCACTCTTCCGTCGTCCACACCCCATGGATCGGAGGAGCTCACCACGTCGTCCTGTAAATTAGTCCCCAAATTATTCCACCTTCAACTGTCTTCTTTTTTAGCGGCCCATCAAAATAAATTGGCAATCATCAGCAGAAAATAAATTGCAAAACTTTGCTTAAATTCCGAGTCTTTGTCACGATTTCATTTATTTCCTTCTGTGAAAATTCCGCGTTGGTTGAAACTTCCCAAGTTGTTCGGAAATATTTGCGGAGTTCCTTTCCCAAAAAGATCTTCAAACGTAAACAAGTTTTACAAGATGAGTTTTCAGGGGGATTCGTACCAGGGGAGCGTGGGATGGTTCGGGACGAACCGGTTCGGGAATCCCAAAGTGCTCGAGAGAATCCAACCCTTGGTCGAGTCAGGATTGTTCGACATGTGGAAAAGTCTTTGTCAGTTTGGAAATATTTACAAGAATCTGCAGTTTTCATCAGAAAATGAGTTCCAGCCTCAGAATATTGTCTCAAATATTGCAACGTTGTTCATACTTTTTTCAGGGGGGTATTATTCTTGAGATTTTATGTGATTTTGTGGTTCGCTATTTCGAAAAAGAAGGGAGAACCGACTCGGGGGTAGAAATATATGAAATAATAATAAATAGAAAGAAAAAATAAAAGACGAAATACCAAGAGGGATGCACTTGTTTGATGGATGAGTACATTATTACAAAAATAAGTATAAGTAATCTCAATATGGAGAAACAGTTTTCCAGAAACCAATCGACATTATTTTTACGAGAATGAAAATCGTTCTCGTTTTGTAAACTTCCCAAGGTCCTACAACTCTTTGCTTTGTTCTTGGACAGTGTCGTAATATTTGTACACATTTTCTTTCATTATGCGTACCTCTCTTATGGTGTATGCATAGCACTTACACTGACCAACAATGAATAGAATGACGTATTTACTATATATAGGATGTTGGATTAATATTTGCAATGTCAATAAATAATCATGTTCAATTGACTATTTAATCAGCCGTGTTTAATATTTAAATAAGGAGGATTGGACAAAAAATGGTTAACAAGAAATTTTGACAATGACTGAAAAATGACATTTTTCTATAAATAGATAAATATACTATAGACGACTTGAAGGAATATTTACTTAGTTGGAAGAAGTTAAACCGAAATGGATGCAAACTTTGGTTTGCTGATTGTTTTAATCGAACGAATCTTAATTTTAACCTTTAACTCATCAATCGAATTTAGCCTTTTTTGGGTTTTCCTCACTGTTGGTATCCAGCCACATTCGGTTCTTGAAATACTCTTTATTTCGTTGTGGCATTTCATCCAACGATGCTTCTATTGATGACAAGAATATTTCTTGGCATCCTTCTATTTGTCTTAGTGAATTTTTAGATTTATTATGACACGCTGCATCTGTCACCAGCCTTGTCGCATATTTGATTGTCACTGCGGTAGAAAAACCGACAGAGACGTGTCCTATTTTCTTGACTTCTTTGGGATTGAATGTCCAGCCCTTTAGAAACTGGCTTACGTAACTGCATCCAATGTAGGGAAGGCCTAATCTCGATTTTTCCGTTCCAGTAACGTTCATGTCGTAAATAAGTTGAGCTCCGTAAGTCAGGTCAACAGCGGAAGTAAAATCGACGCTCATATCCATGACCTTTCCTGATGCGATCTCGGTCCAGTTGAATATGTAGCACTGGTATCCTCTATCTAAATTTTCCTCCCGGGTATTCTTGGCATATTCTCCACATTTGATATTTTTGTTTTCATCCTCATCATAGAAAACCGAACCCTCAGATATTTCAATATGGTAATTGTTAAGGTGGCGCTTCAGACCATCAGCGTTGACAAAAGGAATTCTGCATTCATCGCATCTGTACTGACTCACAACTGAAATTTTATAAATATTTTGGCTTGTTTATATTTTACTCTCAAATTTTCACTAAAGAAGGATATAGTGACATTTTCGAAAGCTTGCATTAAATTTAAGAGAACATTTTTATAAAAATAACTTCCGCCCATTTGACTCCTTTTATCTCTGCTTGAGCAGTAATAAGATTTGTGTTGATAAACAATACTTAATTTTTAAAATATCTTACACATGTGCTTCGCTTTTATGTGGTCCGCCAATCGTGACGGACGCTGGGCTCTTGTTCCACATACTTTGCATTCGTATGAGTCAGCATTATGGCGAATGGTGGAATTTTCGACCGAGATAGCCTCATAAAGTGGACCCGGTGATTTTTCATAATATTCCATCTAATCAAATAAAGAACAATAAAAGGATAAATAAACAGACGACATGGATGATGATTGTTAAAACAGTTATCGGTTTTGTTATTGAGTCAAAAGCACCATAATAATAGAAATATGTACATAAATTAAATCAATACATTTGGTTTGATTAATTCCTGGATTACGGAATTTGTAGTCCTCTTATAAACGGTACTGGTGTCGGATGTCATGTCCAATACAGCGATTAAAATATTTTTATACATGTCCTTCAAAAAGTCATTTTTATTGGTGTATACGTCGGTTGGGGGGTCCATGTTTAGTTTTAACAATAGTTTTTAATTTTTCTAAACTATATCTTGTACAGCTTTATTAACTGAATTGATGTGTCTATGTGGTCATCACAATTATACACACAATTTGAATTATTTTGTGATATCGTCAATTAATATAAAATACTTTCAAACCTAACCTTATTTAATTGTGTAGCAGAGTTCCAGAATTAAGCACGGTGAGATATAGGAGCAGAGTAGAGATGTAAACAAAGGGCTAAACCGAGTTTTAACACGATATTGTGTGCACAAACAGCACACAACCAGATAGGACACAACCTGATTCTTTAATATGGTGTCTTAGTTAAAAGTGTTAAATGTTTTGGTCGGGTTGTTGATAATCTCGCCAACGGATGGACTGACGGACCCAACAACGGAATTGGACCAGTCGTCGCCTACTCCGCCCCAGTTGTCCACTCATCCGTCGTCCACGCCCCACTCGTCCATGGCGCTCACCACTTTGTCCTTTAAATTAGTCCCCAACTTATTCAAGTCCCTGTTTTTTCACTCTCCCAGAACAAGATAATTGGCAAATCATCATTCAAATGATCAGTAAAAAATAAAATGCACAACTCTGCTAAATTCTGATTCGTCCTTGTTACGCACGTTTTACTTATTTAATTGTCTAATAATTTGTATAAAAAGTACGTCATAAATTTCATGCATATTAATTAATCAGTTAATTAAATATTACACGGTGGATGAAATATACTTTGGACTTTTGTCCTTCCGATGGTCTCCAGCGTTCTCCTCGCCGAAGGGATCGCTCGCATTGAACTCAAAGTCAAAGTCCGAGTCGTCCGCGGGTCCACGTCTCTGCGAACTACTTTTCGGTCTCGTGGAACTCCCTCGTCTGTAGTTGTCCCCTTCGCCATCGTCGTCATTGTCACGTCGCTCAACCTCGTCGTCATCCCTGTTGGACCGTTCTCTGCTGTTCTTCTTACCTCGTTTTCCTCCCCTTTGGCGAGTCTGCCCGTACGAGTCCACTTCGTCATACCCTTTGTAAAAGTCCTCCTCATTGTCGTCACTGCTGCGACTTTTCCCGTTGTCACTGGAGGCATCGCTGTGTTGGTAATCGTCACTGTCACGGTCTCGGTTCGAGGAGCGGTATTTCTTCTGACCTCCTCCCCGACGACCTCCTCCTCTGTTGGAACCACTGCGACTCGTGCCATAGTCGTCGTCATTGTCCGTGTCGAAGTCAATCTCACCAGACTTTTTGTAGTCGTCGTTCTTCTCCCTGTTGTACTTGGAGCTTCTCTCGTAGCCCTTGGTGCCAGAGTCGTAGATGTCGGAGCTGTCGGCGTCGTCCTCGTCCTCCGACCTGTACCGTTTCTTCTTCTTCTCCGGCTCTCGCTCCCGGTGCGAGGCACGGTCGTCGTCGTAGTCGTAGTCGTCGTCGTTGTCGCGACTCTTTTGTCGCTCGTCACGCGTGTCTGTCCCATGTTTGCTGCGCTTGGTGTTGCTGTAAGCTTTGGTGGGTTGTTCGCTCGAGTGGTGGTAGGAGGTGGAGTAGCTCTGCGGCTCGGATTCGATGACTTGGAGGTACCCGTTCGGACCCGAGTAGTTCTTCACTTTGGGCTTTGAGGACTTGGATCCTCGACCACTTTGGCGCTTCGCTTTGCGGTTGGAGGACGAGCTGGACAAGTCTGATTGGAAAATATTCAAGGACATTTAGCATACAATCACCCAAACCTAGAGCAGAAGAACGAACCTTTGGGAGAATGGATCTCAGTGAAATTCTGAGTTAACGGTGCCCCAAGTGACGGCGTAGGCGACCCGCTGGTTTTGTGAACCCCACTTTGTCCATCTGCGGAATGAATGGGGACGGTCCCGTGCAGAATCCCGAGCACTATTAGCGAATAAATATTCATCTTTTCCCTGTTTCACTGCGAAATGCTTGGCAAACTTTGGATGCTGCTCTCCATTTATTTTTTACTGGGGTGTACTTCACAAGTGGCTGAGTGGGTTAATTACGAGAGGAAAGGATCGGAACGAGAGTGAGATGAGCGATGAACTGAACTCGAGTTTTGAGTGGTTTACTTGCTACAGAGGAAACTGATCAAGTGTGACCTCGCAGAGAGACGTACAGCTTCTTGGGTTGGAAATGAATGTGGGGCAAATTGGGCGAAAAATGAAAGCGTTCACAATCAATTTTTCCATGCGGTCGGCTTCCTCCTTTTGCTCATGCTCCTCAGTCTGCAGTTTGCCCAATATTTCTTACGTAACAAACTCATATTGCGTGCGAAATGGATGCTCTGATGGGTTTGAGTCCTATGTAACAAAATGAGCGTCCTTATAAAATTTCGACGCGAGTCACAACCAGGACAAGGAATTTATCACGAGCGACGATATTTATACATATCCGTGTAAATGTATTTACAATGTACAAATGGGTGCATATTATTTGCAGATCTCGTTCTCTCATGCATCAATTTGTCGTCAACCGACGTCGAGTTTTCGTAAAAAAAAATAATGAGAATAGTTTTTATTGACACGAAAATATACGATTTGACCTTGATACAATTTTGCTATAATTTGTATTTATTTAGTATTCGATGGAGTCTGCATCCCCGTGATCGTTTTCGTACTCATTGTCATAGTTGCTCGCACCGTACTCGTCGTCATTGGAGTCCCCGTAGCCGTCTCCCGTCGAGTCGCCGGAGTGGTACTCGTTCCCGTCCTGGTTGTTGTACGACGTCCGATGGGAACTCTGCTGTGGGGCGACTGGTGGCTGTAGCCTTGCGGACCTGCGTATGAATTGTGCATTACATGAAAGAGGAAAGCACTGAATGAATACTTGTTGACTTGCCAGTGTTGTAGGAGTGGCTGTAGCTCTGCGGAGGGGAGTTGTACTCACGGTAGTAGCGGACTGGTTTGGAGGTGGACTCGTAGTACTGGGGGCCGCTGTCGTACGAGTACGAGTACGACTTGGGCTTCGCATCCGTCTGAGAGTGGGACGAGCTTTGACGAGTATTCCGTCCGGAGGAGGCTGCCACTTGGTCTGCAAATGTGAAATGCACAAATTGAGTTCAAATTACGCGGCATGTGGTATAAAGCTAGTGTGGAAAGTGGCGTGCCTTTTCCCTTCGGTGTTTGCCTCTTCCGCTTGTTCGTCGAGGAAGCAGCAGCGACAATGTTCCCACCACCAGACGCCTTGTGGTACACGACACTGCTTTTCTTGGCAAGTTGTTGCGGTGGTGGGTGGGTTTTTGAAGAGGTTTCTGTCGTTTCTGCGGAGGACAGGCCATTCTGGTTCGTGGCAAGAAAGCAGAGGAGAACGAAAACCGCGGAGAAAATGCAAAACCGCATTTTCAATAAAACGACTGTAACAATTTGCTTAACGATGAGTTGAAGATGAGACTCTTGTAAATAATTGGTGCTTGTTTGGCAGTTGTGTCGAAACCAGAACAAACGACTGTTATCCTGTTGCGCACACTTTTTGTCAAGTGATCCTCAAAGAGACGTCGATATTGACTAAGCCCATTTTTCGACACAAAATGGTGCATAGATTAAATATTTAAACCTTTTGCATGGCACGAATTGGCCAAACCACAGAGTCAAATTGGAGCATACAGCAAGAAGGAATAAAGGCGACAAGGTGTGACGGAGTTGAGGATACGTCTCAATTTGCGAGAATGATGGATTTTTTATTTGATGGAAACAGCTAATAATTCAAAAAGACAGTTTTTACTCTTAAGCAGTTTATAAATATGCATGTAGAACATTTTGTCTCATTTGCTTGACTCATCCATTTGTAAAAAAGGACGGTGCGGCGTCAAGAATTTTGCACACCTGAAAAAGAAGAAGGCGAGCAGATGAGGATTGATGGGTGTGGTGACTCTTGATAATCGGGACCTCGCTTTTGCATAATTTGGTGACTGCATACGACTGACTGAGGCAGTTTCGCTAGAATAGCCATGCAGAATTACGTGCAAGCGTGGTGGCAGACGAGTCGTGCTCATTGATCCAATTGGAATTTGATACGTTCAAAGCTCACAATTGTCAGTCTCAATTCGACACTTTGGAGAAAATGAAGACGTCGCAATTTTGCATCCCTTGTCATACGCGTTACACTGCTCTTTGTACCTATTTGTGTATACCCATTAACCCAATATTAGTCCTTTGACATTGGTCAACATGCAATGCAATCATTAACATTATTAAAGTCTTTTGGTCAAAAAAAGTGGAATCGAGTAAACCGTTCAAACTTTTTGTGTACTTTTGCATAAGTTTTATTATAACCTTAATTTTTATTACCTAGCAAGAGATGGATGGATAGATGCAACATCATAAGTACGATATAGCGAGATTTCTTGTAAAAGTTGTCAACCTTGATCAAGGTTCCTTTCGCGACAAATGAAATGGGCACCCACTCCTGGATGAGCTCCATCAAGTAAATAGTCGTACTTTTAGTCAGCACAATTTCATCAGAAGAGTAAAACAGTTGTCACAATTTCACACCTGAGAAACTCGTTGGAACAATGTCCATGAAAGCATCTTTCGAAGGAAGGAGTGTTTTGGTCACGGGAGGTGCTCGAGGTACAAAATCCACTATATTGTCGTGTCGATCGATATTTATATGCACATATTATTACAGGGATCGGATTGGCCATCGCCAAAAAATTTTGCGAGGCCGGCGCCACAGTCACCGTTCTAGATCAGGACGAATCTCAACTGGAAATAGTGAGCAAAACTCTTGACGGAATCAGGACCATTTCGTGCAATCTTGGCGACTGGGAGGGCACTCGGAGCAAGATAGCGTCACTTGGACCGTTTCACCATCTCGTCAATAACGCTGGAGTTGCCAGACCCGCAGAAACGTTACTGAACATCAAGCCGGCATCTATTGACGAGTAGAAAACCTTAATTACAGGCCATCGTTGGACTCAAAATGAGACCTTTCTGTTTTTGCAGTGTTTTTGGCATAAATTTCAAGTCGATGGTGAACGTGACTCAAGTTGTGGCTGAAGGAATGATCGAGTCGAAGGTGGAGAATGGGACGATTGTGAACATGTCTTCCATTTCGGACTCTGTGGCGGTGCCTGGCATGGCGTTGTACTCCGCCTCCAAGGCTGCCGTGACCATGCTGACCAAATCCTGCGCCCTGGAACTTGCCCCCCACTCGATTCGGGTCAACTGCGTCCGACCTGCAATGGTTCGCACGGAGCAGGTGGGTCGGCTGGCTGGGAGCAATGCCGTTTTGGAACAGGCCATCAAAATCAACGAGCGACGCGTCATCCCGCGAATGGTGGAGATGGACGAGGTCAGCATATTAATTAAAGAGTTGCCAATTTATTTGCTACCATTTCATGTTGATGCACGCGGAATGATGACAAATGACTAAAATTGCAGGTGGCCGACTCCGTCCTTTTCCTTTCCTCCACGGCATCCAGCATGACGACTGGCTCAGACATTTTGCTGGACGGAGGAATCTTCACACGTTGACAAATGTGTCTTTTTTGACAGCGAGAATAATGGTTATTTGTCCAGTGAAAATCAGCGAATTTGTGTGACTAATCTACTTGTAGCGATGTAAAAGTTTTTAGAATCCGATATGATTACGTGATAAACGTCACCCAGTTTTCTCTCATGAAATGAGACTTTGATTTAATTATTACACTCATCGATTGCCTACATCTTTTCTAATTACTCATGCAGCTCGCTGGATGTGCAGACGTGAGGCATGTTGGAGTGGTAATTAGATGCATGTGGTGCGTGGCTGGGTTACTATTTAGAATCGCCTACTGATTGGTCAGAGTGGACGATTAATATGTATTGGTGACACCGGTTGAGATGGACGACTCTATAAATATCAGGATCAAAGCATCCCGTTATCTCGCCGTTCTGCACCCCGTTTCATTTGGTTTCTCAAAAACGCTACTCCTTTTCGCAAAGATGTACCATCCAGCGAAACTTGTGGCAATTTTCCTGTTTGTGCAAAAAATGGCGAGTGCACAGGTGGATTTAGGGTCGATGGAAAGTTGGGTTAGTGTGGCGATTTTAATTATCTCGAGTGACACCCCAGTCTCACATGTCGAATAAACTATAGGGATTCAACGGCGTCAGCTCCGACGATATTACTCTCATGAGTGAGAAGAAGATGATGATAAAGAACCTGGAGTACACTGGAGAAGGTGCGTGTACATATAAGCACAACCTGATAGATTCCATGCAGAGTAATTAATCGATTGGGGTGTGCAGGGCCCGCGGCGTGGTTCATGGTGGGCAAGGAGGAGGATGACTACACCAAGGAATTCACCGACTTGGACGGCGTCATCATTCCGGACGAGAATGGAGGGCAAGTTAAATTAATTACATTGCTGCTGTTACTCATGATTTGTTACGACGCCACAGGTGTGACCGTCTTGGGCGCTATCGAGGCGACGACATTGAGCTGACGCTGCCTGGAAATATGAAGTTCACCGACTACGACTACCTCTCGATTTACTGCATTCGGTTCAGCCACAATTTCGGCTACGTTCCCATCAAGAAGGGAATCACCTTCGCTCAACCCGTCGTTGCAAACGTGAGCACATCACTCTTTTCCTTGGTCGTTCTTTACGTTGACAATTTTTGTAGGCAACTGTACCTGCTGGCAATGCTGCTGCTGCTGTTGGAGCTGCGGTCACTGCCGCCCCACAAGCAGACAACGTGGAAGACGACGTTCCTGCAGAATGTGGGCAGCCATTTAGTTACTCAGCTTACGCTTATTCCATACAAAATATCTAATTGCGCATGATTATTTATGCAGGTGACCAAGAACCAGAACGACGCGGAGGAAGTCCCGGAGTGGAGGAGGAAGAGGAGGACGAATGATCAATCATGACTCAACAACATTGCTTAAACTTTTATTTATTTGAGATTGTAGCATTTTTACTCTAAACAAAAGTATTCCAATAAACAAAACTTGACAACTTGTTCCAAATGAGAGTGGAATTGAGGCTGAGAAGCCATCACGCAAAATAAATGAGACCCATGTGAACCAGTGTACGCATTGGAGGAGAGGAGCAGGACTGGATCGTATCGAATATGTGACACCAATTTTGATTGATGTAACAACCCGTGCCATCCCGACCTTTGCACGGAGGGAGAGAGTCACTCTCGCTCGCTCTCACCACCTCTCTCCTACCTAATGCAACGACACAATGTCCTCCTTGGCAAAACGGAATCAAGGACAACTTAAATAGAACCATTTATTCTCCGGGAGCTGCTCCCATTCTTTCACTCGCCCCATTCGTTATGGAAAATCCTACGTTTTACTCTTCAATGAAATCCAACATGCACATATTTAGTTGCTATTATTTTATCTGATCAATTAAAAAATAAAAATTTTGTCTGTTTGGAAAGTTTGTACTTTTTGACATGGAGGGATTTCCTCATGATTAAATGATGAATGGGTAGGCAGGCTCATCCTTGGCGTCGTACACGCGCTGATGTCGAACTCTGAATCTGGAGCAGAAGAGTCCGGCCGTTTCGACGAATGGACCCACCGTTCCGTTCAGAGTGATCTCGATGAAGGACCTCGTGAAGGCGAAGACCACGTGGAAAAACTTGAGGATCGGGCGCAGAAACCAGATTTGCTGGAAAATCAGAGAGAGCGTGGTCCAACAGTGGCCATGTCTAAAATACACGTTAGTTGTCTCACCAAGAAGTGGAGAATTCCGAAATGAATGGCTGCCAAGAAGGAGAGGAGTGGACCCAGGATGATGACGAAAAAACGATATGTCGCCGCTTGGATGAAGGAGAAAACTTCTCCGGAGAATTTCCAGGCCCACTCCGGAGAACGCAACCCCTCCGGCTCACCCACCACGCTGCTCCAAGTCGCCTAAGTACAAAGGCTTTTAATTAATTAATCTGGCTCGATCTGGGATTACGCCTTTGGGTAAACATACCTGGATGTGTCCATTAATTTGGAGAGGGTCTCTCGAGTCGGGGACAATGGTTGTTGGGAGGGTGGAGTGGTGGAGGCCTAGGGCGTCCGCAGGTATGCTCACCTTGTTCATTTGTATGACCATAATATGCAAATATTTGCACGAGCCGTGTGGCGATGGAATTTGAGGTGAGAGTCGTTGTGTCGGGAATCAAGACGCGACTGGCTGAGATTTCTGCCTCGACTGGAGACTTTGAGAGATGGAAATCCATTGCTTTGTGCTCCTGCCTGGTACGACAACCCAATTTTCCCCAATTTATGACACCCCATCATCCCAAGAAAGGACTTGTTGCCTCATGTTGAGACGTTGGACAAAAGTGTCATTGTGCTGTCCACCTCGTCGAAAATGTGGCGTGTTGCGTACGTACGTAATGCATAATCTATTCTTTCACCACCTCGTTATTTGATCGATACGATTTGCACAAGTTTTCCCGAGACTTTTTTGAAGGGCCTTGATCCATTATGTTTAGCAACTGGACAATGTGATAAAATTAATTTATGTAATAATACCCACGCCATGCTGCACATTCTCACGGTCAGCTCAGAACTCCTCGGGGGGAACTTCCAAGACAATGCAAAATGTAATTAATCATGCGATCGTAATTTCACGACTACGATTACTTTTACTATTTTACTCATTACGAGTGATTTATTAAGCAGATTGTCTGTACGATACAAAAACGCGTCAAGTCCAACCCATAGAATGATTACTGACGCTGGGCGCAGATGGAAATAAACTCAGTGCTTACAACTTACATTATTAAGAGTCATTATTTTAGAAGAGATTGATTAGTCGTCATACATAATTGCTAAGTCGTGTCCTTGGCGGACTGGTGCTCACTACAAAGTGTTGACTTCGTTCTCCCTGCTGCTCTCCCCACCACTCGCGGTCTTGGGGCCTCCGTCCACAGAGTCTGGTGCCGTGGTCCCTTCCAGCTCCCCGATCTCAGCGAAGGATTCCTTCAAGCTCACCAGCGCGTCGCCCAAGCCGCCCTTGATCATGTTGAACTCTTGCACGACGAGGGACATTCGGCCCAAGAGGTAGTTCAGGTTGTCGTCCACCCCCGCCATCTGACTCGTGATCTGCCTGAGGAATACAAAAACAAGTGACACAATTACACCAATTCACTGCATTTTCTGGGGAGAATAATTTCGAATGCGCGTCTTACCCCACTTTCCCATCCATCGAGGACATGGTGTCCAAACTGTTGTTCACGTATTGCGAGGTTTGGCTGTGAATTTCATCCAGCAAGTTGGCAGAGCGGCTCATTTGATGGTACAGGATTCCAATTTGTCGCCAAACCTGGCTGATCTCCTCTTCCATTCGGGACGTGAGGTTGGTGAGGGCGATGGATTGGTTCCCCAAAACGGCCGTCGCCAAACCATCGAAGCGTTGTTGGAGCGACGTGTTCAGGTTCCCCGTGTACGTGGACAACTGGTGATTAATTTCGCCCATGATTTGCTGGACGCCATATTCGAGGCGACGCTTGGTGTCCAACACGCTGTCGCCCGTGTCGAGGAGAACGCTCTCCACGTTGGCAATTCCCTTCAGCTCGCCAGAAAGGTGTTGATATTCCTGCTCCACTTTGTCCGAGAGGGAGTTGATGGCGGTCGAGGTGAAGAGGATTTTCTCGGACAGGGAGCTCTGTCCAGTGGCGATGGCTTGTTGAATGGCGGACAGAGTGTCGCCCAAACCGGAGGACGAGTTGGAGTCAAATTGAGATCCCAAGGATTGGAAACCTCGCTTCGTGTCTTCATCCAGAGTGGTCAACAAACCTTTTGACACAAAATATTTCATACTTATTTAGTGCTGATGCTCAAGAGAAAGAGACCTCACTGAGAACTCTGTATGTAAATCTGCACGCACCTGACATTGACGTGGCGGAAGTGGTCACGTTGCCCAAGAGTCCGATGGCTTTGCCGATCTCTTCCTCCAGCACGGCGAGCTGTCTTCGCTGAGAGTCGAGCGTCTCCACAATTTCCGTTTGCCAAGCCTGTCCACCAGTCTGGCCTTTGTTCTCCCCTGAGTCGAACGCTCGTCCGATCGACTCTTTGATCTCGGTCAGTTCGGCCATGATGGAGTCGCTCATGTCGCCTCCACCCCCGCCCGTCCCTCCCCCGCCTCTCCACAGCTCCATCAGACTGTCAAACTTGGCAGAGTTGCTTTCTCCCGTGAGCTTGAGTTGGTTCACCTGTTCGCAATAACGTGGAGCTAACAATTTGATTACAAACGCGTCTAACTTTGACCATTAGAATACCTTGTCCGTGAGCAGGTCCAACTTCTTCTCCAAATTGGGATTGCCACCACCACCACCACCTTGCGTAATTAGTGCCCGTAGTTGGTCCCAGTCGCCCTTGTTTCGTTCCACGTCCGTTCGTCTCTCCTCGTTGTTCTATGCAGGTGGAAGAAAGTCAGAGTTGTTGTTTCGTGGTAATTCCACACAATTGGGTTTACTTACTCTGTCGATCGTTTGCTGAGCAAATTTAATTTTCTCGTCAATGCGGGCGATGTAGGAAGCAATGTTTTCGATATTCTTCTCCTCCCCACGACCCCGCTTCTCCAAAGTGGCGAGGGAACGAGTCAGCTGCTCGCCCAGTTGTCGCTCCCGAACCTCGTGACGCTTTATTCAAGAGGAGTCAATGATCACCAGCTATTCTGATATTTTTTAGAGCACATCCCATGCCCAGTAAATAGAGCAGTAAAAGAGAATGGGAATGATAAACACGACTTGCCTCCAATTTGTCCATTTGGTCGCGAAGAACGCTGACCAAAGACAGGATGGCATCACGGATGTCTAAATGGCTGTAAGAAAGCGGAAATAATTAGGAACCATTTAGTCCAAATTAATTCCCCGTGATGGCTTACGTCACCGAGTAGTCGGGCGAATTTCGAGACGACGCTTGTGGGGCAGGCTGAACCAAAGTACACGACAAACTCACCAAGAGGACCACAAATAACCAAAAGTTTCCCATTTTTCGTGGAAATTTATTTTTTAGGATTTGAGTAAAAAGATGAGTCCAGCTTCCAGAGTGGAAGTGAGACTGGGACTGGGCGAGGAGGCGACGCTTGGTGGTCAGAGGAGACAAGGACCTCAGTCACGGAAGCAGAGTTGCGGATGGGGGAATGACTTTGAACGTTGAACTTGTGACGACGTGGTGCGAGTGAAGGAGTGTTGTTGAAAATGTGTACAATTTATTTATGTACTTTTGTGACGGCCTGTTCCCAATCCGAGGCCAAATTCGCAGAAAGTGTGGGCATTAATTCGATGCAAGCAAAGCAGAGAAAACACAAGTTTATGAGCAGTTGAAGGATGGATGGACTCGAGAGACGACGACGACGACGACGATGTTGTTGTTGAACTGATGGGAACCAGATCTTTTAAACTTTTCTATTTTTTCTAGATTATTTTTAACGTGTATCTCATTTCATTTCACACGCTAATGCTCCTGTCACTCATAAACTGGGGAGTTCGTTCGTTGCATAAGCCTCCTCGTTCCATGCTCTCTCCGCTCCTCCTTTGTGCCAGGGGAAAGACAAAGGACGGACAAATGGTGGCCAGAATTCGTGGAATAATGTGTTGACCTCGGAGCTCTTGGGGTTCTTGTCCTCCCGACTTTTGTGCATTTGAGGCTGGGTTGGATGGGAACTTGAAACTGGAGCAGCGAGCATCTTGGAGTTGTCAAGTGCCATGAGAGAGATGATTATGTAATCGATACTTGACTTTTCAAGCAGTAAAATGAAGACCACATGGGTCCATCCACCACCAGAAACTAACACTTGCTCGCTTTTTTACCCCTTCTCTTATTTAAGACGTACATATTCCTGCCTTTGTGCTGCAATGCAACTCCCAACTGCGCCTCACTCATCAGCAAACCGAGGACGACGACGACGAGACTAAAGGATCATCCCTTTTCTACAGAGGCATCAATAGCGTAATTCCGTTTCGTAGGCATACATAAGTGGCATGTCGTGCCAAAGAGCAAAGATGTGCATTCGCCTGAGTGACATGTGTTTATTGGGCGAAGAGAGATTTGGATGGGAACTGAAACGATGAAAAGTGAGACATTATTATTATTATGAGTATGAAATGTCTCACTCAAGTAGTGAAACCGTGGGTTAAATGCAGTCTTCTGAACCAAAACACATGTGGCTGGAAATCATGCAAGAGGCAAGAAACTCAATAATACTCCTCTCATTTCTCAAACTTTTGTATTCTTCGTCTTCTTCTTTTAGCAGTAACCACAACCAAATTATTAGAACTCATATTATTAGAGAACAAAGCCACTTTAGCACGAAGTTAAAAAATGCGTCGTCGAGATATGTAAATGTGTATGCTTAGAGGAGAGGTTCGGTCCCGTTCCAAAATACTTTTGCGTTTTTCCACTTGGTCCGGATGCACTTTTCCAAGGGAGGAACCAAGTGGTCAGACCCCACCCCGTCCATGGTGGACGTTGAGATTCGGCTAAAATTGGATGGCAGCGTCAGGTGGAGCGTCCCCCGCTCTTGGTCCGAGGCTGTTGGGAAACCTGGGGTGCAAGATGGACGAATGTTGTTAATAGTGAAACGAAATGGGAACAATTGTGTCTTACAAATGGTGAGGCGAATGACTTGTTGTTGTCGGGCGAGACCGTCGTAGTAAAAGATGTCGAAGCCGTTGCTCAAAATTCTGTGCTCCTCACTTCTGCTCACAATGTCCATGCTGGGCGAGAAGAAGATGGAGAAGTGAGACTCGCTGCACACGATCCACACGGGATACTTGGGACTCTTCATGAACGACCCCACCTGTTTCAAGCAGAAAAATGGGTCAAATGTTAGCAATTATGAAGGCAAATACAGGTGTGACAGGATTACCTCACAAGAACCGTAGTGCTCAAAGAGAGAGAGGAATCCGATGTCCGACTGGGTTTGCACACCTCGTAAGGTTTTCCCCTCCAGCGCCACTTCGTGGTCAAAGACGTTCGAAATGCATTTTCCAAAGAGGAGGAGGTTGATGAGTTCTAAGGAACAGTAGCCATGCTGCCCGATCAACGGGCTGTCCCCAAAGTCCATGTCCATCTGCAATCTTGAGTGATTTTCATAGAAATTTACACCTCAATTGACGAATGGCAAGTGCATATGTAGATTATACAGATTGATGGGCGTAAAAAAGCTTACCTGTCAGGGGAGCGTGTGAGGACGCAGGAGTAAACCAGTCCCAGACAATCAAATCGGTCCCAATTCTCCCTCACAAAACTCTCCAAGTCTTGAAAAGTATGAATTTCTGCTACTTCCGACCCCGGCTCGTTTCCCTTCAGGCAGATTTGGACACAGGGTTTCTCCACGTCTTTGACCCCCTCAGCCTCGTCTTCGTCGGGGAGGCATCGCCACAAGATTTCGACCAGCGTGGAACAAAGCGCATCGCATCGCTTGGTGATGAGGGAGGAATGTGTGTGGGTGGAATGCGTGGCGTTGTTGGCTTCAAGTGTGGACAACATTTCGTTCCTCGCGATGGGAACGTCCCTAGAAAACTTGGAACCAAACATCAAATTCCGGAGCAGAAGGGCCTGAACGACGGCAAGAACGCCGCATGGGCCACCCTGCAAGGAACCATTTTATGTAATTAGCAATTGAACTAGAGCTTGTTCATAAGTGACAGCGATATGGTTTTATTGTAGCGTTTTATGTGCGAACCTTATTTTGGACGAGGCCAAATGGGACGTCGTGGTTGAAGGAGAAGCCCTGTCCTATCCAGCCATCCTGCACGAAACCACCCACACCCACCGTGGCCACCTTCAACTTTCTCCACATCCCCAAATCCAACTGACTCCTCGTAGTTTGGCTCTGTGATTTTGGCACGTTGCGAATATGTATCAGACCACCATCGCTAAATCCCAAGTCTTCGTACTCAATGTCGCACAACTCCATCGTCTCCACTTTGGCCGAGTCCTGCTGCTGGGAGCCGCCAAGTCGGGGTGGACGTGTGACCCTGTGCATGAGGTGACTTTCCTCACTCAAGGAGCGTCTCTGAGCTCGGTTCTGCTTATGGATTTCCTCCCGAGAGAGACACCCCTGCGCCAAAATGTTTTGCTTCGACTGCAGCAAACTTTCCGCGAGACTCAGACCACCACTTGACCCCACGTTGTTCAGATTCGCATCTGCCTGGCTGCTGCTGCTGACGATGCGTTTGAGCTGAAATTCGTTGTCGAAGGATGCTTTCTGACCGGGTTGTTCCGGACTCATGTCGAAGGAAGGGTCGCCGTCGTCGTTACTGTCCTGCTCACCCCTGGACTCTCTGGTCGGAGACTTGCTGGCGGATAGACTCCTTCCCACGGGGGAGCGGGGACTCGTCGCCCGTCTTGGACCTGGGAAAGAACAGGGTAAAAAGTGAGACTCGATTTCACCTGCATGTAAAGTAAATGGTACCATCACCACTGGTTGAGGCAGCATTAGCCGCTTTGTACCGCCGTTGAAAAATTGGGTTCATGCTCGATTGGATTGGTTAAGAAAACTATTATTATTATTTGCTCGTCTGTCCAGTATCTACTGAATATCTATCTCGTCAATCGTTGCAGTCACGGGGAGGGAGGAAAAATGGTATGAATTACGGGGTGGACAACACCTTGAATAATTCAGGAGCAGCCAGGAGGTGAATAATTGCACCGATCAAACTCAGTCCTCGGGACAAGCTGCCTTTCTCTAGCTTCCTGTTGCCCATCGTCCTCGCCGTGTGTGCTGCTTGACATTCGTATAATAATCCAACCCAGTTTGTTAGTGGGACGTTCATAAAGCAAGCTTATGGGTTGGAAGAACACACACAAACCCACACACATGTCCCTCTGTCATATCTCTATATCCCGGTGAAAGTGCTCACTCTGGTTTCTCGGAATTTCCCCGATTTCTCCGACCGACATGGTCTCAAAAGCCAAAGAAAGTTGACAGAGTGGAATATATGCGATGAGGGTTTGAGTGCTGCATGAACATGATGCATACGTGCATGAGCTTGTTGTTGTTTCGTCCTGGCGTGGGTTTCATTGTTCTCAGGAACATGTTATTGTCATGCTTGGCCAAATAAATTAGGTATGTGTACAGTTGTATCTCGTCAACAAGCTCTCACCACCGTTTCCAATACCCAATAATAAGTGACGAGTGTGCTGTTTTATGTATGTGTGCACACGCCCACGTTGCGTGAAATGCCCTTTATTCGTTGAGAGTTAAGAACAATAAGAGAGCAATTAGAACCTGAATTGATATCCTGCTGTGCCATGACTATTATCTCGCCCGCTGCTGATGACTGCGTGAGGGAGCTGAGAGGTGGGCTGGCAACTTGTTCCGGGTCGATGAGGAAGTCTGAGGTTGCGTATGTGACATCCGTGAGGGGAGAGGAGGGCGAGGACACCTTGGCCGACGGACCGTCCTCCCCGTCGACCTCTTCTTGTCCTTCTTCGTCTGCTGCAGGTTCTGAAGGCTCGGTTTGGACTTCCACGCTCGACCTGAGTGACGCCTCTGTTTGGATAAGTCTGTGTTGCTTGGTATTTTCTTTTGGCGGCGGATCGACCTGAGTGCTCACGGATCTTGGGAACTTGTTTTTAGCTGGTCTGTCGAAATTGTCGTCCTTCTCGAGATACGCTTCACCAAGATTTCCAGCATGGAATTAAAGGTTGGGGTGCGTTCGCCATGACTCCGACCCGTCCTCTTCCGCTTGTTCTCCTTCAGGAGAGATTCTAATCGGAGTACTTCCGCCAGTGGACCACGCCGGTTGGAAAATCCTGCAAAGGAACCTGGCTCCACGTACAAACTTTTAAGCGTCGTTCTGAAATTCTCAAATATTCCAAATTTATTTGTATGGATTCGCTTTATACATAGTTTTGTACGCAGTTTGTGATTTCAAATATGGAAAAAGAGTGCGTACTTTTTTGAAGAGATATTCTCGAACGAGAGCAATTGACACTTTCTCCACAAAGTTTGGGTTTGGCTTCTTTGCGGAATCCGTGTTCTCGACACCTTTCTCCAAAGACGAGTAGACGAGGTCTTCACTCATCTCGTATGAATAAGTGAATTGCAAAAGTGCACGTAAGAAGAAACCCGTGAAATGTTCACACACGGTGCACAATGCAATATCATGAATGAGATTGGTGTGTGCAATCTATAAGTCGTGATGAAATAGGACTGGGAGCTTGTGTTGGTGGCACGGCTGTCAAGGTGACCACCCAAATGCATACATAACCACCACTACTGACTGACACTGACCAACTTGTGTCCATAGATCGACTATATTATTGCTGTGTGTCCCATTTTAAGTGTTCATGATTATGCGGGATGTTTATGCCCAAAAAAGCATGCATGTAGGACCTGATTTTTAATACCCGACGAAGGAAGGGGGGCGGCAACGATAACATGTCCATTGCCCGTTCCACTACCAGGAAAAAGCCAAATCTAGTTAATTTTTGCCGTTACAACTACTCAGGTCACTTCGTCTACCAATTTTGACATATTTTAAGTTTTTTTTTCTAACTCAAAACACCACGGTTAGAGTAGAATTTGACACCAGAATAATACGAAATAAAGTGTAATAAATCAAATCAAGATGTTGGGTTTCACGAAAAAATTCATTTGCATAAAAATGTAAAGTGTCGAGCCACAAAGCACATAGGTATTCAAAATATACGTAGCTATTCATAAAATAAAATTCACAACTTATCTCACATTTCTCACCTCAAGTGTATATCAAATGCAAATGTGTCTCAATTTTGTCTCACTTTTGGCCATTTCTGGCTTGGCCAATTTTGTCTCACTTGGGCACTGGTGGGACTGGTGGGGCACATTGAGCAGCCGCCCTTCTCAACTCTCCGGCTTTTACTCTTCACGAGGAAAGTTTTGCAAGAACGAGTTCCTCTTCTCTCGAACGGAGAAAGTGCTTTGAAATCCCAACTTCTGATTGTCCTATTAGTTGTCCTTCCGTCAAGATGAACTCCATCCGAGTCTGCTTATCCAAGGCCAGGGTCTTCTCCAACCATGCGCTCATCAGGTACGTTTTATCAGCAGCGAATCTTAATTCTAAAATTATGACTTTATATTACTTTATATGTCGGCAATAAAATTAAGTTTAAGTCGTGTAATGTTTAATTGTTTGATCAGATATTCGACCACGCCCAAGGTGGCGACAGATAGTGCTGCGAAGGAGGCTGCACCTTCTTCTCCGTCCACACCCGTGGTCGACACGATCCCCAAACCGATAAAGAAGCGACCATCCCCTCTGGAACCCCTGCAGGAAGCTCCCATGCAAATGTCAACCCCGATTGGACAAGAGAAAAGCTACGACCCAAGGATATCCAAGCTGGTGGATGACATTTCTCGCCTCACGCTCTTGGAGGTGGCTGATCTTAACGAGCTGCTCAAAAAAAGACTCAACATCCCCGACACTCCGATGATGGGACCCATGAGCTTTGCTGCCGCAGGACCAGCTGCACCGGCAGAGGTTCGCTTCGCCATTTATTAATCAACATTGTTATTACGGCGACACCAAGGTGTATAAACTTGTATTTTATGACTGTGTTTATAATTTTAGGAAGAAGTCGTCGCTCCGCAAAAAGTACAGACCAGTTTCACCCTCAAGTTGGTAAAGTTTGACGAAGGGAAAAAGGTGGCCTTAATTAAGGAATGTAAAAGTCAACTGGAGGGAATGAATCTCGTCCAGGTAATTATTAGCTCTCTAATTAATTAATTAATTCCATTGTCACCCCTTGCAATTTGTACTATAATTTTGCATTATATTGCACAGGCCAAAAAGTTTGTGGAGTCGTCCCCTTGCGTTATCAAAGCCGACATTGGTAAAGACGAGGCTGAGAAATTAAAAGCTGCATTGGAAGCAGCAGGTGCTACTTGTGAAATATCTTAACCATCTGCCAAACCACAACAATAACGATACTTTTATACTAAATTAACGACTGAACCTGTTCAACAATTTATTTATAGAACTGTAGTTGATGAAGAAGATATAGAACTTGTAATAAAATATTACCCAATCGTTATGATAAATGAGGGCAAGTTTTTTATCATATCAGATTTGTACGGGCTGGACCAGGAAAATTGACCGGTACGACGGAGGTCTCACTGATGGAGGTCTTATTTCTAAACCTGGGGTGGCTGCAAGCCGTTCCTTGTGAGGGGTGGGTGTATCGAAGGAGAGCGAAGCGTAGGATGGGGGCGGATCGTTCGTGTTGTATGGAAAGTAATGCATATTTCCAGTGTCGAAGGGGGAGTGATAGATGGGGTCGCCTTGAACCGTGGCTCGTCTCGTCCTCGTCATCATCATGGAACTGGAGATTTGCAGCGGTGGCTGGAGTTGGTTTCCGGCACCCGACGCTCTCAAATAGTGGTGATCACCCAGCTGTTGAAGAAGTTGTCCTGCCGTCGTTACTCGAGTTTCACTACAAGACAGGAACAAAAACACCATGAAATACCAGGTTAGTCCCGCAACATCGTGATCTCGTATTATTACGTGTACGGTTACTTTAGAATAAGGTTGCGGAATTTTGCCCTCAAATACCAGATTGTGCCAAATACCAGCAAGGCGAGTAAAATTAATGCCGTGTAGGACACCAAGTCTCGAATGAAGGTACGAGTGTCCGAATTCATGCCATGCAGTTTTTCTACATAAATATTCTACGCAATAAAGAAGTGAGAAACTGTATTACATTTCAGTCTTATGAATGATAATGAAAACAGCGTCGTCTTTGCAGCAGGATAACGCTTGTCAAACTGGCGTGAAAATGGTAAAAAATCCAAGAAATTAAAAATTCATAAGAAGCAAGAAATGTCAACTTAACATGGTTATTTTCTATACTGAAAGTACTTGCATGTCATTAGAGCAATTTCTCCACACTTGTCTTAAAAAGTAGGAGCGGTTGAAAGAAGAAGAGAACGCATTAAATAAATTGTCACGAACTATTTCTTGGAGCTTTCTATGAAATTGAACTCGTGTATCGATCCTTTCTTCCCCATCATTCGCCCTCCCAATTTTTGCCCCAAATTCTTTTGTTTTGTTGGCTCAACTGTCCGACGTGGCTTACTTATTTGTGTGTACTTGTTGTGGCATCAAACAAAATGGGAATATTCGTGGTGAAAATGTTTAATAAGCATATATATTCCGCATTTTCATAGTCGGTTGATACTTAAATTCACGACAATTCATACACCATTTTATACTACTATTTAACTCTATGTCATACACCGAGAAGTTTTTCAATCTCTTCTGGACGGTTGCTGTCCTCGTGCTTGTCTCACTTGGTGAGGTGCATGAGCTGCTAAATTAATAATGAAAGCTAAATAACTAAATACTGCTAATGACCATCCATCACTTGACATGTCGGAAATCAAATTATGCCACAATTATGTCTCACCAAACTCTCGCGTGTTTGATCTGCTCATAAAACAGGGCCATTTATATTGGTCTCAATTGCATAATGATATGGCAGCAGCACACATATTTAAACCCAAGCCTTGAAACCTTATTAAGATTAACAACCGTCGGGCGGAGCAGCTCCTCAGTTGATGCTTCTTCTGGGCACGAAATAATAATAAATGACAGTTTTTGGCTATGTGGTCCACTGTCTGACACAGACTGCCAAACTGGACGATTCCCATCCCATTTTCCTGGACAAGAAGCCTGCCAAGCGCAAAATGGTAGGTTGCAAACCTTTAAACAATTACTCGCACTCTGATCTCACCATTATTTGCTATGTTGTGTACACGGTGTAGGATCGCACCTTAATTCGTGCTCTGACGACGACGGCATTTTGCATCCCTTTGATGTGGGGGTCAGTGGCGTCGAGTGATCTTGGTCGGAACTACAAGGAGCCCTGCAGCGCGGACGATCCCTGCAACCCCATCAAGTTTTTGGAGTGCACAAAAGGCCTCTGCGAGTGCACGTCCCCCAAAGAAATCGTCTTCGACTCCTCGTCATCCTCCTGCGTCGCCAAGGTCGGGTTTTCCTGCCTCCGAGAAATTCCTGGCCAGAAGAAAGCCAAGCGCAGTTCCGACATCGGGCACAATGAGACGGAGAGAACGGAAATCACGCCGATCGGACCGTATCAAATAATTTGCGTCCCCAACGCCAAATGTCAATACCCTTCCGATATTTGCGAATGTGATTTTCGCCACTACAAATCCCCCACGGATGGGACCTGTCTCCGTCAGAAGGGTTTGGGCGAAAAGTGTTCGGGCCAAGATCAGTGTGATCAGTATGAATTTCTGACCTGCAGCGGAGGGACCTGCTCTTGCGACCGAGATCAGTGGTACGACCATAAGAACCGGAAATGTGTCGTGTCCGTCGGGTCTCGGTGCAAGACCATTGATTACCGCACCGTGAATGAGGAACACTACGTGCAGCACCAATGCCCAGAAATGTCACACTGCAACCCGGATCCTCTCCACGCCAACGACAACTTTGGGTTTGGCGTGTGTCAGTGTGACCCAGGGCTGAAGGTGACGTTGGACAGGAAGACGTGTGCGAAGGATTACGGGGACGCGTGCAGTGGACAACGGAAGTGCTCCGATGTGCAGTTCATCTGTCGGAGTGGAACCTGCCAATGCAAATACCCGCTCCATCAGTTCTACGACGAGGTGACCAAGAGCTGCATTTCTTTCTCGGGTGGTCCCTGCGATGTTCCCAACCACAACGCCAGCAGCAACAGGAACGGTTCCGCAGCAGCAACAACGACGACATCCATCGACGATCCAGGAATGGGTTGCACCGAGAACTCGGTGTGTGCTGAAAATCCGCCCTTCAATTACTGTCGGTGTTCACCTGGTTTCATTGAGGGGAATGATGGCAAGTGTGTGAAAGCGTTCGGATCCAGTTGTGAGGTGGACGAAGAATGTGACCCACTCCCACAATTGGCCTGCATCAACAACGTCTGCAATTGTCCAGATACACTCCAGGTTTACGAGGAGAAGCACCGGACCTGCGTCAGTCTGGCGGGGGGCAGGTGAGACTACAACTTTCTCCACGATGATCAAGTTCAGTACTTTGATTTAATTGAAATGTTATGGCACACGAAATGTGGCAGATGTCGGAAAGAGTTCAACGGAACGATCCCTTCCTGCACGAGCAACGCCTACTGCGTGAAGGCCAGTGGGCGCTTGGAATATGGGCGCTGCATTTGGTACGATTGGATTAGTTATCCAAGTGTTCTACTAGTTAGTTAATTACTGGTTAATTACTCAACGTATTATAATTTGACGCAGTGCTCGTGGGACGTATACCACGGCCAATCGCACGTGCTCCAAGGGACCTTGACTCGTCGTCACGACCTCATCGAAGCCTCACCAGGACGAGGTTTCGCTTCTACTGCCAGCGTCGATTGTGGCACTTTTTTTGGTGCTTCTTCTCGTTTCGTGTCCCTATATTTTTTGCTCTCATTTTAAGTCGTCTCTTTGTCGGCTTTGCAATTTTAATATTCGACCTGTTGACAGGACGTATGCAGACTTTTGTAATCCTACGAATGCTCAATCAGTTCATTATTAAGCTACAAAATAAAAGCTGAGTTTTGCCAAAAAATTCAATATTTTCGTCAGTCTCACATTTCTTCCTTGCATAAGTATGCATGGCACGTATGGTTTCATGGACTTGGTGCATGGCGTGTGTGTGAAAGTGGTTCATCCACAGGTGAAAGTGGAGAAAGTCTGTCCTCTTTCTCTCTCATCCTGTGTGCGTGTCTGTATTTTTTCCTCTCCGGGGAAAAGTCGTGGAGGAAATACAATTGGATGGATCGATAAACTGCAACGTGATCTGCGCCTGGATTGGATGCAGAATCCCACAAGTCCTTCCACTCGCTTCGTATGTATGAACATGGCCAGACTGACCTTACTCCTCCGTTTCAAGGAGACTTTCACCATTTTATTCTAGAACTCGGTCCGTCCTTGACTTCCGCGCAACCAAGACTCCACTCCAAACTTGCACTATTTCCAAACCATCAATTTGGCGAAATGTGCACCAAGAAAAGGTTGACTTGTCTCCTCCTGAGCATGGTGCTGGCTACCCTCGAAATCAACGCGGTTCAAGCCAACGGTCACAAACAGAAGTTTGGAGACGGTTGCTCCAAGAACAAAAAGTGCGACTTTACCAAATGGCTGCGTTGCGAAGATGGAAAATGCGTCTGCTTTCAGAACAACAAGGAAGGAAGGGTGAACTTGTACTATGACCCTGTTTCGGAACGTTGCGTGGGTCGAAGTGGGACTAACTGCTCGCAAAAGGTGAGAAATCAAGCCGAATTAAAAAAATGATAGTACGAATTAATAATTGGAATTCCAGTTTTATCCGTTCGACGATGAGGACACGCATCATTTCCACATGCGCGGGACGACGACGAACCACTGGAGGTACGGGAACGGGTCCTTGAGATGTGGGGCAAACGCCTTTTGCGACTATGACGGTTCCAGTTCCACGCACATTTGCAACTGTCGCAAAAACTACTATGAGACGGAAAATGGGCGATGTCACAAGCTCAAGGGACACGGCGACTCTTGCACCAGCAGCAAGTACGCAAAATCCGCATAAATTCACAACTTTTGTAATTATTACTCAGTAACATGTTTTGTTGAGCAGTGAATGCGACCCGGACGTGTTTCTCCACTGCGAGTCGGGGGAGTGCAAATGTGCGAAAGACGAGCACCTCTTCGACTCCAACTCCAACAAGTGCGTGGTGTCCGCAGGGCGTCCGTGTGACACGCGAGTGAACCGTTTGGATAAGCGCGTCGTGGATGACTGCACTTCAGAAGCATTTTGTGAGACGGTGGGACTCCCGAACGTTTGTCGGTGCAACATGGGGACGCAGATTCATTCGGACAGAACGTGCCAAAACGGGTTTGGACAACATTGTGATCATGACCATCCTTGTGGCGACTCGAAACTGAGCTGTAGGTGAGTACATTATGCAGCGGAATTGCATATTGCACAAGATTAAATTAATCTATTGAGTTACAATTGGGGATAATTTTGATGAATTAATAATGGGAAAAAGGTCAAAAGTGTGCCAGTGCAAATCTCCTCTGCACATGAAATATGATGAAGCGACGGGTCAGTGTGGTCAGTAGTCCATCAATTTAACCTCATTGAATACGTGTTTCTTTAATTGAATGCCACTCTGTCTCATTAACTCTTGTTCTCGACCACAGTTGGGATTGCATCTGGTCCTTGTGTTTTCAACGACACGTCCGAGCTGGCAATCCAGTGCACCAGAAATGCGGAGTGCATCACCTCCAAGCGCGGACTATTCAGCGAGTGCAGATGCAAGGATGGATTCTTGCAAACCATTGATGGAGATTGTGTCAAAGTTCACGGGTCGGATTGTGAGGTATTCCTTTCACGTGCTAAAATATGCTACTCTTAATTCAATGCAGTGCAAACTGTTGCAAATGACTTGTTGAATGATACGTATGCCTAGATTGACAGTGAATGCGACACAGTTGCACCATTGGCATGCATAAATGCCCATTGTGAGTGCCTTGATAATAAACATTGTCTGTATTTTGTGAGGATTGTCTCATGTGGTACGCACTAATTGTATGCATGCCATTAGGCGAGTGTCCAGATATCCTTCTACGCTACGACCCCAAAACAAGACGGTGCAGAGGAATCGTGGGTAAAGGGAACAATTCGCGATTCGAAAAGCCACGATTTTATGATAAATGAATTTGGGAATATTTTAGGTTCGCGATGCAACTTGCAGGAGGACTCGTGCGTCGAACACGCCACATGCAACAAATTTCAAGACGTGGTGGGAGGGAGCATTGGGAGGTGCCTCTGGTAAAGCCAAATATGTAGATGAGCATCGTCATTGTGCATGATTGCGAAGGATACGTTTCATTCCTGAATTTATTTGTGCAGCAATCGAGGTTATCAAGAAACTCTGAACCGTACCTGCTCCAACTGAGGTGTCGCAACTGTGGGTCGAACGTCGACGAAAGACAATTTACTACTGGCCGTGAATCTATTATTCATCGCCGCTCATTCTATTTAATTAACTCCTTGTGTAATCCTAAAACTATTCGTAATAAGGGACGAGAACTTTATCAGGAACTCCACGTCTAGAAATAGGTTGGCCAGGTAGAACTTGAGTACGATGAGATTGTGTAATGCGAAATAAATTGCTCTGTTACGCAACCAAACCGAGTTCTCAGAAATATAAGTGTATAGAAATTGATTACGTGTCTGTATTTTGTGCACAACTTTTATTCTTGTCCGCTAATTTCACTCTGATTTCCTCCTGCGACCAATTCTGTCGCCAGGGCTGAAGGGACGCTGCTGCTGGGGTGGAGGTTTTCTTGGGGCGAACTAAACTTGAATTGGAGCAGCACGATGAGATAAGTCGCGATTGTTCCCATCACCTGAATTCGCACAGTGCAAATTAAGACCTAATCAGGTGACTATATGCATGGTTTTAAAGATACCGTTGTAAAGAGACCCATCCGGATGGCGAAATACCCTTTGGCCGTGACCTCGTGGGGCTGCTCGATCAATGCCCACTCCTAAATGTCATGTAGAAATTGTCATAAATTTTAGACACCAACTTTTACTGCCTGATTTGATCATATTTATGATTTACCTGATTTCCGGAAACGTCTTTGCTGGCCAACCGCTTGACCACCAGGCAACACTGCTTTCCCTGAGCATACGCAAGAACACACAATATTATAAATATGCATAAGTTATTCATAAGCTGGGACGAGTAAATGATGAATGATCCACGCGCCTCGTTGAGTAAAGACTCGCCAATCCTGCAGACCCAATGAAACCAGACGACGTAGGTCACGATGATGGTCCCATAAATCAACGACTCGCTCACCCCGTTGAATTTCGAAACTAGAAAGAACGCATTCATCGTGGTGCAAATGATCATGATGACGACCTGGATGGCGACGTAGATCCCTTCGACACGCGAAACCTCGGTGATCAACTCATTAATTTCGCCATACAGCTTCGTGGCGTCGCCAAACTTGTCGTCAGCCAATGCCTCGCAGTGAGATCTGAGAGCTCTGAATGAGGCTCTGAGGACGGAGGAGAGCGTGGAGAAGATGACCGAGTGCAGAATATGGAAGCAGAGGAGGTAGGGGAACATGCAGAGCCCCATGTACATGAGCCAGTAGAGGACGGGATGCGAATCCTTCCCCATGTACAGGTCAAATCCAGAACCGTAGCTGATTCCAATTAGTCAGAGTTAAGTTCCCCTTATAATTTGGAAATATGTACTGTCGAACTGACCTGTAGACACAAAAGAGACTGAAACTGACGCTACAGACCACCCACATTTTGATGCTCCATCTCGCCCCCAAATAAACAGAGAGGAAGTCACGATTGGATGTCGAGCTCAGAACGGCCACCTTCCCAACCAAAGTTTGCGTCCTGTTCCAACATTGCACGAAATTGGGAGCATTCAAGATTGAGATGACGTAGGTGAGAGCAGCCCCCAGATACTGGCACGACACGAACATCATTTGTGCAATGTGGGTCACTTTCTGACCGCCAGTGCTGCTGCCCCCACCGCCGGAACTGAGGCGAACGAGGAAGAGGTACATTGGGAGGAGGAGGGAGCTGTCAAAGATGAAGGTCGCACAGGCCAGGCCAGTGTAGCACGAGGCCCAGCTGACCAGCTTGCAAGATGCGCTCCCAGCCTGTTTGGATATTTGGATGGGGAGAATCCCCACCAGGCGTGTGACCCAAAGGTAGGGCTGGAAAATCTTGGCCAGGATGAGATGAGGTGGGACCAAGTCAAACACGTGGGTCACGTCTTGGTAAATCTTGCGAGAAATAGAGTCGAATCGTTTATTCATCCTGATCTCAATTGGAGAAAAATATGTAAATCTGGAGGAGGTGAGAGTATGTTTTATGATGAGCACTCGTGTTTCAGGAGGAGAAAGTTGGAACTAGAAAGGCGGACAAGGGAACAAATAAACGATGTCATCATCACTCATCAGGCTAATGGTCCCTAATTATTCTGGAAAGTAGCAATTAGAAGAGCAATGCAGGGAGAGGCATGTATCTTGTGCAATTAATCAGCCACATTGCGAACAACTCCCAAACAATGGAAGGACAAAATCGCCTGGGTAGATGGCTTCATTTGACATTTGGAGTAATTGGAAATATGTGATGGTAAATCAGACGACTTTTAGACAAAAAGACTTAAATAAATATGTAAATAAATTGTTTCCCAAGGAAAGAAGGTACGTTGTCCAGAAAATGGAGGAAGTAAAAGATAATTACCAATCAATTGTGTAGAACAATAAATTGTGTGATTGGTATACTGCATAGTAGATAATATTTTATGGCATGCATGCATGTGGGGCATTAATTTCATCAATCTTGATATCTTTATTTAAGTGACAGCGACTTGTGTGTAAAACAACATTATCGCTATATGGTTTGGTTTATTCGTATCGAGGTCCATTTGTCCTATCGGACCCCAAGGTAACTTGGTCGCGGAATTGGAGGCAACACTTTTTGTGGACCCCCTTATTCCGTTACCTGAGGGTCACAAAACGTAACCAGCAATGTGACTACTCTGATCACAGAGCCTAATGTACAGAATATACATAGACCGTTATGCAGGCTGTTTATATTTATATGGTTTATTCTTCATGGCCTTGGAGCGATCCTCTGCTATTATTATGATAATCATAAGCTGCAAATTACAGTACAGCTATTCAGTAGGATTATCACGAACAGAAAGTTACGAATACTCAGATTCATCATTATTCGCTAAGCAGTGTCATAAAATGTGCATATGTCAAGACCTGCTCACTGCATAAGGGGTGCAAATATGCACCATAAAGATAATGCTTAATCCATTATGCATAATTTAAAGTCAATGCCAGAGCAAATTGTCCTTTTCGATTCCATGTATCCACATCCAGATCATGTGCGAGTATGCGTTCGCTGTCGCTCAATGCATTATGCAAGACTTTGAGGCGGCAGAGTTCGGTGTCTTCTTTCCAGCAGGCTGTCCACGTCCCCCGGCATTTGTTTTGATCTTTTTGTCCCTACTTACTTAATTTCCATATTGTCAATTCATGTTGGTTACCAGTCTTTAGTTCTCAAAAGTGATCATCTTAAAAATGGGGGTTGTTCTCAAGTTTAGCTTGGTCCTCATCTGTCCACTCCTCCTGCAAATCGCCATCACTTCGGGCGACCAATGTTACTCGTACGCCGGTGGTCATGTTTACCCACAGGAAAATACGGCCAAGGGACACAATCTGCAGTGGACAAAGGCATTGAGTACGTCCTCTGTTCTTTTTTAATGTTAACAATCTCGCAGACTTTTTACACCTTATTGATTATGTCATTTCATATTTATTTAGTCTCCAAACCAGCCCCGGCTTTTGAAGCAACTGCAGTTATCAATGGCTCCTTTAAATCGCTCAAGTTGTCAGATTATCTAGGAAAATATGTTGTCTTCTTCTTTTATCCATTGGATTTGTGAGTGCTGAATAAACAAGTAGCATACTCCTATGTAATGCGCATTAATTAGAATTACAATTTTGCTATATTTTTTGCAGCACTTTTGTATGTCCAACAGAGATTTTGGCGTTTAACGACCGAATTGACGAATTCAAAAAGATGAATACGGAGGTGATTTGAAGGAATTGCTTATTACAATTTTTAAAAAACATTGCCAGTGATTAATTGGTGTATTCAATTTTAATTAAGGTTATTGCAATCTCGGTGGATTCTCATTACACGCATCTTGCGTGGATGAACACTGCCAGAAAAGAAGGGGGACTTGGGTCCTTAAAAATTCCACTCGTTTCAGATCTTACTCACTCAATTTCTAAAGATTATGGTGTGTATTTGGAGGAAATGGGGCACACGCTGAGGTATATAATCTTAATTAAGCAACTCAGAGAACTGCACATTTTGCGTAAATAATTAATACGTACTTTACTTGCAGAGGATTGTTCATTATTGATGACAAGGGAGTTCTTCGCCAAATCACAATGAACGATTTGCCCGTCGGTAGAAGCGTTGACGAAACGCTTCGTCTCGTTCAAGCATTCCAATACACGGATGTCCACGGTGAAGTTTGTCCAGCAGGATGGAAACCGGGACAGGACACTATCATTCCAGATCCAGAAGCAAAGAAAAAGTATTTTGAAAAAAGTGCAAGCAAGTCAACCGAGCTTTGATTAATTCCGAAAAGTTTCTTCTTGTTATTTACATCTTCTTACAATTAGTATTGCATTCCTTCTCAAAATTTATTGCAAAACTCTTGTCTTTTAATGATCGTCCCGATTGATTCGTTTGGTTGACAAATTGGCAATACAACAATTTGTCAGTCAGTACAAAAACCAACTATGCAAAATACGTTGTTAAACTCTATGTAAAATGTGATTAATTTATTATTCAAGTTCATTATATATTATTTATAATAATATTTAACTTGGGAGTAAAATTTATTTATAAAAATAGCCAACACGACCAAAGTCCAGACTTTGCTAGAATATATGCGTGTATGTAGATAATTCTACTTAGAATCCATACTTCATTTTAGTTTGTCGTCTGTTTGCTCTATTCGAAGCCCATTGTTGTTGCAATTCTTGTTCACGAGCCTTTGCTTCAACGGCCAAATATGTGATTTGATGTTTTCTTTTTTGCATGCCTCCAAGACCTTTGCCTCGTCTCACAGGGATGGCGGACTGGAGAAGTGCAAAATTATTTTAGTAAAAAGGATAAAAATAATGCGCTTAATTTTCGATAAATTCTAGAATCTCGTAGAGCACACGTACCTCGTCTGTAAGATTTTTGACCCATTCCGTCGTATCTGGTCGGAGATCGTCAGCTTTGACATCAATGAAGTTGATTTCGGACTCCCCTTTGCCAGCTTTCCCCTTCTTTTTCGGGACATACTTCATCTATATTTTAGAATATCATTAGAGATTTAGTTATTAATAGTTATATATGTATAACGTAGCGTCATTCCTGTTATCCATTTGACTTACAAAATCTTGTTGGACTGTTGTGCTGCTGCTAGACGCCGTGGCTTCATTATCATAATCTTCGTCAGCTTCTTCAGCCTGGTTTGTTGACGATGTGGGAAACTGATTGAAATTTGGCATTGGCAGTTTTAATTTCTCAAGTGTTTCTTCGTCAATTCCGTTACTCGCACCGGATTCAAAAGAAAAGAAATTGGGAGTAGACGAGTCTTCGTCAGAGTCGTCGCTCTCCTCATTTACACCCTTCTTCACCTTTGAGCTTCCTCCAGCGAGGAGAGCTTTTTTATTCTCCACGGATCGACTAACGATAACAACGTTGGCTTCTTGCTTCATGTATTTTGCCTTTATTTCTTCCAATTTGCTGGGTGGTGGTCGCTTTCCTAAATTTTTGACAGAGTCTGGAATAAGGGACCTTGGCAATGGAGTCGACGCTGTTGACGAAGATGGTGCAGCAACAGAAGAAGAAGCAGACAACGATGCCTTGGTGTTTGGTGTCGTTGAATCTGAAGGAGCGGACTTTTTCAGAAATGAGATATCTTTGGGCAAACTAGTGAATCCTTTCGGTTGCGGAAGTATTGCAAACAAACCGGATCCTTTCTGAAATCCAAATGCGAACATGACTTGATTTGGCTATTAATAATAATGTGCATTGGCTGAAAATTGTCAATTTTAGTACCTTAATCATGGATTGGGTAAACTTGCTACTTCTGCCAATATCGGAAACCTCGTCATCTTCAAACTATAAAATAAACGTTTTAGCGGCACAAGGAACGAGTAGAATAATAATATGTCCATACATCTTTAAGAGATGGTGCCTGAATCCTGACGACGCCTTTAACTTTCTTGGTCATAATGTTGGGATACGAGTCGTTTCGTGGTGGTGGAGGTTTTTCTTCATCACCGTACGTCTTTTTGGGTGGAATTGGTCCTTCCTCATCCTCAACGGGTGGTGGAAAATCAGCCACAGTTTTTGGTTTAGGGAGGAACTGGCCGATACTCGTTGTTGTTAAGGATGCATCTTCATCATCGTCATCTGAAGAGTCTTGGAAGAACGGGTCTAAAGTTGGAGGACGTTTCGTTTGAGATGACGATGAAGACACGACTGCACTATTTGACGACGACGGTGATGTAGACGATTGAGCTGTTTGTAAAGAAATTGATGCTGTTGGAATTGAGGGAGGAACTGGAACGTCATCGTCGTCCGACGACATGTCTTCTCCGCTATCGTAGTTGGCGACCAGGGCCATTGTAGGATCACTGGGAAATCTAGTAAAAACGAACACATTAAATCATTAATGAACAACATTTACATTAATGCACATTTTAAGTAAATCTCTATAAATTCTAAATGCGCATATTGCTTATTATGATTAGAACAGAGGTCTAACCTTGTACGCTTTCTATAATAGCAGATAATTCGCCAACGATTTATTTGTAGTCTTCAATCTATAAACTATTAGTGTTTAATTGTTGTCAACTAATGTGAACAGATCACCTGATTTAATTAAAATATCCAATATATTTTGGGGAGGTTGTAAACACCAATATTTCGAGTTTGGGTGAAGAGAAACGATTGCTGGCGGTAAGAAGGCCAAATGTGACACACTCATGAGAAACAATGAATAGTTTAACAAAGCACGATATACATTTATGCATTTGGGCATTTTTTGCTACACATAATAATTATCGATTGTTATGTATTATTGTTCGCAGGTTTCAATGGGCGTCGTAATGTGAGTTGGATTTATTGACCAACAAGAATTTAATCCGTTTCCATTCCGCGGATTGATGGAAATTGCCGATTAATATGATTTGGGGGCGCGTGGTGGTGGCGTGGGCGACCATAAGTCATTTTGGCGACGGATTAGACAAATTAAATATTCATTTAGACGTAATTTTCAAGGGGTAATTATCCATTGACGTCAGCAATGTTATTGTGTAAACTTTTTATCTTCTAGACTTTTTGGCCCGATGATGATGATTTTACTAAAAGTACTTGGGGGTAGGTCATGCGGTGCATGATGTTGTTGTTGTCATTATACAGAAATTCAATTCGGCTGATAGTGAGTGTAATTTGTAATTTCGGGTAATGCAAATGCATTAATTTATTCCGTGACGCTCATTGCTGTATTATCGTGTCCACAATTTGTTTACAGGTCTTCTACACATGCACACACTGTATCCATCATCTGCTCCATAATTGCGATCATTAGGCACACAACTAAGCTCTTCGGATGTCAATTTTGTCCAAGTTTATCGTTTCTTAATTATGTATCTCATACATGCGCGATAAGAAAGAAATTCGTGCCCAACGGAATAAATAAAAGAAAATTTACCACGACTAGAATTAGAAAATCCAAATAGTCGTTAAGTCCTACCGTTCGTGATCCCAGTAAAAATACTTAAAAAAAGACGCTGAATAGCCAACTCTCATCGTGCAAAATGAAAGTATTTGTCTGGATTTTTGTAAGTATATATTTTTGGAAATATTTACAACTTTTGTTCTTATTTCTCACGTCAAATTACGGGAAAATGGTTTGATAATAGACTCTGCTCGCAATGGTGGGGCTGGTTTTGTCTGCAGACGCCTCATTTCGAGCTGGACGAGTGCCAGTGAGCACGAAGGAGTCGAACCGGAGGCGTCGTTAACACATAGTTAATTTTCATTTGAGAAAAATTTACAATTTTATTTTTATCACGCACAAAAATTATTCTTTTTTGCCTGTCATCAAAGTTGAAATATTAATAAAAGCAATGCAATGCAACTTACGTTTAATTATTTGTGTGGTTGGTCCTTGAGATGCATTGGAAGGTGTTCAACGATAGGTTCATGCTGAATTTGTTCAACGTCGAGGAGGGTGCCATGGCTCATTCGCTTGATCACTGTGCTTCGTCGTATCGTTTTCACGATCTCTTCGGACGACGTCGAGTCGTCGTCACTCTCTTCCTCTTCCTCCTTGTCCTTTTGGCCTACTGGTTTGACGGTACTGATCCGTTTCTTCACCTTCTTTATCATCTCCTCGCTGGAATCGGACGAAGATGATTCCTCCTCATCTTCCTCCTCCACCACAGCTTTCCCCTTTGTTGTTATACTCTTTCGCACCACTTTCTTGACCAGCTCCTCGTCGTCAGAGTCCTCATCCTCGTCTTCTTCTTCTCCTGCCCCTTCCATCCCTTCCACCCCTCCTGCTCCTGCTCCTCCACCTCCCCCTCCCGATGCCTTCTTTTCCTTTTTCTCTTTCTTCTCCTTTTTCTCCTTCTTCTCTTTCGTCTTCTCCTTCTCCTTCTCCTTCTCCTTCTCCTTCTTTTTCCGCTTCTTTTCCTTTTTCCGGAGGTGTTCCTCCTCCTCCTCAGGAGTGCGGACCTTGATTTTCTTCTCCTTCTTTGGCGCTGCTGCCTTTGAACTTTCCCCTTGCGGAACTTTTAGTTGGATTTTTCGGCTCGACTTCTCACGCCCATCGTCATCTGGAGCGCTGCTCTTAGGATCCTTGCTCTCTGTACCGGCGGCGGTGGGTTTCTTGGGCTGTAGAATGCTCATCCTACCACTTTTCACAGATGCAGGCGTGGGTTGACTTGCTGGTGGCGCAGCAGCAGGTGTCGATTTTGCTGGTGGCAGAGTAACATGCGTCGATTTTGCTGGTGGGGCAGCAGCAAGCGTCGATTTTGCTGGTGGCAGAGTAACATGCGTCGATTTTGCTGGTGGCGCAGCAATAGCCGTGGGTTTTACTTGTGGAGGACGAGCAGGCGTCGATCTTGCTGGTGGAGCAGCAGCAGGCTTGCATTTTTTTGGCGGAGCAGCAGCAGGCGTGGGTTGACTTGGATCGGAGGTCTTTTTGGTTTCACGAGGAACATAATGTCCACGTAACTCTGCTTTGGGCTTGTCATATGGATTGAGGTTGATTTTGTAGTGCGGCACGAGCTCAAAGTACTCCGAAGGTACGGAACTATCGCCCATGTTCTTGTTAACCTGTTCCCCAGTTCCTCGTGGCCATGGGGAGAAGTCAGGTTGAGGATGTTGCTTCGTCCCCTTGGGTTTCCTCCACAGGACGTCAGCATTGCTATCCTCGGGCTGGCACTGCTGCGTCGTCGGTGCTCGTTTCCGTTGTTGATATTTGTTATTTCTGCCGCCCAATTGTTCGTCATCCTCCCCTTCAGAGTCGCCCAGCCCGCCTCCGCCTCCTCCTCTCCCGTGTTTACCTGGCTTCCTTAGTTTAACAAAATTAAGGTTTTCTGGAGTGTTAAACACGTTGCTAAATGTTCCTCCAATTCCGTGGCCATCATAAGCTTCGAACTTCATGGTTTGTCTGGCATTTTTATACACATCGCAGCCAAAGAGTGGTCGCGAGAGGCGAGTCGTTGGACAGTTGTTCTCGACGAACCTGGAAATGTAGTTGGCATTGCTGGAGCAGTTTTTTGCAGGGCGTGGGCAACATGACCTGTTCATAATATTTTTGCAGTGCTCTTGACGTGGTGTGGTTTGGTGTGATTAGTGAGAAATTGTCGAATTCATTTTAAGGAGGAGGAAAAGTGTCCAAGTTCCCCATGTCCACGGACGTCGTGCCTGGATTGGGATCATAACTTGTCGTTGTCATTGGATTCACGTTTATTTAGACTCCATTTTGCCAGCATTTTATTAGATCATTGTCAACGTCCATACTGGGCGGGCCTACATCTATGTCATATGAAGTATTTTATCGCTAAAAAGTGGTGGTGCCTTGGCTTGATCTCTGCAGAGCTCATCATCCTCTCTCTCAATGAAGACGATAGGGGCATGAGTTGCTGCTCCGAATGGAGACTAATCTCTGGGGATTTGACTCTCTCATATTTTCTTTTTGGTTGGTCTTTCATCACACAAAATGTATCACGCGAGACTATTGTCACTCAATTCTTCGTAATAATCAGATCTGCAGCTAGTCCATCTCCTTTCTTTCTTTGTGGGAGGGAATGTGTGTCGATGTGAACCAGTTTGGCTCCAAAATTGTTTTTTTACTGTGGAGAAGGCGGAAATTAGGTTATTGATAAAACGATATTTCCTCTCAGACAGCTTATTTGATTTCTTCCTCCTCGGTCCTTTATTTCATTATCCCAACCCACCAACTCTGCTGCCATAAAATGTGGGTGAAAGCAGGCAGGGCTTCCTCCGTATCTCCTGCAGATATTCATCTCTCTCCCTGCAAAAGATTCCCCCGATAGCACTGCCATCCGTTAAGAAAAGGCACCGAGAGCCCAGCCGTTTCTGATTTTTACGATGAATAAATAAGTCGTCGTCGTGCACTTTGTCCTTTTGAAGTCAATTGTCCCACCAGAAAGGACGGCTTACAAACAAAGTGATCATGTCTGTGTGAAAGTGCATTAGTTTATTATTATTATGCGAGCTCTCGGAAGAAGGGAGCAAGGAGAGGAAAGTGGTGGCAAATTTATGGAGACATGACTTTGATCGAAAAATGGGGTGGAGACCTGTCCATCTCAATACACTCGGGTGTCTTCGAAATGAGAAATTACAGAGGAGGAAAACCGACAGGCTGGAAATTTCCTTTGACTTGGTAACGTTTATCATACACAGCGAGGCTCGTGTGGAGCACAGACTTCTTGATTCAATGGAAGTTACGTACAAATAAACGTACGTACGAACATATATCGTGACACTAAGCAAACAAAGCAAAACGACCCAACGCACTCGTAATGGGAAATTACTGGGATAATTTACTGTTGCTGTCGAATAATAGCGTTTGCCGCTGTTGCATGAAAAATAAGGCAAGAGGAAAAAATCTAATAACAAATCCAATTAGTGGCTCGAATGGTACATACGAAAAATCGGGAGCAATTATTTTCTCACTTGGCAAATATCTCCTCAGTCTTGTGTATATTTTTAGATCAATGGGCAGAAGGCGCAGATTGTTTTAATTGTCGGTGTGAGCTCGTGTGTGGTATTAAATTTCCAAATTGCGAAAGAGTGTGATAATCCTTTGAGAACGTATCTGGTGAAATATTGTGTGGGATGAAAGTCGAATTGCCACCACATCGGCGACAACTCGATCTCCTTTGTCTCTACCACAGGGCAGAAATGGGATCAGTTCTGCATACAGACAGAGGTCGAATTTGCCACCTGGAAGGAAATTGAGCTCCGAAGTTTGAAGGACAACTTTGGCTATGGATAAATGATCCAATTAGCAGAATAATGTTGATCAAAAGCGAATGTTGGGTGTCATTAAAACAACGTTTCTTCTGAAGGACGAGGAATGTGACGGAATTAAGAGAGTCGACCTCTCGACAAGGTCTCCATGAAAGCGGAAACCAAAGAGGCCGAACACCTGCTGCTTTACTGCTCGCATTTCTTCTGCATTCCTCTCTCGGCAATAATAGCAAATCAATTCAGTTGAGAGGCTGCTTGTACTTTGTTTTTGTGTTCGAGAGGAGTGAAGGCTGGGGAAAAACATGGTTGGCACTTGGTTATTCTGGAAAAGTTACTCACCACTTAATTAAATACCAGAGTTGGGAGAAAGTCTGAACGGTGGAACTGTTTTTGTTGTTGTTTGCTCCTTTCATCCATCATAACACTGACGATGGAAATGCATACGAAATCTGGGAAAATGAGAACCCAAACAAGTTGACATCAGTCCGCACGACACGACGCCGACTGGAGAAAGTTTGCTCAATTGAAATTGAAGTGGAGTAAACAAATGTCTTTCAAGTTTTATTTTGCGCTGTGGTGGATTTTTCGAGCAGACTTTTCTCCACTAATGGAAAAGTTTTTTGGGGGGCTTTTACATGGCTTTTAAATTTGTTTTTGGGGCAGTTGCTGGAAAAATGGAAAATTATTTGAGATTCGTGCAAGGCAGGCAGGTCCACAGGTGTTTCCGCTCCTCCTCTGAGAAACCAGGGTCAAGTTGAAAGCTTCAACATGAGCATATTTCCGTGATCTGAAATTGTAGCAAACTTTCACCAGCTCTGTCAATTATTTAGCTTTGCGACTGTGTAGGAGCGGTATTTGGAGGACATGCTGTTTGGATGGCTTTGCGAAACCAGAACAAATATCGAAGATAAAATATCCATCCATCGTCCTGTGTCAATGTTGACAGTACGAGGCTTCGTGTCGTTTTGATATTCTTGCAAACCAAAACCGGATATCTGAGTTTATCTGACGTGCTTTTTTACGGATGAGATGTTCTTTTCGTGATTTGATTTGTGTGTCTGTGAAGTCGGAAATATTGTTCCGAGTACATTCGTTAAATCAGTAGAGAAAGAAGTATGTCTCAAAATCCAAGTAGCATCGTACAGTCCGATGAACCGTGTTGCCTAGAATAATGAAATTATGCGTTCTCTCCCCTTATGCCAAAAGTTTGGATAAAGTTTTATTGGAAACGTGACACGTGTCTGGTCGCAAAGTCGCGTAATCCAGACGAACGAATTGGGAGCAATGTAAAAATATATGGCTACACAGGACGGAAGTAGGTTTCTTTCCTTCCTTCTCGATACGCAAGTACATTGGGAGCACGTGGCCATGGACGAAAGTGGAGAAAGTGCGTCCCTGCAGCAGTTGGTGCTTTCTCCGCCATTCTTTTTTGTTCCCTTTCTCTTCCGATGCATTTGTTTTCCTTTGTTCCGATATTATTGTCTTTCTTTCGATCCCAACAAGTCCGCCACTAATTCAGTCAACGAAGCGAAGCATCGGATTTGTGCTCGTCTCTGATTTATTTATTTCCTCCCCTCGGAGCAGACCCAGGAGAGAACAAAACTGTTCGTTTAACTAACGCAGACCGAGCTAAATAATCTCACTGCTGGAGCCAAGGAAAGCAATTTCTTCCCCACGTCTTGCCCATCTTCTTTCCAAGATGAGACGATTCGCTCACTCACGTCTAGCGTCGTACGTGCCTATCACGCACCCCTATCAAATCCGCGATATAAAGATGGAGAGGATTTGCTAAATGTAAATCCATAAATTAGGAATAAGCCCCCTTTCCCCATCACTTTGCTCCATCACTTTGGCTTTGGTGGCTGTACGCTGGATTTTATGTTTATTGCACGACCCATTTAATAGCTGCGGGTGGGGAATCGGAGGAAAAGGAGTGGTGCACTCTTTTTTAAGAAGGTCAAACCCCTCTAGTATTGGAACTACATTTGCGACTTTTCGAGTGAGTGTCGTCGTAGATGAAATGTGTGCAAAGATGATAAAGCAGTCTCGAAAAATGGCTAAAAATTTGCATTTTAGTGAAGTGAGTCTGCATGGGCATAAGTAAATGCACATGTACATGAGCCTGGTGCGTGCCTCGGTCTGGAAACCCCCACGAGAGCGTACGGACGTACATACGTGGATACGTAGAGAGTGGCGAATGTCGTGAACTGCGGAGCTAAATGTGCCACCATCCCGAGTAATTTTGTGTGTCTGCTGTCATTGTCATTCTGGGCAAAGCTGATCTTAGTCAGCAGGGGATTCCTGAAGCACTTAAGGAGAAAGCATGGAAAACTGTTCCGCGTCGTCATCGTCTCCCTCAAGAAATATCCAGAGCAAATCTCATTTTCATCTCCGACGTTCAACTCACTCAATTCGCATCACATGCCAAACTCGAACCAAGGTTTGTTCACTCCCTTTCTGACTGTGACCACCACTACGTCGCGGCTCCTCAGCTGGATGGCTGGCGTGCGTGTGGAGGGCACACAAGTCCAAGTTTGCATTCATTTCCTGTTCCGTTTCTGAAAGGATAGAATCTACTCCGACGTCTGAGGCGGATCTTCGTGGGTGATGGGATGCGGGGGAGGGCAGCTCGATAAAGCGAGGATTGGTGCGAAAATGACACTGTTATGAGCCAACAGTAACTGGAAAACATTGTGTTTATATAACTGGAAGCGGAGGAGATAAGGAGTTGCATCAGTTTGCGAACATAATTGGTTTCACGGGGAGGCGATGTGATGAAGAGCAATAAAAGAGACTTCTCATCCGCTCCCTTCGCAAAAGATTGCTTAATTTGAATAGGACTAAGATTAGTGGAGCGGATGGAGATGAATAATTTTCTACTCTTTCCATAAATCCCTGTTTGTTCATGCATCGAGCACTTTTTCTCATTAATCTTGATTCCGACCGTGATCAGGTTCCGGCAGCAGTTGAGAAAACGTATGGGAGAGAAATATAGCTCGAGAGGAGAGAGCAGACTGGAAATTGCAGGAGCAGCAAGCTCGACATTTACGATGACTAATCGCGCTTTCACTAAATGAGTGGATACGGACGTATCTTTGTTGTTGTGTGTTTGCACAATAAAAGATCAAGTGCCTAAAAGTTAGCATGGGCACATCAGACCTCACTTCTTCTCGACTTCGATAGATAGATTGATCATTCATCATTCACTCCCTCCTCGTTGATGAAAAAACGGGCTGCACCACCACCAAGGCCAAGCAAATCTACAAACTACGCATCGTAATATTCATGATGACTACTTTTTGAAAGCATCAAGTTTTATGATTCATCTTCATTTTGCGCTGTAAAGATAAACTAAAATGAGATCAGGCTACAAAACATCAAAGCATTTTCATTCGACAAACATTGAGATGATGATAATGATGATGATGATGGAGCCTTGTTTACCCAGAAAGAGAGAGAGAGAGAGAGATGAGAAGAAAGGAAGAAAGGCTGAAAATATGAAATGAAGCAAAGAAAAAACATTAAGGAAATTGCTTATTAATTTTTCCAAGAGCGAGAATCCTCTTGTGAACATAGTCCACACCGTTGCGCAATGGATTCGAGAGATGCTGATCATCTCATCATTGGTGCGATGACCTTGATTGGGAGTGAAATCGGATGAGGAGAGCGTTAAGTCGAATAATGAGCCGGAGGGCAGACGCCACCAAACAATAAGCTTTTCGAGCATAGGTCACCTGCTGCTGCTCCTCCTGCTTGAACGAGGCTAATGGCGCGGAGGAGACGACGACTTGTGTTTTGTTGTGTTGCAGCAATTTGCTTTTTAATGAGCTCCTCGCCATGAAAATTGAGACGCTCCATGTCATCCAAATCGAGCTCGTTAGGAGAAAGTAAACAACGCTGCTGCTGCTCTTGCTCCCACATCCACCGACTTGCGAGAGATTATGTGCACACGTCTTGGCACGAGACGTACGGGCCGCAGTGCAGGGAGGAGCAACAGTTCCCCCACCGAATCATGTCCAATTCAACAGTTTGTTTTTATTGAGTACAAGTATAATGATGACACACGGAGGTGTTGCATAATACTTATTTACATATTTGGATGGTTTGGCTAATTCGAACATTACTGATATACATATTTTGATGTAACGGTTCACAGATTTTTTTTCTACTTGTTCAAAATACAGACAGAGATTAGAGTAAATATTTGATAAGAATATAATATGGATATGAGGACTAGGCTACGTATTCAATGTTTCCGTGAATTTCCTCCAACTGTCAAAATATTGTGTAGTTGGGACTCGTAAAGCTTGTACATTTGCACCACAGATTTGAAGAAGAATCACCTCCTTGGGAGTAATACTAGACATGCACGCGAATGAATATGCATGAATTGATACCATGCATCCTCGCACTTTTACAAATTTTAGAAATTGTGAAATCCTGCTCAACAATTGCCTGTTTGGCCTACAATTCGAGTCGGAATGGGCCCGAGGGACCTGGGCATGGAGAGAGACTCCGCTACAGGGTCCTCCCAGAAGTACGTACGTACGACGAGGTAGAAAAATAAATAATGGAGATTTCCTACTCTACATAAAACAAAACCTCCGAGGGAAGTTTTACATAAGGATTGAAATAAATGACGTCTCTGTGTGTAACCTGACTTCTCGTGACATTTGGGAAAGTAAGTTTTCTTGAGTAATAATAATAATAAAGTCAGTTTTTCCCTTCCTTTCTCACGACGCAATTTTGAAATATGAGTTGTATGCAAATTTCACAATATGAAAAATGAATGGAATGATCTTTCATAAGTTTGCATACATGAGACGCTGGGACAAATTGCTCCTGCCTTTCCTTCCTTTCTACCTGTCCTGATTGCGAAATGAACTCATTTCTCTTATTCCCCGTCCGCTAAGGGGAGACCTATCTGACACACGTCGAAGTAATATTCTACAGCTACATTCTACTCCCTGCAACAACAAGTAAGTAGTCTAACAAGTAAGATGCTTGTGGAATGACGAGGAAAAGTCTTGTTGTAAAAAAGAGAGGTAAAAAGAAGATGGAAAATGGGTGCAAGGAGGGAGTCGTGCCACATGCATTGATGGAGAGTGGGTTGTGCAATCAAGTCTCTAAGGAATGTTCTCCTTCGAGGGTTGACACCACTCAGTCTCTCACAAATTGGTAATGGAATTCTTCGAGTTGCGTCTCACGTTGTCCATGATCTCTCCGCAGAGGACGAGGGTGGAAAGGTCCACGGCCGACTTGGTCTTCCTCCCCCCTGTCCCCTTCCCAAGCTGGCCAGACTCTCCGAAAATGGAGACTGGGAAGTTGGAGGGCGACGTCACAAACACAGAGTTTTGTCGCAGCCGGTTCTGGCTCCCACGCCCGCCTTGGCAAAGTCGTGGTGAGAGATTCGTGGTCGTCGTCCCTTGGAAGTTGAGAGTGGAGGGGACGCCCAAACCACCCATGGAAATGGACATGGACCGTGACCCACCCCCTCCGTTCATCAGCAGTGGCTCCGTCGTGCAGGTCGTCGTGGTCGTCGTGACTCCGTGGTAGTTGCACTTGCTGAAGTGCGGGCTTCCTCCGCCCGTCTCCGACGTCAGGTTGAACTTGGAGATGGAGAATGTTCGCTGCAATATAGGAAACGTGTCAGTCGTGAATTTCACACGCATACAAATTTTCATTAACAAAGTGGTGGGGCGATGGCCGGAGAAAGGTTGAATTCTGTTTGATTTATTTTCCCAGGAGGATTCGACCGCATTTAATCAGGGTCCCAATTACTCACCATTCCACTCGCAACGATTGAACCATCTGGATTGTGTCACACGAGGGAAAGGGACAGATTTCGCAATCCGTTTCTTTCTACAAAATTACTTTCTCTCTCCGCCGCGGCCGCCTCGAGACCACGCACTCGGTCAGCAATCAACTTGCTGTCAAGTGCAGTGAGGAGGACACCACTTGTCAAAGATATTCTGTCAGGAGGCGTTCAACTCTTGGGCTCCTCTTCTCCTCAGCGTTTAGTCTTTTTCTCATTAGCGGCTGAAATACCTTTGATATTTCAGCCGCTCCTCCAATGGAGTTTTAATTAAAAGTCAAAGTACATGGGCTGGGAGCGTCAGGAGTTTTTCCGAGTGAGTGAAATCTCAGCGGAGGAGGAGGCAGCCTCTTGGCAGCGGTGAGTGAAAGTGAGACAAGTGAAAATTTTACAGTTGGGACGTGTCTGAGGAAGTAACTGACAGAGCGGAAAAGTCGGCCGTCTCGCGAAAGGGGAACTTATCTCCTTCGTCTTTGATCTCGACTTACGGGGTAGTTGGTGTTGATTGGGGGGACGTCCGCCATGGGGCAGTTGGGATTGTGATGCTCACAAAACTTGGGTTGATATGGTTCCAGGAGGCGGATTTTAGACCAGCGGTTGAAGAAGAGGATGATTGCACCCATCCAGAGTATGAGGACCACGAGGACGATGGCTGAATGGAGAACAAGAAATTTGCATATAATTTACATGTGAGTATTAAATTACGGTCCTCAATAGGAAGTATTAATTTAAAGATGTGGTGACGCACCGATCTCCTCTCCTCTAACGACGACGCCTTGGGTGGACGTGCCGTTGCTGCCCTCTGGCCCTGTGGTGGGTCCGGCCATGTGGTCCATCTCCTGTTGCTGGTAGTGGTTCACTTGTTGGAGCAGAATTTCGCGGTGAATCAGCACGTCGTTCGACATCCTTCTAGTCCCGTGAAATGGTCACCACCTGGTCAAAATAGCGTACGCTCGTTACCACTTTCACTCGGGATATCTTTTGCTTTCACTTTGGGGGAGGTTTGCAGGATCAATTTTATGCTAATTCAGCTTGTTTAATCGATGTGGACACATGGACCACGAAGGTAACTTGGTCGCGGAATTCGAAAAATATAGATAAAAATCGCTACATGACGTGGGGTGGTATAAGGTTATCTTCCCATGCAAATTTATTTGCCATTTTTCATCCGATTTGGACGACGTTCGATAAAATCTACTCTCAGATGTGGTCGACATGTCTTTGTGCTCTCATCGCCATGACCTTACTAGAAATTTTTCGATTTGCATACTTGAAAGATTGTCAAAATGTGTATTTATTTCTCAAAAATTAGTCAAATCAGATGACAAATTCCGAAATTATGACATGGCGAATAACTGCACTGCGAGGACGAGGTCATACCGCGATACGGTCAGGAGATTCACGATCTCTGTTGTAAATATATGGAGAAGAGTTACGTCGTCTGGTTTTGTAACTTCAACTGCGTAGCCACGCTTTCTCCAGCTCCAAATTTTGTGTGTGGTTTTAGAGTGGCCGACTTTCCTCCTTGAACACCATGTTCCCAGTCGTGTGTGAAATTTTATGTTCTCTTGCGTAACTCGAGACGTAGATGGATCCGAGCCAGCCTAAAACATGGCTTTTATACGATGAAGAGGTTTAATTAGCTGACCTTTATCACAGCTCTGCCGATTTTGACATGCGACTGTAATTTGCCAGGGATGAGAGTAAACAGAGCGAATGCATGCACGATGCAGCGGCCTTATGGGGGCAATTCCGGAAAATCCCCAGACATTTTTTTGCAAAAATTTTTATATGCCCTGCCATCCTGAGGGTTGGAATGACCCTCAGTGAAATTTCGTTGGGCCACACCCCCTGGGGGGCGAAGTGGCCCCCCGCTTGACCTTTGACATTATAATGTGGCTGAGATTGTAGGTCTATGTGTGTGTAGCTTACATTCCAAATTTGGAAGCATTTGGTCAACCACAACGCCGGGCGCAGTATGGCGACACTCGCAAAACCCCCCTTTTCGGCCCTTTTCAACCGCTTATAACTTCGCTAGGTGGATCGATAGAGCTTAGATCCATCATCTTGTACATATGGATGCGATCACACATATTTTTGATCGTGTCGACACGGAAGTGTCGACAATGTGGGCATGTCGACATTGTTCAATTACGCCGAAATTCAAAACGTTATGTCTTTGAATGGGGGAAGAGTGGGTCTACCGTTTTAGCAGGGGATGAATCTTGAGAATGTGTGTCATCTTATCCCCCAAACAGCTAAGCTCTATCGATCCACCTAGCGAAGTTATAAGCGGTTGAAAAGGGCCGAAAAGGGGGGTTTTGCGAGTGTCGCCATACTGCGCCCGGCGTTGTGGTTGACCAAATGCTTCCAAATTTGGAATGTAAGCTACACACACATAGACCTACAATCTCAGCCACATTATAATGTCAAAGGTCAAGCGGGGGGCCACTTCGCCCCCCAGGGGGTGTGGCCCAACGAAATTTCACTGAGGGTCATTCCAACCCTCAGGATGGCAGGGCATATAAAAATTTTTGCAAAAAAAGGTCTGGGGATTTTCCGGAATTGCCCCCATAAGGCCGCCGCATCGTGGCATGGAACCACGAGAAAGAAAACGGTGTGTATGTGACAGGAGGAACGTTGTGCAGTTGACTAGTTGACATGGATTGCGGTGTAAAAGTGGACTCTCTCCCCTTTGTGCCTTGACTTCTGTTTAATAGCCCCATTGCCTCGTCGTCTAAAAACCACACAAAGTTGGCAGGGATTCAACACATCAATCCTCCTTCCAGGCAGAGGAGTCTAATGGGATTTCACTCCTCTCGGGGAGATGCTATTGTCCGCTTCAAACCACAAACCACATACGACGAACGATCAACACCTAGCTCCCGAACCTGTTAAACAAATGTGGGGAACGTGAAATGTGCGTCTAGTTTAAACCAGGTCGTAACCGCAACGATTTTGGCCCACGCATTGCATACCAAGGAACGAACCAAGTGACGACTTCACGCTCCAATAACCACGACCTCCTGCTTTCACCCGTTCCACTCACTGATCAAATTCACGAGCTGGTAAAATCATATTCAATCGGCGTTGAAGAAGAAGAGTTCAAACAGGAAATGGCTTTTAACTTTCGACTTTGAAAAGTAGTTTGACATTCAGTTCAGCAGGGTGAGGACAAAGTTACAAGTGTCAACTACACTGCCAAATCAAGTTTGCGTACGGCTGTGTTAAACGTATGTATGTACATACTACGACGTAATCTCGTAATAAGCATGAAATGAACTTAGTCAGTCGGAGGGTTAAAATCGGGAGAGCGTTGTATAATTCAGGGTTTTATTTCTCACGGATTCTCAACTTTTCTCTCATTTCCATCTTTGATTGTCTTTCGGGGCCGTCCATAAATTACGTAACGCAAAAATCATCATTTTTTGGACCCCCCCCCCTCCCCCCTCGTAACGGCATCGTAACGCTTCTCGACTACCCCCCTCCCCCTTCGTAACGTAACGTAAATTTGATTTCACCGCAGGTAATTTCTTTAACAGTAACTTGCAAAATTTTCATTTGCTCCAGGTTGTGTAGACAAATGTCGCTTTTATTGCTTCTATTTCTTTTAAATTGCTAGATAAATTAGAATTTTGTGAATTTCTTGTTCAAGAACAACCGAAATCATATTCGACAAGAAATGGAAATTGTAAATCTTACAGGTCTCTCAACGTTTACCAAGACTCACAATGGAACCTTTTGTCAAGTTGCACCCGGAAAACTATCGTACGACCATTAATACATATGTAGATGAGTACAATTCTTGATAACCATCATGCCTCCTAAGTGACCTCGTTGGGGCTCAGGTGACCGGCAAATTCCGATCAAATTCTCATCTTAAAGGTAAGGCTCAATTAATCGTGAAACTTACGTCACACCATCGCCCTCCGAGGTCACTGTGGAGGAATGATGGTTTACAAGTAGGCAAGAATTTTGCTCTTCTTTTAATGTGAGCACCATAATGAAAAACGTATTTACATGCGTAGACTGAAACCTTCTGGATGACATGAGTTCAATCCGATTTTTAATCGCGTTTATGAAATGCGTTACTTAACAAATTTGTTATACCCCCCTCCCCCTACATAACAATTCGTAACGCTCTTCCCATGACCCCCCTCCCCCCCTCTTGCGTTACGTAATTTATGGACGGCCCCTTCAGACTTTGATTCAAGATGGATTTGAATCGGATCCCTTTGGTTCTTTATTTCGTGTCCTATCTGGCTCAGACCGATCCAATTTTCACTCCTGGTCGACACAAAGGTAGCGCAGGACGAGTGTCAGTCGAAAGAGCGAAATGTCATTGTGCCCGAAGGTGTGTGCATGCAGAGCGAGATGAAATGCAAACAGGTTTATCGGAGCTGCAACCTCCGATTCCTCCATTCGACTGCAGGATTCAGTGTCAAATAATGACATGGTTTCGAACAGGGCTGTCATTCCTTATCCAATTTTCCCATTGTCAGGATAATTAGTTTTCTTTATGCTTCCCAAAAATGCCGAAGGTTTCCATTTCCGACCAGGCCCCAAATTAAGCAATCAGGCGAAATCCAGCTCGTGTAAATGTTTTTCATTAGGCTAATGCACCTGCAAAAGCCACCCTTCCTCAGCCTAGCTCCCTCCTGACATTTTAATTAAGCAAAATGACCACGTCGTCGATTTCTCCGATCCAGCCAGAGTTTACGCAACTCCGCATTTAGGCCCAATTTCTGACCGACGGCACAGAAATAATCTCCAGATAAGCCAAGAATACTGGACTGTGGACATGTGGCGGAGTGGATGATTGCTTGATTGATGTGCTTCTTCTCCAACGACTTAATGACGAGGCGAGTTCTGATGGGAAGCAGAGGGAATAATTCTCACCACACAATGGGGAAATTGGGTTTAATTGATTAATTGATTTTCATCGACTTGGTTGCTTACCGAACCTGTGAGGAAATACCTGCTCGAAAACACACACTTGCCCATGTTTTCTGTGTACCTACTTCTCATGTCATGCATACCCATGCATGCACACACGCTCAACTATCTTGTTGCCATTTCTATACATATTTATTTACGTCCAGAGTTAGCCACGGCTGCCCAACAGTAAAATGCCCAACAGTAAAATGCCCAACAGTAAAAACAAATAGTTCACTCCTCCATTTTATTCCCCATAAAAATGATTTAAAACACATAAAACAAACAACAATCATTGCTCACAAATGACTAAAAATGTGGGTCCCGACTCACTTGGTGCGAAGGAAAGTTATCTCGAAATTTTCAATGATTTCAAACCGAGTCGCACACAATGCTTGGGACATTTTCCAGTTAATAGTTCGGCTCCTAGGTTTAGCTTTGGAGGAACCATGAATTTGGCAGCATTAAAAATTTATGTGAGATAGAAAGAGAATGGTCTGAAGTGCCTCGAGTTAAATTATATGTTGGAGAGAGTGAAGTTTCCATTGCCCGCAGTTTATGGACAAAGTTAACGTAAACTTGGCCGCACTCGCAGTTATTACATGTGACGCGTCATACCTCGAATTGTGTGCCATTGTCGGGAAAAACAATTTAACTGAATTTTTGAATCAAGGTTGAAATGCTTTATGTAAAGGTCCAATTTTACGCCTTCCTTTTCAGAAAATGAGTACGGCACGTGTCCCACTTCCGGTGCTTTCACTTAGCTTCTGCTGAAATGTTGGGAATTGCATGGGATTCCAAAATGGGGGATTCTTGTGCACTATTACATAAGTGAGTCGTGTTTTGTTTGAGTTTTTCCCAAAAATGCCCACCTCACCTTTTCGCTTTTGTTTTCGTTCGCTGTCATTGTTTGGACTATTTACACTGTCACAATTGTTTGACATGGGTTGACACTATGAGGACGAGACCAGGCAGCAGAATGGCTCACTGTGTCAACACGTAAGGGAAGACAAGCCCGTTTGTTATGATGACAAAGCACCACTTGTTTCTGCATTAAATATCCACACCTTGTAGGCTTGAGTCATTAAGGAATCCGTGATAGTGGTGACAACAACTTGCTCGCATTGGTTGGTTGGTTGGCAAACATGTAGTGTCAACTATTTCTTAAATTAACAAAGGGCGCAGCAATTATGCGCCTTGTTGCGAAACCATTTATCCATTTTGCATGCACTTTCTCTCCAAATTGAGCTGTACACACTTGTACAATGATGCAAAGTGTTGACAACTGTGCCAAGATTGTCGCCACACTCATTACCAGATTTCAAGGCGGATATGTGTTCAAGTTATGCATGAATAAATGAGGAAATGCTGAGCAGCTATTATCCATCATTGATTGATGAAAGGGCAGTTATAAGTTTGTTGACAAGTTCGAGGAGTAGTAAATATGTTCTCATTCTGCAAAATTCCCCAGTTGGAACATGGCTAGATTTACACGGAGGATGATTGTGAGCTGTTGTAAATAATGGTTAAGCCGGTGGGCATATTTGGGTCGTGTTTCATCTCGATAATGTGAGTTGGCTGAGGAGTGCTTCCGTACTTGTCAGTAACCGATTTCGATGCCCTTTGGACATGTGGTAGTCTCCCATGAGTGGACTGAAACCCTCAAGTGTTTTGACTCCTTGCCCACATTTACGCCCGCCACACCCACGAAAAGGTGCCAAAAAACGGTGAAAGTAATGCTTTCCCCCATTCAAATCCACGCTAAAAATCCAATTTTACTCGGATTTTGATATTCCTGATTCCATTATACTCCCAGCTAGTTGTTTTCTTATATCCAAGATCAAAATAAACTTTTTTTATGATTATTTACAGGCAAAATTTACGTTGTTGATTACTACAACAATGCTCATTAATAATTTCAAACTTTTAAATAGTAAACACTTCAAAAAGTTTAGTTTGATGTTGTTTATAAGAAAGCAACTATCTGGGAGAATAATTGTGCACGGAATTTCAAAATCCGAGTAAAATTGGATTTTTGACGTGGATTTGAGTGAGTGAAATCTGGAGTGAAAGCGTTTTTTGGACACTTTTGAGTGGGTGTGGCGGGCGCAAATGTGGGCATGGAGTCAAAACACTTGAGGGTTTCAGTCCACTCATGGGAGACTGCCACATGTCCAAAGGGCATCGAAATCGGTTTCTGACAAGTGGGGAAGCACTCCTCCCGAGAGGACAAGAGGACACCAAGTGAGAGACACTGTCAACTGCGATGTCGAGATAGGGAAACAACAACTGCGAGTTACAACTGCGCCCGTTCTTCTTTTATTGCTTGTCCGAAGAAAGCGGTGGCTTATTTTTAATGACGGCCGGATGTCGGGCTTCCTTTATGTATCTATGCATGAGGTGGCTCAGTGCGTGGCAGTTGACACCCAAAGGCGTACGCGAAATCCTTTAATCTATTTATACGACCCAATATCCGAGATGCAAACACAAGAAAACACAAGCGCAAATCCACTCTCGCAACACAAAAGGTATTTCACATTTTACGACCCAAATCCTCGTGATTTCGCTCTCTTATTGTGGGAGCAAAACTCTGCTGGAATTAGGACCAAAATGTTGCGACATGAAATAATGAGGACAAAAACATAACTGGGAATGCTTTTATCTATGGACATGTATCCTTATTAATATGTGGTTGGGGCTTAAATTTTCAGAAAAATTGGTTGAAATTGCCTTTTGGTGTCATGTTCCGCATGGTTTGGGGCTTATTGGCTGTCAAATAGGGTTTGCGAATACAGATTGACTTACCAGTTGGACTACGACGCGGAAGATGAAGCAGGTTTGTGTGCAGCTGTCAGAATTTGCATCCAAGCCGACAGCGGTGGATGATGAGAAGTCAGTTGTTTTGTGCTTGGTGGGGAACAAAGAAGTTCATATTTTGAGTTGACAAAGTGACTCGGTTTGGACGGGGAGAGTGGAGAGTAATCAAATTACGGGCTTAATTGCTTCGCTACCTCGGGTCACAGATTGTCTCGAGTTTACAAGTTTAATGGGCTCAAAGCGCCTCTCACTCGGTCGACGAGGCCAATTTCCACTCGGTCCGCACAAGAAGAAGGATTGATTTGTCATGTAAATTGGATACGATTTCAAGAGTTCACTTTAGTTTGCAAAGTTGAAACCTTGTTGTTCAGCGGGGGCAAAGAAGGGGAAAACTTTTGCTCACTTGACGTGATGTCGTGACACGAATGGTAATGATGATGCTAACGATGATGAGTCAAAGAGTCGAGTGGCATTACTGCTCTCTTAATTGTTCCTAATTTCCCAGCCCGACAAAGAATACGTACGAGTCTGATAAACTCTTCCCCAACTGAAGTGGATATCGTGCCAGGCAACAATTTGCTCCCGCTCTTCGAAAAGGTCAACGATGGCACCCAATCCCACTACTTAATGGAAATGACCCTTCACTTGGACTGCCTGTCCTTGCTTATTGTTGGGCCCATTTACAAGAGCACCCACCACGCACTGACCTTTCCTCTGTGAACGGGAGAGACCCGAATTAAGAGACCCGAATTAAGAGTTTAAGCTGGTCGTGCAAAAAGTGAGCGAGCGTGTTTTGAGGTGGAGAAAGTTGTTGAGTGATGATGTTGCTCCGAGTTTGGAGTTGGAGAGGAAACTGAGAGGCAAGTGAGCACTTTCTCCGCTTTTACCACCACGAACCTGCCAACCAGCTTGCCAACCGACCAGGGCAACAGATTCACAGCGAAAATCACCCCCTTTGCTTATGTGGACACACTTGTTATTAGTTTTGCTGCTGCTGCCCCTTCTTCCTCGCTCTCTCATCTCATGCCCCGTTGGACTGATGCATTATTATGAAGCAATATCCGTTAAGTGTGCATTTATTACTAGTTATTTCCGATGTTGAGATATCTTCAGCCATAAATTGACGCTGCTCATGACTCCTCCTCAGGTTTGAGGAAAGCGGGGTGGAATAAATTGACAAAGAATTCGGCCTTCCAGTCCGCCTCCATGTGTGGAGAACGGAGATTTATGTGTGCACAGGTGTACTGGGCGAGGTACGTTCTTCCCATTTGACCATTGTTTTTATTGTTACGAGGGTAAACCGTTCGCATAAAAGCAGTGTTAACCTTCCGACTCCCGAATAAAAGTTGGCAAAAATAACGGCGTGTGTACTGCCACACGTCGCTGAGGGTGGAATGGAAGCACATTAAAGTTTGCAACGACGACGGTGGCATTCTTTTCACAAGCAGCGGTTTGATGATCCATTAGCGACCTGTTCACTCTCCTCCCGCCATGAGCTGTGCACTAATGGTGGACATAAGTGGCCATCTGGTTTTTATTTTGCATCTGCAACACCCCACTCAACATGTCGGCTTTTATGCTGATTAGTTTGCAACTTGTGGTATCGCTCAAGAGGGGAACGAATGACTTTCACCACTTTCACCAGCTCCGTGCACTTCACGTCAGTGGCAGCTATAACAGCACTCGCTCCGCATCCGCCTCCTGCTCCTGGCTATCAAAAGCTTTTAAAGTGTAAAACAGGGCGGACGGAACAAGTTTTTGTCGTAATGAAGGACGGGAGGACTCGAGTGGGAGCAGGAGAGCGGAAACACACAGCTCTCACTCAGCAAGCCTGTTAATAAGGGTTCTTATTAATTTGTGGTTGCACCACTCATGATTCTTTTTGCTCCATCTAAAATTCCATAACATTTGCATTGTCGAATAACTAAAATATGTTGCTGGCTGGTTAGTGTACAAATTTTGCTCGAAATCTGACTACTTTGACCCAGCTAAATACTTTGGAGGTTTGAAATTTTGAAAAATCGCGAAACGAAGTGATGTATTCCCTACGTTCCCAAATTATGGGTTATTAATTCGAATCTGATTTTGGGAAAAAACGATTGAATCCGTCGAATGCAGTGAAAACCACACGCAACAGATTGTCAGCAAGGGTTTCGATTGCGGATTGTCATGCGACAGAGAGACAGATGAGAAGGGGCTCAAGTTCGAATTTTGGGTTCGGACATACATATTTGTAATCGGCATCAATTTCATCGAACGGTGGATTTAGATACTTTCCTGTAATGAAGAGGTGAACGTACTTTACCGGTCTCCATCTACTAAGACGATAAGTAGTTGATTTGTGTTTGGGTCCTAAGCGGATCTTGTCCCGTTTTCTTCTCGTTCAATCCCGTTCTGTTCTCAATGAAAGTCCAAAAGCTATATTTACCAACGACTTTGGCATCTGTGGTAGTATATTACTCCGCTTTCTGATTTTCTAACTCAAACTTTTCTCCCATGGCTGGGGAAACAGGACAAATCCCCCTTTCCCAGTGCAGCCTTGTAAGTAACAAAGCATTTTTATGTGGTTTTTATGAGTTTTGTGGTTTGCTGCGTAGTCTTAAATCTCTGCCTTTCTTTTCTTGGTGTACAAAACCCATTCGCAAATCTCAAATATGTTTCATAACGAGATTAAAAGCCTGGAGCAACAACTGCAATCCGTCCGACGTCGCCACACACGGAAAGTGAGATGCCAGCCAAACTTGTCTGCTTCCGCGTGTGTGTGTACATAGTCCCTGCTCACGAGAGACGTTGGCCAGGTTATCAGCATTGCGAGGGACGCTTTATGGGAGGAGCGAGATGGTGGAAATCAAGTCGTATCAAGAGTCGCTAATAGTCTCGTTTCCTTTTATTCTCTGTTGACACCCTAAAGCTCGCCACATTTACTTTCTCCTCCACACATACACACCAAACTATCACACCAATCACATCGAAACCAAACAGGAGTGTCGGGACGATGCAGTTTTATGTATTTAGTACCCGGTGGGCATTGGCAGTATCATCACATTATTACAATCGCACGGGAGTCTGATCCCATTCCCGATGGTGACATGGAATATTTGCTCTCCTCCTGAATGCGTTTGCAGAATATGAGATATGAATATTCATAAAGTTGCTGCTACGCACACACGCTCTGGGCAAACTTTTGTATGTTTTTCACTCCGACCAAATCCTCCAGCCGCATAATAAAATTCGTGGTTTGGTGTCGTACGAACATTTCATAGCATTTTATGCCTAGCTTGCGTCTCTGTGTGCCAAGTCGCAGGAGGAATAATTTTCCTTTGATTTTGATTTTCACCACCACCACCACCACAAGAACCACAACAACAACAACCAACCGATCGACGAAGGATGGTGACGGACAGCACTTGCCTAAATTGCACACACGCCAATTGAGTGCACACGGATAAATTCAAAATGGGTTATTATTCCCCCAAGTGGTTGGTGGAATATGTCGCTAATATCCACTTTCTCTGTCCATTCACCTCCTAAATTATCAATTGGATCTGAGCAAACAAACACAACACGTCCTGGGCTGGCCTGGATGCATTTAGGGGCTGGGGACATATTGGTGCTGCGGTACTGGTCTATGTGCTCGCAGCACTTTGTTCTAAGGCAGCTTGATTGGCGAAATTGTAGACGACGTAATTAAATAATTAACTTTTGGTATGAAGATCCCCTGAATCATGCACGAGCGAGCAATGCAATTTCGAGTTAATTTGTAATTGTGTGGTTGTGGCCTGGTTGGCAGTCCTGGGCTTCGCATAGCTGTACGTACGGAGTCGTCATCGCCCATCGACCAGCGTGGTGACAGTGAAAGGTGCTGACACGACAGGTAGAATCAATCAATCGATGGGGATGGCGGTGAAGATGGAGGAATGCCCAGGACGACGGACGTGTTAAATGTTTTGATTGGGAAGTGTAAATTATGTAGGGAAGGATTATTTTGGTGACACGACAGAGAGTGAGGTGGGAATGCTAAATGTCAACCAGAGCTATTAACTTATGCATTATTACGCAATGACAAGTCGTAAAGATCTCTCAAGTTGTGCCATAATTTAAAAATTACAAAACGTATTGATTGGCTCTCTGAGAGGAGCGTGTGTGACACAGAATTACTACGTCAGGGGAACGTACAAGAGAGCTCATGAATGAATGAATGAATCCATGTTTTCAAGGCGTAGTACAGGGAATAATAATGAAAAGCATGATTAGCTGGCTGGTTCGTGTTGTTACTTTCTCTAATTCCTTTACACACATCGCTGCGTCGTTGAGCTCGCCAATATAGCATAACATACGTAGGATTGTAATACACCAGGGACCTGGAGACATTATGCATCGGGTCGTCGTGGAGTGGGTGACATGGTCAGTCAATCAGTCAGTTTTGAGCAGTAACAGCCATTATTTCCGACCGTGTGGCGTGGGGTTGGTTGGTGGCACACAAATAGCGTCCGAGAGTTGTCTGGTCGTGCTGAAAGGTGGTCTCCTCCACAGAAGAAGCAGCAGCAGCAGGAGTTCATGCAAATTGAATGAGACCATCAATTGGGCCGCCGTTATCACAAGTATCCAACAACAAGGCGAATGCATGCATGGAATGTTTGTCGAAACTAACCAACCAACCAACCACTTTACTCTGGCTCGTGGTGAGCATACGCCTATGTGAATTATGAGTCAGCATACCAAAGGGCGCACCGCATTGGCACTATCATCTCAAGTGTATTGACTATTTCGCTAACTTTCTCCGAGGAGGGTGGTTCACTTAGGATGGACGGGGACGATCCAATAATTGGCCACCATTCATAACCAGACTTGCAATTAATTCTTGGGGAAAGTGACATCTTATCGGCGAGACGGAGGATGATTTTGGAGTGATAAGTGACACAATGTCTGGAGTCTCATCGATGGTCATTTATTGACGTACCTACACATGTACCTGCACGCTAATGGGGGAAGAATAAGCGGAAAGTGCAGCACTGGTGGTGAGGCGGACGACTGACTCCTCATGTTGGTAGTTACGGACATCGTATCATTGGAAATGCTTCAGAATGTTTTCCTGGCCGATCCTCCTGTCACCCAATCGCCGTCCTGCTTTCGAAGCTAATCGTGTATGAGCCAAGTTAGGAAACAACTCCCAATTTAGGGGACACCAGTTAGTCGTTCGGCAGAGAACGGGTCGCATTGCAGCTCAGCGTCCACCACAAAACCCAGCCTAAATCATTGAGATAAAATACGTGAAGCACATTGCACATCGTTGGATGGGAGTGGATAACCAAGTCTTGGGGTGACCTGGGTGCTAAATTTTTGAGAAAGGACGCACTCTCCACAGTCTTCTTCATTCTCTCATTAATTAACTGCTTCGTGTGCGCGTGCATTTTTTGGGTGTCCACGGCACATGGGAATCACTGGTAAGACTCCAGATTCGCTCCTTTCCTCTCGCTAATCCACACTCGAGTTAGCTCAATTTAAATTCAATGTAAGGTTTTGCTGGGCGGTGAATAAGTTACACGATCTCGAGTTATGCACGTCTTAATTGACCAGTGACCGAGCGTGACCTTCGTCTCCTTCACCCCAATTTTAAAGATTAGCCCCGCCTTCCTTTCCTTCCTACTTATTCACAGTCTGTATAACAATTTGGCGTTATTTTAACTGGCATGATTCACTAATCGTCCTCAGGTACCTTTGAGAATAGTCCGCGAAAAATACGTGTGTGTATGGCCACGATAAAAGTAATGCAAAGTTGCAAAGCTGATTTCGACATTGGAGAATAATTTAAAAGGTCAGACACACTTCGGAGGTTCATGATATTTCAGCAACTTGTACAAAAAACGTGTTTTTCAATTCCCATTTCGAATTTACTCTTCTCTGGAGAATGTCAAAACATCAATGCAAATTGATTGGTTGACATCGTATGTCAGCCTCACCGTTATTTGGCTCGTGTCTCTGTCATTTGCAAATTCCATGCAAATAATGGCTCCCACTCTTCCACTGTAATCAACGACCCGGCACAAAAGTACCACTCGTTAAAAATTTAGCTGTTTTATAATCCATTTAGTAGTAGTAAAAAGGTGCATAAAAACATGGCTAAGATACACACTTTCATACATTATTCACGATTATGTACAGAATGCACAGAAACAATTCCTGAATGAAACGGTGACTAATCTGCCTGCCAATTGAGCATACGGCCAATGAAAATAGTAGTAAATAGTTGTCCACTTTGGTACATGATTCATCACGACTTGGTATAAATAGTCCCGACAATTAACATTGTTTTTCTGGGGCTGAACGGGACGGTGCCAAAACACGAGGAATAACAAAGTATAAAGTGAAAGTACGTTATTCATGATGTACACACACATTGCACCAATTCATGATTCAGTCTTCTCATGAATGAGTCCGTCATGTTTAATGTCTCGTCAATGTTTATGACAGGACGTCAATCTCGCCATGGTTCTAGTCATTGCACTCAAGGTTCCAAGATCCTCTGCACAGTGGCGACGGACGACTTTCACCTTCGCCTAAAAGTTAAGAAATACGCGGACGCAACCTTCGATTCACATTATTCTTTCAATCGGCTTAGCATACTTGCCCTTGAAATTCACAAGTAGCACCAATCGGAAATTCCATCATATGGCATTTGTCAATATTCCAAAAGTGCTAATTTCTCTGATACCTTGTTTCCGTGAGTTGTGAACAATTTCTGTGAATTTTTGCCCTGTTCTGCTCAAGGTTGAAGAAATGAGGGAACAAACAAAGTATTTGACCATGAATTGCACCAATTCTGTTAACCACCAGTGATAACCATCGATAATAAGACACATGGATACTCATATTCCATGAAATATTGATGCTGCATACATATGTACAGGATAGAGCTGGGGTGCGTTGAAGGCGGAAAAATAAGATAATTTAAGAGGTCAAATATTCATTCAGCTGAAAAATTGATTCCTCGTGGGATAATTACACTAATTTCCATTTTGGATTGATTCCCAAGGACGAAGTCCGATCTCTCATCGTTTCGATCCTTCACCTCAGCCTATGAATTCAAGCTGATAGCTCTCCTTGTCTATAATTTAGGTTATTGTTTTTCCAGCAGCTCTGTTTTCGTACCTCATGCAAATTCGTTCCACTTTTAGCCACATAGCTCCATCGACCCTCGTCATGTCGGTGGGCTTTTTTGTCTCTTGGTGGAATCGGATTATCGGAACAATGTTGTCCCCGTGGCATTCCTAGTCCCTCTCATACGTGCACTTGTACTGGTGTGTAGTGTACATGCATGCAAATAAGTATGCCTCCCTCCCATGCACGGTACGAGAATGGAGGAATATAAGATGGAAAATTGCGATAATAGTTGTTCACTTATTTAAACCTGCTCAATAATTCACGGGAGCCGCTCCCATCCACCACTTTCCAACAACACTGCTCCAAAACAATATCTCTTCCCACCATCCTTCCCTTCTTATCGGTTATTAAGACTCCGCGAACAAAAAATATAATCCATTCAACTCCTCCATGATAAGTAATTGCCAAGTACATGCATTTGTTGTCCACGATTGGATTATTTATGCTCTAGTTGTTGGAGCAATCAATTATTCAGCCGAGGAGGGTCCCATTACTCGAGCAGAATAATTTAATGAGAATGAGAAATTGGCTACGGATGCATAATCTCGTTAGCTAAATTCATTAGTGTACTCGTTCGCATTCTTTCGTCAAGTTGTTACCTTTGAATATTGTCCGTTATCATTGTTATCAATGCGTTTAAATCTCGCTTGAATGGGAGGAAAAAGCAGGGGCATCAATGAAGGCGTGGATTTTGCACAATGTATTTTTACGAATGGTTTATCTCACTGGATATCTGCATGCCCAAAACTTGGTTAGTTAGGGGACGAGCTGGTGGTGGTGATGTGGCAGGTGTGCAATTAATTAAATCTAATTGCTGCTGGCCTTTTCGGGTTTTCTTTTCTATAGTTTTGTTCTGTTTGCGGATAATTGGGAAAAGTCTCCTTCGTGTGTGCAGCCACTCGTCGTCGTCCTATGCTAATCCCCGCACAAAAGCCTCATGTAATTCCATATCCCTCTTGGGTGGCGTTCTTTCTCCATACTTTTATTCTAATTGCTCTTGTCGGACTTAATTTCGTGATCGAAATTGGTACCCCAGTGTTCTAAATATGCTCAATGTGACTCGGTGGGTCGTCCTCTCCTGTTCCAGCAGAATTGTATCCACTCCAAATCTACACAAGTGCCCGCTCTCCCGTATGCAATGTATTTTTACTTTTTCGTAAATTTTTCATTTCTTAGATTAAGCTTGTAACTGTGTTAAGGTTATTTCAAGTAATGTTCGATTCCTTTATGGTCCGCCATGTTTCGTGTGCTTGATAATCATGCAAACCGTGAGGTATACCCGTAAACTCAAATGTATTTTGTACGAGTCATGCAATGAGCTGTTAGCATTAAGCATTAATTAGAGTACTTTCGATTAGCAAATGAGACATGCTGCGCAAATTTCAGAGATCATTGCAAATAATTCACAACAGACGATCAAGCGTCGATGTGTGCAAAATTCTTGTCGGTTGGAAGCACATCGAATTCAATCGGATTATGGGACGGACTTATTTTTCCTCTCTGAAGGGAGCCGAATCAATTATTCTATTAGGCTGAACAAGGTAAATAGTTAATAACTCGTAAAAATTGGGAAAGTGTCACGCAAAGGAGGGGATTCGCATTATTGTTGTGCATGGCATTTGGTGAATGAGAACGCGTCGGGCCTTTTGTCCTAATTTGTGCCACTCAAGTATTTACTGGGTTTGCGTTGGACTTGAAATTCCAACTTGTTCTATTCCTGGCTGGGCCAAACACACCACCAATAATTCAAAGTTGAAGTAGTAAAATTGAGAACTGGAGCAGTGCGAATGTAAACATTGTACTTGGAGTTTAAAATGCCATCATCCATTTGGTGTGGCCGGTGTGGGGCTCTCTCCGCTGGTAAAAGCACAATTTGTAGCCGCAGAAGAAATAAAGTTTTCAGCCGAGGTGAGTGAAATGCATGGGCAAGAAATTGTGTGCATAATGTTGGGTAGGAGGTTGCCCATACGGAGGGACGACGACGGATGGATGAAGTGAGTGAGTAAAAAGGTCGGCGTGTTTATTTTGACAAGGGCCAGCCAGCGAGGAGGAGGTTGTTTGTTATTTAGCTAAATATTGGCAGTTTGCATGACATGACATGTGGCGAAACAAGCTGAAATGCAAACCAGACCTAGAAAAAACAGCAGCCTAATCCTACACATCGTGCATTGTGCGAAATAGTTTCGACCCGCTGCCCTTTCCAACCGCACGAGCAGGCTGGGGATTCCATGATATGGCTCAAATAATGAGTTGGCACACAAACCGTTAAATATAACCCATTGAGGAGAAAAATTAGCATCAGTCTGTCTTTGGAACTTGGGTGGTTAATTCGGTGATCATCCATTCTGGGGAAAAGGTCTTATTTACACGCATCCTGTTTTTGTGCATTCCCAGGAAGGAAGTGACGCAGCCTGACACACACTAAATGACAGCTTGTATATTCGGAATTAAAGTGGGCGATGCCGGAATAAAGTTCCAAATTCATGTGACCAAGCGATCGAGTTTGTTATTCAGAACCCATAAAAAGGAAAGAAGAGGAACTCGCGAAATATTGAGCAATAGTTAAGAAATTAGGACGATGACAAATCCTGGTCTGCCTCTGGGACACTGTCGACAGATAGCGGTGCTGATTTTGATCTCCTGCATTACTTACGTCTCACCTGATGGTAAGTCGCCCTTATAACTCAAATAGAAATAGGTTCAACCAAGATACTGATGAAATAATGCGAATATAATGTGTCGTAGTGTTACGACGCGACGTGGGGCACCCAACTTTCACTCCTGGTGGCGGTGGCGGTGGGGTCCAGATGGACCCTCCGCCCTACAACGTGAGCATACATCACCTGTCCCCCCATTCTGTCGAGGTCAGTTGGAACTGCAAAGGCCAAAACTCCCACGACAAATACGAAGTTACGCTTAAACCCCTCGAAGCCAGGTATGAAGCCATTTCTAGTGCATGGGGAAAGCGACAATGAAACAATGAAAGTTAACAATAAAAATTGCTATTGCTCAAATTGCTCCGCAGTTACAGAGTAATCGAGACCGTCCCCTTCAACACGTGCTTCATAAAATTGGAACGGCTCGATCCCAACACGAGCTACCAAGTTTCTGTGGCCTCCTTTGCTGGAAAGGTGCGGAAACGATCCAGCTCCGTCATCTTCAGAACTTTTGGTACATTTTTTGGTCCCTCTTGTTGTCGCACTACTGCGGATACTGACTTTTTATCTTGTTCCCTTGGTTTGGTTTCACGTAGCGGACGTGGATGTCGATTATGGGGACGTTGTTGAGGACGATACTTCACCCTCGACAGCCACCTCGCCCTCGTCCTCCCAGGGCGGCAAAGACCGGCTCCGACTTCCCAGGGTACGCCTCGTGGAAGTGAGTTTGGTGGGAATGGCGCTGATTTTGTGGGCAGGAGCCATCGTCCTCTTCTTCCACCGCTGGGGTAAGCGCCCTTTCGCCACTTGTAGAGCGATGCGATTTATAGAGAGGTTTCTGCTCAGGAAAAATAAGAATGCTCCTCCCCTTCACACCCGACTACAAGGAGATGAAGAGGACCACCTCCATTTGCGCCAACTGCTCCATGACGCCCCATCACCAGGTAGGTTTTCTAGCCCTAGAATGCATTGTAGCAACGAGATGGATCCGAACTGTGTGACGCTGTATGACGAAGCAGTCTTGGGCTTATCCAAGGGTCCTGCAATAGCCCATGTTAAATGTCAAGAAAGGGAGCTGACCAAAAACGTTTTTTTCTCGCAATTCTCAGTTTCACAAAAAAATAAAAACTTCTTGACTCGTGAATTACGTAGAAAGTAGAAAGAAATTTAAACTCGATTTGGATTCACGGTTGGTTTTTATTTGTTAGGTCCGAAATTACGACTTGTTTTCTATGGACTCAAGAATCACCATTTAGCTGTCCCACCCACGACTACCACCACACGATTAGCAAACAATCATATCTCAGCCACTGATTTTATAACGACCTCTCGAGTATATTTTTAGCTTAGCCGCGTCGGGTGTGTATTTTTTAGACAATGCTCCCTAAATTCGACTTCCAGCAGTTATTCCTCACCTCCAGTGTATGAACAGGACAATCAATTCCACGTGTCTGTATTTACATATCTGGGAGGTGAAGCTGGTTAGTTAGTTATCGGTGCTGTCTCAACTCAGACTGATTACAATGTCTACACTTCCATTTACTGTACTGAGATCGAAATTAGTGTGTGAGTGACTCCCGATAAGGGGAAACACATGTCAAACCCACTAAGAAATTGACGCCACAATCCAAAACCACAACTGTACGGACATTTTTTACAGGTTAGCTCCCTTTGGACTTGCATTCCAAACAATACTTAATGATGCCACTACCACTCGTTTTTGTCTAGTTTTGTAACTAGTTGAACACTTAGTCAGACCAGTCCTTCTCCTGAGAGCACCTTTCTTTCTCTTATGATACACACACTCTACTCTCTCTCTGCTAGCTCGGTAGATCATATAGGTCACACATTCTTGACCCTTCCCCCCACCACAGAAAAGTAGTCGTAAAGTACACTAAACCAATGGGTTCCGTTGTGTCAGAACAAGGCATTGCTAGTTTTTTTCTCTCCCTGTGTGCAGTGCTGCCGAGTGCATCAGTTGGCATACGCTGGTGCGGAGTTCGTGGGACCGCTCGTCGGAGGTCCGGTGACCATGTCGCTACCCACGAAGGCCGACCTCGTCACCGTCCCAGTCACCGACACGGGTTGCAGCCCAATCCGACCGAGATTAAACTCATTCATCGTCTACGACATCGTAAGTCCACCTCAGCTCTGTCTCAAAAATTCCCATAATGCTCAAATTCCTCCAAACGTATGCAATGACTCCCTTACTTTCGTGCGCGCCCTTCCCTTGTGCACCCCAATCCCTAATAGCGTTTAATCAGCTGAATACGTATAGTTTGATGGGCGAATAGAATGGATCGAGTATTTGTGTTCAGGCAGGTTTTGCTATCTGTCTTGTCGCTCGTGCCGTTGTTTTCGAGGAGTCAATTAATAAATTGCGAGGTCCGTCTTATGTAAATTCTTAAAATAGGATGCTCGTCATGCAAACGAGTGGGTGCACATATCCATGCGAAACGTACCAGACTGCATAATTAATTGGCTATCAGGATGGTAATGAATATAGACGCTGCCTACGCACATATCCCGGCACTAAAGCTGCATAATTAAATCCAGGTAAAATAAGAGATGGTTTGAGAAAGGAGCCAAAGGAGGGTGACATTTCAAAGAGCGAGAGACGTATTACACGTCACGCTAGGAACTATTTAAGTGGTCGAATCGTGGTATTGGCTGGCCAGCCATGCTTATTCTTGAGATGGGAACACTTGACGGATTTTCACCCATCGACCGACCACCACTCGTGCCCATCCAGCTTGCATTTGATAAGAGAGAACTAACAAGAATAAGAATGCGTAAGAGCAATCGATCAAGGATAAATTGCTAGGGAGGCAATTTAGTCGTGCACTCGATAGGTTTTCTCCTCTACAAATCTACCAATGCTCACGTAAGACATGAACAAACTCCTCATTCCTTGCAGCATATTTACGATACTATTAACCATATCTGCACACGAAGAAAGTGGACAAATTGCATAATCCGATGAGTCATTGAATTATATAGGCTGTCTTATTCCAAGGGTTTTCCACTCGGGGTCGTTTGGAGGATTACTTAATTTGAGGTTACTCCAGGTTGTGTCCCTAAGGTCGACTTTGCCAAATATGTAGACAAATAGACTAATAATCCTTCAAGAGGCCATCCCAAAGTTTCAAACCCCCCAAGTAAAACATGGCTTGATGTGGAAACAAAGGAATCGGGGTGGTCACATTTTGAAGCAAAACTGCATAATTCCACCCACTCATGACAGGATAGGTTTACTTAGGTGGCAAGTTTTCGAATCCTCCAAGATTTTTACAAATTTGCAAAAGTCGATTAAACTGACAGCCTGTGACAACATAAAATATCCCAAGTGGAAAATCCTTTCCCTTATTCCTAAAAAAACATTTTTGTTATCTAAACATGTATATTTTTGTATGTAATCCAGAACGACTGCAGAAAGGAACATCGTGCAGGAATGTATCGGAAATCAAAGAGTGCTGAGCACTTGGCACACTACGCCCCCTTCACGGAAGAGGAGCCTCATGGGGACATTATTTCTGTGGATGTGGCTGGAACAGAAATTTGATTCATTATTGTTCCCATATTTTACGACAAAGAGCTACAGAACACGGTTTTGGGCTACAATTCAATAACTCACTAATTTTATACAGCTTCATTTCCGGCAAGATAGATTTGGTCCAAGTATAAAGACGGGGAATTCTATCTTCTCAACTATTTGCAAGCCCCCTCACACAATAATATTCGTCTCAAAGTATTGGGAAGAATTAACTGTCTCTATTGCGCAATTCTAATAAATATGTAAATAAACCAATAAACGTTGATACTGCTACTGTTTCGTAATGCTGAATTTATTTGTTGAAAGTTATTATTCATAATAAATTGATCAGTATTGGTGAATATATAAAAATAGAAATATATAAAAATTCTAACATATTTTGTACTGGTCACGAGGGATAAAACGGAGAATTAATCACTATTTAGTTATCACAGTCAGTTCGGAAACTAATAATTAAGGTACGAAGATTTCCACATGAGTATTTCTTAATAAAGAGACAATTTCAGAAAGTCACTAAATCTTATACTTATACATATATATCACAGTACAGTCAGTACAACAAGGCAATGCAATTGCCAAATGCAACTACAAACAAGGTATACAAATAAATAATTGCTATTTCATAAATTTCATACGATCTGGACTAATTTTATAACAGTCTATGTTTTAGCGCGTGAGTTTTCATTTTGTTTCATATTCAGTCTAATGAGCAGAGATCCGTGATTAATTAATCGTGATTAACGGATTAAGGATTGGGATTAAGGATGAATAATCCTTAATGCTTAATCCCAACAAAAAAATGTGTGAAATCAATCCTTAATCCTTAATCCCGACGAAATATTTTTGCTCCATTAATCCTTAATGCTTAATCCCGACGAAGCATGCCCAAATTATTAATCCTTAATCGTGATTAGGATTAATTCTCACGAGAGATTAATACTGCGAATGAGCAAAGTAACAGTTATTCTCAACCATGTGATATTTTTCCATTCTTTCTACTTTCCTCTCCTGAAATTATCTAGCATGCATTATATTTTTTAACTTTATATTGTTGCTTCCATAAAAGTACTGATTCAATCGTTAATCATGGCGAACAGGAATCTAACTGAACTGAAAGGTTTGCCATTCGTTTTGACCGGCACATTTTTTGATGTCGAAGAACTTGACAAGTCTTGTGGCTCTGTAAAGGCCAGGGGCATAGCTTGTGCACCAAAACTTGCCGTAATTGGCGGGGATATTATTCCAACATTGATTTTTATTACGTACTTAACGCAATACTACTATATATTGCACGTTTTGTAAGTATTTGAGATTTGACACATTAATATCGCTGTGTCGATAATTCTGTGCAGGAAAATAAAAATTATATTAATCCTTAATCATGAATTAATCAGGATTAATTAATCCTTAATCCTTAATCCCGAATTCAAAAGCATTGTGAATTAATCCTTAATCCCAGCAAATTGAATTATTTAATTAATCCTGGACTAATCTAATCCCGGAATAACATTAATCCTTAATCCCACAAAAAAATTCATTAATCACGGATCTCTGCTAATGAGTGATCCAGTCTTTAGGAAATCTGTTGAAAAAAATAAAAATGCATTTCATTAAGGAAGGTTTACAACTAACAACAATTAAACAATTACATTTTGTAGTATAATTCGGGGGGATATTGGCACCTTAAAAATGCAATTCTAAAGGTTCTAATTCTAATTGAATGCAAAAGCCGGTTTGGAAGGAGACAAAGAAGAATCCTCAACTTTCCCAGAGCGAAATGGAAGAGCGGTGCTTGCAAGAGCCAACTACAGCTGCCTTTCACAAAGTCGTCATTTCGTTTTTTGACTACGGAATTTAATTCCCTCTACTTTAAATCTTCTCCTGAAGGAACATAACCAGGCCATTAAAGGTAAAATGGGTTAATTAATCTTTTGAAGCCTAATCGTATATGTGATGCCGATATTTTTTATTTTTATTTTAGAGCAGAAACAACTTTGAGTAGTACTACGCATATTATTAACATATCATCGTGAAATGGACGGTTCTGGAGAGGGATATTACAGGTCCCCTCAAAGGGGGTGGGGTCATAGACCACCTCGCTACAATAACTATAATTCTCCCGGGGGTGGTGGCGGCGGCGGCTGGCAACAACGGCCACCTTATCGGCCTCGCCAACAACAAGGCTATCGTCCAAACAGCCCATTTTGCTCCACTCCTATTAATCAACGGCCCTACCACCACCGACCCTACAGGCCCAATTTCTCTGGAGGACAAAACAGACGTGGTGGTGGCAGGTTCAACTCCCCTGGAGCATTTGTACTACATTTATCTTTATGATGCCCGTTAATTGTTATTTCAGATGTTTTTTTTATGCTTTGTTTTGAGGTAGAATGATAACCAGGAGGAACAACATCAAGGGATTGATGCGTGGGTGAGTCCAGCAATGTGGGATGACCCATGGAAGCCATTCACTGCTGCTATGCGTCAGGCAGGTGATGATGACACAGGAAATGAGCTCAGAATGGAGGATGATAACCTGTCAACAGCGAAAGTTGGCCATGATATGAGTACTTCAAGTGAAAATATTACGGCGACGTCAGAAGTGCTGGATGTGAGTGACATGATTTTACGATCATTTAACGAGTCCGCTGGAGGAGTGGATGAGAGTGCAAACCCTTTGCCTGATATCAGCCGCGAATTGTTCGACAACTCCACGACGCCATCCTCATCAGCTCCAACTCTCCCCCATACAAAGACTGATGAGGAAAAAGGGGAACCAATTAAGCTTGACAAGCAAGCTGCACAAGACTGTCCGTGATAAGGTCATGAATTTTCCATTCTCTGACCTGCCAACGCCAGCTAAGACTGATGCAAGTTATTATTTTTTGTAATGTAATATGGATTATGGATGCGAGTGAAATACATGATGAAATACACAATTTTTTGTGTTGCGAAGTATAATGTCCTAACAATTAAATTTGCCCATTCATTCGACCTCTCATCATGGGAATCAAATCGGAAAATGAAAATGCGTCCGTGTCGATTAATGGATTCAAGTTTCGTTTCATCGATGCAAAAATGCATGTTATACTTGTTTCATTTGATATAAAATACTTTTCACTACATTGATAATGTAAGTAAGAGAAGGTTTTCATCATATAAATAATTTGAAGCTAACCTTAGTTGTATTCTGTATTCGTCAGTTTGACAACCACCGGCTTTCTCCGTCTCATCATCATCGCAGATCATCACCAAACTCAATTAACTACTCATTTTTTTGTATCCACAATTCCAGAAAGAACAGAAAAGAAAATCACTCATTTTGTTGCAAAGGAAGATTTCTTGATAGATTAGCACGAGAAGAAGGAAGTGGGTGGGGAGGACCCCCTTTCATCTCTTTATATTTCGCATCATTAATACGCTGTGGCATCCATCGGGCACCGTGAAGACGAACTAGTGTTTCGCGTTAGATCTGGAAAGATAAAATATTTTTTTGGTTATTCATCAAATAAATATGTAGGATTATACATATGTGTACTATTGTGTACACGGTATGAATGCCAACTATTTTGGCAAGTGAATTTGTATTCCAAATGAACAACTTTCTTTACGTGAACGTGAATGAACGTAAGAATGTGCATTAAACTTTGCTACGATTGTCAAACTTGATATATTACGAAAAACCGTTTTCAAGACACTCGTCGACATTGGGCAGTTTGATGGAATGCGTGTTGGTTTAGGTTTAGACTGATATTGATGAATCTTGCTAAAAAGCTACGTTTAACAGTAGCTAATCTACGGTTAAGCGAATGAGTCAAAAACAATGTGTGAAAAATATTCCCTCTTTTTCAAAATATGTTTGATGCATAAGTGCCGAGGAATTGTATTATCATGAAGGCAGGCAAATGGTGCATTTTCATCGTCATTGGCTGACACCACACAAAAAGGATTTGATTTCAACGAAAACGATTCATTTCACAAAGTTGGTTATTTGTGTACATTTTAAACATCATGTTAAACAATGAAATTACTACTAAATTATAAAGAGAAAATACTTGTGAAATTCACTCCGAATACCTTCAGAAGAAAGCCGATGAGGAACTCCATTAGTGTCCAGCCAAGACAGAGGGATAGCAGCGAGAGATACAAAAAAGGTCTTCGTGTGATGTTGATGATGACGATGCGGTGATTTGTTTGTCTTGTCCAACAACTCTCTGAATTTGCGACGTGGTTCGATCTTTCATTCAGGACATAAATTGTGGAGCGGGTGACAATTTTATACACATAATTGGGGCGCACACACAAGAATAATTGTTCTAGAGCTTTAAAATTGATAAACCGTATGTAATACACTACTACCTATTTCATAACAAGAGGGTGAAGAGCTGTTATACAAAAGATCATGCTTGGCTAAGGAATAAAATCATTAGTGGATATTTCATGAGGATGAGGAGCAGATGTCGAAATCCCCGAATTATTCTGATCTGAAAACTTTCCAGAAACGAGTCCCGATTGACCAGATGAAGGTGGTGGCGGACCAGCCTGAGCAGCTTCTCGTTTTATTCGACGTTGTTTCTTTGACCAAAGCTCATGACAATCTTGCCAGGTGGGAAGGTTGGGAGGCTCCATCTCTTCCGGCACAACATTTTTCAACCATTTGCTCTCAAGGGCAGCTTCGGCAGAAATTCGCTTGTCCGGATCTAATTCCAGCATTTTGTCCAGCCTAGACATTTCCCAAACAGAGGGAGGATTGTTATTATTTTAATAACTTACCATTACGATACAAGTTCCAAAATGACACAAAATAAGCTTTCTCAACTAGGCGACGCAATAATTTGTACAAACGAAATTTGTCAATAGAGAAACTTACAAATCCAGAGCGGATCCTGGCATACAGCTCATTTCCTTGCGAAGACATCTATTATAGTTGCGTTTAAAACGAATTGTTGCCCAGAGTGGAAGGTTAATAACATTGGGCCAAACAGCCGGACTTGGTGTCCCACACAGCCTGGCAATAATTTCCAACTGTGCAATTTCTGCATTGGCTTGAAACATGGGTCGTTTCAGAAACAACTCGCCCAGAATGCAACCACAGCTCCAAACGTCGATTGCTGGGCCGTACCTTTCTTCGCCCAGGAGTAGCTCGGGGGGTCTGTACCATAGCGTGATCACTTTATTTGTGTAGGGACGAGACTTGTCTTTGGCCAAGTACAGACGGGCGAGTCCAAAATCGGCCAGTTTTATTTGTCCCCTAAAAATACGCACAAAAGAATTCTCACATTATAGAAATTTGTAAGAGCGCCACGTCAAGAGTCAACCCATCACAACAGCACTTTTGTATTTATTTATTTTATTTTTTGCTGTTTACTCGTGATCAGATTACGAATACGGAAAAGATATTTTTCATCGAATCGTCAAATTTAGCGTTTCATCATGTGTAATAAAGAAGAGCAATAGAATTGCTTAATGTGAAGAGAGAACCCCAACCTGCCTGCTCCACACCACATCATCATACCTGTTGTTCATTAGAATGTTGCTGCATTTAATATCACGATGAAGGAAATTCTTTTGGTGACAGTAGCAAAGGCCATCAAGGAGTTGACGCATTATGCTCGCATTATGCTCCTCGGTAAAACTGACCATGCCTGACTCTAAGAGACCCATCAGATCGTGGTCCATGTACTCAAATACCAGGTAGAAACTCCCACGATCCTTTATTTAACAAATTGAAATTGTTTTCATTTGTCGTTCATCAGTAGAGGACAAATGTGATATCTTACCTTGCGGAAATCAAGCGCATCTTGCTTATCGGTTACAATTTCCTTCAGATTCACAATATTTTTGTGATTCAGCTGTCGAAGAATTTTTATTTCTCGAACAGCTGTGATGGGAAAACCTTCCTTCTCGTTTTCTAAGCGAACTTTCTTCAATGCTACCAGCGTCGCTGTATTACAACACCAGGTTAGTTTTTACATAAATCAAAAATAGTTAATAATACTGAGGTAAGTAAATAAATGTTTACCAGATATGGAATCCTTTGCTTTATAAACCTGACCATACGTCCCCTCGCCGATTTGGGCGATCATTTCGAAGGAATCTATGCATCTATCTCCCCAATCAGGGAGCTCTTCGCGTTTGTCAATTATTTTTGGTCGTACGATCTTCCGTCTCACAGCCACAGGACCGTCAGGACCAACTGCACACAGAAAATCAAACATGACAATTTCATTAAGCCCGTTGCAACTCAAGGAAAAAGTGCATTGATCAATCACCAAACACTCTCAAACATGTAAGTATTTTTATAAAAGAGACAAACCGAGCTAAAAATCTTATTAGTATTAAGAAAAACTGCACGGAACTCTATTAATTAATTTACCTGGGCTTATCAAGATCAATGTATATAGTATATAAGGACTCAAGTGGCCCAGGACGGAGTAGTAGTCAGTATAAGCGCATACACATATAAGTCAGGAACGTAAATGATGATATAAAGAATGACTGTCTTACCCGGTGGCATGGGAAGATCTTTGGTTATGCTCACTTTCTGATTTTTCATCGAATTCTTTAAAGCTTCGCTGGCCCCAAGCAAGTTGTCGTATAGTTGGAGGTGAGGAGGAAGGGCGACTCCGCCGCTGGAGGTAATATTATTGTTAATGTTGTTGTTGTTACTGTGTCTGTTGATAGACTCCATTCCAGGTGGAAAAGGTAAACTCATAAGTCCGAGGGATGATGAATTGTTTGTTATCACAGGCTTGCTTTGTTTTTCGGTATCTGTAGCTTTGGATGCGCGACTGTTGGTTGATGTCGAATCCGTGTTTTTGGAGTGGTTAACTTTCGAGTCAGTATTATCGTCTGTTTCATTCGTTGTGGATCCTCGCGAATTAGAATGTTCATCACTACCATCCCCAATTGTTACTATTTCTGGATCAGTAGAGGTGACCGAAGGAACAATAACGGGAACGGGTGAGGGCGACCGCTCTCGTGGAATTGGACCATGCTTCCCTCTTCTTAACTGGGCAAAAAAACTTGTCGCTTCCATGTTCCCCATGGATGGAACTGTAGGCGTCAGCACCTTTTCGTTAGTAGCAGGAGCAGGTGGATAGATGGGGGGACCGGGCTGCCTTCTCTCTTTGGGTGGCCTTTCGTAGGAATAAATATTATAAAGATAAACTATAGCAAGCTAGAAAATGTACAAGGCAAAAGTGTTTTCTTAACAAAAATATACATACATTGGACTTTCCGACTCTTTCCTGGACCGCTTTTTCTGTCTTCTATGTCGACGCTCGTCATCGTCATCTTGAGCTTTTCTTTTACCAAAGTCAGATGGAATATATTTTTCATACGCTTTTGGTGGCAAGGGCGGCGTATGTGGGGACAGCAGAATGGAATCAGTTTCCATTCCTCCATTAAACTCTTGTCGAGAAGAACTTCTACTATCTGGGGAGATTGCTTCCGTGTTGTGAAGTAAATCGGGAGCTGATACATTGGACATTGGCGTGATTGGGCTACCAGAAGGAAGATCTGTGGGTGTTGTTGGAAGAGGAGCATCTGCCTCGGCTCCCGGAGGGCTGACGGGTTCAGCATCTGAGTGAACGGCAGTCAAGTTGTTCATTGCACTAGGTTTTGAAACATTCCCAGTGACCGTGTCATCCGCATCAGAGCTGATGGGACTTCCCAAATCGGACGAAGGCTTCCTTTCAAAATTCCTATACAGAATTTAGAGAAAATATTAATTATTAACGTGGACAATATGGACAATAATCTTATTAATAAGATCATTGTCCATAATTAGAACTTGTATTAATACAATATCTAATTAGATCAAAAGCAGAGGGAGCAACTTACTTTTGGTGTAGTTTAGCATTTGTTGAATCCGAAATGTTGGAATCATTCCCATCCTCGTTTTCGTCCTCTTCCTCATCGGACTCACTGGAAGAGTTAGAGCCAGAACTTGTTCGGTGTTGCTTCCGATGCTTCTTATCTTTCCCACCCTTCTTCTTCTTCCTTTTGTCCTTCTTCTTATCTTTAATCTTTTTCTTGCCCTTCTTGCTACTCCTCTTTCTCGCCTTCAGTGAGTCTCTATCTCCGTTTTCAGGAGTTTCTTCAGGAGACGACCCCTCTTTGGCTTCTCCCTCAACCTCCCCATGTTGTTGAGTTGGCGTTCCCTTTGCACTTGATTCGTTATCGGAGCTATGCGCGGTAGAAGGCACGACGACTAAGGGTCCCAAAGACGGTTTGCTACCAAAGTCCAAAGACAGCAAAGGCTTGGGGCGACTTCCAGGGGTGGCTAAAAGTGGGATTCTTCTTTCTCGCTCCGTATTGCTACCTCGTCGATGATCATTGTCCAATCTGTAAATAATTTACAAATTATTAGATCATAAGTCGGTTATATAAAAGATTTATCTAAAACAAAGTTTACTACAAAGTACTCTAAAAAAATGTATAATGTGTGTACCTATTTTTATCACCCCGATTTTCATCCCCTGCAGCCGCTTCATCTGAGGAAACCTCTCCTTCACTGACTGATCGAGAACTGGACCTTTTTCTATACGACCTGCTCTTTTTATTAGAATCTCCTCCCGTCGACGTTTGCCGTCTGTCACCACCACCAGTCTTTTGCTTCCCTCTATGCCCCTCAGAATCACTATTGATCTCTCCCGCTTCCGGTTCTGACAAGTTATCAGAAGAGACTTCAGAGTAGACTTCCCTTCCTCGACTACGACGAGAGCTGGACGAACTTGCAGAATCCCGATGATTGCGTCTATTTTCATGACCATACGGATCCCTGCTGCTGGGACGATATCGTCTTGCACTGTCATCTCTTTCTCTGGGAGGTGGAGGATATGGGGCTGAGCGGTGAGGGTGGTATCGATCTACATTTCCTCTGCCCCCACCTCCTCCATTGTTGTGACTATTTGGTTGGCCGTGTCGGTCATATCCCGATCCACCGCCATATCGGTCTGGTCCACCTCCACCCCTGCCGTGATAGGATGATGACGACGAGTGCCGATAGTTGTTGTAACGATTAGAAGGCCCATTATCTGGCCTTCCGCCGGAACCACCAGGCATTGTTGTACCCCTCAGGCCTACAAAGGAAGATAGAATAAAACATTTTGAAAACATTGCATCCGAAAGAATATCAAAATATAAGCTCATGTTTCGTTAATACGTGTATATTTTAATTAACTAATGATAGACTTACCTCAACTATAACAGGAATGGATGCCTGCCTGCGTTGTGCGAATTTCACTCTTGCATATTCACACTTTGATATGCACTGATTTTTGACACGATGACGATTAAATCTCTGTTTTTTTAACTAATTGTTTCCCACTTCAGTTATTGACTGTTCTTTGTACGACAACGTTGTGTGTGATGCTGAATGACTTTGAAATTATCGGAAATGTATTATATTTAACGAGTATTTAATTTAAAATCGGGGAACGATCAGTTTTCAGATTTGCTTCAATCCATCCAGTGCTTGCGCTTGCTGAGTGACTGGGCTGCTGCTGCTCCTCCTCCCGGTTCCACTCGCTTGCTGGCAGAGGGAGCAGAGGAGGTTTTCGACACCCAGCACTCGTCTCAACCTGCCCCGCGGAGGAGGAGGCAACTTGCGACAACCACTTCCGCCATGGACATTGAGTGAGACGGAATAGTAGACCAAGTAAGTAGTATCAGTATGAGACGCCATATAACTGAACTCGAGCGGAAGTTGCGTAAGAGGAACAATGGGAAAGTGATCTCTAACACGCGTGGAATTTCGAACAACGGGTTGATGGTCTTATTTATGCAAATCTGAAACGTCATGTGAATCGAGAGTCATAAGGAAAATATGGTTAAATCCATTTGTGCTAGATGTGTGTCAGTTTATCATCTGTAAATTTATAAGCAAACCTTTTATACGGCATTATTATCATTGGGCTTTATATCGTAATTTGTTTTATGACAACATTTCATAGGTTATAGGTCAATAGGTTGTGCTTCTCCTTGTGCAAAACAACCGACGTCATCTTGAGCAGTGAGATCATTTTACTTGGTGGTGAGACATATAAAAGAATTTCCAAGAAATCCTCCCATTCTTTGAGATCACTTCAATTTGAGAGGAAGCAGAAAAAGACGTCCACCACCAAGTAAAGTACCAGTCCCAAAGCGATGAAATAGTCGAGGGTGCACTAAAAACCAGTTCTAGCAATAAGAGTTTTCGCAGCATTTATACATATCGCAGCACTACATATATATTAGATTTGCATTGTTTTTATCAATGTCACTAGTTTAGGAAGCTTTTGCGTGGAAAAGTTGATGCAGGAGATCAATTAAATCATAATTATTATCGTTGCACGCAGGAACTTCGTTATTTGGAATTTTTTCTCATAGTGTCCCTGAAAGTGCTGGTAGGTTAGTATAAACTGGACAAAAAGCAAGCAATATTATAACAGCTTAAGTGTTGGACGCCACGCAATCTGAAAAGCTTAATTGTTACATGCACAGCGTCACTCTGCATACGTTGAAATTTGAGTTGGGGAAACAAAAATATATTTCAGCGTCTTCCAGTTTTAGCCTCACCAGCTAATAAAGTAATTCAGCGTCCAAGATAATAAATATGTCTCTGCCAACGGAAGAAGAAAAGGACGCGATCAAAGTGGTAAGAAGTATTGTTCATTTCTGCGTATCCATACCTTTCTACTCTGCACAGAGGTCATTTTGTCGTTGATTTCAGTTCCGTGAGAACTTGAAGGATGCCTTGACGGAGGATGAGCTGGGCGACGATTTTTTCCTTCTGAGATGGCTTCGAGGTAAATGATCCTTTCGTTCCTGGTAATCCATCCATGATCCAATTTCCTAACATTTTTTATGTGCAGCACGAGACCTGGACTTGGTCAAATCGGAACAAATGCTCCGCACGGTAATGAATACATAAATAATGAGATTTGCTTTCATATAAAAATAATGCATACTTTGTGCTAATTATGTGTACATATTGCTTCTCATGCAAAATAATTGTTTCTGAGAGTAAGCCTTTCTTTCACAGGCTATATCCTGGAGAATAGAGAACAATGTGGATGACGTGTTGAACAAGAAGATTGACCCCTTCTTCCCAGAAAATTATCCGCGGTGGATTGGAGGTGTGGATAAAGAGGGCAGACCAAGTATGCACATCATTACATCACTTTCGACTGATAACTAAGCTGTTATTGAAGGATATAAATAATTAATTGGCAGTATACTGCGCGGGCGTGGGACAATGGGATCTGAGGACTGTAGTTCGCAAAGGAGAGTCGAAGGGCTTCCAAGAGTACACCACCCACGGGTTCGAAAGTATGATGCAACTCCTGAAGGAGGCCAACGACGTGCGTGAAAGCCCTGCTGAGGATACCACCGCACCCCCAATCACGCAAATCATCGCCATTTTCGACTTTGCTGGCTTTGCCTGGTCGCAACTACTCAACTACAAAGGTGAGCAGCGTCTTGCTGTTTTCTGATTTACTTAACTGCTTGGAATTAGCTTTAAATAAAAGTAAAATCGAGTTTAAACGTACTTAATCAATTGCAGCGGTTGGGGAGCTGCTTCAATTGGGGTCGATTTACGAGGCGTACTATCCTGAAATCCTTCACTCCTGCTATTTCATTAACTGCCCCTCCCTCATTTCCAAAATTTTCATCCTTCTTAAGCCCATCCTCGCCCCCAAAACTATGGCAAAAATCAAATGCTTTGGAAACTCCAAGGATGAGTGGAGGGCGGAATTTCTGACCGTCATCGACGAGGATCAACTTGTCCCTGAAATAGGAGGGACCAGGGGGCTTATCTGCAATAATAGTATGTAAATATATAATTTGTTATATTACAACCATATTTATCTTGGCTGGATTAAAACTACCGAATTGTGAATGTATGGATAAATAAACCTTATTTATAAATAGCATAACGAAGTGACGCAAAGTTATCGTTTTATCCGTCTGTAAGCAGGATATCTCAAGAACTTCTCAATATAATTAACGCCATTTTCGCCATTGTCTTGTGCTAATAAGTTTTAGTTTCCGGTCGAATTCGATAATGGGGTCAATCGGACCACCCCCATAGCGTTGGGGGGTGGTCCAAAATTAAATTAACCTTCATTTTCGTATCAGATGTCACCAGGAATTCAACGCCGTCAATATTTTTGACCTCTAACCAGCCCATGGCCGTGTAAACAACGTCAAAGGTCATAAAATGTGGAAACGTCAAAAATATAAAATTCATCTCAATGTACTCCGTTTCCGCTCTTTAATTATATTTGTTGGTGGAGTTTACTTGTGTAATAAAGCACGATTGTTTATTTTAATAAAATATTTGAGACAGGCAGTTACATAGAGTTCATGTGGTGGAATAGAGGAATTGTTATTATTTACGTTTTATTATTCTCCACTTCTCGCTGCTTGTCCACTCATCAGTCATCGCACTTCGCAGTTCATCGCACATTCACACTTTATTGTCTCCTCATGTTATCAGTGGCTTATCATTTTCACAAATACACAGCAAAATCAACATGAACAGGATACCACCACCAAATGATTATCAGGAGCCTCGCAAAAAAATTGCGAGGACAACTCCAGTCAAGGAGACTTCATTGTTAAAGAAAAACACTACGAACCAAACATCAAAAGTAACTCGGGTTCGTGTTCTTGCATTCTCGGAGCGAACTGATGCGTGGATTTTTTTTGATAAGCTTATTTGATTTGTAACTCGTAGAAGGCTCCAATGGATCTCAAAGTGTACGGCTTTCTTGACCATACCAATATTAACATCATGACACAAAAGGCAGCTGGACGTGACTACCATTTCCCCGACGGGATTGACGACACTTGTGCAAGGGTCGTCCCTAGCAAAGTTTTTGACTTTCTAAAAGCCCATCACATGAAGCCCGAAAATGTACAACAAGTAAGTACTTGACATTTGGTAGCGTTTCTTATTTAAATACTTTGGAATTGTGTTGTCGTGCAGGGTCGAGGTGACCTGGAGCACTTGTACTGCTACACATCTGATTCAACCGTTGCTGGATACGACAACATTGGTGGTAGAAACATCAAGCCCAGAGTATTTCGCAGCAGTGGGTGGTCAAAAAGGGAGAAGATTGTGGACACCTACATGGTGGCTGATGCCATTGAAACCATGTTTCTGAAAAAACCATCTTCCATTGCTGAAATCAATTTGAATTCAAATCCTCAGGTGTTTCCGACATGTTTTATTTGCTCCCTCTAATGCTACTTAATAAGAAACATAATTTAATTTGCAAAATGTATGCATTAAATAAGTAACAGGTTGTTATTAGCCCGTAGGAATCATCAGTTTGTGGACTGGGGACAATGACATCCTATGTCCCGTCATTGACAAAGCGCTCGATCATAACTGGAAAGTAGAAATTTGGTCGTTCAAAGGTTCCATTAGTCCTGAAATTGTGGGAAAATATCCGAGCGTCTCAATTCGGGAATTGGACACCATTTTCAAAGATATCAGTGAGCGGAAGACTGGCTGGAAATCAATTGCGGATAAAATTCCCCCTAAAAATGGATCCTTCAAACTTCAGTAAGAATTCTATCCACCCTCTGCCCAACCAAAATAGCGAGTCTCAAGTTTTTATTTAGTGATATTGATTATTTCTGATACTATTTAGATTTGAATCAGAATCTCAAGAGTTAGAGTTTGCAAAAGACCATTGGAAAGAAATAGTAGAATGCCTCACACGTCGGGTTGACCTTCCACTGCAGGCTTGGTGTCAATGGAAGGAGGCGACCATGTTCTTGATCCTTGCCGTTCCAGGGAGGGTACCTACATCCAATTTATAAATGCAGTAGTTCGACTCTGGTTTCACTTTTCCCACGACTTTCTATTTTTCTTAAACAAAGGACCTCCACAATTACATGAAAGTCATCTGGGATCGGAAGCAAGGACTTGAATGTGAAGTTCACACCTACATGAGGAAGTTCAGATTGGATTCAACTTGTAGGGTTGTCATCGAGGGGAGCTACCCACAAGAATCAGAGAGCATGGTACGTCCTGCTGGTGGATTGCAACATGTTCCGGGATATCGAGGCGGGGGTAGTACCTATGTCCACAACAGTACTTATCAACCAAGGCAAAATGATGGTCGTGGTAGATATCGGGGTCGTGCTGGCTATCAAAACCCACGGTAGGTTGCTAATAAAATCTAAAATGAAAATGCTATTGTTCAAACCAGGTCTTGAACCATGTATTGTCCAACTTATTATTAGTGGTGCTCGTGGTGCTCAAGATCGTAGCCATCTTGGAAGTCGATTACCTGGAAGTTCCAATTCCGAACAGAACTCTGAATTATAATGGCTAGTTATTGTAGCAGAAATTGATTTTTTTAATTACATGCATGTAAATGAATTACAGGAGGGAAATAGTAATGAATTGTCATTTCTGTTCAGGTTGAAACTTTGAATAAATTATTTATAATTTGCATATTGTATACCATACCTTTGGACAATTTCTAGGAACGTGTAACTTTATTGATAATACTGGCATTTCTCTATATAATAATTTACTACCCATATACGCGGACATTTTTCAAAGGTAATTTCACTCTTATTTCTGGAGGAATTCACTTGTGTTTGTGGATGAAGGGATTGTTGTCCATGTCGGGGTCTAACTCTGCAAAGGTGTGATTCACGTCGCGATGGGTCGCTTCATCTGCTCGAATGCACCCAATGACATCGCGCACTTTGGCGTCGGCAGGTAATTTGTAGTAGCGAATGGCGATGGAGTGGGCTGGTTCAGAACCCCAGGACTCCAAGTGACCCTCGTCGTGACCAATATCCTTCAAGAGCCCGGTATAAGTCTTGACAGCCTCCTCCTCCAGGTATCCCACAAAGCGGTGACACGTCCTGGGTGAGATGAGGTAGGTGAGAAAAAAAGCGTTGAAGAAAACGCCTTGCCCAACAATGACCATAAATCGGAAAAAGAGTCCCGGGTCTTTCATCTTCATGAAGATGAGGAGATGCATTCGCTCGTTTTCCGCTTCTGCGAGGAGCGTGTGGATCCATCCGTGGTCTCGTTTCATGCTCCGAAGACTTTTGAGGTGACGAGCCATGCCAGCAACCATTCCGGGCACCCTGCACAAGGAAATTTGTTTCATTTGTGGAAATTAATTACTTTTTTGCTACGATTTTGTTTTTGAAATTCTAAATTAGAATGTGTAGTGAGTAATAATAATTACCCTGCCACCGTTTCCAGGAAGAGGCACCGATTCAACCAGGCCCTTTTAGTCATTTCACCTCCGGGGCCCTTGTATCGCGACACAATGTCAAATCCTGTCCGCATCAGTTTGACGGCAAAGAGGGCAACTTTGTCGTACATCGCACTTGGTTCCTTATGCACTATCTCCACACTTTTAAGCTCTTCCGAAGAGTAGATTTGATGCGGCGTTGGGTTGTCCCAATAAGTGGTGGCCTTGAGTCGGTGGTCTTGATCTTTCAGTCTCCCCTGCGTCTGTCCCATCAAAGGGTGACGATTCTTGTCCAGCTTGAAGTGCTCGTTGAATTCAGCGTCGTTACCGTCATCCTCGCCCTTGCTGCCGGAGGACGGCGCCTTGGTAGAAAAAAAATTGTTGCTTGTGACCATGGGGGGAACTCTGGCGTCCCATCGTCCTGCCAGGCACGGGGTCAAGTACGATGGTTGGCATTTCACTGAGGACACAAAAAGTGTGCTAATTCTCCTCATTGCTTCTTCCTATTCAAAATATAAACACCATGCTAAAAATTTTAACTCAACATTTTCTACAAATATTGAAGTGTACCTTTTTACAAAATCCAAATGGTGGGGCACTCGTAAGAATGTAATGTTGTTTTGATCTTCAACGCAGGTGGATCAGATCCAATTTCACGAGTTCAATGTTATGCGAATAATTTAGTTAAACTTATTTGCAGGTCTTGAACGTATGCACAACTTGTGCCAAATCCAGCATGTTCTGTTCTGCCGATTGCTCCTGGACGAGTTTAATCTCACCTTGACTTTAAATGACTCTGATGATGATGATACCGATAATAGTAGTATTCCCAACTTAGCGTTAAGCAGACTGACGATAACACGGCCAGTTTGTTCCTGAATGAAACGAGTAACTTTGTGTGTCGGCTTGAGTTCACGTTGCTATACAACAGCTCAGCTTGTGGCTTCTTTCTGAGAGTAATACGCGACTGGGCGACCTTTATAAGTATAAAAAAGAGGTGCATGCAATACTGGGCCAAATTGAGTCATGCCACACTGCGATCGTGGACGTATATCACTTACGATTGCAGTCAAGACCAATCCACTGGATGACCCCCAACCAAATTCATTGATTAATTGGTGGTGAACATTTAATAAAACCACCTCCGACGGAAACTATTGCTAATCGATACGACCGGCTAATCCGCTATGGCCGGCCAACAGTAAACACTCGCCAACTTCCTCAGCAAGCAACCAAGGTCCACTGGAATTCAAAGTCTAGTTGGTGTGCAATTGGTCTATCCTGATTCTTGGAACGGTTCCAAAAGTGCGAGATTTGTTTATTTTTGCAGAATCCGACTGCACAGCGACGTCCGTGGATAGTATGAGTTTGGGACAAGTTGATATAGGAATCTGCTGGTTCGCATCGCATTTCACATCGCCATTCGCCACACCAAAACTCTCGCGTTGAGCATGTGAGTCGACGAGAAAGGCAGGAGCACATTTGGTTCGGAAATGTCAATTTAACTCGACCCGAGACTGGTAAAAGGGAAAGGAGAGAAAGCCGTGCGTGACTTGTGACGCAATCTGCTCGGCCTGCTTCGTCTCATCTCATGCAACTCTGCACCACATTGCGAGTGTAGTGTATCCCGTGACTTTGTTTTCGTTGTGTTGCTGTTGTCTCAAGTGACATAGTGCACATGATGCAGGTTCAATGTAGAAACGATGTAAATATTTATTTGTTAATGTGCAGCATGAGTAAAAATAATACAGCATATACACATAAATATGTAAATATGTTACATAAATAAAAGCTCAAGAGATGCACACCCTGCATCTCTTAATCCACTGCATAGCCTTCGATAGATCGGTTTTATGGTATTGTACAACAAATCGAGGACTTAATTACTCGACAATGGTCACATGTTTTGCTGGCCTTTGCTTTTCCTTGATCTTCTTTTCCTCGTAAAAATTATCCTGCACGGTTATGGCTGCTGCTTGAGACACAGAGCTCCTTATGTCGCCCTCCTCACACTCTTCACACTTCAGTTCGCGAATAAATTTTTGCACGACAAAAATGCAGCACAAATCTACTACGATTTCCGCCAACACTACGCCCTGCAATTGTTGCATCCTGACTTTGTAAAATCCCGTAATGAAAATAATTATGGCGAACGTTAAGCGAATGCAACGCACTGTTCGCCAAATTCTACATTTTCCGACATTTCTCTGCAAATAATAAGCAGTGACTGGTCAAATATTGGTGGATCAGATTGTCACTGTCTCGTGGAACTGAAATACCTGGTTGGCCGCTTTGAGTAGTTCCCAGTCGATGAACAAGAAAATGACGAGGATGAATATGGCAATTCCTGCGAGATTTGAACCAACTCATTAATTTGTCTGTATCAAGACCTGGATAAATTTACATGCTGCACTAAATACCAATCACTTGTCCCAGTGAACTTCTTTGCTCATCGTGGTCAAAAAGTGAAGACAGGAACGTAGAATTTTGAAGGGCAGAATTTTCTTGGCTTTCCCACGAAGCGCGACGAGTCACGGGATTATTTTTCTCAAAAGAAATAATTTCGAGAACCAGGAGACAGCTCAGAATGAGAACGTACACCGAAGAACCGATCTATGCACAAATTATTATGACAATTATTTAATTCTTCCTCGGTATGCTACATTCCCGCAAATGGGGACAAGTTTTTACCAACAATTTGAAATATTGCCACGAATTTGACCCTGTTTTGCCATGTGCGACCAGATTTCCAATTCATCTTTGAAATTTGTTTTAGGAATTAGTAAAGGATGAATTATGATGGCCTCACGTTTGAATTGAAATCATTGTTTGAGTTTAACTGAAGCTGAACTGCAATCCGGTTCATTAGTAACCTTGTGCATGCACTGGAAACCAATGTAGTAGCTCGTCTGACTTGAATTATGTGGGACAGGTTTTGCAAATGTTGACGTTGCCCATTGTGGTTTAATGCATGTATCTCTTTGTACTAGTACTACTACAGGTCTGAGAAGTAAGTCGGCATTTAACAGTGAGTGACCATAGGTAGCTTATATAAGAAATAAATATGTATGCGTGATGACCAAGGCGAGTGAAATAGACGCCGTGGTAATGGGAAGTTTGTAGTTTGCTCTTGACATTCACCATGCAAAAGTGGTGTGTATCTTTGTGTAGGTTAGTTGCTTCTGCATACGTATGTACATTCTATCTACACTGTTGTCGCCGTGAATAATTTTACTTATTTGAATAACGATATAATTTTTAGCTGATAATTTTAAGGTTTTAACTGTATGTAAATTAATGATTTGAGATATTGGGCATGGGCAATGACACATTATGAAACAGTTTTATGAATATGAAATTCCCATATGTATGTATGTATGATGAAAAATGCTTGTGTAACAAAAAGTCAAGACAAAGTCGTATGTAAAACTCGGGCCACTATTTAGCCAGTGAATGTAAATGTAAGGATGATGTGGCATCAAGAAAAGAGGAGTTTTAGTCAGGGAAAAGAAGAAAGAAATTCAGACCCAATCGAGCCGAGGAGGAGGAAACTTACCTTCAAACTAACAGCCAGCTTTTAAAATATTTCTCGATATTTTTAAACAACTAAGGTCTCATGTCGATATAAGTCAATCTACGAGTAATCGCCCTATGTAAAATAAAGCTCCGTTTTGAGTTTGTAAGCCCAATTCAAGTAGTTTTCGCGTATCATTTCGCACGAGTGCATTTACGCCTACTTTCGAACTCGGCATAATAAGACGGAGCCACCCCCATCGCCATCAATAAGTTCCTGAGGTCAAGCTGAGATATCCCCCCAATGAGCAGACAGCTCACGCCCCAAAAACATACACATTTCTTAATTTGCTTTGCTCATCCCACTTTGTTTTGTCAGTCGCTATACAGTTATTACAGTTGCATGCAAAAACTAACACAACGACAGCAAGAAAACCCCAATTGTCCTGCCTTTTAATTTTTTCCAGAAATTGGCCACCAAAAGCTACAAGGTCACACCAACTGAAAGAAATATCAACACTGGTTGAGGGGTGTTTGATACCCAACTTTTGTCTGCGTCCGTCAGAAACATTTGATTAAAATGACACCCTCATAGAAAAATCGGTTCATATTCTGCCCTGTGATCACTTGATTGGTGACCCAATCATATTATTGGTCACGGCACCACGGTATTATGTCAGATTTTGTTGCTAATATGGTTTATTTTGTAAATAAAAACAAATTCTCGACCCAGGCCAAACACCATGATGTACCCTTTGAAGATTTGACGCTTCTATTATTTACATTATTTTATTACGACCGTCCGTTTGTCAAGCTAAATAAATGCGCTCAAAGTAGTTAAGTCTAATCAGTAAGCTTATAGCACAATATGTGTGTCAATAGTAGTAATTTGATGCACATGGTGTGAACGAGTCAGCAGCAAGTCTGGTAACAAATTAATGATTCCACTCCACACAATTGGGTCGAAATGGGCTAAACAGTGTTTGTCTTGAGGTGCATGAACAAATTGGGTTGGTTCAGCAACATGCAGGGGAAGAGGCCTCGCTGCTTCTTCCAGTCGGGAACGACGGTAATTTCCACCTGAAATTATTAGTGGGGATGCAAAAACATTACCAATCAGATTCCTAATAAGTAATAACGGATGAGCTGAATACCCGAGGTTTATCGTGGGCTGGGAGGTCCTTAAGGTCCACCGTGGACCCAGCCCCACTCTCCGCCATGGAAATAATGTGCACGGACATGCGTCTCCTCTTATCAGAGGCTGCTCCAATGTGACGCTGTGAGACCATGCAAAAAACGTGAGTACTTTAACTTTCTTTAAGAATACAATAGTATTTAGTTGTGCATACGTTGTAAAAGTCGACAAATTCGGCGAGAGCAATGCTATCAATTTCCTTCCCCTCCATCTCCTGACGTTGGAAGTTGTACTGCTCGAGCGAAATTTCCGACCAGAGGATCCCATTTCTCTCGGAGAGCGACTTCACCTTGTGCGCTTTCTGATCACATCAACAAAATTAAATGATAAGAACTGTTCACTTTAAATAAACGCTAAATCAAAACCTACCTGATCCGCAAATGCTTTCCTCTTCTTCACAAATTGTTCTTCCGTCATGTTCTGGAAGACGACCTGGAAACATTAATCGTTAATTTTGTAACGGCCTCAAACTAATCGTGCGGGCGGGTGGAAAAGGTAGATTTACTTACTCCCAAGTCGTTGAGGAAGTTGTCAATCCTGGTTTCGACGTAGGCTGGGTGTCTGTCTCCTTGTACGAGGATTTGGAATCCTTGCGTCCCTCGAGCTCGTCGGACCCCGGTGCCCACGACGTAGCCCAATTGTTCTTTTGTCCTCAGCTGATCGTACGAAGGTTCATAGGCCAACTGGTTGAGGAGTTCGATCAGGACGTTGTTCTTGGGGCTTTGCATCCCCGTTTGAAATAAGACACTGGCGCAGGAGGAAGAGTGGGTCGTGGTTTCCGCCTTGTACAACCAATTCGACCCTTCCGGGAGCTCCACTTCTCGGAGACGCATAATCTGCGTGGGCACCAACGACCGAGTCCCTTTCTTTACAAAGTGCTCTTGACACTCTCTCGCCATTCGCAGCGACTCCTGAAGAAAATGTGATTTCGAATGTACTTCAAATTTTGACCCTTATGTAAAAAAAGTGTTCACCTCAGGAGACAGGTTTCCAAAGAATAGCCACTGGAACCTGAGCCTAGAGATGAAATCTGTGGCGAAGGCTTGGACGCGTTCTACTGTGACTTCTGCAAAAATCATGATCCGAAATAACATAGAATGTGTCCTCTACTGAGCTCGTCACGTGGTAAAAGTGACACGTACCCTTGATAACGCTCAAAAGTTCTTCGGACGACCAGGTCCGTTCTCGCATGAGGTACTTGAAGTGGGTGTTGGCCTGTTTGGAAGGCTCCTCGTTCCTCCGACTCCTCCACAACCGCGTGTGCAAGTCCTTAGCTTGTTCCAGGCGTCCAGGCTCCACCTCGAAGTTCGCGATCGATTCAAACACCTTGTTGAGCAGGAGGTCCAACTTGTGGTTGTACCCGCTAACTCGAATCTACACATGTTTATGTTGGATTTAGACTTATTTATTTGACTGGCTGCATTGCATTGCGTGTGCTTACGTCCATCCCATAAACAGTGTTGACCACTCCGTACGAGAAGCCGGCGAGGTCCGCGTTGAACGAGTACTCGGACAAGGAGTCGAGAATCAAGTGGACAAAGACGTAGTTGAGCGCCGTCGTCATTGGATCAACGTAAGCGAGGGGGCTGTTCAAATTACGAAATTGTCCTTAACATTCAATTAATTATTAATGTTCAACACTTTGTTGGAGGTTCACCTGAATAATTCGACGTTTACGATGGCTTTCGGGACTGAAAACTCGTTATCTTGCAAATACCAGATTCTTGAGAGATCCGTGTCATTAATGATTTTGGGGACAATTCCAACCTGGAACAATGGAGAAATATGTATGTAGAATTGCATAACCCATTATAAAATTGTGCATTTCGTAATTTGGTTACATTGTCGTCCCGTGGCGCAAGGTCAAAGTTTGATGGGATGAATTCGTTGAGAGTTGGGAAGAGGAGTTCTTCGTGCGTCCCACACTCGCATTTCTTCCACGTCTGTGCAAAGGAGCGTGCAATTAATGCTAATGTGCACTTGGAATTTAAGTCACAGTTGTTAATGTGCTAAAATTAGCATACCTCGATACGCTTGGGGTCAATTTTCTCTACGTTGTATTTGGCCCCGTAATATTTCTCAACCAGGTGCGCCTTGGGCTCCAACTCTTTCGCCACGAACATGACTCTGTCAAATTGGTCAACTGATTCACTACGACTCGAGTTTATACGACGCAATAAATTGGGAAGCAAACCTCGAGTTCTCGGGAACCAGCGAGTCCAAAATGTCCTGAATGTACTTCTCATTGTAATCCGTCAAAATGTAGCCAGCCGAGAGAACGTCCTCCATCGGATATTTCTGCCACGTGAAAAACAAACGAGTATTTAAACGTACAGTAAATTAGCTTTAAACATGTGAGAAATTACAATCATATTTTGTGACAACAATGAGACCAAATTGACGACGGAGCTCTTATCCTTGAAGCGATAACTGCGGACAAAAAGAGTTAGTTAGCACTGGACAATTCAAATAAGGGAACGACTCACCTGATGGCATTGATACTCTTGATTTCCTCCCAGAACCACTGCTGGGGTCCTTTCTCTCTCAGGAGGCGAATGTACTGGAATTGAGAAACACCTCGCACGTTATTCGTGGTTTGCATGCAAAAATGTGTTGCGTAATCTGTGTATGTAAAATAATTGAAATTGCGAAATTGCACACCTCAAATACGTGACAAATGATTTGTTCCGTGTTGTTGAATCCTTCCTTGGTGAGACCCATGGACACTTGGAAAGTGGCGAATCCACGATACGGGATGTTGGGTCCGGCGGTGAGGGACGTCGCCCAGTTCTTGTTCTTGAGCAGGGACAACAAGCTCCCCTCTCCCTCGTGCCCGATGAGGACGGACAAGTACTCCGAGGACTGTTCTCAGAAAATGGAATTGTACACACAAATTGGCAAATGCATACGTCAAGTATCAAATCAGTGGTTCAGAGCTATGCACGCACCGAGGTTTTGTAGTCAATGGCTTCGTATGGGATGGGGAAGTTGATGGCGATGGATCGAATATCCTTGATGGGGACAATCTCAATCCTCGTCTGCATGTACTCCGGTCCGTACGGGGACTTTGGCCAGCTTGGCATCGTCGCGTTTCTATTGGGCACCTGGAGAAATACTTTCTCCGCCAAGGCCTGCAGTTCATCCAAACTTTCGCGACCCAGGATGGCGAGAGACATGATGTTGGAGGAGTAGTACTTGGCGTGGAACTCCATCACGGCCTTCCGAATGTCAATCCCCATCTCTCGAGGCTTGTTCCACAACGTGTCACGGTTCCCTGCGGAATTGCATCGCGATTATTTCCACTTGCGAAAACATTAGTATGCACACCCCCACACACGCACCTGTCCTAAAGTTTGAGTAAGCGTGGTCAGGATCGGATGTGACCGTTTCGATTCGATCTGCACGACGAGCATCGCTTGGAATTACAAACATAATTATTTATTGATTGTAAATATTTGAGAAATTTAGAAATTACCTGGGAATTCCCTTCTCGTGCTCAGAATTAACTGCGTTGACTTCCCTCTCAAGTGCAGACTCGGTGAACAAGGGAGAGATGAAGAGTTGCGAAAATCTTAAAATATTGGCAATTTTGCAATAATTAATACAGTACTTGCTTATTAATTAATGATATGTGCTTGTTTGTTGGCACCCACCTGTCCAGAGCACCTTCCAGCGCAGTTGGTGAGACGGTGAAGTAATAAACGGTGGAGTCATGATCCGTCGCCGCGTTCCTGTCGCCACCGTTGGCCGTCAAATATTTCAAGAAACCGTTTTCCTCCGCGTACTTTTGGTTTCCTAAAAACACGGTGTGTTCGCAAAAGTGGGCGAGTCCTGGGAGCTCCTTGGGGTCGTTCATGCTCCCTATTATGCAGCCAAACCGTTAGTTAACTCTTGGGGAAATTGAGATTTATAATCGTGCTTACCGGCCGGAATGGCGAGCGACGCGGCGGCTTTGGTCGCGGAAGGGTCGCTCACCAAGATCACTTTCATCTCGTTCTCCAGGGTCAAGCCGCGATACAGTCGCTTATCCGAACTGGGGGCAGGAAATCCCGTTAATTATTTCGAACAGTTATGACTTGAGATTTACCTGGGCTTTGAAATGGGTCGGGAGAGAATGCTGCTGCTGGCTTTCAACGCCTTGACGGGCTTATTGTTGGGGACAGGACTTCGCTGGGCGGAAGGCGACCCATGACTCGAGGGAACACTTAACACGGCTAAGGCACTACACAAAATGGGGAGCAAAGACCTCCAAAATTTTAAAAGATTCATCAAGATAAAGAATGTAGTCTCACCATATGCAAATGCAGCTCCGAGATATATGAAATTTCCACTTCATCTTTAATTGGCTTTATTTCAAAAAGGTCAACGTTTTTTTTACTCTGCTCTTTAATAGAACGCGTGATGACTAGTGAAGTGAGGTGCTAAGTTTCGAGGTAGAAGAGTTTTTATGAAATTGTCTGAGGTCTGAATGCCAATTTTCGACTGTGTTGGCAATTGGTTTCTGCAGGAGCGGACTATCTGCACACTTGCCACTGCCGTCGTCTCAGGTGAAGTGTCAAGATAGCGAATTCTTCAGCACCAGCAGCAATTAAATGGCATGTCTCTCTCTGTTCCGTCCGTTTTGCATGCAAACTTTGAGATTTGCTTGGTGATTGCGCTTGTACGTGTTGCCTTTGCTAAAAAATGGCCAGAAGAGTAAGTGAAGAATAAATAATGTGATTAAACAGCCTGCCAGGTAAAGAAATTCATCGCATTTGCCATCTCCTCCTCTCCGCATACGCAGCACAGTCCTCCGTCGTGTCATGATTATCTGCTGTATTTTTCGAGGTGGATACAGGTTTGTTGTTTGTTTGTTTGCAGAGCAGGGGATGTGAATGTATGTACATAAGATGTATGTAATTACGTAAATTGCTGGTTTATTGTGTTGTACTGACTACGGCCAGGCTAACCTTGCATGTATTTGGATAAAGGGAATTCTACCTCATTTTAGAATCTGCACTCTTTTTTCGCAATGTGAGATTTTGCATTTTCCTATTTTTATTGCTTTTACGGCATGCACGAGGAAAGTTCTCATGGGAGGTCGTTTGCAGGTCGACCCCACTCACACTTATCATCCGCACGATCCGTTTTCCACGGATGGAGGAGACGAGTCATCACCATGAGACGATAATTCCGATGTGGAGGAAATTCTCTCGCTTGTAACCAGCTAATTCCTAATATGCTGCCTTCTCGACGGGTGGATTGTGTGACGTGGAAGCCGCAAAAGCCTGCTTGTTGTGAATGTATGGCTTCGTGATTTGACTTCCTTGGTCATCAACAAGTCTGTGTCGGTCGGTGTGCAGATTCCCGTTTTATTTTAGACAAGGGGCGAGATTTACGAGGAAAGGAAAAGTGAACAAACTGGATTTATTTAGATTTCCGGTGACACAAAGTGAGCTGCCGACGCGGCCAGCATTATCTGAACCGAACCAGAAATAATGGAAATAATGATGATGATAGGATAAGTACATAAGCAACTCGAGTACATCTTTACTACCTCTGCTCCCATGATGCTTATTGTGGATGGCATAATGGTGGTTGAATATGTGGTAATAAAGTGATCCCCATTTCCCAATGGGATTAAATGCATGCGTGACATAACAGGATCGATATAATTATGGCGGATGCTGCACAAAAACTGATTGCTGTTTGAGATAGTTTTTATTGCGGAAGATAGATTAGTGCGGCGACTGCTGTGCTGTGGTGGCTGTGTGTTGCACGATTAGATGGGAAATTAGAGTGCATTGTTACACATTGTAGTTTTGCTGCTAGGATTATGCACATGAATGAACGTTGAATTAGTCAGCCCAAACCAATTCCAATTTGCAAATCGTTGATGCGTTCCTCATTGTTGGGTCGCACTTGGGAGGAGGAGAACGCAGTGAATTTTGACTGACGTGGATGGGAAATATGTCGCCTTAAGTTACAAAATTGCTCCTGCTGCTGATCGACCAGTAACTTTTTCCACTCTCGTGTTTACTTTAAAAAAGGATGAAATTGGTGCAAAATATTAAATGCTTAGTGCTAAAGTAGAAGTTATTTACTTGTAAATGTCATGTGGCACCCAACTGTTGCACTATTTTATTGAACCACCTCCAACCCCGCTCCTACTAATTTAGTGCTACTGCATAACGGTGGGTACAGTAATCGTGCGGGGAGCTATTATCATAAGAATGGGAGATTTGGATCTTTTAGAATAAATTCTACTCTGCATCAGCCGAGAATGACTTGCTAACTGTGATCCTGTAACTTCTTTCTTCTCTTCTTGGCACTCTGTCGCCTCGTCCCCATCCTTCGCCCCTACTTCCCTCCGTAGCTCCTTCTGCAAGCACAGTACGTCTTGTGCTCCTGACTGACGCACCAACTCTGCGTCCCATAATGATCCAACCGAATGGCTTGATCCGTCATGGTCCAACTCTCATTTCCACCCCTTTGCACCAACGTTGCAGAAAAATACGCGTCGGCCGGAGCGGTCTTAAAGTAGACGCGGAGAGCTTGAGAAATTCCGGGGTATTTATCCCCATGCTCAACAGCGTAGTCAATGTGATAGGCAGACCTGAGCCCATTGAGTTCTAAAGGCCGACATTTTTCCGCGACAGGCTTCAACTCATTGTTGATAAAGTCGATGGCAGCGGCTGTGGCGGCGATGGCGTCGGGCGTCGTGGTTGGAGCGGGACGTTGGTCTCGAGCCCCACGACAAACGCACCAATGGAGCGAGACCCCAGCCTCGAGGCAGGAACGGTCGGAGGGGATTTTGCGAAATAAACTGGTTGGTTTTCTTGTCGTGATTGCGCTCTCGCTTTTGGCGTCGTCGTCTTCGTCAGGGGTTTTTAATTTAGTCAAATTCATACAAACTTTGATGGTTTGGTAGACGTCGAACGGAGACGTGAGCATGTTGGCGTTGTCCTGAAGGTTCTTGTACGCTTGGGAATACTTGTTCTTGAACCAGTCGGGCAGCACGATGTACAGGACGGGCATTCGAACCTCAATTTTTCCAGCAGAGTTCAGCTGGACAGATTCGGGAGCTCGATTTCCGTGATCGCCGAGAAGGATGAGAGCGGAACGGTTGAGGTTCCCACTGGCAGCCATGAACTGGAGAAAGTCGAGGAGCGGTTGGTCACCCTGACGCAGTTTGTTGAAGTCATTGTGGGATAACTTTGTGGTCCAGGTGAAGTGAAAGAATGGCTTGCGACGCTGCTTTAGAGCAACTGCGATATTCTCGATATTGTCGAGCAGGACTTTAAAGGAGAGTCGAGTCCCGTAGCACATTTTGTCGTGACCATGGCCCTGAAAAAAATGACACTTTGCACGTCATTTCCACCTACTCTGACTAGTTTAGTTCGGACTTACGAGGTGTTTCTCCATGTGTGATGAGAATAGACTGATGTAGAAGTCAGTGGGACGGGCCGTGAAGGGTTTTTCCCAGTTGAGGTTGAAAATGGCGAGTCCAATCTCATCCTCGGAGAAGCCCGTCTTGTATCCCCGCTCTTGAAAGTCCTTCCAAACGAAGGGGCACTTGTCCAAGTGGGCTTTGGAATCCGGAGCGCAGCCCTTCGTGAACTCGGCGTAGCTTTGTCCCGTGAGGACGGGCAGGATGTTTGGCAGAGAGTTGTCCGCCACCTGCGCGTGCCATCACTTTAGTGCCCCGTGTTCTACGTAGTTATACATCAGAGAGGGATTTACCTTTGTGTAGCCCTTCATCACAATGGCGGAAAGATTGTTGACCAAGTACGAGTTCGACTTGGGGAGAGAACTAAAGTTGGAAATATAATTATATTTTTCATAATTTCCACGTTGTTTCTGAATTTACTGTACCGACCGGAGGAAATGCATCCTGGAAGTATTGTCGAGTCCGAGGACGATCACGTTAAGTTTGTGTTCATCCTCCTTCGTCGTCTCGCTCTCATCCTCGTCATCAGCACCGTCCACAAATGCAACTCCGTCCGCATACGTGGAATCTCCTTCTCTAGTGCACGTGATTTTTATGAACGTGTAGTCTGTGTTCGAAGAGACGGGGTGATGGCAATGGTGATGGGAAAATAAATAAATGGAAGATGTGGGTGTACCTGAGCTGTTGGGTATTTGCACCTCTGTCGCCCTTGCATCGATGGGGGTGCAGTCCGCATCGGCGTTGCCAGACCTTTGTCAAAAATCGGAATTAATACATACGATTAGTGCATTTGCATCTGAATGAAATTGTGGGCTTGGGTTGAAACGACGTACGTTGAAATTGGTTTATAGCAGCAATCATGGTCATTAATGGGTCGGATCCTTTTCAGCACACGTTCTCCGCGTTGCTGGACAAAGAGGATTTCTCCGATCGGATTGGATACCTTGGCGCAGTTGACGACCTTTCGAGCTCCAAGAAATTCCCGCATTGCAGGATCGAATGGGTCCGGGTCCGGGAATCCGCAGCTGCTTTGTACATTGTCCCTAGAAGAGTTTTAGTTATGATTTAGTCCGCGCTAAGTCTTCCGAAATGCAAGATGCAAATTAGTGACTAACCGGATGTCGTGAGTTATTATTAGGGGCAAAATAGTCCGCTCTTTGTTGATGATCACCTCCCGGAATGTATAAAAGGTTTGGAAAATGCAAATCAGAACGAGCACTGCCAGAATCATGCATCGCTTCCGACTGAATGACAGGCAACCAGTGGGAGGAGGAGCTTCTTTGAGGCTAGTGCTCAAAAACTTGGTGGACATGACCACGAGAAAGGTCAATCAAGTAAGTGTCGACTTTGTTGTTATTGTGGATTGAAAAAGAAACCAAGATCTCAAAAATCGTCTGGATAAATGACACGTATCACTTCGGCTCCACTTTCGTACAGCTAATTATCTGAAAATTTGATGCTGATAGTTTTTAGCAGTTTTATTAAACTTCATCATGATTTCACGATAATTTTCCTATCTCACAATCTACAACGAGCTGCAAATTTTGCTATTTCCGTCCACTTTGTTTTCATGTTGCCATTGCCAACAACGCCGCTTTTTTAATCGTCAAAAAAGCTCATGATGTCCTACTGTTTTTAAAATTAATCAATAAAATTACGTAATAACAAGGGCGACTCCTAACACGAAGTGAATGGTTGTGTATCGCAGAAAGTGAAATGGTTAAATGTGCATAACTCTTAAATAATTGTGTTTCAGATAAACATGCATTTCACTTTCAGTTGTTCCATTTCATGTGATGTGGTGACGAACAGGTTGAGATTGAGACGAATGTTTTCATTAGAGAGCAAATTAATATGCAGCAATTGTCTTAAATCGATGCGACATTTTTTATTCAATGTGCAAATGGAAATATATTTTAGCACAAAAATTTGAACCGCGCGGACAGGGACAAATTGGCGTTGATTTATAATTTTGATGTTAGATTCGTAAGCAGTTATGGATCTAATTGTTATTATTATTTCGCTCCCTTTTGTTGCTCTTGGACTTGCGGTCCGTGTGACCCCCGGCGACCAGTTCCTTTTCCACACTTTTCCTTGACCCCTGTCTCCCCAATTTAGTGGAACCCTTCTCCTCCGACTGAGCTATTATTTTGCCTGGCGAGGTGTAGTCGGTCCAATTTGGGAGTGGTTTGCAGTCGAATCCTGGCCAGTTTGTTTCCACGTGTTCCCATTTCGGAGCCACCACGGCTTTGTATTCGTCACTCCGTCCAAACTGTGGGAATAGGCCGTTTTGCATGAAGGCGAGCTTGAGCGATTCCATAACTCCCTCCAACGACTCGTCCAAGTTGGCCTGAATGTCGACCGGGTTTGGGATCATTTTCGACTTTTCGAAGGCCGACCGTACTCCGGGAAGTTGGAGGAGGTCTTGATGAGTTTCGAAAAAGTGACGAATTTCTTTGAGGAATCGAAACCTCTTTTGTGACGGGGTCATGGCGTTGAGTTCTGCTATCGTCAATGGGTCCAGGGGTTGCTGTTGCTGTTCCGACGTGGACTCTGCAAAGGCGGAAGGTGCCGGCCACGGGAAACTCAGTCGCGCTGCGGCTTCCAAAACGGACTTTGAACGTGTCGGACCACCTTTTTTCTCACTTTCCATCGTCGTCGTAGTCGTCGTCATGTTGCCTTTGGACGTTTTGGCATCTCGTAACTCAACTTTGTCTGTCATTATCACTGCTGTTCTGGACTTGCGGGGAATGACATGCTCCTTTTCCACCATTTCCACGTTTTTTGAACTTTTCTGTCTTTTAGGGAGGTCAGCGTGTTTGGCGGATTTGTTTCTGGAACGGCTGTTATAAACGTCAAGTTGTGATTGCTGCGCTTTACTGGAAGCTCTTTGACCATGTTTCGATGCGTTGGCGTGGCTGTGGTGAGCATGCTTTGACGGAACGTGCGTCGACTGAGACCTTTTCCGGTCCGTTTGAAATTGTGACGTCGTAGCTCCGCGATGACTTTTGGGTGGGAGGGACTTTGGGCCTGGAGAAATGTACCGTGCTGATGGGACGGGGCTGCTCCGCTCCTCAGCGTCTGTGGTGGCCGTGGGTGGGGCCCTTGACGGCGTCGGGATGGAATTGAGCGTTGGTCGAATTGCTGGGCCGCTGCTGGGATTGGGGTTGAAAAACTGTTGATGCTGACTGGCAACAAGTTGGCCTTTGGTGCTCTTTGGGTGCAACGGGGTGGATGCGATTCTGCTCAGGAGGAGGAGTTGGGCGGCTGGGTTGAGGCTGGCGTTGGGAGCGTGGGCCACGGGCTTGAGCAAACCTTGAGGACGATGGTGATGAACGGCGAGCTTGTTCTTGTTCGCTTTGTGGTCTTCGTAACGCACTTGCTTTTTCATGGTGGGCCTGGGTCGTCCAGAAACCTGATCGTGCAAAATTCTAAGGTGATTCATGCACAATATTGCGAGGAAATATTTATCTAAGACTTACGGTCGAATGAAGATAAAACTACAAACTAACTCAAATTTGACGTAGGAATGAATGAAATGTCCGATTCGTAAGGAAATGTGGCATCGTCGCTTCAGGTCTGCCGTGATCCAGATGAACACAACAAAATTCGAGCACTGCAAATGACATGGTTTTTGACGGTTTGTAACGGTTTCCTTGGAACAACAATTTTATAAACCGAATGTGTCCCACGTAACGTTGTCGACTGAAGAAATGCTGTGACAGTCTTGTCCATGAAGGCCAAAAATATGTTCAAAATATATTTTGTATGTATCTACTGTACTTATGTGTAACCTCAATGTTTGTTCTCCTCTCTTGTTAAATATCTCTTGTTAAATTGTTCATGTATAATCCTTTGATTTATTAACACAACAACATTGATAAAAGATTAACAGGTTAAAAGAAATTACACGGGACAATAAATTTTTAGAAAATACTTTGCGTAATTTGTAACCGATAAATTTTGTTACAGACTCATTAAAATTATCAAGTAGCGTCAGCTACTTAATGTGATCGTTTTGTCCGTCCGTCTGTAAGCAGGATATCTCAAGAACGAGTCAACGTAATCAAACGCCGTTTTCGACACGATGTTTATAATTTTTAGTTCAAGATCGAGTTCGAAAATGGGGTCAATCGGACCACCCCCACAGCGAGGGGGGTCCAAAATTAAATTTAACCTTAATTGTCATATGGGGTATCATTTTAAAGGTAATTTGACCGCGATTTCAAGAACGTTAATATTTTTGACCTCATGACCTTGAGAAGGAGGTCGATAGTCAAAAATACATAATTGTCAGATATGGCGTCATTTTAAAGGAAATTTCCATCGTTCTGACGCTTCTTTAATTCGTTTGTAAGGGTTTATTCGTTCATTCAAGTACAGTAGCAAAATTCTTTAAAGTCTTGATCGACGCAGTGGCTTTGGTCGCCGTACTCGTTGGTGCGAACGACTTTCTCTGCCAACAACCAGCTTCCCTTGACCACTCCCCTGACCAAACTGGCCTCAAAAGCCCCCTCCCCCGGCAACGTGGTGAAGGAAAGCCGTAAAATGGTGAACTTGTCAGTGTCCCCATCGGCTGGTTTCTCGTCCGCCGACCCCAATTTCTCTTTGGATTCAAAATCAATGTAAAAAGCGTCCGTGGTTTTCTGAAGGGTCAACGTTGCGCAGGAATGTTGCCATCGCAAGTGGTAGTTCATCGTGTCCACGGCGTACCGTACGGCGCTCTGGACTTCTTCACTTTCCACGTCAACCATGGGACGCTGGACTGAATCTCCACGGCAGACGCACCAATGAAGTGGAATCCCAGCCCTGAGACACGTCCGGTTATGGGAAATAGGCTGAAATAAGCTGCTCGCTTTCCGCTGCCTCGAACTAATCTCGTCTGCATTAACGTCTCTCCCCTCCAAATTGTCCAGGCGAGAAAGGTCCATCAAGTCCAGCAGCGTTTCATGCAGGTCAAACGCGCTGGTCAACTTGTCCGAGTTGGCCTTAAGATTTTGATAGGCGGTGGGGAACCTGGTTGCGAACCAGGGCGGGGGAACGAGGTAGAAGAGTGGCATCCTGTCCTCCACCTTCCCCTGAGACGTGGAGCGTATCCCGTCCAACCGACTCCCGTGGTCACTCATGAGAACGAGGACCGTTCTGTTCAAGTGGCCATCTCTGTGCATAAATCTCAGAAATCTGAGGAGCGGGATATCCCCCAGAGCGAGGTGGTTGGGGTTGTTGTGCGATAGTTTCGTCGCCCATGTGAAGTGGAAAAATGGGTGGTTTTTTAGCGTGACTGCCGTGTTTTCTAAATTGTCGAGGAGCACTTTGAAGGAGAGGCGGGTCCCGTAGCACTGACCGTCTCCAGAGCTCTGTGCCAAATTTCAGATTACTCCACTCCCTTGAATTATTTTCGACTGAATATGTCGAATAATAGGACGTCTGCATATGTTTTGCTTACCTGTTTGGCCTGCATGAGGTTAGAGAAGGGTCGGAGGTAATAGTCGGTGGGTGGTTTTTCAAAGGCGTGTCTCCAATTCATGTTGAAAATCCCGATGCCCACGTCGTCCTCTGCAAATCCTGTTCGAAAGCCGTTGGTGGAGAATCGCTTCCAAATGAAAGGACACTCGTCAACGTGGACGGAACCAGAGTCAGCGCCCAAGTCCATGCATTTCCTTTTGAACTCGCCCAGCGTGTGGCCAGACAGGACAGGGATCACGTTGGGCAGCGTGTTCTCAGCAACTGCAGTCCCATGGGAGTTATATGTAAATATGTACTATTGATTAATCTGAGGGGGCGAGTTTTTGCAGGAAATTAAATTTTGCATTGCATTGCATTCTCTCACCTTTCGTGTAACCCTCCATTACGATGGCGGACAGGTTTTTGAGCAAGTAAGCATTCGATTTTGGCATCGTTCTGCATAAGCCCAATATTTAGATATTAAGCAACCGATGAGTAGTATCATTTTACCTCAAAAAATTCATGCGTGATGTTGCATCGAATCCGAGCAGGATGACGTTGATTCTTTCCTCTGCACTCTTTCCATTCGTGGATGAGACGAAATCCATGTTTTCCAACCACTCCTCCACATCCGGCTTGATATTCACGAATGCAAACCCGTCCTTGTAATCTTCTCGTCCTCCCACGCAAACCACTTCGATGAACTCGTGCTCAGCTGGGATCACGGTGATCTTTTGGGTGATCTTTTCACAGTGATATTCAACTCTGGAAAATGGGCAAAAAAAGTGGAAGAGTAGAGCCATGCGTATAATTTTGGGGGTTTTAGCGACCTACTCTGACTCGTCATCGTCCAGGCGGTGAAAGGGACGGTAGCAGCACTGCCCATCCACGTCCGCGACACGCTTGAGGACCCTCTTCCCTCGTTCTTGGATGAACAAAATCTCGCCGCCAGCGTTGGCCGAGTGAACACAATTGACCCGAGCGGGCTTGGACACGTGGGGCAGAACCTCTTCAGAAAAGGGCTCCAGTTTCGGATAATTGCACCTCTTGAGCTGAAAGTGTGTCGCCAAGTGGTGCTGGTCATCTTGGTGCATGATTCTGCGCTCAACAATGAAAAGTTTGTCTACAAAGTGCAAGAATTGTGTGGAAAAGTTGGTAAGGTATTTCAAACCTGAAATAGTTGGCCGTGGCGATTTTGTAGTACACACTGAAGCAAATGATGCTCGAGAGGTTGAGAAATAGCAGCATTTTGCAAACCCATCTTTTTCGCGTGGGGAGTAAAGACTTGAATATGCAGCAGCAAAGTTCTGCCAGGCTTGGAGGCATTTCCGCCGCTTCCAAACCATCCGAAGAGGTTAACAGGCTGTACCGGGCGGAAGAGGGGTGTTGTGACGTTGGGTACCGGTGGACGGTGGGCAACGTTGACCACTTCATAGGCATGTTCTAACTATAGTTAGGAGTTAGTTAGTTAGTTAGTTAGTTAGTTAGTTAACTATAGTTAGAAGGAAATTTGAGGAGAAACCCTGGGAGAAACCTGATACGAGATGAGCTTGTCAATATGAGCTTGTTGATGAGCTTATTTACTAATATTTTTCGAAGGTGTCATGAAAACTGTCACGTTTTCCGATGGACGCAGCAAGTGTCGAAGCAGTGGTGCTAATTCGATGGTCATTTTTAATGCAAAAAGTGAGCTGTGAATATTGATTCGGAAAACTGCTTGCGGATGAGACAAATCAGATTTTATAGTAGGACAATCTGTGATATATGGTTGAAATTGGACTCAATTTGTGAATTGTGGTAATGAAACAAACAAGAGAATTGCGATGGACGGAAAGTTGGTAAAAATATGTAATGCTGCCCACTCCTGTCTTTCCTTTCCTCTGGCATTGACACGCATCGCGACGTTATCAAAGTGGATTATCGACAAGACAAATTTCATGCTACTTTCTTTCTTTGCTTTTTCCTCATTGTCTGCACAAATGAGGCATATCGGCAGAAAGTTTGTGTGTGTGCTGGTTGATAGTAGTGGCTGTCCTTGCGTATGCTTCTCATTAGGATTATATAGCGACATGACGATGACCAACATAAAGTCCATTTGTGGTTGGACGAGTTTCGAGTTGGTCATGAATTTTTTATGAAATCAATTTTTGTTCCGCTCTACTCTCCATGTATTCGATTGAAGGAATTGTGTTTATTGACACCATGGATTGTCTCACCTTGCGAGCTTATGGATTGTCCTCGAAAAAATCCATTTATTTCATGGAGCAATTTCAACATGACACGAATACCGAGTTAAATTTATGTGGTTATGCATTCTAGACATCATCTTTACACATATCTGACATTGACCTATTTACAAACTAAGAAACTTTTCATATTAATTTTTGAGCAAAATTTTCATCCAAAAATGAGATTTAAAAGTCAAGATGTGACTTTTCCATGTCTTTTCGTTCGTGGGAATGGGATGGTGAAAGTTTGTATGGAGTTGGTGGAGGTGAGGGAGAAAGTGGGGCAGGGGAAAGTCACGATTATTACGAGAACGGGTCGGCCAAAAGATGAGATTCACGTGCCAGCTTTGAAGCCCGGAACATTACTTTCACCTCTGTGCATGTCATTCATAGTACGACCTGCTGGTCTTTTAGTTTGTAGTTGCAACACAACTTTTAATTTAACTGATTGGCTCCTGATTCTTGTTGCTACTGCTGAGTGATAAATTGTAAAAGGAAGGTAATTCATTAATACTTAAATAAAAGTAGTTGGCTGCCTGAACAATAATAAATAGCACTAAAATTCAATCTGCTGTGCAGCACTAGCAAAGCTATATCTGAACTCAAGTTAGTCTTCTCTTATGCAATGCAGTACTAAAAAGTTAAGCTCCATTATTTGATACTGATAAGCAGAGGAGCTTGTTCTTATCGGGTCAAAAGTAAGGTTAACATCAAGCCTTCTCTCTCTCGTCTCAAATTGATATAGCAAACAACGCATTGCACTAAAAACACTGAAATTCAATCATCCCATCATATTTATTCATCTTAATTATTAACTCCATACAACTTTTAATTTTTTTTACTGTATTCATATTTTAAATATCTTCCAGGACTATCGTAAATTATGGGGACGGAAAATCGGAAACAAACTCGTGTCTGGTGTGATGGATGGTATGTAAATTTCACTGTAAAATTAAAACTATTTAACAGCTCAATTTGAACTCCAAATACGACAAAGAATTATAAATATTTTTAGTTATGATATGGTTCATTTTGGTCACGCCAACTCGTTACGCCAAGCGAAAGCTTTGGGAGACTATTTAATCGTGGGAGTGCACACGGACGAGGAAATTACGAAACACAAGGGGCCTCCAGTTTTCAACGAGCAGGAAAGGTGGGTGACTTTTTCGTTAAATCTAAATTTTAATCTAGAAATAAAAATGCATTGATCTATCTAGATATGAGATGACCCGAGCTATAAAATGGGTTGACGAAGTTGTCGAAGGTGCCCCATACGTCACCACTCTGGAAACGCTGGACGAATATGATTGCGACTTTTGTGCGCACGGGAATGACATCACGACGACGGCGGATGGGAAGGACACTTATCAGGAGGTGAAGGATGCTGGGCGATACAAAGAGGTGGAGAGGACTCAGGGAGTTTCTACGACTGATCTGGTGGGGAGAATGCTTTTGCTGACGAGGGAACATTTTAGACGGGGTGCTAGTGTAAGTGCTGGATAAACTCAGTTTATCGCGACTTAAATGCAGATTAATTGTAAAAACTGTTGGTAATGTAGGAGTACACACTGGAAAAGGGGGATGCGCCGTCGAACTTGGCCACTGATGCCAAAGCACGATCTCCGTACACCGGAATGTCACAATTTCTTCCGACTACTCGAAAAATCCAACAATTCTCAGAGGGGAAGGAACCCCCAGTAATAAATTATTATGAATTAATGCATGTAAAAGGAATTAAGGAAAATCTTGACACTAATTATTTTTTCGTTTAGCCAAATGCCAAAATAGTTTACGTCGCTGGAGCTTTCGATGTCTTGCATCCGGGTCACTTGGCCTTCTTAAAAGCTGCGTGTGCTCTTGGTAAGTGCGCTCAAGTTTTAAACCATATGTATTGCAAGGAGCTGACTTTGACCTCTTGGTAAATTTATTGTAGGGGACTTCCTCATCGTTGGATTGCACACGGATCCTATCGTTAATACTTACAAGGGGTCAAACTACCCAATTATGAACCTTCACGAAAGAACTTTATCCGTTCTGGCTTGCAAATATGTTTCTGAAGTAGTGATTGGGGCTCCTTATATTGGTAATTTGTTGGTCATGCATACATGCACTGCAATAAATATCAATCCGTAGTCGTGTCATAATAATGATGCCTCTCTCCTTGCAGTCACTGCTGACCTCTTGGACCACTTTAGCGTCGCCGTCGTGGTGCACGGAAAAACGAAAATTAGCGGGGATCCGATTTCTCAAGAGGTAGCCGTGTACCTAATTATAAGGTTTATAAATGTGTTAATTAATTATGCTGTTTTATAGGATCCGTATGCTGAACCGAAACGACGAGGAATATTCCAAGAAGTAGAATCAGGCTCTACATTGACGACGGATATGATCGTGCATAGAATTATTGCTCGGCGAATGGACTATGAGAAACGAAACGAGGCCAAAGAGAAGAAAGAGCTCGCCATTTTGGAAGCCATTCAAAATAAATGAGTCCCAGCAATTAAATTCATCACGCACAACTATACAAATTATTAGTCAAATAAGTCAAGAGTTCACAAAATTGTGAACATTTCCAATATTTTGTATGACTTTTGCAACTTAAACTTAAGCAACGAGCTTTCCTTAACTGGTTCATCAACTTGATTAATACTTTTAAACATGTACTACTTTTTATTCGTTTTTATCCTTCTGTCATTTTGGTACTTTAAAATTCAAATGTTGAATTTGATACTTCTCCGAAATTCCAGATTCGCATTTTGAATCCAATATTTTATTGCCATTCCTGCTTCCAAGTGAATAAAGAATATGACAAAACTAGACAAATTTCAAAGAGTATAGTTTATTAATCATAATTTTCACAAAATAAAAATAAATATGCGTATGAAAACTAATCCAAAAATGATTTAATCTTCATCTGAATTCATCTGTGTTCTCGTAAAGTTTAGGAAAACCTGAAAAATGAAAATAATCCTTTAACCTCCATAGATATCAGATTTAAATCAGGTTTTCAATCCATGACTGGTCCTTCTCAATGGTCATGGTAAAGCAAACCCACCCCGTACTAACACCGAGCCGAGTAGGAATAGCTTCTCGGCCAGTGGAATATACTCAATCCACTAACAACATACCGAGGTGTCCAACGAGTTAAGGCTCGACACTATCGACCCTTAACTCGTTGGACACCTCGGTATGTTCCCTTGTAAGCCAAAGGGCCTGTTTTTGACCTGTTCGAGCGTGGTCTGCCCGACCGAATATGCAACTATTTTAAATTCTGGTTTCGCTTCCTCCATCTTCTTGAACATGTAGCCCCAAGTTATTCTCGTATTTTTGACGTGATAGTGCACATATCCAGCGTGAATGTCCTTCAACTCGGAACCTGTTCATGAGATGGAAAATGTGAGAAAACGACTGTGCGACACGGTAAAAAAACGTTAGCTTGGAGTGCGTTGCCAACCTGGGAATGTGCGCTCAATATAGTTTCGCAGTGGTTGGAGTTCCACTTCCCAAGACTGCAATTGCTGCGCTTGCCCCCCTTCCCGTTTTAGTGTCGAACTTCGACGTCGTCCAAGTTCCTGCACACAACACGAACAATTAGTGGAATCATGAACTGAAACAGGAGCATAGCATGCATTTGTGTGATCACGAACCAGTGATTGTCTCGTCATGCGACGTTCTTCATCACGACCCGTTTCAATCTGAGCGATGAGGGTGTAACCTTCACCAAATTTGTTCTTCAAATGTTGGGTCGAACCCCTGCAGAAAGAGACAAGAAATCAAATTCTCATACTTTAGTCCAACTACATAGTAGTTTGCCTTGTAAATGTTATTATTAGGTATGTGCTTATCTTACAAGCATCTAAATGCACCATTGACCATAATGGCCAAGCGAGTGGAGAGGGCCTCGCACTCGTCCATGGAGTGAGAGGTGAGCACGATGGAAGTTCCTGCCTCTCGGATGTCACTAATAGCGTCCCATAAATGACGGCGGGCAACGGGATCCATACCTTCAAGTTGTAAATAATTCCATGATAAGCTCATTGTAAACTATACATAGGTAACTATCTTATTAATTTGATTCACCAGTGGTTGGCTCATCTGTTTCATGAAAGAATAGATTAAGAAATGAATTAGTACAGACCACAGCAAGAATGATAAGCAGTGAGGCTTCGATTACGACGTACCTAATAAAACCATGGGTGGATTGCCAACCAAAGCGAGAGCAGTGCTTAATTTACGTTTGTTTCCGCCACTGTTGGGGGGATGACCAAATAAATTAGTTTATCTCAACCCTTAGGAATTGCATGTGTCTAGATACCAGTTACCTGTAAGTGCCGCATGGTTTGTCAATGTGCTGAGTGAACAGCAATTTAGCAGCGAGTGCATCCGCCAAACTATCAATTTCTGGCTCTTTGACACCTCGAAGACGAGCAAATAAGCGGATAATCTCTCGCCCAGTTAATTCTGGGATGAGGGCGTCAAACTGCGGGCAGTATCCCAATTCCTGCTGAACTTTCTTAATCTCGGACTTGACACTGCGCCCATAAATGAACGCATCCCCAGAAGTGATCGGTATGTCCCCAGTTAACATTTTGAATGTCGTCGATTTTCCAGCTTGTAGATTAATTAATTATCAATTTGATTTCTTTTTAATTTGTTTTGGTTTGTTCAGAAACAAATACCTCCGTTAATTCCAAGGAGTCCAAAGCACTCTCCCTTCTGTACGCCCAGGCAGAGACTGTCCACAGCCGTGAAGGTTCCGTACAATTTCGTCAAATCTCTGAGAATAAGATTGTCGGTTTGGTAGAGTTGGGTCAAATTGGTGTCTCGTATCCTCGCATTTTCCGCCATCACGTCCGCGTCAAGCAACGACATCCCATCATCACCATTTTTCGCAACGACTTGCGACCTCCTTCCGAACCTGATACGCTGAATTATTTTGGACTCCATGATGAAAATGATGAGGAAACACGCCACTCCGACGAGAAACATGAAAAAGAGGTTGCGACCGATGCCCCTCTGCCCCCACCCCAAATAACCAGTCGGGTCTGAAAAATACCCACATTTTAGCACATCACTCTTAGCGAAATCCATACTTTGCAATAGTTGAATTACAATCTTTGCAGCACATGTTGTCCGGCAGGTCGGTGCAGAGCGTGGCTCTGATTAGCAAAGCTGCAGGGCACAAGTTGTGCAGTTGTCGATTTGCGGACAGGAGTGACAGTCCGTATCCCAAGTTGAAATTAGGGAGGAGCATGAAGAGCCATTCCAACGTGTCCGCGATGTTCTTTAAATCAAGTTCTGGCACTTGGAGTATAGAAATTGCCAAGATTGTCGCCATTCCTGAAACAAGGAGGACATTGGTAGGCCAGATTCAAAATTGTGTCATATAAAGATTTTGATGGCTAACCAGTAAAAATGTTGAACATGACCATTCTTGTGAACCTATAGGAAAACAACGACGACTCTGGTTACATAAAAAACTCTCATAAATCGGAAAAAGGACCACTTACCCACTCGCCGGAATTGTGAAGGCGAAGGAAAAGAGGTACATGAATGGAATCTAAATAGGAAAAATATTCCTTTTATCACGTGGTTACTTTATTATATGGAGACGACACAAAACATTATGGTTGTGGATTTCTTACCACGCTCCATCCGTACATGAGAAGCAGGATGAAGACGTACCCCAGCATCTCTGCACTTTTGAAGTCCTCGCTCTGGAAGGCAAGGAGGACGATGATGAGGAACAAGCAGGGAATGATGTAGTTCACGGCGTCAAAGAGGAAGGACGCCACCCAGAACACGAGGTACTTGACGCCAGAGACGACCTGCAAGTGCTTCGCGTTCGTTTCCCTCTCCTTGATGAGAAACACGACAAAACTTGCGGCCAAAAACGACATTCCGAACGCGACTGTGAAACCGATTTGGAAACCGTCACTCTGGGCGGTCCCAATCTCGTCAATCTGGTCAACTTTGTTGAGAGGGAGAGGATGGTTGGAGATTCTGATGAGCAGGTCTGCTGCTGTATTAGGTCGTGCGGCCTTGAGTAGCGCGTTGCTGATGAGGTTGAGACTGACCGGACTGGCGTGGAAGGGCTGGTTGTTGAAGTACCCTCGGTAAGTCTTATTGTCATCCGTGCTAAAGTCAGTCATGCCTGCGATGTATTGATAAGTGTACACGGGCAGGTTTTTCTCCGCCTGAAAAGCGAATAGTATTTAGCACCACTTAACAAGCTCTCCCAATTGAATGTCTTATTACCGCATCGATGATCTCCTTCTCCACGTCCCCCGTCTCCACGACTGAGGAGGAAAACTGTTGTGCGGTGGTCGTGTACGCGTCGCAGACTGGACGTGAAGTAATTTTACAGTTGAGAGGCGTGTAGGTCTGTCCGTACTCCTTGTATTTCTCGAGGTGGAGATCCATCTGGGGTGGGCTGACGACGTCTGGGAGCGTGGTCAGCATGATCATGGTGATGATGAGGAAGGCGATCGGGATGATGGTCTGCACCGCCAAAAGGACTCGATTCCGCATCGTGTACAAGAACTTCTTGATGATCATCGCCCAAAGTTGTTGCATTAGAAGTTGTGCGCCCGTGTTGCGTTCTAAATGCTGGTACAATTTGTTTGTGTGCACGCTGTGCCCATTCTCCATCGGAATCGACACAATTTCACCAGCCTCACGTCTAAATTCTTCTTCAGCATCTTTACCCACACGCATGAAGACTTCTTCCATCGTAGTAATACTGTAATTATGATTGATAATTAGGTTATTAGGGGATAGACAGATGTAAAATCGCGTTAATTTCTTTACTCAACCTATTTTTTAGTGTTATTTGATGTACACCAGTCATTAAATTGTACGGATCAAGGAATAACATGTGAATAAATGACTACTACCAACCAACCTGGCCCCGTAGCTGGCAATGCCCAGCTCCTCCTTCCTCTGCTCCAGCTCCTCAAACATGTCGGCGAAAAGGTACGAAAGGTCGTCCGGAAGCGAGTACGACAACTCGGAGCCGACATTTTGGTCAATCTCAATGTGTGGGACACGGAGGCGTAAAAAGTCCGTGATGCGATCCACGTCACAATGCGTCTTCTTGACAATGATCAAGTGGTAGCCACCGCCGTACTTCTTTTTCAGAAACAATGAGCTCCCACAACACTGGACTGTTCCTTCGGCCAAAATGGCGATGCGATCTCCCAATAGGTCAGCCTCGTCCTGCGGAACAGTTTTGCACAATTAATGAATGTTGATTGCTTATTTGAAGGCGAAAATTTTTAATGTTTACCATGAAATGAGTGGATAAAATAATGGTCCTATTTTTCTTCTCGAGTTGAATCAAGTCCCAAATTTGCCTTCTTGCTCCAGGATCCTGAATTAGGAGAAAGAGAAGAATTGTATGGAATATGGTAGCAATTAATGATTACACGTTGATTGTGAGAAGGCAACTTACCAGCCCGCTACTTGGCTCGCTAAGGACAAAAAATAAAAATTAAATTTAGTACCATAAATGTGTAAAAAATTAAAAGCCTTAAATAGTCCCTACTCGAGCAGCACGACGCGAGACCCGCCTACGAAAGCTATTCCAACTGATAAGCGACGCTTCATGCCTCCCGAGAGCGACATGGCTTGTGCATCCGCCTTGGCCTCCAAATTTACAGCTTTCAACATTCGGGCGACTTCCTTGTCCAGAGTTTGGGCGTCACATCCTTTCAGCTAGAATCACGTGGCAAGAAATGCAATATTATGTAGTTTTCAATTCCATGATTTTACATAAAATTTCTTAAGATATTTTTTTGCATACAATTCCAAAAAATCTCAAGTGCTCAGAAACTGTCATTTCGTCGAATAATACGTCATGTTGTGGACACAATCCTATTTAAATAATTACAAAATCATTACAAGTTCCTTAATTGCGCCTAATCGCGGATGCAGAGTCATTTCAATTAATACCTAAATTGTCTCGGACGGATTGAATGTCATGTCGAATATCGTATCCGTTGACAATCGCAGTTCCTGTCGTGGGGGGAAATAGTCCCGTCAACATACTCATTGTCGTCGTTTTACCTGAATCATGAAACACGTGCAAAATATTGGTACCATAAAATGTTAACAATTAAAAATTCGGCTAAACGGTTCTCAGTTAATTGACCCACCTGCGCCGTTGTGCCCGAGCAAAGCCGTAATTTGGTTATCAAACATGTTCAAGTATAAATTGTTGACAGCAGTTTTGGGGCCAAATACTTTTGTCAGCCCTTTAATTTGGACTCCGGCCTTGCCGTTCGGCTCCTTTTCGAAATTTTGCGGATATTTTTGTCTCGTATCGACAGAGGTAACGGCAATTGTTTCGTCGCCACGTGGTGTCCCACACCAGTACCACGACTGCGGACGGAATTGCAAGGTTTATAAATGTTTTCAATGACAATTGTTGTTTCAATGATAAAATTAATTAGTTACCGTGAATGGGAAATACCAAGGCATTGGCAGACCTGGATTAACGAAAGGAAAGGAATGAAGTAGGAATTGTAGGAAAAATAAGAAAAATCGGACCTACCATAATCTCCTGGCCACACCCCTTCGACGTACAGGGCGAGCAGAAGGTACAAAATCCCGTCCACAAAGAGGATGATGTTGACGTCGAGGAATGACCAGTTGTCATCGGGTGACGCAGGGTCTGGCAAATTGGACCACTGCACTCCTGCACCCGCGCCCTCCCACATGGAAATTATCTGACACCCAAACGACAGCCCAGTATTGCTCAGCAAACTCGTCAGCACTTTCGTGCTCTTCCCCAAAGTGTCGTAACGTTGTTGGAGAAAGGTGTAGGGAAAGTAGGACAAGAAGAATATCACACCTGCGCAAGAAAAAAAATTCTTCTTATTTTGTAATTCTTCTGTGATCATATCAACATTTTGATGGTAAAGGAAACGACGCCATCAGTACTTGATTTTTGATTTAGAGTTACTTGTTAAAAATTTCTATAACATTTGGATAGACAGTGTTTCTTTATGTAATAAATAGCGTTCGAAAATAAAATTTACCTGCAGCTGTTGCAGCAGAATTGGCTGGAAATCAATCACAGGAATTGAGACAATGTTACATTTTAGCTAATTTTATGCTGAATTTTGGTAATTAATTAGCTACCAGTGGAGAACAAGGTGGAAATGAAGAAGCTCAACGTGACCATGCTGAAGGAGTAGATGAGGAGAAAGACGAAAAGGAGAGATCCTGAAATTCGCAAAACATTGAAAATATTTCCATACAAAATTAATGTAATTTTTTAGACCACACCATCCGATTTCGTCAATACGGCCAACTCTCCGTCGTCGTAGAATTTTATCTTGATCAATACGACCATAAGAATGATGGAGATGATGATGAAGAAGAATGATTTGATGAACCAGGCGAGCCAGTGCAACCTGCATTAATTGGCTATTTATTGGAAAATTAACTTGGCTGAAAATTAGTAGTTACCAGTTGGGCAGGCCCATCATTTTCATGGATTCCTATAACGAATTAATGAATATGATGAGTGATCTAATCTCCGATTTAGTCACACCCTTTCCGAGTTTATCTTTTACCTTGAGACGTTTTTCCTTCTCGTGTGCAATGCTCTTGGTAATGTTGATGACGGGATAGATGAAGGAGAATACGATGATCAGAGGCAAAAAGTTCTGCAGTGCTATGAGGAACACGTCGTCGATGAACTGTTTGGAAGGACGAGGAGACAATTAGAAGACCATTGGTTTAGATAACAATGTTTGCATATACCTTTGGGTAAGGCATCCGTTCCAGTTGAACCGTCGTTTCATAAATATTTTCAGTTGGGCTGATAAATTTCCTGATGGAGGTGTCCACGGCGTGTTGAAAGTAGAGAAATCCCTCCGCCCAGTAACCTAACATGATTGATGTAAAAAATTATGAGGACAAGAGCAAGAAGAGATGTTCCAAATGTGCAATTGTTCCGCTGACCTGGTCGTCCCCCGTGGTGTTCATTTTCGAATTTAAAGTACTCCTCCGTGGTGTTCTTCTCCCATTCTGGGTTTTCTCGGGGACCCAGCACTTGAAAAATGGGGTAGAGCAATTCTGTCATCCATCGTGGCTGCAAACACACAATATTTTCTTTCAAACACCTCGTTGTTTTAAACTTAAACACGATGCAAATCCACAAAATAAAATCATTACCTTGTCAATGTCATCTCCATTGTTCTGATTATGTTGGACTGCAGGAAATCTCAATGCGTACTTTTGTAATAAGGGATAATAAGTTAAAAACAATTAAATTCGCCAAATTGAAGGGGTAGTTATACTCATGTTGTTGGCTAAATACCGTGATTTCGTTAACATCCGTCCAACTATTGCCATTTAGACCATCACGAAAAACAATGGCTGCCAGAACGAGGTTGGTATTTCTTTCAGTGTCGTTTAAACCGTTCTTGCAGTTGGGGAAACCAGTGGCTGTGTACGCCTCCACCAACTCGTCCTCCGTGTCGTACCCGTGGACTAATAATGTCAGGTGAGGAGTTTAGAAGATGCTGCTTGGGATTAAGTTTTAAGGCTTTTTATTTAATGGCAGTACCCGTGTAGTTGTATCCGCCTCGAGGGAAGTATTTTTCGACCATTGGAGAATTGGCACCGTTCATTAGCATATCGGTCAAAGTGTTTCTCGGAGAGTACAAGATATGACAACTGGACATAAAATTAAAAGTTTATGAATTGTCACATGACGATGAAATATCAGTCGCTAATCACGTGTCACGTACCCCTTGGGGACACTCGTTCCATTTGCCATGTCAACATCCCAGGGGTAGAATACTGTGGGGTGATTCACATGGGTTGAACTCAACAAACCTCGGATGGCAACGAGCACAGCCGTGAAAAATAAGGGCACCTAGAATTTTGGGTCAAATCCGTTGAGTTGAGGACAAACAGGATGTATGCAAAATAAGGAATTGAGCTTTATGTACCAGCAACTCCATCACAGTTTGGATCTTGTGCCGCTTTTGTAAAATGTAGTTCTTCCATAGTAAAAGCCCAAATTTTTTAATTCCGGACGTCATCTTGACGCCTTCTTGGGTTAGGTTAGGACTTGTCTCGAGTGTAAATAATAACAATGCAAATGGGAGGTAAATATGGCTGGTTGGTTGGCAGGGAGGAGACGGATGCGCTCAAGGCCTGACCATTTCTCAGACTGCGTGAAAAGCTTGTCACACCTGGAATGGGATTTGGGAATGTCTGTTAATTTATCACCAGCACGAGTCCCGTAGCATTATCTGCCCGTGTGCTCTCTTCAACATTTTTTCTCCATCCTTACGTCATTTGTGTAATTTATAGGCTGCAAAAGTAGTGTGACTCTCTAATATTCTTGCCGAATCATATTTATTGAACCAGCCATTAATACGTGAGACTGAATCACCTTATCATCACCATTTGTTCTCCCAAGCCGTGCAAAACGCAATCGCCGAGTGAGTGAGGTACTGATAACAAGGTATCCCTTATCTTTGCACTTGGCATTTATCCATCAAACAGAAATATATTGTATTTCTGGCTGCGACTCCTTATCAAACTGGGTTTATGTAGGAGTACATACAACCAATTTTTAGTGCGGGGGGTGACTAATACTTTTTCACTGGGTTATTACGTTACACGATAAAAGCCATGATTTTGTCCAACAGGCAATTAGCAAAGTTCACCTGTCGAAAATGTGACAAGAGCGAGCGGCTTTATAAATATGTACGTGCACAAAATGTATTGATTGACCAATATTTTGTTGGGAGAATATTAGTCAATCTGTTTGCTGATGTGTATGATTACGAGTGTTTGCTGAATCGTATAAAGTTTAAGGTCATTCTATTCTTGCAATTCTAATTTGTAGCCCCTGAGGCAGGTCAAAATTCGGTTCCGGTTTTGCAGAAAATCCGCATCCTCAGTTTACTTAGACCATGAATTTTGTGCTGGAGACAAAATTTGTCCAGTTGACAAATTGCTGATGCAATGATGTCAAATATTTAAACGTCTTAATGGCATGCAGAATTGTAGGAAGAAGGCAAAGTGAAAAATTCGAGGAGGTATTAAACTCACCTATATTGATACGAATGATGCACGTGAACACGCTGTTGGCATTTTTGTCTACTCATTCACACAAACAGAAAAGTCCTCAAGCTGAAGAGGTCCGTGAATAACGTGGATGGCTTAGTTGGATGATGATTTATTGGTGTTGGTGCTAATTCAGTTTGTTGTGTGCCTTGAAGATAAGGCATTTTGGGATAGTATTTAGTGCACTACAAACTATGCTCGTTAAGAATGAGTCATACTGCAAAAAATGCATACGACGACGAGTGGCCACAAGGGGATGAGTCGTTCTGGTGACTGATCCATTGACGCAAAAGCAACTTGGTGCATATTACAATCTCAATTGTGACAGTCTCACTGCACCGACATTTCCATTTTTATGTACACAAAATACAATAATCTGACTCGCAAGAAAATATACAAGTGTTGGCTGAATGGACGGACGGAAATGTAGGAACAAATTGTCATGAAACAACTACTATACTTTTATACACGTCAAATACGTAAATGACATGCTGACATTATGTTTTTCCCAGGGTCACACCGTTAGCGTGTTGAATTTTATGATCGATATACGAATACGAATCAATTGGCACAACGTGTGGGAACAGCAATTGATTTGGCATTCTGAGCAGCAGAATTTTTTAATCGATATTCATATTATCATTTATTTCGAATTGCGCCCATCGTCTTTCTTCACACTAAAAGTTTGTTCTTCTTTTGTTTAGAACTGTTGCGTGGCGGTGTGTCACAGTTCTATTGATCGCATTTACTTGCTATCCAACCAGCTGCCGGCGTGTTGGAACATGCCAAGAAACACCTTGTCTAGGGGAATGTTTTGAAATAAAAAATACATGCAAAATTAAGGAACACACATGGGTGAAAAACGTGATACGGGGGCCGGCCAAATGCTAAGAATTTTGGCCAAAAGTCAGGCATAATAAAGTGTCCACTGCTGTGTTCATTAATTTCCATGCAGAGTGCAAAACAAACAAAGCAAGTTGTTCCTTGCATGATCATTTGATGTCCATATGTGCAGCAGCGATCCAATAAGTTTGGTTTATGTATACGCTAAATATGTTCGAGGAGCTGCTTGCATGTAATAAAATTGCACTACTTTTGTGCTCATGAAATTTGCCAATTTGCATGCGGCCATACATTACGATTGCTGCTAAATATCAACATCTATAGTATGTTACTGTATAAGTGTACAGTATCATAGACTCCGTTTATGATACAAATATGAATGATAATGTAACTGTAACACAAAATGCTTGTGTATACTTTTTAAGATCTACACACTATGTGCGGTTGCAAAGAGGAATGAGATTTCCATACGCTACTACATTTACTACACACTCTGCATAACACATACATCAGTAATTGCATGCGAGATAAAAACCAGGCCAAATGTAACACAAAATCATTTCCCATATTTCGCAGGAGAAGATGAGACAGAGTGAGAAAAGTAGTTGGCGGTGGGTATCCACCACCATCGTGCGTTAGGATCGTATGCGCGATCCATTTTCTCACTCTGTTTCTCTCTCTCTGTACTCATTAGTGGCCAGAGTTTGTTATGGCTCTTGCTGTATAAGCCCCTCCCTCAGAAACTTTGACCCCAAAAAAGTCATGGTAGCGGTCATTTCGCAGCGGACAACAAAAGCGGAAAATGTGGCACTTCTGACGAAGAAAAATCTGGCATCAGGTTGTCAGCCGCAAAATGACCGCTAAGGTCACTTTTTTAACGATTTATATGTAGGTCGAAAAACCGCCAATTTTCGAATTTTGAAAGTCTTGATGCATCAAAATGTTCATACTCATGAGGGAAGTCAAATGTCAAATGCAAGTTGGTATCTACTTCTTTCTGTACCGAGTGTACATTGACCTTCTCATTTTTCCCAATTTTCTTCCCCAATTTTTGAAGGGGGTGTGGTTGAATATAATTCAAAAAAGCTATGCTATATTAATCCCCCCCACCCAAAACTGAATTTGTAATTTTTTATGTGCAATTTGGTGAAATCGATGCGAAAAAGACTTGCACTTTTGGCTCATTTTGTACCGCGAGTTAGTGATGATAGGGATGAGTGGGCATTTGTCCATCCTAATTACGCAACCAAATCGTGTATTGTTCCATCACCCATCCATTGTGGTCCCACCCAACTTAATCATTCTTCTTGCACATTCATATTACACGTTGACAATTTATATTTAACTCGACATGTATATTGGAGTGGAGCAGGGGCGGCGGTGTCAGTGGTGGTGTGTGGGCAGTGGTGGCGTTCATGGGGAAATGCGGGTGTCGGCCCTGGTGCGGGTGGAGGTGGTGGTGGGAAACCTGAACGCCAAACTGGGCTGGGCAATTGGACAGTCGAGTGGTGGACATCCGACTACTTTCCTCCCCAGCAGCGACAGTGTGGCTTCCGGAAAATGCAGGCAATAAAGTGTGTCGTCGTGGGGGACGGGTGAGTTTCAAATTACACTTCCACTTATCACCACGTGATTGGAGTCGTTGTTCCGGTGTCGGTTGAACGTCTTGTTGAAGATTAAGTGTGACAACAAGATAGCCGAGCGAGATGACACTGACAGTCATTGACAGCGAGTGGGTGGGGTGTGTGCCTTATTGGAGTATTAATCGGTAGTGTTTGTTGTTTTCAGAGCCGTGGGTAAAACATGCCTTCTCATCAGTTATACCACAAATGCGTTCCCTGGGGTGAGCGAGTCTGAATATTATTAAACTCCGTCCTGTGTTTGTCACAGGAAGGAAATCGTGTCACCTGAGATAAACATTGTGCTTTGATTTATTTGCAGGAATACATTCCAACCGTGTTCGACAATTACTCTGCAAATGTGATGGTGGATGGAAAGCCGATAAATTTGGGGTGAGCTAGATATCTTTTGTGAAGAATAGTATCAATCTACGAGGTCAAGAGATTGACGTGCAATTACAATTTTTGCAATTTACAGTTTGTGGGACACAGCTGGACAAGAAGATTACGACAGACTTCGTCCCCTTTCGTACCCTCAGACAGATGTCTTCCTCATATGTTTTTCCCTTGTAAATCCGGCCTCATTCGAAAACGTCAGAGCAAAGGTGGGTCATACACAATCAAAATAAAAGTTTAATAGTCGTGACCCTAATGATAAATAATGCTTGGCTTCTTGTTATAGTGGTATCCAGAAGTACGGCACCATTGGTAAGTTTATATTAATAATCTGGATTTATTTATACCCATATACTCTTTATTGTTTGTTATCAAAAGAACTGTAACTGTTTTCCAGCCCCAACACGCCTATCATATTGGTCGGGACCAAACTAGATTTGCGAGATGACAAAGTGACGATAGAGAAATTAAAGGAGAAGAAACTGGCTCCGATTACGTACCCTCAGGTAATTTGAATCATTTTGTTTTACATGTAAAGTCAAATCCTCCAGTTTTTGCTACTTATTTTATTATTATGTCCTTTATTTTTGCAGGGTTTGTCCATGGCGAAGGAGATTATGGCCGTAAAATACCTGGTATGATTATAAGTCATCATAGTATAAACTGTTATTGTGTATTGTTGATATTGGGCCGCCCTAAATTGGTAATGATTATTTAGGAATGCTCTGCCCTGACACAAAAAGGGTTGAAAACTGTATTTGACGAAGCGATCCGGGCAGTATTATGTCCTGTTCCCAAACCCAAAAAACGGACATGCAACATTCTTTAAACGCACAAAATTTTATTTTTAATTTGAACTCGGAATTTGTGTTCTTTGTTTATTTGCTTATTAACTACCTTTTCTTCTGCTTACATGAATTGCATTACACTAATGTAATAAATGCACGTTTCGTATATGACGATAACCAACAACATGATGATATAAAATACTCGATAAAGATAAAAATTTTACGGTTCGTGTTACCTACAATACAATGTTCTCGTTGTTTGTATATTCTTGTGTATATTCTTATCCTTTACTACAAAAACATTTTGCCTTTAAACGGTTCAAATCATATCAATAATATTTATATTTTTAACACAAAAACTACAATTCTGTGATGACACGAGTTACTTATCTCCATGTTGCTCATTTTTATTTCTTAACTGCTCACGATGCTTCCCCACCGTCATCGGTCAGGTCTTCATATGAAAAGTCGTTGCCACCGTCGCTGCTCCCATCACCACTGCTGCTGTAGTCGTGGTCATCATCCGGCACTTCATCTGCACTAGATTTTCGGTGAACTCCGGTGGGGCTGATTTCGTCCGGAAATTGAAACAAGTCCATTTCCGGCCCTGCATAATCATCGTCATTGCATCCAGTTGACTTGCATGGTTCGTACACTCCTGTCATGGCGTCGAGATGACCCTGAATTGTGAAACTGCTAATCGAGTTGTTTCTCAAGGCGTACGCCAACATTTGGAGTGGGGCCGAGATATTCTTTTCCGTGACACTTTTGCGATTGAGACTGCAAATGAATTATTGGCATATTTACAAAATCCCTCGATAAGTAGTTTTTGTGCAGCTTTGTGTACCTGTAGTCAATTTGGAACCAGGTCAACTGCTTTGCTTGCATGATGTGACCAATGGTTTGCAGAGGAACGCCAAGATTTCCTTCCACGCCACAATCAATCAGTTCCAACCGTTTGAGTCGATCCCACCTCCCTCCGCAGATGATTTCCGTGATGGCCTTCGCATCAACTTTGAGCCGATTGATCCTCAAGTTTTCCAAAGTGACGGGAAGTAAGATGAGGTCGAGGATGTTGTTGCAGTGGTGTGGATGGTTATCCTCGTCGTCGGCCTCCAAGATGATGTCGGGAATGTCTTGGTCCTCAATCTCATCCTCGTTCTTCCCCAAGAGGCTCAACTTTCTCAAATGAATGCAATCCTTCAAATACGCGCAGTCCACACTGTCCCGAAGTTCGCAAATCAAGGTGGTCAGTGTGGATTGATTGGCTTTGACGGTGTTTGCTGGAAATGGGATTGGATCTCCGGTGAAAATCATCTTTTCCAAGTGGGCCTGCTGGATGAGAAAGTTGATCCACAAGGGTCCGCTCTCTTGCGGACGATAAAGTCCAACATGAAGATCTGTCAAGGAGACTTTCTTCAACTGTGTAGAACTGAAGGCGAGATTGGACAAGGAGACCTGATTTTCAGGGTTGGATAATTCCTCCTCATCAGAATCAGGACTCAAGACCACCACGAAACCTTGGTGGTAGCAAAAGCTTTGGACGGATTGCCAATGTCGGCTCAAAAATGAAGAAATCGACGAGATGACAGCATTCTCCTTGTCCAAACAGAGTGGGCTGTCGACGATGAGGTTGTCCAGGTGCGGAAAGTTGTTTTGTTCCAAGAAATTGATAACAAGATCCAACACGTGACCCAATTTTGTCACAGGTCGCAAAGATGCAGCAGTAGATTCCCACATTTCGTTCAGACCGGAGGAATCAAAAACCAAGGTTTTCAGCGTGGGAACGTCCAAGGTGAGGGAAACTTGTGCCCCCATCGCCGCCGCCGCCTTTATGACTGCAATCCCAACCAGGCTGGACAGATGGAAATGGATCCCCGTCAAATTCTTGCATATTGAAAGGAATGCGGAGGGGAGTTGGATCGGAATGTTTCCCACAAAGGACAGTTTCTTGACGTAGTCTGGAGATTTGATCCCTGATGAAAATAGCTTTTCAGGAAGCCGCTCCGAAGTGATGACGGGTGGAAGGACGGTGGTGGTGATGGTGGTGGTGGCGTCGCCGTGATCGTGTTGATTTGTGGGTGGCAGTGATGTTGGGGTCTCATCGCTGCCGTTGTCCTTGCTGGGCTCATCATCACTGTCAAAGACGTTGGTCATAATTTGGGAGGAGTTCTCGAGGATGTGGGAACGGCTGTTGGCATTTACTTCCGTGATTTCAAATGCCTGTCCCCCGATTCCTGCGACTGAGAAGACGCCCAAGTGCTTGACTGAAGTTTCACGCCATTTGAGACAAACATTCTCGAGACGTGCGACGCTGGTTTCGGTTTTAGGCGTATGTTCAAATATTTTAGCGAGGATCTGCAATATAATTGGTTGAAATTAGTTAATTATTATCGCCATTGGCCGATTACTTAATAAGTGATAAATGATTTACCTTGTCGGGGAGTTTGTTGATATTCGTGGACATTTTGAACCTTATTTTGAGATTTTTTTGAAGATGCAACTCCCTGAGCTCTCGACTTTTCTGACGACAGCCTTTTCATCCTCTGCTGGTGGCTGCAGGTGAAATAGTATCCATATGCATGCGAAATAGTCGTCATGACTAAAAATATTCATTGACTTGTTGTCCGTGGTTTCTTGTTCAATGCATAAAAGTCGAGCAATCGGGCTCAGAAATATTGGCACGGTTATGTAAATTATAGTCGAGGTCGAAATCTTGTATGCGTGCCTGCTGCCGCGGATGTATCAGCGGCGGGTGTTGTTCCGCCTTTCTCAGAATGCGACCTTATCTCTATTTCATTCTCGTCTACACGTTCGCACTTTACAGTAAAACGAGCGGATTCGACAACGACTTGCAACAAGCCTTCGAAATCGCACACTCCAACTTTGATCCCGAAGCCACCGATGACTGCAGTCCTAAAGAGACGCTAAAAACGCTGAAATTTCTGCGCCTGAACTCGTCCAGACTCAAGGATCAGGGTCTGAAGGAGGATGAATCTGGATTTCCGGTGGATTGCTCCCTGCGCAAAACAAACTTGGGCAAACTTCGACACTTTTTACTGGAAAAGGGCTTCCTCCAAAACCTCGGCAGCCTTCACTTGATCAACTACCAGGACACCAACTTGAAGCTCCACTGCAACCCCTCAGATGAGTACATGTGGCGTTCGAGGGGACTGGGCGAAAAAGATGCAGAGGACGATGAGTTTCAAAAGAAGGGGCACAGCGGTTCCAATCTCAACATCGTGTCCCCCCAGGGCTATCTCTACTTCAGGAAATATATTTGCTTCTCAAAGAAGTGTACCCACACGTTCTACGTCGTGACCAGGCCGCATCCCAAGTTGGACTTCCCTCTACAAGCCAACGAACACGAAAAGTTCGCCTTCAAATGCACCATTAACCCGTGCACAACGACGAGTTGCGAGCTTGGTGGGAAAAGTAACAAGCCGAGACCACAACACCCGTACAACATGAAGTTGAGGGTCCCACTCTCAGTCTTTAAGAACAAAACGTACGCCAAAGGCATTGCGGAGAAGTATGGATGCGACGACGAAAAGGGGGTTCGAGTGAAGGAGCCGATTTACTTGACAATGACGAATGACTCCGGAGACGCTCTTTACGGCGCCTGGAATGCGAATGGCACAATGGAAGCAATGACTGTAAGATTTACATATTTTTCGAATATTCTAACACGACTGATGAATGGCTTGTTTGCGTTTTAGGCAGTAGCGAAAAAAACATCTTCCGATAGTACCAAACTTTTCTACATCAACGTTGACATTACTGACGTTTCTGATAACCATCGGGGAGACTACGAGTGTCTCGTGATTGATGGAAATGGTAAATTCCTGCCTCATTTTAAAAAAATAATGTGGTCATGTCCCCTGCAATTTCAACCAATTATTCAACTACAATTCGTGTCCAACAGGAATCCCGTCCACGCCAACGGTCCATTCACTCCACAAGTATAAACGGTTCAGCGGAAAGGGCAAGCTGCACGTCCGCAAAGTCATCATGACCATTATTCCGGGTTAGGTTATACTTTGTTCTAAAATTGTAACTTACATTGTGTGCAAACATACACGGAAAATATCTATTAGAGTGAATGGGCAGAAAATGAGAGATTTCTGCCCGTCGTTCACTCAGCTGACCGTTTGCTCAACGACCCAAATATATTTTGATGGTGTTTTTTTCAGGCGTGATTGTGGGGGCCATCCTCGTCCTCATGTGCATCGTGTGGATAGCCTTCAGGAAACGGGACAAGATGGAGTAAGGAACTATTTAGCTAGAGCATGAAACTGCATGGATTGTAACCAGCTAGTAATCCTATCAATGGTCGCAGGTATGACGACGGGACTCCGTACGCGAAGCAGGAACTGGTGTCGCCTGCCGAGGAACAAAAGGACGCCAAGGTGTAAAAGTCATCACCAATCCAGGGTCAGCTCCATCAATCTTCTTCCCCGGATATTTGCCTTCCACGAAACAAAAGCTCAAAATTATGAAAAGTTTATCCACTAAATTGTTATTATTACATATGCAAAATGCGAGACTTTGTTGAACCGAAGCTATTTAAAAATGTGCAGCATTATAATTTCTTAAGAATGATAAATTGGCTCATTTGAATTTCATATAAAAAATTCACATGCAGAATTAAGAAAGACAGAAATGTCCTTGGATCGAAAAATCTAATTGATTAAATCAGGCAGGATTCACTGATGCAATTATACACAAGTCGTGCCTACACACAACCTCTTTTTCAGTTATATCACATACATGTCAAATTGTAACAGAATGGACCAAGCCCACAAATAATGTGCATGCATATCCATATGTCGTATTTACTGACTGATAACAGAGTTGAACACGCAGCAACGATTATTGGGGGCTTGTTTAGTATTATTGTTTGCAGAAGTGACTTGACTTGTGATGTGATTCTCTGCTGGATATCGTTTCCATACATCAGTTTATCCCAAGCAGTGGCGGAGATAATGCAGCACTGGATGTGTAGAAAAGGATTAAAGATTCTCACTCTGCATACTTATGCAAGTGTTCGTGATTGGAAGTGACGGGCCCACGCCACACCGTGTCTTATCATTAACAAAAATCCCGTGACTGAGCGTGCATTGTTACTCATTTTTAACTCAAATTCAACCTTTTTTCCGGCTCACATATTTACAACCTCTGGACTTTAGACTCGTCTGTCACATCGCAGCCACTACGGAAGAGGAGAGACGGCTTTAATCATTTTAGTCTGAAAATGAAATCGCGATTTTTATGTGTACTGACTTTTGCACTTTTTGGTGCTTATTTTATCCCAAATCATGTCCAAGGGGCCAAGATTTTATTTTACTTTGCCGTCGCCGGTCCGTCGCATCGGATCAGTGCTTGGCCAATTATTGAAAAGTTGGCTCAAAATCATCAAGTAACGTTTGTATCGCCGTATCCATCCAAGAACAAAAACCCGAGCCAACCCAACATAACGGACTATGTTCCTGAAAATTGTGGGTCGAAGAGTAAAAGTATTTATATGCACAATTGGGAAATACTAATTTTAAATGTTTTGCTAATGTTGAATAGTGGCGAAGGATTTGGGCGTCCTTGATCTGGACTTTATCGGACTCCGGCTTCGTGAAGGCGTCACGGCCATCGACGACTTATGGAATGTGTACTACAAATTGGGCCTCAGCGCTTGTGAGGCATTAATGCGCAAGCAAGAATTTCTGACCTGGGTGGAAAAATCCTCCTTCGACTTGATCGTAATCAACGCCATGTTCAACGAATGTGCTTACGGCCTGGTGCATAAGTACAAGGCGAAGCATATCCTCTACTCCCCCGTGTCGCACATGATGTGGTACAAGGACGCGTTCGCCTACCCGGACGAGAACCTCCCCGAACTGCAGTTCCACTTTCCCCTCAACATGACTTTCCTCCAAAGCGTCAAGAACGAGATGGCCTCCCTCTTCTGGCAAATGAGACGGCACAGAGAAATCTTTCCCAAAGTGAGGGACATGGTGAGAACAGGGCTCGACCTTCCGGACCTCCCCAGCCTGGACACAATTGAGCAGAACACGAGCCTCATTTTTGCCTACACACATCCCAGTGAGGAATATCCCAGATCACTGCCCCCCAATTTCGTCGACATTGGAGGAATTCACTGCACCGACGAAAGAAAACCCCTCCCACGAGTAAGCTTTTTTAAGAGATAAATCATTTAGATGCATAAATTAATTTGATAATGATTAATAGGGCAAAATATTTGTGGTTTTTCATATTTAAAGGATTTGGAAGAGTTTATAAATTCATCTGGAGAAGATGGTTTTGTTCTCTTGAGTTTCGGAACGTACGCCGCCATCTCAAGTTTGCCTCAAAATTTACAAGACATGTTTTTCGGAGCAATGTCCAAAGTTCCCAGTGTTAAATTCATCGTGAAATTTAACGGGGAAGCTCCGAAAGGTTTGCCAAGTAATGTGAAAACCGTGCAGTGGATCCCACAGCAGGATGTGATTGCACACCCGAAAATCAGAGCTTTTATCGGTCACGGAGGACTTTTGGGGACACATGAAGCCATTTTCCACGCCGTGCCCATGATCATTCTGCCATTGTTTGCCGAGCAGGACTTTCAAGCTTCACGAGCTCATTTTCGAGAGACAGCAATAGCTCTGGAAATTTCAGAATTGACGGAGGACATTCTTTTGCACGCCATTTTAGAAATTCTCAATAATAAAAAGCAAGTTGAGATAGTCTTTTGCACTTGGATTAATTTAATGTTCTCACTCACAGGTTGTCAGTTTAATTTTGCAATATGCAGAAAAAAATCCAAATTTAGAGAATTCGGAAAACCACAATTAATAGATCGAATTATGTACAGTTTTTGCTTAAAATGTGACAACCACTTGACGATTCCTCACAACAAGTTCGCTTTAGAGGGTTACAACTTTGACTTTGATAACATCAAATTAATCCAGCAAGTGTAAAAACTTGCAGACCTTGTAAACTCTTTTAATATGACAAATGTTAATTTGCGACAGGTACAAAGAGAACACGATGAGGCTGTCCAAGTTCTTCAGAGACCGTCCTTCTCCTCCCTTGGACGTGGCCGTGTGGTGGATCGAGTACGTCCTTCGCCACGACGACTGCGCACACTTGAGGCCCGTCGGACTCCAAAAAACGTGGTATGAACGAAGGATGCTGCACATTTGGGGGTTTATCTTTGGCTGTGTGACCCTGGCTGGACTCATCGTCCTCCTTGTCATGTCCCTCATTTTTAAAACTCTGAGAAAACTGCTCTTTGGCAGTGTGGGGAAAATAAAAGCAGATTAATAACCGAGAGACGCCTAATTATTTGGTTGGACAGAGAAAAATGGCAAACAAAATTCTCACACCTCACAACAAAAAATTGGAGCATCATCTTCTTGATTTCCTGAGATATAGGGATCACATCACATAAAGCATGTTGAAGTAGCGTTGAGCTACGTGAAAGCGTACGAATGCACTCTGCCGACAGAGAGTTTTAGTCGGTGGGGTGAAGATGAGATTCCCATCGTCCACGAAGCTGGCTCCCATCTCGCTGCCTCCTCGAGAGCAGACTCGACTCGCTCCTCGGTGTGGGCCAACTTCGCAGGGAGGAAGTTGCACTTTTTTGTGGTATGATCTCACAGTCAGCTTTCAGCTTTACTTACGGGCGAAATTAAGCAGGAGCAAAGAAGTGCAGTCATCAGTGAAGTGACAAGTCACAACTGTTGTGCTGCTGCTGATCTCTCCTTCCTCTTTGCCTGCTGCCTTCCTTCAAATCCTGATAAGCTTGAGAGCAGTGTCAATAATTGTAGTCCACTGAGGTGAGTGACTCATGCTTATCCAAATATTTATCTACTGATTTGTACGACGGAACAGGGATTTAATTATTGCTTTCTCCTCCAGACGGACGGGCGAAGCTCGAGTTTGTTGACCAGCAGCAGCAGCCGACGACGATTGTGTCCTTATTGCAATAATCTCAACAAAATAGTTATGAGCTAACTAGTCAACTCACAAAACTACAATAATCAATCTTAGGACGACATCAGAAGTTGAACAGAAATATTTAAGAATAATTTTTAAGGGTATTTTATTTGTGCAAACGGAAAAAGTATGTGTTAACATTGAAGACCTTCATAATTATGTAATGGAAAAGTGCAATTCTAATGTTTTTTTCATTATGGATTATTGTAGGCCTGTTTATAAATTAATTAGAAAATAGAGCACCGCCTTTTAGGAAAAATATGGCACTAAACGCCTCCAGCATTTCCTTGTCGACCTCTGCAGTGGAGCAGAGGCCGGCTGACCCACCAGCCGAAGATGCTATCAAAGTTGTGTGTCGTTTTCGTCCCCTCAACACTGCCGAGGTCAAGGCAGGCTCCAAGTTCGTGGCAAAGTTTACCGACGAGAATTGCATCACGATTGGGGTACGTTTTGTTTTGTGGAATTATTTGGCCAGCTTTCCTATGATAATGTTATTGGCTAATTGCATATTTTACTTTTTCGACAGGGGAAGGTCTATGTTTTCGATAAAGTGTTCAAGCCGGACTCGACTCAAGAGCGAGTGTACGACGATGCTGCCAAGTCCATCGTGAAAGATGTCCTTTGTGGCTACAACGGAACTATTTTCGCCTATGGTCAGACTTCTTCCGGCAAGACGCACACGATGGAGGGCGTTATGGGCGATTCCGACATGCAAGGCATCATTCCCCGAATTGTGAACGATATATTCAAGTAATTTCTCTTATTAGCTACTCGTACAAGTTTTAGCTCGTTGTGAGTGGCCCAAGTACATGGTCACTTACTTGTACTTTTGTGTATTAACGATCTTTTTTATTCTGTGTGAAGCCACATCTACTCTATGGACGAAAATTTAGAATTTCATTTAAAGGTAATTACACATTACACTCATTTATTCTTATGCCCACGAAACGACTTTCGCCTAATCCTTTTCGTTCATTATTTTACAGTGCTCGTATTACGAAATTTATTTGGACAAGATTCGAGACCTACTGGACGTTACTAAAGTTAATTTAAGTGTACACGAGGATAAGAATAGGATTACGTACGTGAAAGGTGCAACTGAACGGTAATAAAACTTTCACAACCTGCTTCAGGAATGAAACGCTTTTGCTTATCCAGTTGTACGGTGAGTTTTGTGGGTTTCAAAAGATTTGTCTTTTCAGATTTGTTTCATCTCCTGAAGAAGTGTTTGAGGTTATCGAGGAAGGAAAATCTAATAGACATATAGCAGTTACAAGTAAGTTACCGCAACATGCATTAATGAATTATTAAGTAATTTTATAATCATTCTGCGTCAAAGGAGGATAATAAAACTTGCTTCTTGCAGACATGAACGAACACAGCAGCAGAAGTCATTCTGTATTTTTAATCCACGTAAAGCAAGAAAATTTGGAGAACCAGAAGAAATTGTCGGGTACGCTCGAGTGATATCCTCTACATAACAAGTTTTTGCGACTAATTCGTTTACGCGTTTCATTTAAATTCCAGGAAAATTATACCTGGTCGATTTAGCTGGAAGTGAGAAGGTTTCAAAAACCGGGGCAGAAGGTCAAGTTCTGGACGAAGCGAAAAATATCAACAAATCCTTGTCTGCCTTGGGAAATGTTATTTCCGCTCTAGCCGAAGGAGTTGTAAGTTGTTGGACAATTTATTTCATTTACTAGTTTATTCTAATAACCAACTAATCTAAATATCGATCTTTCAGCGTACTCACATCCCTTACCGTGACTCCAAATTGACTCGAATTCTTCAAGAATCCTTGGGTGGCAATGCAAGAACCACGATCATCATTTGCTGTTCTCCTGCCTCGTTTAATGAGTCTGAAACAAAATCTACGCTAGACTTTGGTCGAAGGTACAATAAATAATTAATAAAATTAAAATTATGCAGGATTACAAATTAATACTAAATTCCTTGTAATCTAATCAAATTAGAGCCAAGACTATTAAGAACGTGGTCAGTGTAAACGAGGAGTTGACAGCAGAAGAGTGGAAACGTCGCTACGAGAGAGAAAAGGACAAGGTGGCCAGACTTCGGGGAAAATTAGAAAAGGCGGAAGAGGAATTGGAACGGTGGAGAAAAGGAGAAACGGTCTCGGCTGAAGAACAGGTGTCACTGAAAGATGAGTCCGCCGCTGCTCCCACTCCGAGCGAACCAGGTAAGCGCAGAAAAGAAAATAGAAAAATCTCTAATCTCTGACAGTTCTTAACACAATTTTTCATGTAGCACCACAACTCGTTCCGGCGAAACCTACAATGGTTGCCTCCTCGATATCTTCAGACGAACAGGAGAGGTTATATCAGCAGCTGGACGAAAAGGACGAGGAGATCACACAACAGTGTCAAATGGTCGAGAAATTGAAAGAGCAACTCATGGAACAGGTACATTGTTAATTAATTAAATATATTTTGCATGTGAAGTGAATCACTGGTCATGCGTGGTATTTATTAACAGGAGGAGCTCATTTCAACATCGAGACGTGATTATGAAAAGCTACAGCAAGAAATGTCCAGAATTCAGGCCGAGAACGAGGCAGCGAAAGACGAAGTCAAAGAAGTTCTTCAGGTACAAGAAATTCGCTGCGTCTTATTTGTACTACCTTCCAATTCCAAAATCAAAATGTTGTATTGATTTGTGCAGGCATTGGAAGAACTCGCCTTGAACTATGACCAGAAGGCGGGTGAAGCTGAGGGAAAAACTCGGGAATTTGATGTTCTAAATGAAGAACTCACCCAGAAGCAGGTAATTATTATCAGTCCACAGCTGATTTCTTGGGGATTTTGAGAAAACTAGAAATAATTTCACACAAATATTTTATTACAGGCTCAGCTCAACTCTACTCTATCCGACTTGCAAACCCTGAAAGATATGTCTTCCCATCAAAAGAAAAAGACAAACGAAATGTTGGCCAGTAAGTTTCTATTTTATGTAAAGTTCTTGATAGCTTGACACAAATAAAACAAAATCCACTATTTTTACAGGTTTGTTGATGGATCTCAATGAAATTGGCCAAGCAATCGGAGCACCGCTCGTGGAGAATATCAAACTGGGCGAAAAAGTTGAAGAAGAATTTACCGCTGCTCGTTTGCTTGTTGCTAAAACAAAAACAGAAGTAAAAAACCTTGTCCATCGATGCACATCCTTGGAGAATACACAAACCGATTGCAATAAAAAGGTGAGAGCCATCAACACAATGACATTATTTTTAACTAAACATACTATCCACTGCTGAAAAGACTATTAACTCGATAATTTTGATGGGCACAGATTGACGAGTACGAAAAGAACTTGGCGGAATGTCGACTAAAACTGGCACAAACGGAGGGTCGGATAACTGCATTGCAAGAAACGTCCAAGGAAATTGAGAGCAGAAAGCGTGCCCTGGAGGAGCAAGTGGACTCTTTGAATCATGAATGTACACGCTTGCGAGCCCAAGAATCTCTCGGCCCAGCAACGGCTCAGGCGGACACGACGGTGAAGGAAGCTCTGGAGAAACAGCTCGAACAAAATCGAGAACAGCATCAGAAACAAGTTCAGAATCTCCGAGATGAAATTGATGCCAAGCAGGCCGTTATTGATCAATTAAGAGAGTGGGTTAAACATAACGATGACAATACCAATATCGTAGAGAATTATCAATATACATTCAATTTTCTTTTATAGCACAACACAAAAATTGGCTTGTCAGCAGCAACAATTGCAGGATGACTACGGGAAACTTAAATCGGAGGAGTCTGATCGCAGTAGCAAGCTGCAACAGTTGATGTATGCAACAAGACTAATTGTTATTTATGTTATACTACTCATCATGTGTCTGATTTTTTGTGTGTGTTGATATTTAGATTGGCCCAAGAGAAACGAGAGCAGGCACGAAAGGATCTGAACGGTCTTCAAGAAACTGTCTCAAAGGAGTTGCAAACGTTGTTAAATTTGAGAAAAATGTTTGTGAACGATTTACAAAATAGAATGAAAAAGGTTCAATTCACTACTCTAAGCTGGAGGTCTAAAATGTGCTTGATGATTTATATTGTATTTATCTTTTCTTCTAGTCTGTTGGCTTTGAACACGCCAGTTTAGAAGTGGCCGAAGACGCTGGTGGTTCGCTTGCCCAAAAGCAAAAGATCTCATTCCTTGAAACAAACTTGGAACAACTTACCAAAGTTCATGTACGCATTTTGTTAAAAATATCTCTCTCTGGTTCACGCATGATTTCTAATGTCAACTTTTTTCTCCTATTGTGTTCTGTAGAAGCAATTAGTTAGAGATAATGCCGACCTGAGATGTGAATTACCAAAGTTGGAGAAGCGGCTTCGTGCCACGATGGAACGTGTTAAAGCATTGGAAGCTGCCCTTCGAGAAGCGAAGGAGGGAGCGATGCGTGATCGAAAACGGTATCAATATGAAGTGGACCGAATTAAAGAAGCCGTTCGTCAGAAAAATCTTGCGGTAAGTAAAACTAATTTGATTTCATGGGCGAGCAGATTATTATTAATGTGCAATATTATCTTTGCAGAGACGGAGTCACGCTGCTCAAATTGGTAAAACAACGATGACAAAATTGTGACGTAACAAATATATGTTAACTGGTTTAACTAATTGCTAAATTGTGTGTATTACAGCGAAACCTATTCGGGCTGGCCAACCACAACATGTTACACACCCAATTGGGATTCGAGGTGGTGGAGGAATGACGGCCTCCACCATTAAAAACGGAGCAAGTAAGAACAAGTTCCCCATTATTTTACTTAATCTTATCATGTTCTAATAATTGCATTGTACTTGATCATTTCCAGATGACTAAAGAATGCCTTGCTCTGGAGACTCAAAGAAATATACTATTGTGAATTTATACAAGATGTTACCCAAAACGGTATTAAGTATGTGTTTTGCAGAAGAGTGGTCAATGTGAGTGGTGATTCGTTTCCAGTTAGTTTTAATGTTTTAAGATTTTGGGATTGGCTCCCGTCAAAAAAGTGCATTTTAAAAATTTTAGCAATATTGCAGGTTGTTTAGAAAGTTAATTCCAACAAGTTTCATTTTTAGCACATGAACAAATCCGTAAATTGTTATATAACTCACTCATTGTATTAGTATCTATTATGCAGTGCTATTAGCCTACCTAACTATATTATATTCTTGTTGTAATTTACACATAGCAGGTTATTATGCAGATACTAAATACTACTACTTTGTACAGGAGAGAGAACTCTAGCCTAGTTTTATTTACAGCAGAATAATAATAATTGTATTTCGGGTTAGGGTCCGTTGGGGTTGATAACGTTCCTCTCTCTCACACACACAACTCCTTCCTCTTGCAAGGATTGCAAGGATTTAAAAATGAGGTGATCGATATGAATACACATTTAGTAATGGCTTCAATGAGACTGCTATATCGCTAAATATTGTACTAAAATCATCTTGGTCACCAAATAAATCTCCGTAATTGGCTCACTTCACGCTCGCCTTAAATAATAATAAACCTTGTGCAAGGATGAATACATTGTACTTATTTATTTATCTATTTATTCTATAAACACATAATAATGTACACAATAGCATAATAATTGTTTTACAAGTTTTTCTGATTTGTAAAAAATGAGGGATAAACTCACGAGACTTGAACTCCAAGAGATTGAACTGAGCGAAGAACGCAACGAGCCTTACATTTGTGCACCTTTCCTGTTGGTCCCCTCTCTTTCAAGCCAACACGGACTAATTTTTCGGCTGAGATTCGTCCGTAACTTGGTCAAAGAGCGAGTAGTCAATGATTCTCTGGCCGGAACTGGATTTTGTGTAGGCAACCTCGTGGAAACGACTTCCCCAACGTATCTGCAGGAAAAGGGTCGTATGACGACAATAATATAGCATATTTAGTAATGTATTCTTGCCTCATGCGGCGAGTAGGACGTCCTGGCTTGCGTCATTAGTCCCGTCGTCTCCAAAACCCCTTCCAAGACAACGACAATCTCGAAGGAAGCATTGTTCTCCATTTGGAAGTCCTTTGGTTGGAGTGGGTCGAGTGGGCTGTCCTTGTCAATCTCGTGGACCACGGTGGTTGGCCAGAAGAGAAGGATTTTGTCCCCTTTTTCACCATCCCCTTGGACCGTGATCTCCTCTTGCGAGTGGGTCACCAGTTCGCCCTCTTGCGTGAAGCGTTTCCAAACCACCTGTGCTCGAACGTGGGCCTCGAGAAGGTGCGAGGTTCGGGTGTCCGCAACACGAAACATGAAATACCTGCAGCACCAAAAATTAATAATTGCCATTGTCGCGTTCACAAATTGTGATCGCACCTTTTCCCATCGCGGTGACAAATGACTGCATTTCGACTGAATGCCAATGTCTCACTCCTCTTCTTGGGTCGTGAAATTTTGAGAAATACGAGTCCGACGACGAGACCTTCGAGTATGACGCCCACGATGGACTGGAAGCACAGTAGCAGGACTCCGAGACCACACTCTTCCGTCACGTAGTGTGCCCCGTAGCCGATCGTGTGCTGGGTTTCCACACTGAAGAGGAAAACGGAAGCGAATCCAATCACGCCGGTGACACAAGGAGTGTGCTCGTTCTCAGGCAGCGTGGTCACAGCGGGGTCGAGGTCACCATGCAAGAAGACGATGAGGTACCAGAGAGCAGCAAAGACTACAAAAATCAATCAAGGGTCAGCTTATCTGGTTAAGCATTATTATCAGTCAACCATGTTTTTTTTACAGAGCCAAGATCCAAAGTAGGTAATAAAACATGACACAAAAATCCAACGCCACTTCAGCTCCAATCTGCACGAAAATGCACATTTTAGACGTGTAGGGATGGATTCATTTTATGAGAAGAACTTACAGCGTGGTGAAAATGTCCGCGGTAAACTTTCTCCTGTGCTGGTGAATGTTGACTGGAGAAAATGCCCGGGTGCCATCCTTGTTCAGAGCTCGAACGTTCCTGTGTGTACCAAAATTCAGCCAGAATTAGCCAAGGAGCCACTCATGCCCTCGCGACGTCTATGAAATAAGTATTGCGACGTAATATAAATAATTACGTGTTGGACTGGGGCAGAACTTTCCTTCGTCGTAGGAAGCCAAAGAGAGACTGATGGCTGGCGGCCGAGAGGTCGTCGTTGAAGGAGTCGTAGGACGGGTCACGCATCCCGGCATCCGAGGGGACGAGCACACTCCGCTCAGCAGAGTCCTTAAACCAGGTCCACCGCATCTGGATTCTCGAGTGGACCGTCCGTCCGTCCGTCCGTGAGAAGAAGTGTGGAAATTGGAGAAAGTTGTGCGTGGGAGAAAGGCAGCAGCAGTTGTTCCAGTTCGGTGAGGACAGTCGCAAACTTTCTCCACATCATCATCATCACCATCATCCTCGGCTCATCATAATCCCACGGAATTCTGGACTGGAGGCCATAACACATTGGTAGACAGGCATTATAATAAGAAGACAGTTTGTTACAATTTGTGGTGCGGGTCCCTCTCCCCGGAGAGAGAGAGACAATCCCATCATCGCAATCCCGTCCGTGTCTCCGTCCTCTCCTCGCACTCTCGGCCCCATTTGAATGCTGGGCAATAAAATAATGTCAACAAATAAAATGGATCAGCGTCATCCAGCATCAGAACTCGAATGGAATGGATGGAGGAGCAGGTGAACATTACACATTGCTCTGGACGATCTTTGTCTGAGTGTTCAAGGAAAAGGTTCTCACGGGCGGACAGGACACGCGGCTCTTTTTTGTGCCCCCGTCATGTGAAGCAACCAAGATCAAGAAATATGAAATTACCGACTCTCCCCATGCACATCTCTGACGCTGACCAAGGGACGCGTGTCGGGTTTGCATTTACTCACCTACCACATAAAAAGATCCCAAAGGAAAAAGGGTGTTGAGCTCTTACCCACCAACCAACCAACCAACCAACAATGCACTGCAGAGTATGTACATGCACACATAGTTATTATTGTTGGCTGGTTGGCAGTGGAGAAACCAACAACAACTTCTTAAGCAGGGATGAAGATCATGATTCATGAGGAGAGGAGAGATAATATGGATGCAATTTCATTCTGGGTTGGTGTTAGTTGTTAAAACAAAAAAAAACAGGACTCACGAAGCAGATCCAATCGGTTAAACGGGAGCATGCAACAATTGCGCCTTGCGACGCCATGGTCAACGTCAGCCCTGTCAAGAGGAACAACCTTAGCGACGTGCATAATATTGGAGGCATGATATTGTCAAGACTGTGCGGAACTAGTAGGAATAGCTCAGGCTTCCTTCCGGACCAGGCTCCCCCTTCGTGGCCATTGAGTTGAGTGGTGCACGGGCAGCATGAGTTAAGGGTGAGTGGGTCCGGAAGGAAGGAGGACGTGGCAGATGCAGCCCGTTGCGGTGTGTCGGAACGTGAGAAGGGAGTTTTTTTCGTGGTCCTGCTGCTGCCCCGTTGAAGAGCTGCAACATTCCATCAGACTTTCCCACGGTCTCTTCGAGATGATTGTTGCCCACATGATTGTTGAGAGTGGCTGAGGGAGAGCTGGTGAGTGTGATGACTGACTGTGGGATCCCACAGTCAGTTGCGCTCTTGCCCTCGACCCGTTCACATCGAAAGACGTGTAACCTGCTACCCGTCTCGAATACCACCGAAGGCAAATATGCGTGGCGACTCTCTCTTCTCGATGGACCCGTACAACGACAGCGACGACGACATGGACAACGTCACGCAACACTCCAACAACAAGGCGGATGCTCGTAAGGTACGCAATTCTTGAGTCTCACATTGCCTCTCTGTGTATTTACATATGTACGTATAGTACGTGGTTGGCCTTTGTTTTCCGTTGTTGATGTGTATTTTTAATGCAGAGCAACAAGCCGATCATGGAGAAAAGGTATGCATGCATCCAAAACGACCAAATTTTAGTGAGAGCGACCAAGCACTAACAATGTATATTTTAACTTGTATTTAGGCGTCGAGCTCGAATCAACAATTGTCTCAACGATTTGAAAGGAATACTTTTGGAAGCCATGCGCAAGGACCCTGCGAGACATTCGAAACTTGAAAAGGCCGACATCTTGGGTGAGATTTCTAATTGTTCAGTCTGAAATTGTGGGAGTGCGAACAAATGTGGCGAATTTATCGTAATATACTCGATAACCTTTGCACAAAATTCCTGTTAACAATGAGAATTATGCTATTGTACAGAACTCACGGTTCGTCACCTTCAAAACATTCAAAGGAACCAGCTCGCGGTGGCAATGGCGACAGATCCCACTGTGTTGTACAGATTTAAAAATGGGTTTTCCGAGTGTGCCTCTGAAGTAGGTCAAACAATGTTCAAATCTTTGTGCTTTAACGCATTTACTGCAGATGCATCCCGTATAAATAATAAATACTTGTGTCCATTTCGTAGGTGGGTCGATACCTCTCGAAACTGGACAGTGTGGACGAGGGGATGAAAACTCGCGTCTCGTCACACCTCACGTCCTGCGTGGGCGGATTGCAGCAGGCCAATCCAAAAACTATCGGAAGCAGATATGGTTCAGACGTTCCCTTTGTTCCGTTCTCCCCTCCGGCCGGAGCCCTAATTCCACCCTCCAACCTGACCCCACCCGGCGACCTCAACAACAACAAGGAAACGCATCACATTCTGATCCACCGGCCCGTCCCCATAAACCCCGTTGTTTTGACTGGATTCAGTTCCACAGCCCAAACGACGACGTCGACACTGGCAAGTCCTTCTCCTCCTCCTCCTCAGATGCCGCCTGGGGCTATTGGGCGATCGGGTCGTGGTGAGGATTATAGTGTCACTCCGGTCGACTATTCGACGAGACAGCAGCCAGTGGTGAAAGTGGAGCCGGATACGACGACACCGACATCTTCGTCCAAGGACTCCATGTGGAGACCGTGGTGAGCGAGGGGGGATTTGGGAGCATGTGGGGTTCGCCTGCTTGCTTGGATTGTACTTATGTCTGAAACTACTCTCATTGTGATATTTATGTATTCTTCCGTTTTTGCACAGATATTTTGATTTGCGACAAATATTATTTGCATTCTTTTATCCGATAAGTTTGCGAAGTTTTGTTACCTTCTTATTTTAAATAATTTTGCATTACTTATGATTTATTATTTGTTTTTAATAAACTCTACTTTAGTTTTTGGAAATATAAAAATATTATCACAATTTTTACGTTTTATTATATTTTGCCCTTTATATTTTGGTAGCTTTACCGGCTTTCTCTTATTTTATGTCATGATTGAAAGCTTGGTTTGGTTAGATGACTAGCAGAACTTTGGATTTGAATGATGCGAGGTCCCCCAATTGATTTTGCTCCTCCTCATTGTCAGCACCCTCGTCGTTGTCGTCTTCGTTGGCGGCGGTGCTGGATGGAAGGACATCTTCCGTCTCGGTTGCGTCTGACGTTTCCGGTTCGAATTCGACCAAGGACTGTGTAACCGCTGGGGCTGGTGCTGCTGTCACGACGACTGGTGCTGGTGGGGAGGCCGTCGTGGAGGGTGCAGAGGTCGTTTTCACCGTGGTCGTCGTGGGCGTTGTCGTCGTGGGCAGCGTGGTTGTGATGCCATCGATCGTCTGCTTCTGGACGTCCGTTCCGGGAACGAGGTTGAATGAGCCGGTGAGAATGGAAGCCAGGTCTCCGGACAATGCTCCCGAGATGATCTGAGCCACTTGAGGTCCCCAACTGACTGCGGGTGGCTCCACTTCCTCGTCAGTGTCCTCTTGTCTCAAGCTAATCCCCTTCTCAGGATGTAATCAAATGTTTAATTTATGTCAAAACAATGATCTAAACGAATGCAATGGTCACCTCATTCTCGGTCTGTGCATTCAAAAAGGAGGCTCCAAGAGTCGTGGTGGCCTATTCATTTATTTATTAATATTTATCCAATAATTATTGTGCAATTCAAGCTATTCAGCCTCCATTATCAAATGACTATTACCAAAAGAGAGCCGAATAAGAGGACGGACAAGGGCTGCATCTTGTTTCCTGGGGGGTTGGGATTAAGAATGGAGAACGAGTATGGTCGTCAGTTGAGCTGGGTAATGAAATGATTGCTGGAAATTGTCGTCACTTTTCTCATCTTAAATAACAGGGAAATTGTAGCCCAGTGTGCCAACTAATTCCATAAGTGAGGCAATAATAATCACGACATGACGTGACACCCATTAAGGAAACAATATGCCTACGAGTTCCTCTTTATGGGATTGCATAATTTGTGGGTTTGGTAAAAATAGAAAGCTTGTCACCCACAAATCAAGTCAAATCACATCATTACATAACTTTCCCCTGAATAAACATGATTGCAAAGGTTTCTTTCTGCAGCAGATGTGTGTGCATTTGGCGTCGTTGTTGGTGCATGTGCATATTTATGGCATCAAATTTTATCTAGCAGGTCTCCTTCTTCTCGGAATGAAGGTCCAATTCAATAATCTCTGATCTTCTTGATTTCTTGATCCTTCTCTCGCCTCCAAGGTTGTCGTTCCGTGGTGTGGGCATGAATCACAATGAGGGAAAAGGTGAAGGGAAGCATCGTCCTAAAATTTGCCAAGGTTCATTTTCCTTACTAATACGCACACCCGCACTCATTTTGCAACTCTGTCGCTGGGGCTGCAACAACGTTTCTGCTTCTCTTTCAAGTTTTTGGTCGGGTATTTTTATTGATTCCCGATGTATGCTAAACTCTTGGAGCGCGTGTTGGCTCGGGCCGTTCTTTCGTTCTCCATGTGGTGACCCACATACGCACAAAAGTGTGTGCCAATAAAAGCAATAATAATAATGCAGCCCGTCCAGTGTGGAATTTTTACGTAGTGAATCCTGTCTAATTTGATTTTGGGAGTGTGCTCACAAGTTTAATCAAAAGTTGGACTTGCTGTGTGGAGAGTTGTTTAAAGTGCTTACCTAATTTCCTGCTGCACCATATTTACCATGTGAAACGCGATGAGTACATCGTTAGTGGGTCTTTCCGTTCCAGCGTTCGTCATAAACCCATTAAAAGCTGGTTTGTTTATCTCACCCAACGAGACACATATAGGATACGATACATAACATATTTAACACGGTCTCATCTGCAATGCAAATTTGCTAACTGTGAACTTGAGAGAATAATAATGAACAAAACAAGAAGTGGCATCAATTCTCACTCCCATCCAACAACACTCCAGTGAGCGATACGTCCATACATACGTACATACGTGCAAACTCGGAAAAATAAGATCCATGCAAAAAATTGCATTATTCCATTTGGATCACTGTCATTATTATCCCTTCAAGCACTTCAACTAACGAGTAAATCCAGATACACTCTGACGCATCATCTCCTCGGCTTTGGCAGTTTTTTTGCAACGACTTAATTGCAAAGTCTGGTCCAGTCCTTGTATCATCATCTTCCCATTGTTTTTTTTGTCCACTGAATACATCATTCCCATTGCAGAGCGTGGTTTCTTCTCCGCGTGGAATAAAATAAATCTGTGCAGTGCAGCGGCACGATCACTTGAACAGCAGCAGCAGCGTGCTAATTGAGAGAGGATAAATAAATATTTCATACTGCAACCTTCGCTCGAGTAATAAATCGTAACATGGACCAGCAATCAGTGATCCTCCTCCTCGTCGCCGTCGTACGTGGCGTGTGTGGCAACGCATAATGTGAATCTCATCATCTCGATTATGCCATGTACCACATGCAAGGCGAGTAGAACAACAACGAGAACAAGTGGATGCAACAGGAGAAGAATAATTTGTTTTGTTCTTCTTCGTGCAAAAGTGGTGCTGGATGTATAGAAGCATAGATTTTTACAGCCTGTGACAAAAAGCGTCAGGTAAGCAGGATGAGCGTCGTCAATATTTAGTACCCAGAATTATTTGTGAGAATGACGATGGGGATGATGATGATGGATTATTAATACGCTCAATGTAGCCAAGTGGAATGAGTCTCAATTCTAAATCTGTCAGTGTAAATAGCGTTTGTTATTCGGAGAGCCCACTTGAGGAGACACCCACCCGCGTGCTGGACAATTTGGTCTCAATCGCATCTTATCTGGGAGATCGGGGCGAGAAAACCAAGGTGGACTGGACCAGTTCCAACTGGAAACAAGTAGTTAGAACCATTCGCACGCCCCCCGCAGTTGAGTCAATGGTCCATTCCGTACCAGCTACAAATGTCTTTATAATGGTTCGCTTGGTCATCATCCATCGTCATAAATGGTAAAAAAGTTGTGTAACGAGAAAAAAAAGACATTGCAAAGAAATCGCAAATGTATTCATAGCTTTGACATTCATTTCATTCAGTCAATGTTTTAAACGGGTCGAGATATCAGTGCAAAGTGAATTTAAGCGAACAAGAGCTACACATGTAAATACGCAAGAAAATATGTGTAGTAGTTAACCATTCGTCCCGTAAACTTAATCACTTTGTGTGTATTTAAATGGGTAATTAGCAAGTCAGCATATTCGCACAATATTTAGTTTGCACAGAGAATCACAAGCACACAACAGAGCAAAAGTGTGGCGTCTTATTGGCAGTGTTAACTGGTTGGGGTAAGGAAATCAATTTACAAATGCTTGCAAATTGTGTACGGTCGTTGGTTCCAATCATTGTGTGCGAATGTTGGTCGTAGTCTTTAGGATGGAATGGGGGTGATTTGTCTAAATATTTGCCAACTCTTTATCTTGGAGAGTACACGAATTGTTGGCCTTATCTAGAGGGAGAGCGATAAAGACGAGTTTCCGGGTGGTGTCACGAACCCAAAAAATAGTTTTTCTGGGATCATTTTATTTGTCTGTCGTCGAATGGAAGCGATGATAACAAGGAGAGACAATTAGTGCAGTCGTCATTCACTTATTTCCAACTTGCTTACTGCTCCGGTGAGTTGTGTGCGAATTGGCTGTTACATAGATAGTTCAAGCGATAGCGTTTCTTGGGAATGGATAAAGAGTGAAACGAGAATTATGTTTATATATTTCGGAAATTGTTAGAAATCACAAATTTGGAAGACTAATATAAACAAAAAGTGAAGTTAGGCTGGATCAATTAGGTTACTGGAAAATTTCTAACGTTTTGTTTCTTCCTCATTTCAGATAAGATAGAAATCCTGTTTTTTGACCACCAATGCCGGATACCACAGAATTGCCTGTGAAACGTAAGGCCGAGCTGTGAAAAATAAGCGCAGTTTTTGTTTCTAATTGATAGCATTTTTCCTCTTTCACCAGATTCTGGGATGGAGCCTCCCGAAACGCACATCATCATCCTGATCGTGGCCGGAGTCGGGTTGGGCATCATTCTGATCTACGAGATGATTCGGTTGCAGTGGTCAAAGTGTCGTGGAGGAGGAGACGCACCTTCGTCGTCGTCCGACCCGAAAAGTGCTTCATGTCAGAAACTAGAAGAGCCACCCCCTTCCTACGAGTCCCTCTTCCCTTAAAATCCCTCCTCTCGGCGGACGACGTCGAATTTGCACAACTTGCGCAGAAAATGATCTCATCGTCAAATTATAGTTAACGCCTTTCTCTTTATTATTTATTCTCACTTGTCATCATTAAAGTAATGATTTTGTATACGATAAAAATATGCAGCAAGCAAAATACTTATAATACGTACGTACGTACTTAATATGTGCCTTAATAATTACATATGCATATTTATTTTTATGCAGGAACACATGTTCGGTCTCTGTTAGGTTTGTACGACGGGGTTTGGCAGAAGCACTTGGCTGGCAGTTTGGCATTGCTTTGAACACAGGTGGCGAATTGGGTGCAGGACTCGTCGTTTGCACAGCCACGAAATCCATGCAGCCCGCGACACGTTCTCCTCTCAGAGTCAAAAGTGGCGAGGGAGTCGGGACAGTCGCAGTGACCGTCCTTGCAAACGAGTGGCGTTATGGGGTCACATTCTTCCGCGGACGTGCAGACATCGCCCCAGGTTTTGAAGGGTTGGCAGGACCCATCACCCACCTCGAGATGACCTGGACTGCAGCGACACTCGGAAAATCCCGTCGCTGCGTCTTGAACACATTTGGCTCCAGAAACACAAAGAGCGTCACTCGAGCAGGGGGCGGATCTAACCATCGAGAGACAACTCGCCGTGGTCGTATCCACAATTTGGTGGTTTGGGTAACGGCATTCGCATCGATTTTGGATGCAGGACAGGCTGGGATTGTTGCAGTTGGTGGCGGCGGTGGTAGAATTGGTGGTGAGTGAGCCACCACAAGGGTCGCCGAGTCGGAGTTGTGGGGCGCAAGGTTGACCTGGTGTGGAGGAAGAGAATCCTGGACCACAAACACATTTGGCCTCGACATCGTTGCAAATGGCGTTGAGAGTGCACTCCGTGTCCATAAAGCAGAAAGCGCCGACGAGACCCAAACATTTTTCTCGCTCGCTGAGTGAAGTTGGAAAGAGAAGAAATTACCAATTTGTTTATAACTCGAATTGTATAGAATTGGGATGCAAATTTCGGAAGCTAAAAGTTTTCGGGTAACTCACAAGTCGTAGTATTGACCTTCCCGACAAGTGCACCCATCCTCCAAACTGCAAGCGTCCGTCTTGCACTCGAGTGGGTTTTCGCACTTGGATCCGAATTCCTTCCTCGGTTCGCACCTGGTCCCGTCTTGCGACTCGTAGTAGCCGTAGGTGTTGCAGGCGCAGAGTCCGCCAACGCTGATGCTGCAAAAGGCGCCCTCCACACAGCGAATAAAGGGAGGGCGGTTGGGATACTGGCCTCCAACCACCTCGAAGCACTTCTGACCCAGCCGGACGACGCAAGAGGTGCGGTGATGGTCAAACTTGAGACTGGGCGCGAGGCAGAGGCAACGCCCCTCCTGACATGTCAGCCACTGATTGAGGTCGCAGTCACGATCACAAGTGCAGGGATCTCCGTAGCCTCGTGGAGGTGACGAACTGCTGCTGCTGTTCTCCTCTCCCCTCAACAGGGTCGATAAGAGCAGAAGGAGCACGACGACTACCCGGCTCATTGTGCTCTTATCCCTCCTCAATCTTGCTTATCAACCATTCCTCCACTATTTCTGTCACTGTCCAGTAATGTCAATTTCCAGCAAGACATTTATAAACATTTGCCATGCTGGTCCACTAGCACATCTGCCCCAACACGCAAGCATACGCTGTGGGTCTAATAAATCCGTTCGATGACGGCTTAATTGGGGTTGAGGTCATACTTGCTCGTCCATTTGCATACACACACCACGCTGTACATACTATTGTTTGTGCAAACTCCTCCTTATTCATCTGCATACGTAATTCGGCACCAACTTTTTTGCAAAGTCTGAATATGCAAAGTACATGGTGGGAAGTTGACAGTTGTATAATGGAGAATGAGGTACGGATTGTTTGAATTGGACGGATTTGAGAAAAAGAATGCTTGCACAATGAATTACTTTTTAGGATGGATTATTATGATCTCATTCCGATTGACGTTCTTCCATCACTTCGTCCGTCTAATTTTCCGACTGAAAACATGGCCAAGAAATTATTTTATGATTGACGAATTGGACAAGAATGAGTTGGAGGCGAGCAGTGCAAACCCCGGCTCATCGCCATCCCCATAAACATGTCCATGTGCCAATACATCGGGAGGAGTTGGAAAGTTGAGTCATGTAGTGGAATTATTGTGGGAAGAATTTGCGAGGCATGGAGTAGTGCGGTATGGCGTATGGGACCATCGTCATCATCACAAGGCCGTCAATCATTCCTGGTGCAAGGTGTTGTTTTTCGTCTTCCCTTCTCTGACTGATCTGGTTCTCGTACGGTGCGTGTAGTCCGACAGTTGGTTAATGGCGGGTTTGGTGGCAGGATGGCCAATAATTACACCTGACTGCTGGAGGCAGGTCGGGTAGTCTTGTGCCCTACAATTATTCAATTGTACCAATTAGGAGGCAAGACAAAGTTCATGATGTGATGCTGGTCGGTCGACAAGCAGCAGCAGTTGCCATTATTTTCTTGGACATCACACGGACTAGGAAGCCCAGGGCATCGGATACATATTTTCGCAAAAGTACTCCTTCGTGAGTCACAATTCGCGTAGGTTTCAAGCGATGCAAGAAGACCATAGAAAACTCAGTTTGCATAGTTGAACGACTCAGATCCATTCATCGCCAGATGCCGGTTATGATTTATTTAATGAATGATGACATCATGTCAGAGTGCATTCTCATTTAGACGACTTTGGTAATCTTCGGGGAGGTAGAGTGGCACGATGAAAATGTGCCATTTGGTTTCGGAGTAGGATTGGAATGAAGTGCATGCATACTTTTGGAAATTTTGGATATGCATGGGAAACCCGATGCCTTTTGGACATTTGTTGCTGATTTCTAATTTCGGAACGAAGAATGAATGGGAACGGTCGTAACGAAAACGAAAGACAAACACGGTACATTGGAACTCGTGAAATGAGATGCATGCAAGTACAAATATCTAGTTAGCTGAGTAGCTACGATTTCTCGGTATTTGTTACTCAACAACAATATGTTCCTGATTGCAATATCAGCAGAGTACGTGGTGGGGTGACATGTCCAGATTTGTAAGCCAAGTTCACGGCTTTCTGTGACTCCTGCTGCTGTTTATCCTCCTCTTGGATTAAACTTTTATATAAGGAATATTTACGAGCTGGTTAACTTGCTTGTTGAGTGATACGAGAGAGCACGTGTATATTAAGAAACCAACTTTTCCAGCAGCCGATCTTGTGACCCACAATGTCACAATCACAGATAGAGAGCTGGATATGTACATAGCTACACATTTCCAGTTTACTTAAAGTAGGTGACACTCCCTCGCCTGCCTCAGTCGCCATTTCCACCATCAAGAATAAACACCAATTAGCACTATTTGTCAACGGTAACTCTATTGTGAGAATGAACGGAGTGAGCCATGACCTTCTCGTCCCCCCACCCACCCAACTGCTCAAGGAGAGGATCCAAGTCCCACAGAAACGACTTCTCATGGGTAAGATTCCCCATACAATTTGTCAAAATTTCTACGATTCACGAGGATTCACTTGAAATCGTTTCATCAGGTCCCGGACCGTCCAACTGTTCTCCGGAAGTCTGTGCGGCTGGTAGTTTGCCCATCATTGGACACATGCATGCAGAAATTTTCAGAGTATGATTGTCATTTCTTGTGACTGGTTTTTTTTCCTCTTGTGACCATTTTATTTGTGTCCAATTAGATAATGGATGACATTAAGGTCGGCCTACAATACGTCTTTCAGACCGAGAACCCATGGACCCTTGTGAGTATTAGAAATAATAGTGAAAGTAGAAAAAAGCCCAATTTTTGCTACGGATGATAAACACACGTTGCGTTTAGGTGATAAGTGGGCCTGGTCATCTGGCCATGGAAGCCGTTCTCGTGAACCTCTTGGAGCAAGGAGACACGATGCTCGTCGGCGTAAATGGCTTGTGGGGAGATCGAGTTGCAGATCTCGCTTTCCGAATCGGTGAGTGCATAAAAAAAGTGCATCCACTCTCTCTGGCTCTCTCACTTTATTAGAATTTCATGTACACGAAGCTCAGCATGATTTGAGAAAGTGGAGATGATGATGTAATGCAATAATGTTGTTGTGCACGCTGGGACTCGTTGTTTCTGAGAAGGATGAGGTCAGCGGAGGAGAATGTGGACGCATAATTGAGACTGACGTTTGATTCCTCAGGGGCAAAGGCTGTGCGGATGGAGACCGAACCAGGAAATGCCTTTTCCCTCCAGGAGATTGAAGCCGCACTGGTGTCGAGCAGGCCCAAAGTGCTCTTCCTCGTCCACTCCGAGTCCTCCACGGGGGTCATGCAAAATCTGGACGGCGTTGGAGACCTGTGTCGCAAGTAAACCAGTCATTCATTCATAGGGCTCGTTTGAGATTATGCTAATTGTATCATTAATTGTGATGCGCACCGATATGTGTGAGTGATGGCTTGAGTGCCACTAGCTGGCAAATCTTATTGGCGTGTCTCTGAAGATGAGTGTGAGGAACCGGAATCGATTGGCAATTTACTGTTGTGATAGAATCTGAACTAATTCTTGGTGATGATGCTGAAGTAGATTGAAGCGAATCATCGTCGCCAACGGCGTCGTCGTCTCGTCTCACACCGTAAATGATTTCTCTGTAACGATTTATTAGGTATGGCTGTCTCTTGGCCGTCGACACGGTGGCGTCGTTGGGGGGTGTGCCATTTTCGGTGGATAAGCTCAAGATTGATGCCATTTACACAGGATCGCAGAAGGTAAAGTGGAGGACAGCGCTTGATCTAGATCATATTTTAATTCGGCGGTGTTGGTTTGATGTGGATTAAAGGTGATCGGTGCCCCTCCAGGAATTGCTCCTATCTCCTTTGGACCACGGGCTGTGTAAGTGCTTGCTCAGTTTCTCTAAACCTTACAGTTCCCAGTGCTCATAAAGCCCGAGTCGGTTTAAAATCGGCTCAGAGTTTACTGGTTGTCGAAACCCCTCACGCATTGAAGAGTGGTTCATTCCCCGAGCTTTGTCAAACTGCGATGGGGTGAGTTTGTATCACGGATGGGACGGACGGACGAAGAGCTGGTTGCATAAGACCAATGCGAATAAAGCAGCAACAACAAGCCTGGTGATATGAGGGAGCAAAGTCTCGAGAAAAAAAACTTATTGGCGAAGAGATAGTTTACAGCGCAGAAGGAAACACTAAAGATTAATGTCCTCCACCCAGGAGACATTCCTGACGCCAACAACTTCAGTTCCATCTCCCCATATTTCATATCCAATATCATCTCACTATTTTTAACCCAAATTCCACTCCACACACTTATCCACACCACCACAAAACTCAACCACAAACTCTCTCAACTCATCATCATCCACTCTTTTTCCGCTTTTTTTGTCCCACCGAAAATATGCAAATAGTCAACAAATCCCATTTGACTCGATATCTCTCCCCATTTGCAAAAAAAAATTATCGCGGATCAGAAAACGAAATATACATAAATAGGAAAATCCCTAAATCAGAATTGGGCTTAAAAATAACCATATGAATTTTTTTCTATTCTCATTCGTGCATGTACAGCATCGTGTTGGGTTATATTTAGCAAACTCCTTCAGAAACAACAGGCTACAGGACAAATATTAAGTGTCCTCACTGCAATGCTATCATTCGTGACATCACTCCAGAATCATGATGATTTATATGCTAATTCTCATTAAATTGCAGCGAGGTAATCAAAGGGCGCAAGACGCCGGTCAAGTCGTTCCTGCTGGACATGAAGTTGCTGTCGGTGTACTGGGCCTGCTCCCCCGGGGACGTCCGGTTCTACCACCACACGCCTCCCATCAACCTCTTCTACGGCTTGCGAGAGGCCCTCACGGCCGTTGTGGAAGAAGGCCTCCCAGCCATTTGGAAGCGTCACGAGGAGAACGCGAACCGACTGAGGGACGGAATCACAGGGATGGGGCTGGAATTGTTCGTCAAAAACCCTGCAGATCGTCTCCCCACGGTGACCACGATCCGCGTGCCGGAAGGGCTGGACTGGAAGGCCGTGACGAAACATGCCATGGAGAAGTGAGTGAAATGGGATGAGACACGCGGATGGAATGTGGCATGCATGATATCATGATGATGATCCTTGTTTATGCAAATGTTATTATTATTATGATGGCAGATTCGACATTGAGATTGCTGGGGGACTGGGGCTCACGGCCGGGCGAGTATTTCGGATCGGTTTGATGGGCTATAATGCTTATCCGGAGAAGGTGGATCGCGTCCTGGCTGCGCTCAAGGATTCCATCAAAATGGCAAAGTATTAGAAGGAAACGACGACGACGCGAATTCGGATTGAGTGGATGAAATGGCTTCTTGTTTTGTCTCTGTGAATTTTGCTAATAAATGAACATTGATAAAAGGGATACGGGTTGTTTTGGGTATTGGCACGATTACGACGATCAGCATAAAGCTGGTAGAAAATGGGTAGTGAGTGGTCTGGCATGCTTAATGTGGGGCACAAAAAAAGTTAGTCACGTATAAAAAAATCTCACGTCTATGTCCTGTGTCTGCTGCCTGATGGAGTTCACCTTGCTGGGCAGAAAGCCATTGATCCGCCGTTGATTGGAATATTAATTGGGAGCCGAGTCCACAAGTGATGTGACCTTTGCGAGTAGCCTGTGAAATGTCCAGTCTCTCTCTTGTGACGGCCTGGCGCCGCATCTCACCAACTGGCGGAGAGATGCTATTATTATTATTATTACCACACCACGTCCCTCTGGCCATTTGCAGATGTAGATGTGCATCATTTTCCTGGCTTGTGCTGCTGCATCACGAATATCACGATCGTCCGGGTGGGCAAATGCCTGATAGACTGCGACGACATTTTTTTTTGCAGCGAAGGACAGAGGCGCCTGTGACAAGAATAACAACAATAAATCGGGCATGTTTGTTATTTCTTGTCCTCCTGGTGGCAATTATTACGAGGAGAACGTGCCGATTTGGGTGTCATTTCAAAATCTCCGAGTAAACATGAATGTTATAAATTCGCGTCAATGTTATTGGGTTTGCTTGCTGGGTGACAGCTGCGAGCCCACTTTGACTCTGCCAATCCAAGAAATCTCATCACCTGCGAAAGCACGGCGAAACGAAACTCATCTCCATTTATGACGTTGGACGTTGTCATCCGTACGACCTTCGCTGCTCCTTTCCGCCGAGAGCAAGTTATGACATTTGGTATGAGAAGGAAAAGCATTTAAGGGTCAGGTGTTGGTTTGGTTCCTTGGGCTGGGTGTGAGTTATGGTGTCATAAATGTCATAAAGGTGACGATGGGGAGAAAATTTCATGTCTTGGTGGACAACTCTTATGATAATCCCCATAACTAAATGACCAACTATTACACGTACGTACATATCTACGCAGTTCAGTCCCACTTTGTCTACAACGCTGCACAACTTACATATTTTGTACCTGTGCAAGCGGATTAAGAATGGACCCTTTATTGTCACCCTCGTCGTCCTTTCCTCCTCCGCTCACGGGAATGTTAATCCCTTCCCAGAAATACTTTTTAACACGACACAACAACACAGAAAAGGCCGGAATTCCTCTTTTATTTATTTATTTATTTATACGGCTCCCTTGAGCCTGACATGACTCTACTCATTTACTGCCCATACACACCTACCTATGTGCCTACCATTCATACCCCCAAGGAACACAGCGTCCTTACGAATGCTATCGGCTACTGCGGCAGTTGACAATTTTCCATACTCTGCTGCCTTTCCAGGCAAAATATTTGAGAGGTTGACTTTGACCAGGCTCGTAGGAGAGGCAGAAACGGGACATGAGTCTAAAGCAAGGAGGCAGGGCGGAAGGGCGACAAACAGTCTTTGAAGTTCAAGACCGGCCTGGGTTAGGAAACCAATTAAATCGAGCTCTAGGTTATGGAGAAGCTAAAATAGATCACACCAGGCATCACATCACGCAGTGAAGGAATGAAGGTGATGGGGGCAGCCTCAGCAGACCCTTCGTCTCTTTTTCTGATCCCATTTCAGTGTCCAACTCAATTTCAGTGTCCAATTCATTCACACAATTAAGGTATGTATGGACACATGGATGTGGGAGAAAAGAGCACACACATTACATGCTCCACCCACCCACGGAACAGGGTGACAATGAGGATGAAAGCCTCTATGCACGGTTGGGACGACGACAAGGACCACCAACCAAACAATTACTTGTGTATAAATAAACGGTGCATGTTTTCACTGCACACACGAATTTCAATGGGATTGACGGTGGTCTTTTCTCTGGTGCAGGTCATCGGTCATACATATTTTACTCCTCTTGTCATTATGCGATTGTTCTGAATGGAAAATTATAAACTTTATGGGAGGAAACATGTATCAACGAGTGGACAATGGATTTTTCCATGCGTTTATGAGCCTGCAAATGAATTTTTCCCACTCCAACCCCAATCCACACCTGACACACCGAAGGAATCAAATTGTAAAAATGTCACCTCACTCACTCAAGAATTCGATCCATTCTTTTCACCCAAAATCGTTGGCAAGGAGGAAGAATAAATCCAGCTCAAGCCAAGGAAACGTTATCATTTTGTGAATGGGCACATCCAGTCGCTGCCCCCTTCAGTCCGTTATTGTGGGCATGCCATGAAATGAAATGGGGTCGGGAGGTGACCAAAGGAAGCCTTCTTCTTCTTCTGGGTGGGTTGCTGGGGTGCGATGAGATTCTTGAGACGATGATGATGGCGACGACGACGACGATGGAGGCGTGAGAACCTGCGACCACAAAGGAATCGTAGGTGTGGTTCTTGTGAGGAACTCTCGGATGTGCGTTTAGCTGGCTGTGGGTGCGGATGTGCTAATCGGATTAAAGAGAGTCACTTTATGATGCATGGGATCTACATACGTACCTTTTTGTGCCACATGCATAGTTATTTAAGTAATAGGCGAGTGAAGGAGCAGTATCACCATCGCGCACCACCTGAGCAAGTGGAAGCCGCTCGCAGTAGCTTCGTCCCAGTCAGTTGCACGATCACACTCAGCCCGAGAAGAACACGAAACGGAATCCTAGCAGTGATGTAATGTTGGCAAAGATTTCTTGGCGTATGGCAACGTCAGGGGAAAAGTGAGACTTTGAGACTACTTTCCAAGACACAGTGACACAATAAACTTGACGTTTGACCTCTGGGGTCAAGCACAGTGTGTGTGCAGCATAAACTGAAACCAAGTGTAAAAAAATGCAGGTGAGAGGCGTCGTGTTCCTCGTGGGGGCTGCCGTCTTGGTGGGACTCGTACTTTTGGTGGAGTTGAGTGATGGAGCGGTTGGTGCTGTGGGTGTGGCCCCAGCCCGATCCCCGATGGCCCCCCATGCCAGAAATGTCACGATTGGAGGCGGCGGTGGTGGTGGCGGTGCGAATAACAACAATGGAAATCGCGAGGGGAGAAATTTGAGGAGGACGCACCGCTCAAAGTTTCCTCTGAAGGCGGAAGATCTTCGGAGAAAGTCAAAGCGGACGAGTGGTAAGTTTTTTTATCCTTCGGCATTTTCAATCTCTTCCTCTCACACAATGCACCTCCGTTGTGCAATCAATAAATTGCAAATTCTGGTGCGATTGCGATTGGCACAAAAACTCGGTTCATCTCATCCTCATCGTAACTTGTTGCAAAATGAGGGGAGGCCAATTGGAACAACCTGCTCGTAAATAAGTCGAGCCGCCGGTGAGGAGGACGCCAACTGGACTACGACGCAATTTTGTCCTTTTTTCCAGATCCCATCGCTTTGGGTCAACTCCAATGTCAACAATTTGTAAAATCCAGCCAGACTAAAAAGCGCTGCTTGTTTTGGATTGGGACGACGAGGCTCTGCCATTCATTATGTGCTAAATATTTGGCTCCACCTGACTCACGGCTGGAAATAAATAGGCGCTGGTGGCATCTTTATTAGCACTCGAACAAGTAAACCCTGCTTGCTGGACACGAGAATGATTGTTCTTTGACCCATGAATTATTCATGAACGATTGGTTATTCGACTGGAGGAGAGACACACAGCCGTCGGCCAGCTTCCTTTTTTCAGGGTGCTTCGTAATTGGGCGACATACCGGCGAAAAGCAGTATGCAAAAACCAAGAGCACATCAATCATAGTTAGTTTTGCTATTTAACTGTAGTGCATCCCAGAGCGTGGTTGGTTTGGTTGGGCAGTTGTTGTGCACAGTAGTGAGTAAATAAATATGTAAGTAAATAAATATGTAAGCATGTAGTTGGTGTAGTAAGTTGGTTGGTTGCGAGACGATGAATGAATATTTATGAAATTGGCAACAATATAATTGATTGATTCCTGGTCACAAATGTGGAGACAATACTTTTCATCTTGGAGTGGACGACGTGCGGCACGTCCTTCGACATGGAATGGAAAATGGTTGACATTGAAACGTTGGATGTGATGCAGGACAGGTTGTGCAGCAGGATTTGTAGTGCGAGGAGGGTCTGGACGTCGCGACAAATTGCGTCGTAGTCCAGGTGGCGACGGAGGGGGGCGGGCGGGGGGACTAGATTTATGAGCACCTTCACCACTCTCCTCAAGCCTCAATTGGGGCACTTTTCTCCTTTTACGACATTCATCATTTATTTCAATCGCATATCACAGCGAGTTTTATTGAAATGGCAGGATTCGCTTCATTTTTACGACGGCGACAAAAACGCTGTGGCTGCACTGCTCTCACTCCACTCGCTCCGTAGCGTGCATGCCAAGTGTGCAGTGCTCGATTTAATTGATGAGTGATTGAGTGAGTGGCGTGACTTGTTGGCGAATTGATTTTGTTTTACGAAACACCCATCGCACTCACAAACGTACGTACGTACACACATGCAAATACGACGACGACTAAATATGCAAACGACAACACAACAAAACGACGGGGAGGAGGAGAGGATGGGAAATGTGGATGGGAAGACATGAGAATTTATGGGGACTGTCTCGTTCGCTCTTTCCACGGATGGCACTTTTCCTTTAAAAGGACTTGACACGTTATTGGCAGAGAAAGAGTGGGTGCACAAGAAGACGAAGAAGAAGAAGCAGGGACAGAAGAGGAATAAAATGAACATGTTCTGTCACACTCTCAAGTTATGGACATGTCCAATTATTGGTGACGGAATTGAGGGTGGATTGAATGCAACATGCGAATCAATCATCATCCACTCGTCCTCAGCAGCATTATTCTTCTTCTTCTTCGGCGGACGGGTGTATGTACATTTTGGGGCACCAAAAGTATGGTTTTAGCCTCCACCATCGCACCAAGATCACCTCCACAGCACAATCGAATGTTGTGCCCGCACCGCAGTGTGTACACAATATAATGTCAGATAAAGCAGGACACGTATCATTCGAGGCTTATCACACACTTGGGCAGATAAGCAAGTAAGTACATAGCGATAGTAAAGCTGCTCGACTCTCTAGAGGATTGCACATACGTACGTACACATATGCAGCGTGGAGGCGAATTTGCATACTTTTTGCATAGTATTGTACATGATTACTACGAGGAGTCGTATTTATTTTGATGATGATGTGGTGCGTCTCTCTCTCTAGCACAATGCATCGTAATAGATAAGTGCCGGCGCCAAGTGAGACATCAACTTTTCAGACTAATCAGCGAATATGCCTTCACCTGTCAATTGTCCGCTAATTTAACTACAAGCCTCAACCCCATGACCGCCACTACACAACTCCATCCCATCCATCCATCCTTCCACCACTCGCTTGAACTCGCCGTCGAGAGAGAGAGAGAGAATAAGACCAAGACGATTCTTCTGCTTTGCCCTCTCTCAACGACTCCATGCCCTTGGCTCCCGTTTTAATTTATGAAGCCATGAATTTGAGTCAAGCCAGCGTTTAGGTGCACTGCCTGACATGCACAAAAGCAGGAATGACGGCGGCGGTGGCGGTGGTGGTGGGAAATGAGAAGTTAACGAGATGAATGTTTGCTCAGTTAAGGCATTATTATGGTTATGGTGCAACTTGAGCTTATCCTTCAAACTGCGCCATCAGCACGTTCTATTAAGCAAAGTCGGACTCGAGGTGATTCTCTCACTCCTCCCTCCAGCCCCCCAGCAGCACGAATAAAATGGAGCACACATTGTCCAGCAGCAGCAGGTTCATGATGTTAGGATTGTATCATGATACGGGCCAGCCGAGAGCATGGCAGGCAGGAGAGGAGAAGGGAAAGTAGACCACAAGAGTCAAGAGAGAGAAAGCAGGCGATTAGTTTGGTGGCGCCGGCTTTTTTTGCAAACACGTCTCGTCTACTCCTCTCCCTCCTTCCTTGATCTTCCCCGTCCTCCATTCCTCCTTTCCTCCTTTCCTCCTTCACCCGTTCCGGTTTGCACTGCTTTCTCCACCACCACCACCACCACCCTCTCCTCCCCACCTTCTCCTTCTAGTACTCGGAGATGTGTGTGCAGTGGGAGAAAAGGGAACATGGCCAATTATACGGAAGGGATGACAAATTAATTAGCAAACTTCTCCATCACGAGAGAGAGGGAGAGTTGCCTGGTTGGCTGGCTCTGGCCTTCCATTTCTCTTTGTCTCTCGAAAAAAGTGTCCCCTTTTTCATGTCTTTTGCATCCGATCTCTCTCTCGCCTGTCAACCCAGCCATTACTCACGCTTGTTTACTACGACGACTGCTACATCCACAGATCCATGTGTGCAATAGTGTGCATATACTTCTGTATGCACACTCGCGAGAGAGCGAGAATGTTGTTGATATTGGTTTTGATGGGTTGGGAGATAGGATTTCAGGATTTTTGGTATTTGTATAAAAGTTGGAGGAGGAATTGGAATGTGGAAATCCGGGTTAAAGAATTTTATTATATTGATTCCTCTGGCCCCTGTCCAACTAACTTGCTGCTCCTCCGACTCAAGAAATAGCTAATTTTAAATCCCATCCATCCAACAAAATTCTGGCAATTATTGATGTTCCTGTTCTGGTGGCTTGTTGTGCTCCAAACTCATTTCCTCCTCCATTCACTGATTGGACTTGTTATTTGTTTTCCTTGCAGAATGCCGACTGGGGAAAACCGTTCACGAAATTGGCGACACTTGGAGCCCTGACCTGGGAGAGCCCTTCGGCGTGATGCACTGCATCCAGTGTGCATGCGAATCGGTAAGAGCGGAGACATTCCTACCACGCTTTTATGTGCATTATGTGATGCTGTGGCAATAAATTTGTGTATTTACTGGGTGCAAATGGAGTGAAATGTCACTGGTTGTTTCTCATACTTTTCTGAAATCTGAGGCAGTTTGAGAATTGGCAAAGATCTGCTTTCGCTTGCTTTGTGAGTTGGCTCGGGCCCAGGAGGGAGGGAGGATCAGCAATAATATAGCCACCAGCAGCCCAATATTATGGATATCAAGATAATGTATTCATCATCAACATGTTTTATGCTCCTCTGCCACCACTCTGCTCCTGGATTGAAACTTTATCTCCGTGTCTGATGTCTGCGCTCTCCGTGGCGCCACGGGCTTGACGAAGAAAGCTTGGGGCAACGGCCCCAACTTGTTATCATCTGCAGGCCCCACCACGTCCACAAACGGGACAAACTCGTCTTGCTTTTTTTGCCCAGCTCGTTGTTGACCATCGGCTCATACCGGATTCGGTGTATGGTCATCCTGCTCCTTGTCGGAGATTCGTCCATTTCGTTTGTCATGGGTCGGTGGTACGAGGAGTCGTGGTGGTGGTGGTGCGTGTCGTTGGTGCATGAAATGGGGAGATGCTCAAGGTCTTTGGGTGGCATATTTCGGGCCACTCTGGCTTCTTCTGCTGCTATGTACTCCACGCTTCCTTGGCGTCAGTTCAACTCAGGAGCGAAGGCCAATCCAATCGAAGAAGGAAGAGACCAGTACGAGCAGCATGGTGTTCCCCACATGTGAAGCCGGTGTATGGCATCCTCATCGTCGTCGTCGTCGTCGTCGTGTGACTTACTTATCGTCATTATAATAATGCAGTGCTTGATGAGAAGAGAGCGGAGACAGGGAGAGAAGAATTATGTGATGATCATATTCTTCACTAATAAATGAGTTTTGAGCTGCTAACAAGGATGCAGAGATCGCGGATGAGGAAAAGTTCCTCGTCTCAACTCTGGCTGCCTGAGTGATGCTCCGACCGTATTATTACAGAGTGGATCCAATTAGTCGTATTTTTAGCCCATTGTCTCCTCTGTGCATGGCCTCTGTGTTTGTGTGTGTGTACTTTTGTTTTAGTTGACGCAAATGGTTTGGTGGGATCCGTGTTATTTGCAATTGAAATCAACACTCATTCACACGGAGATATTTGCAAAGAGCAGTTGGCTAAGCAGAAACCGTAGCACGGTAGCAGCAGCAGCAGTCCTCCTCCTCCTATCAAATGTCGATAAGTGCAACGAGGAGCAGATTCACCATGGAATGAAACTCTCGTCAGCACCACCAACCAACATGCACCACAAGACCTGCTCTCCAAATACACATGCATAATAAATACGCGTCGTCGTATGGTTTAGCTGCTTCGTTAGTTAACTAATGAAAAGTTAGCATAATAACAGAGCACGATAGACTTTTGCTACTGCTTGGTTTGTTTGTGGCCTTGTTTTTTTGCTCGCAGTCGCAACTGGGCAGAGAAGAAGAGTAATAATATTGTCCATGTTTGGGTTATGGCGAGACAGAGGAGAAACCATAAAACCAATTATTTCGCATTCGCATCTCTTCACATGCAATCATCTCACTCTATTTCTGGACGACGACTGTTGGCATGTCCAGTTTCCACCTTCGGCCAACACCAAGCATTCCAGATCAAAGCCATACACACCTCGTTATCCTCGCCACTTGGTAGCAGCAGTTCGTAGGCACTACTAGCAGGCAGGCAGGGAGCAGTGGCGAACGACGCGTCGCCATCCTTCTTCAGTGGCACAGAGGCGCCTTACTGCTCACCATGATTACATAAATGCATATTCTTACGTATGTACGGAGCAGTGGGGAAGACTTGTTGTTCTGTTCAGGAAATGTGCCAAATTTGCATGCATGCGAGTCCAAGTTAATGCGACACCATTTTATTATGCCAATCTCCCTGAACGCCTATGACTGCAGACGGCCCCATCCACGACGTAGCTATGTGCACGTAAAGGGAGAAAATACATGAGGCGTACACGAATAAATGGGTATCGTGGTAGGGGAAAAAGTGGCAAAAAAGTGGAAATTGTTTCCAAGAGGCTGAAAACCAGAAGCAAGGTCACTGACCATGTCCTTTGACACACACCTCGCACAACATTTCACTCCTCGTACGGGTCTCCTCGTGCTGTGGAGAAACGATCGTTTTTCCCTGAAGCTGACCCATTTTTATTTACTGCGACATGTGGAACAAGGTTCCATGCTCATGCACCACTGCTACAAATTCTGGTCAATAAAAATCCTCGTGTGTTTTCTTGAGGCGAAGCTTGAATTTCTTTCGTCTGATTCTGCAGGTACAAAAGAAGCGGAGAATCGTGGGACGAATTCGATGCCGTAATTTGAAGAGTGACTGCCAGCGACTGGAATGCTCGGATGCCATCAGTGTTCCTGGACAGTGTTGCAAGATTTGTCCCGACGTTCTCAAGAGTGAGCCACACATGCCGTTATGAGACTATGCTCGCTTATTTTAAAAAATGCATGATTTGGGATGGAGGAATTTAAGTTGTAACTATTTTTTGTTGCTGACCAGACAATTCAGACAAGGGGAATTCTGACGCAATCTCGACGGACGACATGGATGGGAACGAGAGCAACAACCGAGGTGAGTGTGCAGGATCGACGTGTGTCTCGAGGGACGTATTTAACATGGTCATATATTTTGTGCAGAATATGCAGCACTGCTGACGCCACGGTCTTCGAGCCTGATAAAGTCCTCGACGGGGCTGGGGGAGCCTGTGAGCGGGGGTCTTGGAGCTGGTCGATTCATGTTCCTCCACAAAAGCCTGTACTACTCCTTCGTGCACAATGCAGGCTTACCGCGCCCTAAATTCATCCAGTTTGTCGACCCTGAAGGGAACGTTGTTGAGGAGCAGGAAGTGACGCTCAACAACTACCAAGCCGAGACGAAAAAGATTTGTGGCGTTTGGCGAAAAATGCCTCGGATTTATAGGAAACTCTTGAAGGAAGAGAAATTATTTGCGGCACTAGTAACAGAAAAAATTGGATCTGACAACGACCGTAAGTCAGCGACGACAGATTTTATAAACTTTCCTCCACTGTCACATGTACGTATTGTCAAATCGTTCTTGTTTTTTCCCCGAAATTGTAGGCTTCCTGGCCGGAAGAGTGGCAAAACAACGCTACGTCACGACTGAGCTGTATTCCTCCCTCTTGGAACCTGCGTCACAAGCCGTGAGTCTTTTTTTTTGTCGTTTTGTTTTGTTGGATACTTATTTCGCCCGACGTGGATTATTTATTGGGTTTCGTTGGGATTATATTTTTGGTACGCGTATGTACATACATCATCTCATGTCATGTGCATCCTGTGAAATCCGCAGGGAACTGGAGGCATGGCTGTAATCACGGTGTCCCCGTCCACGGGCTCCATTTACTTGAACGTGGTCTTCAACGGTGACTTTGTGGAGGAGAGAGACATCACGATCGCCGTTCGAATCGCGGATGCCTCCGGGGTCGGAGTGGAAGAGTCCGTGACCATGCCCAAAATCCAGTACGAGTCCAATTCCATCGAAGTGAGGACCATTTTGGAACTGGAGCAGCTTAGCTCGCTCTCACGCGGAACACTCTTCATCGTCGTGTATTCACCGAAAAACCCGGAATTCAAGATTATCGGGTTCATTCAGGCGAGGTAGCGACATTTTTTAAAATAAATACTTTCATGTTAATACGTGTACCAATGTTTCCGCATATTTACTTAATTTCAGACACACTTGTGACATTTTTGACACTGTTTTGGGGTCGGAGGACAATGAGGCGGCGGCGTCCGCGTTGGCATGGGTGTACCCCTTGCCAGATGGATCTTGGGCCTACAACTTCCACTTCCCAGGAAATGACCACACCGTTTTGTCCGTGAAGCTGGAAACGGGGAGGAAAGTGTTGGAAGAACTTCCCATCACGCTGCAGGGGAACAAGACTCGCGACGTGGCGAATGGGATGACTTCCAGATATTTCCAACTCCTCTACGAAGGCAACATTTACCTCAACGTGCTCACCAACTCGGCCAACCTGCGAGGACGGCTGGCCTATCGAGGCTTTGGAGGTATGGCTGAAAATTGGCAATGGCAATTATGAGAACAGTTTAAAACGTGTGACCTTCTCCAGATGCGCAACTGTCGGACGCGCCTCTTCTCTTGGAGCCGAGTCGGAGGTCACCCGCGGACTTGAGGACGCAGGGTCTGATCTGGCTGGGAGTGGATTCCGACTGTGCCCTCAACTACCAACTGACGCTGAATGCGAGGCCGCAGAGCGACATGATGAGACTGGAGCTGATGGAAATGCCAGGCCTCCAAATGAAAGGCCTTCCCGTGAGGAGCTACACCCTCGACAACTTCGAAGCGAGTGAACACGAAGGGGTTTTTGGGGAAGTTGCAAAGTAGGAAATTGAAGCCAAACACGTATTTCAAGTCCACATTTTAAATCTAATTGAATGGTTTTGACTCTCGCAGGATCACATTTGCCCACATCAAGGCCGGAGATGTGCTCTTCCGTGTGATGCGAGTTAACGATTCCTCAACGTTGGCGTCCACTACGATAAAAAACGTGGGTCCCATATTTCCTCCTCAACGGAATTTAAATATTCCTATTATTCTATCACAAGTCCTTCATGATGTTGTTTTTAGGTTCGAGTGCCCACGTCCTGCCTCCCATCCGCCGAGAGCAATAACGTCATCCATCCAGACTACACCCTCGAACCGGAGGACGACTCCTCCATGCCTCTCTCCAACAAGTGCTACTACGACGGCCTGATTCGCGAAGAGTACTCCCAATGGACGCCCGTCAACGACACCTGCACCATTTGCAACTGTTACAAGGGACAAGCAAAATGCGAGGCAGTTCTGTGTCCCGCCGTCGACTGCGTCAATCCCGTCCTTCTCACCGGAGAATGTTGCCGGACTTGTCTGAGTAAGTGCCAAACCGGAAATGGGTGACAATTCAATTATCTTGATGATGATGGATTGCTTCTAATATATGCAAATTCTATTTTTTTAGACGAGAGAACAAAGAATCGACACTCTGCACCTTCGGGAGGAAGTAGTGCACGAGGCTGCAATGTGGAAGGTGACCGATTCCACCCGGCTGGTTCCACGTGGCACCCATACATGCCTCCCAACGGCTTCATGGTCTGCACTACCTGCTCCTGCAACGTAAGTATTTTACCCACGTGTCAGTGTCCACTTGAAAAATAATCGCCAATTCCAAGTATAATTTATGCTTAGTCGGAAACCTTGGTGGCCGAGTGTACTCGAGAGAAGTGTGCCCCACTGAACTGTCCGTCTGACCAAGCCATCTACCCGCGACCCTTGGCCTGCTGCAAGGTGTGTCCTCCCAAGAAAGCCATCGACCCCGACACGATGCACGACGACGTGGCTCAGTTCGACCTGCAGAGACAGGCCCCTTCGGAGACGGAGGTCTTGGCCGCCGGGGGCTGCAAGTTCAGGGAAGCTCTCTACAAGAATGGGGAGGAGTGGAGTCATCGCATCGAGCCCTTTGGAAACATCCCCTGCGTCATGTGCTCCTGCAGAGTAAGCTCCTCCAATAATTCTCTCGTCACATAAGGTTTACAATGTTTTACCACTTTCGCAGAGCGGGACGACGAAATGTGGTCGGAAGCAGTGTCCGGCGCTTCATTGTGAGGTCAAGACGAAGGAGGAGGGCGAATGCTGTCCGCGTTGTGCAACACCAGAGTCCTTATCGCGACCCAAGGTTCCTTCCTTTCTCTCCTCGGCACCCAACTTCACGTCGAGACAGCGAAAACCACCCACGCGACATCGACCCAAGCATTCTGGACAATTGTAAGCTGACACTGCATCAACCCAAGTTATCCAAACCACGGTGCTCGCAGAGTAAAAACTGCTATTTATTGTGTTGAGCAAATTACTATTATTATGGAAAGTAGAACATATTTCTAGACCTGTTAACTTATTGTTTGTGAAGTAATATGAATCAGAAGTAGTTTTAGAGTTTTAAATGTTAGGATGGAAATCGAGTAGGCTGCGAACCAAGAAAACCGCAGCGGCGGTCGAGCTGAACGTTTACCGTTCTCTTGTTTTTATACTTGAATAAGAATATTCTGGTGCAATCTAAATATTTTAGTTTAGCCTAGTTTAGCGTGAAGAAAAGAGAGTATTTATTGAGAGGAAGGCAGCTGGATTGTCTTGGCCTTTATGAAGAGAGGTGGGTGCGCACTGTGGGTAGAGACACCTCCAGTCCGCACCCAGCTCATCAATAATGTAGGAGATACGGAGAAACTTTTACCACGATGTGTACCACGACTACGGGTCAACTTTGATTAATTACTCCTCCTTAACATGTAGATGATAATCACACGGAGCTATCTATAGACCATTATTGTACTTGAATAATAATCTTAACTGTGCAGAAGTTAGTGAATATCTCAATTATGTAGTACCGTGTCATATGCAAATTCGAGTGAATGGGAAATTGTGACGTTTTTAAATAGACGACACGCTTATCAGCAATGAAGTGGGAAGCGTTTCCTCGAAGAAATGTGTAAAACGTCGTGATTGAGACTGTGTGTGGGTGGGAGTACTGAGTAGTTTATAGTGGAATAAGGAGGAGGAGGAGGAGGAGGAGGAGGCAGTGGCGTCGGACGGAAGTCGAGATGAGCAGACCAAAGACTGATTAGGATAAAATGTTATTTTACTATTGTGCTTTTTTAAATGTGAACATTCGTTAAGAGTAAAAAATTACGGGAGTAATTATAGTTAACGAAAGTGTAAATAGGTGTGAACTCTGCATTTTATTAAGTTGCGCTAATAATACCGAAACTAATTTTGCGTGCCATTTTTATTCATTCCGATCGTGTATTGAAAATGATGAGGAGTACGAGGAACGTTTCCCACCTGAAATATTTACTTAATATCTAAACTTAGAAATACCTGCCAGCCACGCAGCTATTAAATAATTACTACTTTGAGCTATTTACTAGGTTATTAAAATCTATTGCACTTTATGTATTCTTAGGTTTGTGAGCTTACAAAACTATTAATTACCACGTCACGTGACTGTTACACACTGCTTGCTAATAAGATTTTATGCGCCACATCGTTAATAAGATGATGATGCTGTCACTGTTACCGATGTTAGTATTATTTATTATAAAGGAATTCAACACTTGTATTGTAACGTTATTGGTTTATTATTATGCAAATAGGGTAAAAATGCATATTACGCGTGATTCTCAAAGTGCCATACAAACGCTGAAAGTATTTCAATTTCATAAATAAATAACTATTTAGGGAAAATATGGAGAGAAAAAAAATGTATCGAAAAGTTTCTTTCCTTGTTTTCATTATTTGTATTACTGCTGCTACATAATTCCTGATTAATATTTTCAAATATTATTATTACGTGTTATTTATCTCATACTTAAGCTTGTTATTCTCATCCCTGCTTTGTTTTTGTTCTTGTTTTAATAACAATTTTACTTAATTGAACCAAGTTTATTTTTTTATGCAGAGGTCATAACTTTATTTGTTTGCTATTAAATATAAATATGTATGTTACGAGGATAATAAATAAGCATCAGTATTGCTGATTACATGGTAGGAAATTATACTTAATAAAACAACTGTTGTTTGTGCCGTCCATCCTGGAATTAATTCTCTTATTTTTGGTCCGCATTTTAGCTACATTGACATGGCATTTGACGACAAGCATGCACACTTACGAGTCCAGTACGCCAAGTTGACCAGTGTTGATCGAATTATGTTATGTGTCAGTTGAACGGGAATCAGCTAATTAGCACAGAGGAATAAAGAAATACAGGCAAAAAGCTTCAAATTGAGGCAATATTTTTACTAGCACGACCACACATGTACATATTCATTCATTCATCCCGTGTCTTTCCAGTTCAGAGTACTATTCTTGTCACTATTTGTCGTAGTAATGTACAAACTTTGGCAAAATGTGGCATTTCCGTGCCGTCTCATGCATCCCAACGTTACATTTTGTGCAGTAAGTTTCGAACTGGCTGGAAAGAAAGAGTGGAACATTGAGATTACATGGATTACGCATGTGAATACATGGTTCTGTAGAGGATTACTACCAAAGAAGGCTATGAACGCCAGGAGGTGAGTTAATGTTATCACACCCAGAACGAGGACGAGCGTGAGAGGCACTTTGTCCTTGAATCTGCATGGGACATAGTAAATATGTATCGAACTGTAGGTTTTCATGGTACGCAACACCCAACTAATCACAATTATGTGGGTGCATCTAGAGCGAAGGAAGGTTCTGCTACCTGTGAAATTTATTCGTCACCCAGGACGAAATGCTCTTGGTGTCCTCCAACAAGTCCCGATGACCTTGCTGATGTCTAGCCAGAAAATGGTGCAAGTCGGACGAGCTGCTTACTCCAGTGTGCTTGGTAGTGTGGGCAGATTTCAGCGCGTGGTTGTGACCACTGCCGGATTGCATCAACTCGATATTTCCGAGTTCGGAGGTGGTGATGGAGGTGTAGGACTGGGTGCGACCTTGGAGGGCCAGGGGGACTGGGCGGAAGGCCGAATATCTTCGACGCGTGTTTAGAGCACGGGGAAGAAGGGCCAAGACCCGATGGGTCGCCGAGCTGTGCATCATAAGCTCAGTTGGACATCGGGTCAAGGGTCGCAGGGAGGACGCTTTTGTCAGCGTCCTTGCATGGCAATTGTAATGTGATCCATGACGACATTTTCAATATCTGGAATTCTTGATTTGATGGGTGAGTTAAAAATTGTGGAATTTTGGCAGCCTGTTGGACCCTGCAGATTAGGAGCATGATGGACGGTCTCCAGCCCCAAAAGAGGCCTTCGGATGGGAAGTTGTGGATCGACGTGGTCCCCCCACCCTCCGTCATATCTGAAGATGGGGGGAGGCCCAAGGGAAGCTTAGCTGGGAAGTCGTCCCTCGTGAAACCCACCGTGACGACGCTCCTCCGCCACCACAGCACCCTCGTTCGGCAGGAGAAAGAGGAGCGGTCGAAACTCCAGAGCTACACGGATGGCTCCTTCACGCCCAACGAAGATCGGGAGGGATGGCGTGCCAGAGAGTTGGAAGAGCTGAAAGAGAGGCAGATTTCGGGAGCTAAGCGGATCTTGAAGGCGAAGCTAGCCTATCATAAAGCCATCGCGGCCACGGAGCAGAAAGCGAACGAGAAACTGGTCTTAGCTCAGCATAAAAGGGACGAGGTATTTTTTTACCCACCGTTGAATTCAATCATTTATAGCATAACGTAGCTATTTATTTTTTATACATACGCATTGATTTTTAGACTCGCCGCCTCGCCGTCATTGCAGAAACAGAGAAGCTTGCCATGCTTGCGAGGAGACGAGCCATGGCGGCAGAAATCCAGGATGTCCACGCCCACTCGAAGGACATGGTGGTTCAGATTCAGAATCAAAAGAGGCGTCAAGCAGTAGCAGTACGGGAACAAACGAATCAATTGAAAGCAGACGCCAAACATCGCGAGTTTGTCGAATTTGCCTCCAGAAAAGAAAGAATTCAACAGATTCAAGCCTCGAGACAAGCGCTTCGTGCGGCCAATGCGACTGGGGCGTCAACGTCGGGTTTCATTGGAGCCTTGGGGTCACCAGACACGGAAATTCGTCTCAAGTTGACAAAGGAGGCTGAGGAGGCCGCGCTTGAAGAACGGCGTCGTCGCGTCCAAAATATGAAGCGGGAACGTGACCACAAATTGCAAAGTGTGAAGGCGAAGCTGGAGAAGCAGGCGGGTCGCGTGGGTCACACGAGGTCGTTGCAAGTGCCTTTCAAAACCCTTCCACCCTTCACCCACCCATCCGGAGATTTAGCGGACGACGAGATTGTGGCCTTGATGCAAGAGCTGCACACGTACCAGCAGCACGCACCTCCTCCTCCTCACGCACGCACCAAACCTCAGAAAAGGTCAGGACGAATAAATAAGAAGAACAGTGCAATTTTTACTATGCTAATGAGGTGACACACTAATAACTATTGGAATAAATGTGCACGATTTCGAATATCGCTTAAAGTATTTGTAGTTGGTCAAAACTTATTAAATATGTGTTAATTAATGAATTAAACACTAATGATTACAGATCAATCACATCAACCACGTCTATTGTCAATGATTCACAAATATTTACATCCTAACATAACAATTTTGAATTAACATCTTAGTTTGTATTAATTATCGTAGTCAAATTCGTGAAAATTACTTTTATATTCTGAGGACGCTGTTGCCGTGGTCTGTTCGCCTGTTCCGTGGATTTTAATGGCTTGGGCAAGGTCACGGTGGGTTGACTTCATGTCTTGGAGTTGCTCCTGGGAGAAGCCGGACGTATCTCCGGCCGCATATTCCTGCATCAATTTTTTCTGATGGTCCCTTTCAGCTTGAAATTTTCGAATCGCCTCGTCCTTGATGGGGTCGCCAGTTTCCTTGATCGGACGTGGAGCAGGTTCCACCACCTTCTTCGTTGAAACAGTTGGAACTGTTCTGATGCTTTTGGGTCGTTCTTTTTGTGCTCTATTTTGTGGTGGCGTGGATGGAGATCGGGATGGGACTGATGGGGGAGTTTGGCGAACAAAGACGTCGGCTTTTGGGGGAGCAGGAGGAGTCACGGGAATTGCCTTCTTCGCTTTTTCCGCTTGTTTCAAGGCTGCTTCGTATTTTTCGGGATGTTTCCGTTGCAAAAACGTCAACATCGTAGACGATGGCTGAGGCTGTTCCGATCGAGTGGTGAGAATTTGGGATTTGGAATCGTCCCTTGGAGGATATTTCTTACAACCAAAAGGTGAATATTCGCCACTCGGATTCTCCATTATCGTCGTGAAATAGCGAGTATTGAACAATTTGGAAAGATGAGTTAGGAAAATCCTGGAGAAAAATAATACATAAATTAAATCCACCCAAGCATGCAGTAAATATTAAAATATTATACGTGTTTACTTACTTTTCGGCAGGCTCTTCAGGTCGGATCGTTTGATTGCTTACACTGCCGGTCAAAAAATGCTAATAATGTAAAAATTAAAAATTAAAAATTTTATAGAAATCTCACTTGAATAGATATTTTTGGTAAATTGAGATATTTGCCCACATCGAATGATTGCTCGCACTCGCAGTCTCATCATCTCATCTCTGCAGTAAGCAGACAGTCTCACATGAGCTGAGTTTTTTCGCACGCCATCCAAACTAGAGCATAGAGTCTTAAATTCTCGGCACGTGAAGTTTTGCAATTTTTCAGAAAATTTAACAAAATTATTTAAAAACTTCCGTTCATTGGTGTCAATCTGCTCGGTTAGATTCGTTGGTTACTTTTGGTAAATAGGTAAACTTGCCTCTTACTAAATATTATTGTTCTTGTCAGTTTCTTAAAGAAACTTTCTTTTGAAATTATTTGTTGGTCCGTATAATTTTCACTCTGTGCATTAACTAAATTGGTTGGGGTTAAAATTTAATTGCGATTTTTCCTGTCTCCGAAGGTAACTTTGAGCAAGAAAAAATGCCCGTAGGAAAGCCGTCGTCTGTGGGGTCGAAGTTGAAGGATACGCTCAGCACTGTGACATCAGTCGCTCAATTTACTTTTCACTACGGCTACGTCCCTTTCCTCATCTACCTCGGTAAGTGTTTTCTTTGCACTGGTGAAGAACGATGACGAGTAATTATGCAATGACAAACATGCAGGGTTTCGTCGTGGTCATGAGCCGGGTCAGCCACCCCTCACACTTCTCAAGTTAGTTTTTTAAAAGAAATGTACAATACTTATTTTCATGTTGATCAAAGTGTAACAAATTGCATTTTTTGCTTGCAGTTTGCTGTGGGCGTGAGATAAGCCATCAACTTCTAAACAGAAATCATTTCACTGATCAGATCATGTGGGCGACTTGTCAGCCCTCCGAAGAAGTCACCTCCAATCTGCCACAATTCTTCAACTTCCACTGTTCCTCAGTCATAGTATGTCAAGAAATTCTTTTGTAACAACAGTCTTTGCTGCTCGATTAATAAAACAAATCACAGTCACTATTTGATAACGTTAACTCGAAGGGGTTATTTTATTCTATTTATATTGAAAAACTTGAAACAATTTATACGTATAAAGTATAAGGTTATATGCAGGTAATATGAAATATGATATTAATTTAATTGGTCTCTGGTAAACGGACGTTCGTAAACTTCATAACGCAAAGAGGGGTGTGGGTGGGTGGTCAGGGCCAAATGGCATCGTGCCTATGTGCCTCATGTTAAAAGAGGTGGGTGGGTGTAAAAAATTGCATTGTATGAAGGCTGCGAACGTCCCCTAACCTGACCTATCATTTTCATATTAAATTAACAAACGCTATTTAGCATTTCGTCCCCCTTCCCTTCCGGTGAGGTTAAGTTAGATATTGCCGTTTCGAAGAACTCTTTAGCTTGAACGAAAGTAATTCGCTCAGAAGGTTCGTTCCTCCAACATTCAAGCATTACTTTGTTATACCTGCGGAGAAAGATAAGTTTTAATAATTAGCAGCTATAAGTCAATCAGGTACATTTCAATTTGGTACATGTTGTTTGTGGAGAACTTTGGTTTGGCCAATCTTCTTCCTCGCTCCAGTTCCTCCATGAACTCGTTCGTCCACGCCATTCCAGGCCAGGGTTCCTCTCCCAAGGCGAATATTTCGTAAAGTGTGACACCATACGCCCATACATCGCTGGCACTCGAGAATTGGCGATATTTTAGCGACTCTATTCCCATCCATCTCCACGGGAGAGGGGACTAAAATTCGTGTAAAGGACATGGTGCTTAAGTAGTTTCAATTTATCCAACTATGAATCTAGGTCAGCATACATTTGTCTTTTTGGTATAATTGTCCGACATGAGTAAATGCCTGCTGAGTCCAAAGTCACTAATTTTGCAAATATTGTCCTGCGTTAGGAGGACGTTTCTCGCGGCTAGGTCGGAATGTAAGATTTTCTTGGAAACGAGAAAGGCCATCCCGTTTGCAATTTGGAAGGACCACTTGTACAAGTCGAGTGAGGTAAAATTTCCAGAGTTGGCCACATTGGCGTATGACGACCGGCCCGAGATTGAATCCAGCGAAAGGAGACCATCCCCCGAGACAAACGAGCGAAACAGGGCTCTCCGCTTTTGCAGATAATTTAGCAGATCTCCGTTAGCGCAGAATTCCACGCCAATTAAGATGCTTCCTAAAATTGAGCGGTAAAAAAAATGCCAACCTGGTCGCCGTAAATATTTTATATCGCTCTTGTACAAATATTACGCACTTTTGATCAAGTTATCGGTGCAGGCTCCTCGCAAGCTTACGATGTGCTCATGGTTCCCAATGTACGACATTATGGTGAGCTCCATTAGTGAACTTTCAAAGTCAGTGACGTCCTTGGGCGAATTTACCGTCTTCACGGCGACGACGTCTTGGCGATTTTCTCCATAATAAATCACTCCTTTCTGCACAACGCCGAATGCACCAGAACCAAGCAGCGTGTTTCCTACGTATACACAGCATCGCACATTCGCCTCCCTAGACTGAGGATTAAGGTATGCATTAAATGTCACTCACCTAAACCCCACCTCGTCAGCGGAATCTCGTAGTTTTTATACTCCGAGTTGGATTTGAACCCTAAATCTCCTGTCGTTTGAAATCCTTCTCGAAATTTTTTAATTGCCTCCTCCGTCGCTCGCATGAATTCGACCTTCTCCTTCCTCAACTTTATTAAGAGAGCGGTGGAAATGAGGGCGAAAATGAGAAGAACGACACCCCCAGCGACCAGTATTATGACCACGAATTTTGGGAGGAGGGCTAAGCAAAAAATTAAAATTGGACATGCATATTTTCAATTAAGTCGGTATTATAGATGACAAATCCTAAGTACCTTGCCGTATCCGCACTTTGAAGAGTCGTCGTGTCTCGCCAACCACACTTTTGGCGACGCAAATGTAATCACCTGCATAATCAGAGGTCATATTATTCGGAAAATGCAGACTGGCCAGGATAGCAGTTCCATTTTGAACGAGTCGTGTTTCGAGTTCGGTGTCCAAATTCTGAAAGTAATACATCGATATATGTAGTACACATAGAATGAAACCATCAGAGGACAAACAAAACTCGCATTGTTTTTGCTAAAGTGCGTAATTAAATAAATAATGTGCACATTTTTTGGCCGAGTAAACTCCACGCTTGGCAATGGAACTCCTCCGGCTTCACAGGAAATTGTAAAGTTGTCTTCAGCCCCGTACTCAAGGTCGTAGATTGTGACGGATGTGAAGTTGCCGTTGGTGGTGGAATTATCGAGGCTATTTTTGTCCTGGTCGTCGTCAGGAGAGAAAATGAAATAGGGAGGTTGAGAGTCTAGGCGTAGGCATACGTCAATTTATGGTCACAATGTTTCTAAATAGCTAGATTGCCATATTTACCCCTCAGAGTCACTGAGAAAGTGTGGTTAATCCAACCATTTTCATTCCAGAGGGGACAAACACACGAGATTTGGACGGAGTGAAGGTCATTGTCGACGAGAAAGTCTCGCTCGAAGGAGACTCGTCCTCTCGCTTTGTAATTTCCACTTTGCACGGAAAAGTCTTCCTTCTCAAGAAAACTGGACGGCGAAATGAATCCGGACCCAAAGTGTTGGAAACTCCAAGCGATCTGCACCCCTTGTGAAAAGAGGTAGACGGATGGCGTGCACTTGACGATGAAGGCTTGTCCTTTGTACACAACTTTCTCCTCCACTGCCCCGTAAACCATGTCGCGTGGGTCATGCATTTCCCAAGAGTAGTCTAATTAATTAATGGACTTATTATTACTTAATTGGCATGATTAACTATTTATTCGCCTCACAAAAGTTGACGTCTTGCGCCAAATCGAAAAATATTTTGAGCATTCGCCTCTCGTCACCCAGGGCGTAGGTGAGAACTTGCGGGTAGAATTTGTGAGCTTGATAACTAAGAGCTTTATTTTTGTTTTTTATACTCCCGACGTCCACTAAGTTGACGCAATCCTCCTCCTTTTTTAGGCATGTGTGTATTTTCAATTAATTCTATGAGGTCATTTACATACTCGATATTTTTATAGAATTATTGCGTTATTTTTACCATTTGGGAATAAAACCTGTTCACGTTTTGCAGAGATTGGACGCTTGTGATCATGTGGACGTTCTCGAGGCCGGAGGATCCGGACGAGTTGACTGGGACCCACTCGATGTAGAGGGCTTTCGTAGTGTCGGACAAGGCCAGGTTCAGGATGAAAGGGCAGGACGTTTTGTTGCTGGGCTGGTTACTACCACTTTCAACTTCCTGATGAGCCTTGATTCTTGCGTCAAACTCTGCCAACGGGGGGACGACGGTGGAGACGAGTTCGTCCGGCGAAATGACCTCGACGCGAAGCAGTTTGGTGCTGGAAGCGAGCAGAGTGTATTGAAGTTCAGCCAGCACGACGGCACGCGACGGGTTGGAATCACAGGAAGCGTTGGCATCGTTTTGGAAGGGTTGACAAACGAAGACGTGGTCCCTGGACGGGTGTTGCATCTCGATGTAGTAGTGGGCCAAGTACCTGTAGGTGGATGGGTCGTGAAAGTTGTGGATCGTTCGCAACGTGGGCGAGGGGGCAGGTTGACTTATTTCGCCCAGCGTCTAAATCGTAAATTGTGATCAAGCATGAAATACTTTATCCTAGTAAAAATAACTCTTTTTCCTACCAAGTCCTCATCCAGCACCCAGCGAATTGGGGAACTATGCGCACAGTGCAGCAAGAAACTTGGTTTGGGTGAACTTTTCGACATGTTGAAGTCCAGCTTGGTCACGCCCACGTCGCCGATTGGTTCCACATCATCGTCCAAGAGGAAAAGGGTGGCAATCGGGGGAGGTGGACAAGCGGAAGTCGCAAGTACGCCAACAACAAGTGGGAGGAGAACGGAGGACAACATTTTTTACATGTTTTTTTAGCACCACGGAAAGTAAGAAGAGACAGAATGAAATGGAGACAGTGTGTGATGATGTCAGCAGTTCATGGAAATTCCACTCGACCAGGAACTTACGAAAAAACCCACAAACCGGAAATGAATATGCTCCCAACGAAACTAACTCCATTCGCACTTAACTTTTTTTTATTCCTCCTTTTAATAAAATTAGTACTGACTAAATATGTAAATATAGATAATACATAAGCAAACCGCAACCACGAAACAAGTTGACCACGCCTGAGTGTCATCACTATCAGCATCGCGGTGGGAAACAACCTGGCGCATCTTGGTTGGAATTGACTGGTCCAAATGCACAATTGTTGGACGTGGTTCCTCTAAATTTGGGAGGGTCGATGGGTTGCTGGCAGCCGTCGGGGGGGATGATGAAGTACTGATGTTGCTCGAACCCAGCGTAGGCCATTTCCTCCACCGGCTCAAACGCCGCTGCCGACGCTTCCCTTAAAGTCCTGACGTATGCGCGTACTCTGGCGTTGAGCGCGTTCTGCACCTCGCCCACCGAGCTCCCCATGTTGGCCAGATTTAGAGGGATTTCCGCCCCACCACCTCCACCCGCCCCGCCAACACCACCATCACCCGCCCCCTTCCAACCGTCCGTCACGAGGTCCAAGTCTCCAAAGCTATACCGGTTCGCCTGTGGACCAAAGTTGAATGCCGAGTCCAACATCTAAACAAGATTAGAAGGGAGCTAAATTAAATTCAGAACGGGGGAGGGACGATTTTCAGGAGAATTGCTTTTACCCCAGCCTCAGAAGTGTTGGGTTCTGGGACGGAGAAACGTTGCACCATAAGAACAACGGTGGGTGCGGCCAGGTCAGAACCTCCTCCATTCCCATTGCCACCATTTCCTCCATTGTCGCCTGAGGCACCATTCACTCCGTTGTCGCCCCCATCAGCCCAGCCCCATCCCACCTGCTGCTGTCTCTTTTTCTCCTTTTCCGCGTCCAGTTGAGCCTGCCTCCTCTGAATCTTGTCCAGCTCATTGAACAGTTGAAGCAGAACGTCCACCTGTGACACCAACGGGTGTGCTGGCCCTTCCCGAAAAGCAGCCGCTCGATTTTGGAGGCCCGCACGGAAAAACCCGTTGTTGTTCAGCTGTATAGAAAATAACGTAGAAAACAAAGGCTTATTAGACCATTGGAGCTGTGCGAGAGAGGGAATGCAGTCGTACCGATCCGTTGATGGGGGCGGATACGTATGGCGACGCTATCACAGAGGAGGTCATTCTCAACCCATTGCCATTCGCTCTCTGATTTCGAGGTCGACTTGCTCCTCCGGACTGAGTTCCACCGCCAGCAGTGCCCGTCACGGGTTCCGACGGGCGGTGGTTCACTTCTCGCTCAAGGTTCGTGGTCCCATCAGGATTGATCCGAATTGTGTAAGCCTCGCTGAAGAGGGTCGAGTAATTCGGAGGGAGCGACGTCCTCACACCCACCGTGAAGGCGACTGGCAGGGTTGGGACGAGCGTTGGGGGCAAGTCCTCCCGGGAGGCCGTTCGGTTATACCCGTCCACGAAGGTCGAACCCGGAGGAATCTCGTCCAAGGAGTTGAGTTCGAAGGGAGGGGCATCAGGGTCACACTTTGGACCCCAACCCCACCCGTCACTCCCTTTGAAGGGACTCTCCGTTGGTGGAGACCAACCCCAACCTTGTGAGGAGGGTTCCGGGTCAGTCCATCCTGACGAACCAGACAGGACGAGGGTGGAGGAGGGAGGCGACCCACTCCACCCACTCGACGACCACTCGTCGTGATCGTGGTGAATCGAAGTCGTGGTAGGAGTGTAGCTGCTGGAATACGTTTTTGAAGGCGGTGGGCGACCGTAGCTGCTGCTGTAGAAACTCTTGAGTGGTCCATGATGATGCTTCGAATGTATAGGCGTTGGTGGGTGGGTGTACAGTTTGGGACCATAAATCGTGGTTTTGAAGGGTGGTGGTGGTGGTCCAAACTTTCTGGGTCGTGGGTTTGCCCAACCACTGCTGCTAACGATGCTGCCAGGCGGGGGTCCAGACACCCACTCCGACCCAGACGATGCTGCGGACAGCGAGGACGGGTAATAACCTGCACCGCTCCCACTCGTCGTATAAATATCGTCGTGGTCACGTGACGAGGAACTTTTGCTGCCTGGCCAAGAGGACGACGAGGAGTAGAATTTCGAGGACCCTGCAGTGATCCCGTCGACCACGGAGCTGCGATGACGCTGGGGGCTGAGGGCGTAGCTGGGGTGCAGCTGGGACGAAGATGCATGCAAATCATGGACCTGAGGCGCAAATCGGCCTAGATTTAGGTCTCTCAATCTCCAATTCAACATGCTTTGTACCCCTCGGTTTAAATGTTGATACAAGCGATGAATATTTGGCGATACGTCAATATCTGGATAAATAGACACAATAAATCATTTAATTCGGCTAATTATATAGCAAATTTAAGTATGTGCAAATTAAAATACCCAAGTTTTGTCCATTACACTGCAAAATTACACCTACACTTAAAAATACTATAACTGACCGCAGGCGGTGTACACTTCTAGTCGTCCCCATAATTAATTATTTTTTGTAAAATTCTCGATAATACTGTCAATTTCGGATTCCTTCCAGAGGCTACTAAAACATTCAAATAAGTATATTTTGTCACATTGTCGCGCACATGTACACAAGATAAACAAGGGAAATAATTTATCTGAAAAAGTAACAGGACTCGCAAGATAAATTTCGTGGATATATTGTTGTTCACTGGTGGTCACCCAAACATGACCAAAACTGCGAAAGGTTAAAGTATAAGGACTTTATGATTGTGAATGTGAAATTGAAAGAAAGAGCAGCAAATTTTAGGAGCTAGGAAGGAAAACGATTGATCCATTCATTCGAATGCATGATATCCCTGCCCCACGGGATGTAGACGCGAATGCACCATTGCGCGTTTCTTGAGGGGACGCTGATTGCTCGTTACTTGCAGCTCATCGAGCAACTATTGAAAATTATGCCAAAAGTCTTCCGTCGCATAATCAGCAAACAACCGGCTTTTGCAAGTGCTCAGCTTTTTCTTTTTTCCTTTTAAAGTGCATCTTACTTGTTATTCAAAGTTGACATGTTACGATTTTGGTTTGGCGTGTCAAAAACTTGTTCTTTGTCATGTCATAATTCACAGGCGTCACTTCATTTCACTTTCATGAAAACTATTTCTCTATTATCTAAGATCGCCAATTTAATTATATTCGAGGCTAGATTATGAGTGTCACTTGTGCGTAATTAAATCGGTGACATCAAAATTACTGCAATTCGATTATGTAACGAGATTCTAGAAAGAATTTTTGAAAAGTGTCCAACAACTTATTAATTATGAGTGATATTTGCATCGTACGGGCTAAAATGCTTGATAAATTGTGCCTATTTTTCGCATAATAATCGGCAATTGCGCCTAAGGAGCAGGCAAACTCGTTGGGAAGAGTCGTCGAGATGAGATAATGTTGCAGTCAACGGAAGCTGTTGCAAATATAGGCGACCACACCACACATGCCTCCTCCTTACGTAATTTATTCCCATTTACGTATGTACATACTTGAGTAATAGTTTGAGACAGTTAATTAGACCAAATTCTAAGAAATACGAATTATTGTTAGCAAGTTTATCGCAAAAAACAATATGGGGCAAATATGTCAATAATTACCTAATAATACATCTCTCTCTCTCCCAATTAAGCATCGTGTGTCATGGGAGTAGTGGCACCCGAAATTAGATTATGCAGGACATGATATCTTAGATTTTGACAGATGATTTATTCAGCAAGATTCCCCATAATTATCGCGACTTTAGCAATTTCTCAGAAACTTTTTCGTTTATCGATTCGTAATCTTGTTGATAATTTTCCAAATTTCTTCTTCGTAATCGCAAAAATCAATAACCTTTGCAAAAACGTGCATCGACTACCAAGATCCAGCACGTACCAGAAGGATGCATAATGTGTATGCATGTCCTAGGCCACTGTCAATGTCGTCGGCGTCTAAATAGCGATGCGTATATCGAGCAATCAGGATTTTATTTAACGAGAGCAGGTTCAGGTAGCAATAATTAATTTAAAAAATACGATCAAAATTGTGGTTCGTCAACAACAACGACGACGACGACTGCTCTCCCTTTTTTCTCATTCAATAAAAAAACATGCAGCGTTTTTTCACGTTTGTATTTTTCGTGCATCGCATGGTTCCGTAATCAATGTGCCGTTTATAAATATTTGGTATTTCTAAACTTCAAAATCGAAAGTGGATTGACAACCAACGGAGAGCTAACCGTTAAAAGGCGTTGTTGTAAATAGTTGGAGGAAGTGTGTGATGAAATGATGCCAATATTAAGTGCGTTCAAGTGGAAGAAAAAATGAGAGAAGGACGCAGACAAGATCACATCAGCAGTTAACCGATTTAATGTCTTTCCATTAGTTTAATGAACCAATAAAAATAATGCAGCTTTTCTCTGCGTGCTAAATTATGGATACAAATAGAAATTCTAAATTAACAAGGATTCTGGTTTTTAATCAATCAATCATCAATAGCAATGTCACTTCATATTCTTGAATTAGCATAATACAAGTTTACACGTTGAGGTACAAATTAGGTATTTGGATGGGTCGGTTGGAGTACCAATTTTGCTGCAGCTGTTGACCTCGCCCCCTCGTCCTCGGATGGGGGACTGGGCTTCTCTGGAATTCTCTGGACGTGGGCGTGTTCAGTCGCTCCCTCGTCACGGGGACTGGAGCCCCACTCGGATTCGTGAAGACGTCGAGCAGCTCGGAGAAGGCCGTTTTCAGCTGGACGAAAGTTACTCGGGCCTCGGCATCCGCGTTCCAGCAGTGCTTCATTATGTTGTAGCTGCGGAAATGAGAAATATTTATGGGGATTTCTGGCTTGGGAAGAAAATGATGGGAAAATATGCAAATGGATACACGTATTCTGTGGCGAGGGGAGGTTTGCTGAGTCTGAAGCCACTCTCCAGTTGGGCGATGAACTCGGGACCGAAGCTCAGGCCGGCGTAGGGGACTTCTCCGAGGGTGAAGATTTCAAAGAGGGTGACCCCGAAGGCCCAGACGTCACTCGCACTGGAGAAAGAGAGCGCTTTCAGAGCTTCGATCGACATCCATTTCCACGGAAGCGGGACCTACGCAGACGTAGAAGAAGCGTGATGCAACTTATCGTTATCTCCTCATACTTTCGCTTATCCTGTCTTTACGCGACTCTTTTTTGTGTAATTTTTCGAATCGAGGAGGAGACGAGAAAGTCCAAAGTCCGAAATTTTTGCAGTTTTGTCCAATGCCAGGAGAACGTTTCGAGTTGCGAGATCTCCGTGAAGAACCTGACCAAGAATTATTATTGTAGGAACCGTGCATTTACTTATCGCCAGATTAGTGTGTTTTACCACCTTCTTTCCAGCCAAGAACTCCATTCCGTTGGCAATTTGGTAGGACCACGTGTACAAGTCCAGCTCGGTCAGTGCTACTGAATTGTTCAAGTTGGCGTAAGTCCTCCGTCTGAAAAATGTCGCAGCAAAAGAGATTCATTTGAATAACTACGTAGGAAACATTATTCAATGAATTACGAAGATTCTGCTTCGAGAGATCCATCCAAGGTTTGAAACACGTTTCGCTTCTCTTTAAAATAGTCCTGAAGACTTCCGTTGGCACAAAACTCGACACCAATCATGACATCGCCTGCAATAAGGTGGCGGGAATTTGTGACCATTTTAATGTAGATGCCCATTATTGCCCATATTTTACGCACGTTGTTCAATGTTGTGTGTGCATGCAGCCACGAGATTTACGATGTTAGGATGTTTCCCGATGAACGCCATGATTTTGAGCTCGGTCAGGAAACTTTTAAAGTCGTCGATTTCCACGGAGGACTTGAGAACTTTGACGGCCACGACCTGTCGCGCATGGCCCTCAGTTTCCACGGACCCCTTCCTCACCACTCCGAATGCACCCTGACCCAGGAGCGTGTCCTCTGTTTAAGAAGAGGGGGCAAGTTGAGAATTTTGTCTAGTTTGTGTACTAAATAGGCAAATACTCAACCAATTTTCCATTTGGCGACATCAACTTCGAAGCTGTCGTCGTAGGGGAGTTCGAGAATGGAGGCGTGGTGGGTGTGCTCTTTTGAGTCGTAAATGTGACACTCGGATTTTATCTTTTCCTTTCCTAAACCTAGTTTTTTAAAGATGTTTGTCCCACCACCACCACCGCCGGATCCTTTTCGACCACTTTTGAAAGTGGTCGAAAAGGCAGCCTCCTTCTCTTTCTGGGCATGTTTGACTCCCTCCTTAAATTCTCGAATGGCTTCTGCCGTCTTCGTCCGGTACTCTTTCCGCTGGAGAAGGATTTTGCGATAAATTAGGAGCGCCGTGACGATGCCGATAACGACTACGGCACCCAGCCCGGAAGATAACCCAGCCTTCGTAGCGACTGATAAGCCCTCTGGAATCCAATTTGTACATTGAGAGATGACTTTGTATCAAACGAAAGATGACATGCTTTCATACGAACCGATTGGGATTTGAAGGTTGTACGCTTTTGAACTATTTCCAAACACGTTGTCCACATTGCAGCGATACGTTCCAAGCAGAACTGTGGTAATCCTGGGCATAGAAATCGTGGAGGTTACACGCGTCTCGTCCTCGTCGTCCTCGGAAGTAATAATTTCCAGCAATGACGAGATATTCTGAAATTAATGAATTCAATTATGCCAATGCATTTACGGGCCACATATTTACTCGTATGTAAAATACTTGTCGGCTGGGTAGCCCCCACTCCAAACTTGGTCTCGGTTTCCCCACGGCGGAGCAAGCCAGGGTCACGTTCTCCTGGCCATTCTGCACAGAGACGAGTTCCTCACCTGCATCTCCCTCAACTCGTGGAACGGCTGGGTCTGTTTCATTTCAATAGAAACGTCTACTTTTAATGATTACCTTCAAAATGTTTACAACTACTTGCAACATAGTTCGCATAATTATGTACATTCGACAAACACGTGGACGCTCTTCTCCACCCGCTGCGACCAGTTCCAGAGGGGAGCGGAACAGGTTAAAGTGTGGGTTTCGTTCCCTTCAAAGAATGTGACCCGTCTGCTCACGACGCGATGTCCATTTGGGGTCCAGGTCTCGGTCTCAGTGTGATTTGACACTGCAAAAATGTCAGCGTGATCACGTGGAAAATGGGGGAATTTTGAGAAGCACTGATGATTATGTACGCACTTACAACGATTCGTGAAGTCAGTTTGATGGTAAATGAGGGTTCCATACGCAAAGTAAATCGTGGACACTGAACAATTAGCGACAAACTCGTGGCCCACGTAAAGAACGGAAGGAAGCTGGAAATCCATCAACTCCAGAAGAGGCAAATCCCACTCAAAATCTGAAATGTTGTGCATAAAAACCATGTAAAATGAGAAATACGTGATAACCGTATTTTCATTTTGGTACAAAATTGCCGTGGTCTCGTGACACTGAAAAGTCCTTTGAACGCCAGTTTGACCTCCGAATTTGACCTGGCGTAGAATGCAGCACTGTTCAGAAAGGTGTCCTCATCCCCGTACGTTGACGTGGGCCTTACTTCCCTGCAACCGGAACAGGGATCACTCGAGGTTAGGAGTTTGACGCAATTTCGCTCCTAAAATTACAAGAGTACACAAGAATTCATTTAGAGCGAAGACGACATTAAATTCACACCTCGTCCACCGTTCTGAACACGTTTCTGTAGTAAATCCCCTGGTCCGTCGTGGTCGGAGATGACTCCAGCATCGTTTTCTGCACAAAAACTCCCTCCGCACTTGCTGTCCAGACGTAGTACAAGCGATGCTGACCCTTCTCGTCATGTTTGACTTGGACGTTCAGCACGAGCTGACACGGCGTCTCAATTTCGACCTGTGGTGAAGATGCATTACTACGCGACCGCACCAATTTTTGTGCCAGACTCGAAAATGTGTCCGTCGTGGGGATGGAAGTGGGCTGAATCGTGGCGGAGAATTGGCCTGGCGTGATTTCCAAAAACGATCGACCCCCACAAGCATTTTCGCACATGAGGAGAGCTGGATGCCTCAGACTTCCAGGTTTGTAGAGAAACACGCTGTAGGCGGAAAACACTGGTGACGAACCACTCGTCGTGCTCTGCTGCTGCTGGTAAAAGCTTCGTGTGAATTGGAATGTATCCCTCGACTAAATATATGTAGATATGCAAATTTAGTTGCTAAGTCAGGTAAGTCTACGTGATGAGCAATTTTACTGTACGGGGTGAATGTCCATGATCCAGTCGACCGGGATGGAGTCGCGACAGTCGAAATAGCTCCGCGACACGCTCGCATCCTCCACGTTCTCAATGGCGGAGAGCGAAGGGACGCGTGCATTGAATCCAGCAGAACTCGTCTCAACTTCAATTTCAGGAGACTTGTTGTCGTAACTCGTGCAGTCAAAATCCGCTCTGGACCCAAATGTAGACCCAAAAACGTGCAAGAGTTTGATGGATAAGGTGCAAATAAAAATGCACACTTTTCCAAGCTCCATGGTGGAATGGATGGTGAGAATGCGAATATTCTGGATTTGTCCTCCATACTAAAGTGTAATTTATACGCAATAATTTTTGTGTTGTGCACCGTACAACTTCCGCTGTCGATTTCCTCCTTGAACGTGAACAAAATGAAAATGAAGGAAAGATACGTATGCTCGTGGACATTGCGGTTACAGAAATCAGCATTTGGTTGACAAACTTTATTTGCTACACACATCATAATATTTTGTACATGAATTGCTTCGGCATTTTTAGTGTAGCAAGATTTATTGCTGTATACTAATATACTTACAAGTTAAAGCATACATAAGGGGCATATTGAGAAATTATTAAATATCACATCACAATTATTATACAATTAGTTAACTAGTTTACCATGTAATTTCTGTTTGATATTGTTGACTGCTCTGTAAAAGTATGAACTGCTGCTTGAACTGCTGCTGCTGCCCGGTTTGACGGCGGTCACTCCGCCACGATGGTCCGCGTAGGCTCCCTCCACTTCGGACAGATGGGGACCGAACTGAGGGAGAGCGTGAGGAGGTGGAACGATGTCTCCGTACGAGTCGCCCAACACCAACGCTGGGGGTGGTCCCACCAGTGGCAGAAGAGGCTCCGGGGCTCCGTAGTGAAGTACTGGAGGTGGGATTTCCACATAAGTGTCCACGACCGGAAGTAGATACAGCTTTTTCTCGTTGAGGGGTGGACTGAGTGTTCGCAGCGCAATGGTGGACGAGTACAACCAGAGGGTTTCTCTGGCCAGGGCTTCCTCCCCTTCGAGCGGGTCGTCCACAAAGAGCTGGCTTTTGGGAAGTCTGGGTCTGCTCAGGCCTTCGCTCAGCCGTCGGATGCGATGCAGCCGCTCCTTCCCGTCCAGACACGAGTCGGCATGAATCCCCTCGACCAACTTGAGGAAGGACATGAGGTCGCGCTTCTCCTCGGGCACGAGTCCCTTCGTGTCGTCCTTGTATCCGCTGAAAATGGTCTCAATGTCCCCCGGAGACCTGAGGATGAAGGGCACAAAGGTGAGCACGTCCGGGTTCGAGGGTGAGGGGAAGATGAGCGACCCATTCGTCAGAGACTGCTCTCGAGGCTCAGTTTCCGAAATCTTGACGCGACTTTCGATCGCGACTAGGGCGAAGGATGGTTCTGGCTTTTTCTTCTTTTCCTCCCACCCCCAGCCCTGAGTGGGGGGTGGACCGTACCCACTCGAACCCTTGTTCAGAGCGGCTAGAAGGTTGACCAGAGTGCTGGCAGCCCCACCATCGCCACCGCCACCACTACGGCGGCTACCACTCCCCCTTTCTGAAGTGGACGACGCCTGCTTCTTCATATTTTGTGTGATGGCGATGAGTTTGCCCACGTCCATGAGGATGTCCTGGGAGGAGCGCCCGTTCTCGAATATTTTGTTAAATCCCGTATAATCCCGAACGTTGCGACGGTAGACGTAATTTTGGGAGGAGATAGCTCCGAAATCGGTGGCTTTTCGGAGGGGCTTCTTGGGACCCCATCCAGCACCATATTCGGAGCCAAGGCCGAGGTCATTGTTGATGTTGGCCCGCGTGACGTCCTCCTCCGACAATGAGGGGAACTGGAGGGAAACAATGGTTCTGTCTCCGTAGGGGACGAAGTAGGACTCGTTCGCTGGGGGGAACACGTCCACGTTCAGACGATGAAGGCGTTCGACTTCGGCTTGAAGGGCTGCTCCGTAGGTCAAAGGTTGCGCAACCTTTATCGAGCTGCCCGAACTCGCAAATGGGTCTTGATCTAAATTTTCATTGCAATTGAGGATTAATTAAATTAACAGTGTATATAAGAGGTGTATTGTGTATTTACCACGTGGGGGAGGTCCGTATGGCTGGCGGTGACCGCATCGGACCAGAGCAACAACGTCCCACAGCAAAATGAGAACCACTGCCTTGGAAATTTCTCCCATAATCACGTAACAAGAAGTGGATCGTGTAAGCGCCTATAGAATGAATATGCTCCTCAACAATAAAGCATGACTCGCATGGCGTCAAATCTGCAGAAGACTGAGCATCAATTGTTGTTAAATTAATTTGTGAGATGACCATTTTCATGAAAGAAAGTGAGATTGGTGGTCGTTCTCAGAATTCGCATGCACACCATTGTGATGCCAAAACGTAATATTGCACTTTATAATGGGAGACACTACTGGTATGATCAGACAAAAAACAAAGCAACAAGTTTTTGGCAACGGTAAGAGCCATACAATGAGCACTCACACTCGAGTGATGCAGTAATGGTACATATGTTGTTGCACTGTTGCATATTGATTGATTTGCATAATGGTAATAACATCCTACAACGCGCACCTGGTTCCGCAACTCATGTGTCCAAAAGCTCAGACCATTAATTTGCAAAGGTCGGAAAACACTTTGACTTCAAAATGTGCCACATAAATATGTACGCACAGAATATTTTTTGCACGTGCGTCAAAATATGTATGATTTCTTCAACTAGTGTGCTGGTCAAAATGAGCATAAACGCATAAAAATAGGAAATGCAGCTTATTTTGTATCTTTCCAATCTTTGTATCATGTTGAATTGTTGACCTCCTCGGTTAAATAACTTGAATGCAGTTGGGACTAGTTGGGAGGAAGCGATAAAGTGATCGTGAAAGAGTTTCACTTGTGAATTGATCATCATCCACCAACCACTTTTTAGCTGTTGTTGGATTGTTCTTGACTTTGGGGGCAGGTGAGATTGGCACAAGTATAACAATGAGATTATTGCATTGGATTACTTGTTTTGTAGGCAGTGACACAAGTCAGATTACTGAAACGATCAGATGGCTTTTCTGACCGGTTGTCTCTCATGATTTTCATTTCTGTGTGCAACAAGGTTACAAATTCGAATGCATTAAATTGGAAATTGTAACAGTGAGCATAATTGGATTGGAAATTGTAACTGATTGTCGATTTATTTAAGTAATGGTCTCGCACACGGGGCTTGGTCAAATTAAGCTAATTTGACTAACTAGCCGATAAAATTTGGACCAACAATTTAGTTGAGATTCGCAATGCAAAAATGCCAAAAACACTGATTTCTCAGGGGTTCAATGATTTGTGAAAAGTTCGGCATGAAACAGGTTGGATTGAACATTTTATGCATGCAAGCAACATTAAATAGCCGTGAACTCTTTTTACCATTTATATAAGTTTCCATCCCTTTACTTGTAAACGTTTGCAATTTCTTTGGTATTGGGAAATTGCGGCTGATTTTTTAAGTTGAAATTGGTTCATTATATTTTGACAATGGAAGGACAACAAAGGGAATGAGAGCAGAGGAGGCCGGCTGGAAAAAGAGTTGATTATTACACAAGCGAGATTGTGGCTGTCACAAATTTGGTGTCCCTCTCGCTCTCCGCGCTGATTGATGATGAATGTTTCCCCTCGTGTACGGGTCGGCACTTGTGCTTTCCTTCCACAAAGTGGGTGAGAGGCGGCTTCCTTTGATCTCAACTTTCGGCAAAACTCCATAGCCGCCGCTGTTTATTTTAACTCTTAATCCCTTAACTACCTCACTACCACATGCACCCCTCCCACCCAGCCATCCGTCGTCCTCCCAGTGCAGTGCTACGACCACGGGTCACAACATAACCTGTCCCAGCAGTGGCAACAGTGCTCCAGCCAGCACCACAACACCTCGTCATCTGTCCAAAACCTGTCTCAAGTTCCCTGAGCACCAGTCCTTGTCTCAACTCACACAGCCGCAGTGCCTTATATGTAAATAGAGTGACCTATTTTTGGACAATGCGTGACACTTGACTAGCAATTTAGAGGAGCAAGGACATCATAAAAAGAACATCAATTCTTATTGATTCGAAAAAGTCATGAGTTTCGCGTCACTCGCGTTCGTGGCGTTTTTGCTGTTGTGGAGTGAAAGTGGTTGCGCTCCTCAGTCCGAACCGAACGAGAACTCGAGCACTGCTCATGTCGGGAGCAGTGTGAAGGTGGGGAAGGGGGGAAATAGTGCGCGACACTCCTCAACCCGAACCAGTGGCACGTCCAACAAGGTCAACGACGCCAACGTCATCACCCCACAACTGACCATGAAATGGGTGTCAGCCGCCCTGAAGCATTTTGACTTTCACTCCTGCACCTCCACCAACATCGGGTCCGACGACGAATGTTTCAAGCTGGGCCAGCTGGGTCGTGACCAGGTTGCCGTCTACTTGGGCCATGCGCGGAGAGGGGGGAGCAAACTCCTCGGAGGAGGACATCCTGGCAGCAGTCAGAATGGGACCACGAAAGTGGGGCCCGCCTCACCTCCCACAAATTTGGAGAAGGTTTTCGCCATTCTGCCCGACTCGAACAGTGCCAAGGCGAGTGGAGGACATGACGCCGTGTTGGTGCTGGACCCGTATCCCAACGCCACGTTTGGTCACTTGGTGGCAATGTTCTACCTCGATTTCGTCACGGCGAACGAATGTCGGGATGACTTTCAGACATTCACTTCAGGTGATTATTAATTATCCATACGTGCACGACGAGACATTTTCCATCCTCTTTTTTTATCGCGTCGCCAATGTCTCCAAAATAAAATTAGCAGTACATGAAATATGATGGCTCTCCCCATGATGTTGAATAATATTGACCCAACGACTATACTATACACACGTTTGACTCTGATAATTTGACTTTATGCGAAATGTGGAATAATGAGTCGGTGTGGACTGGACTGGTTTTGGAGACTTTACGAAGAATACAAATTCTTTGTAAAGGAAGCCGACAAAGGTGGAAGCTCAACACACCGCGGTGACAGTCGGTCTTTATAAAGACTTTTGCCACGAGCCAGCCCTTTGAGTTTGCCGACACAAAGGAGCCGACTCATCATCTCGTCACCCACACCAATACCACTCACTCACCTGCTTCTAATGGGGACTTAAGTACCCGTCCACAGTTGGCTTGTACGTATAGGGAATATATCCCGTGGGAAAAAGCCTGTAAAATGCAGAACCCTCTATTTTTTCCACTATTTAGAATTTTATTTGTACCGACAAATTGTGGAAGAATTTTTAATGTTTCTTTTAAATGTTTTATCTTGTTACTCATAAGTTTTTGTTTGGAATTTCAGACGGAACCTGCCTCACGGTGGGTCGAAAGGCACGATGTCCCAACTCCTTGGAACGCTTCACTCCCCGTCTCCAACCCAAAAGGTGTCATGTCGACTTTTTGCCCACGGTTTACACTGCCGAAAGGGTGGCCATGTCGCCCCTGACGCAAGGAAAAGCTGACCTTTCCCGCTACCCCGACCTCTTGGAGTGTGTCCCTCTCTCCGGATTTGCACCCTGTCCCAAACTCAGATCCGTCGAGGACACGACCAAAGTTCTCTGTGACACCACACTTGCCAACTCTAAACGGTACTAATGCATTAGTTATTATTAGTAATACATACACGAGCAGGTCGCAGGTTGGATTTACTAATTTTCTCACTTTGTGCGCAGTTGTGACACTTCGCACGCCACGGTGGGCTCGACTTGCAAACTATTCCAATCCTGTGACAGGGCCATTCTTATCGGAGGTGGGTGGAACAGGGCCCACTCTCCCGTCCAGTCGCTCACAAACATTGCCCACATTTCTGACTCGCTCATTAAAAATTCTGGATTCTCTCCTGACAACATTAAAACGTTTTATGGGAACGGTAAAATCTCGGGCTCCATTCCCAAAATAACATCCACTTCCACACTTCTTCATCAGCCTCTCCCCCTCAAACGTGGCGACTACTTCTCCTCCGCCATGAAAACGGCGCTCCGTGGTCACATCCGGACCACGTGTGACAATCGCCACTGTGCAGACACCTTGTTCATCTATCTCAACAATCCGACCACCTTCGAGGGTGACTTTCTCCTCTGGGACGTGGACCGGAATGGCATCGCTGATGAGCTGGAGACTTACACCGTGAAAGAGTTTCTCTCGGACTTGGCTGGATGTGAGGCGAAACGCGTCGTTGTGATGGTGGAGCAGTCCAACTCGGACATTCTCATGGCGTCCTTGAAGAGCAGTTCGGATCATGCAAATGTCATCCTGTTCACGGCTGCGTTGCCAAATGAGGTCGTCACGTTGGGAGAGTTTACGGGGAGATGGGTCAACAGCTCGTACAACCCGACGGCATGTTTGCGGCACGTATATCAGATAACCGCGTCCTACATGATAGGATCAAATCCCGTGTTTTACGACACGAGTCGTAACGGACTCAGTTCAAAGTTGAGTTTGGTGGGGGCGCCGTGTGATCTCAACCCTCCTGTCAGTAGTGGCGAGCTTAAAGCGCTCTATCAAGGTGAGCATTGCGCAGTTATGCGTGTACTCCTTGAATCTATAAAATACCAGAAAATGACAATGGTGAATACGAAAGTTTTGTCGTGCAGGTTGCCAAAACGTGCCCACTTCGATCTGGTTCTCCTTTGATTTTGACGAAATCGGGGAGGAGATGGACCTGGATGGTGGGCGTGTTGGAGGGATGGACGCAGAATCGCCTGCCAGAAGAGATCTGCTGGGCAATGAGGAAGAGCACCCCGTTGACAATTCATCCGACCAGAGCGACCATCCCAAACGAAGCCTTGATAGCGAAAGGTCTCATCACCGTCATCATCATCGCCACTCTTCGTCGTCATCCGCAACGAAGAGGCGGCGTGTGAGATCAAAATCAAAAACACGGAATTTAGACCCTTCGTAGCACGACACGGTGATCATTAAATAATTAATTAACGAATTAAGTATCGTACATAAAAGGAAGCAATTATATTGTACAGACTGAAGAAGTTGGTGATATTTTTAGTAGAAACAAAAGGTTTAACATCGTTCATGTAATCATATTTTTATGTAATTCAAGAACATAATTGCCTGTAAATGTCTGTTGTATGTACATTTTGTAATAATACAATTCAATGAGTATGTATCTGTAAAACTTGTTCTGGGGACACAACTAATGAAATTATTCGTTCATCAACCATAGAGGTATGCAATTAAATAGCGAAATTTAGTAATAGTGGCATACTTTATCCTGCAAAATGTATTGACCGTGTGACCGTCATGTCCCAAGAGAATCAGACCTTAATTCGGGAGAAATATGGTGTACAGTTTTATCACCATGTCTTCTCCCTATTTTTCACGACATTCATTATTTTCTCAACAACTAATTGCAAACATTCATACTCACATCACATTTACATATGTAGCACATTAGCAATTACGAAAAAATATATTATTACAAGGAGTAAATTACACGAACACGAAGTATAATTAGGTTTCACGATTCGACAGTAGCCTGAGCAGCGTCCTCCCTGGAAATCAACTCGGTGAGGACGGGTATGAGCAATGCCACAGTGTTGTGATCCGTGATGGTTCCCAGCGACAAATTGATCCTTGGGCCGAGCAGAGTTTGCAAAATGTTTCTCAGCTCCACCAGCATCAACGAGTCCAGACCCAGGTCCTGGAATTCTTTGTGGACATCAATCTCCTCCCCCTCGTCCAATTTGAGGATGCAATGAAGAACGGAGATGACCAATTTCTCGACGACTCGACTTCTCTCTCCCGGCGAGCCCCTCGTCTTGTCCAACGCCTCCCAGAACGAGGCTGAAGTGACGTCGGAGCTAACCTCCCCACCACCGACGCCCTTCTTCCTATTTGACCTCGTGTTGTGAACTTTGACCTCCTCCAAGTATTTCTCCGCCCATGCGAAGAGGAGCTTCCACACGGCCACGTCACCGTTGACAATTGCTGTCTGCAAACGATGTGACTTCATGACCAATTCCAGCGTTGCGAGAGCCTGACCTGGTGTGAATGGCGATAGGCCCGCAATCTCCAACTCTGCCGCGATCCCGACCTGACCCCACTGACCCCAATTTATCGACGTTGCGCTCAGCCCTAGCGAATGTCTGTGATGGACCAAACTGTCCAGAAAAGTGTTCCCCGACGCGTGATTACTCTGACCTGGAATTCGGGATTTGCTTCTATTAACAAGCAAATATGAACCAAAGCACGAGTGACTGATTGATTACCCATGGCTCCCAAGATGCCCACGATGGAGGAATAGACCACAAAATGCTCCAGATTGTAGGACAAGGTTAGCTCGTGCAGAAGCCATCCGCCCGACACTTTCCCATTGAACGTTTCCTCAAACTTTGACCACGTCTGGTCCACCACGAGGCCATCGGACAGGCAGCCAGCGGCGTGCATGATGCCGCGGAGTGGTGGGAGTGAGAGGGCCGGGTCCCTCAGTTGCTGGAGCAGACGTTGACATTCTACCCTCTTGCCGACATCCGCCAAAATGACGACGACCTCTTTCCCCGCCGTTCTCAACCTATCGATGGTTTCCCTCGCTTTGACTCCCGGCTCACGTCTTCCGCACAAAACGACGTACTTGGCTCCCAAATCAGTCATCCATTTCGCCAGCTCTAGTCCGATCCCGCCCAAGCCTCCCGTGATCAGGTAGCTCGCACGGTCACTGAACAAGTTGTTCTGAACTGTTCTCACCGCAGTGCCTCCGCGCTCCGAGGTCACTTCCACCGTGTCGGGCATGACACACACCACCTTCCCCACGTGCTTCGCTCTCTGTAAATACGTCAGCGCGTCTCGCACGTGGGCAGCGTCGAACCGCGTGTGTGGAATGGGTTCCAATTTCCCCTCCGCCAAGAAATTGTGCAGATTGAGAAACAAGTCGTTCCAGAGTTCTACGCTGGACTCACTCAGCTCGACAGTTGTGTATTTGACATCCGGTCGGAGCAGGAAAACCTCGTCGGGTTGCCAAATATTCAGCCTGCTCATTTCCACAAATCTCGCATTTCGAGAGCAAGCAGCGAGGGAGGCTTCCTTGAAACCTGGGCTGGTCAACGAGTTGAGAACCATGTCGACGCCACGACCCGCCGTCACCTGCTCGATTTGTTTCCCATAACTCGACGTTCTCGAGTCGAAGATGTGCTCCACTCTCATCGTGTTGGATAAAAAGGCTCGTTTCCGCTTACTTCCGGCCGTGGCGATGATCTGGGCTCCAATCCCGCGTGCAATTTGTATCGCACAAATGCCCACCGCTCCTGCAGCAAGAAAATTATTACGAATCTCATGTCACTCTTTGACCAATTATTTCATTGTAAGGCGTCGCCTTGGTGTGTACGCACCTGAAGCAGTGTGGATGAGAACAGTCTCCCCCTTCCTCAACCCTGCCACCCTGACGAGAGAGTAGAAGGCTGTGGCAAACGCCGTCGCCAAAGTCGCCCCATCCGCAAAGGTCCAATCCTTCGGGAGGGCGACGATGGACTCCTCTCTCGTGGAAACATGACTTGGCAGAGCTTGGCCTTCCCAATTGCACCCCAACACGGCATCTCCAACCTGGAACTTCGTCACTGCCGGCCCAGCTCTGACCACAACTCCCGAGTAATCCGCCCCCACGGAGCTACTAGTCTCAAACTGGGCATCAGGTTGAAGCACGCTGAGCACATCCTTAAAGTTCAGTCCCGCCGCCTTCACGCGCACCTCCACGAAGTTCTCAGTCAAAGAAAGTTGCTCTTTCGGAACTGGACCGAACTTGAGGTCTCCGATCGCTTTGGTTTTTGGGAGTACGAGGGCGAATCTGTCCGTGTTACTCGGAAAAGACAAAGGGTTCGGCGTCAGGGTGACCGACGTCAATCGTGCCACATATCTCACGATACGATCTCGACTTCGATACGCGACTTGAAACTCCTTGTCCTCCGTCCACAGCTCGTTGAACAGTGCGTCCACCATTTCCGATGTTACGTCCACGTCCACATCGACACACTTACAGCGCAGGTTTGGGTGTTCACTTCGCAGCGTTTTGCTCATCCCCCAAAGCGTCCCGGCATGAGGGAGTTTGGCATCGTCGTCGTCCCCGACAGAAATGGCGCCCGTCGTAACCACCACCAGTTTCGGCAATGGCGTCGTATGCAATTCCAGCACGACTTGTTCCAAATGGAGAAAGCCTTGAGTGAAGTCCGTCTGACTTACTTTCTCTGGATCGAGTCCCCACAAGTAAATTATTCCTTCCAGACCCCCACCACCTCCGAGACCATCGTGGGCCAAAAGTGCTCTCCTCACATCCTCCTTCTCTCTGGGATTCAAAGTAAGGATCCCATTCCCAAGGTCGGAGTAGTTTTGGCCTGGCCTGGCTACGAGTACGGATCGATCGCATTGTTTCAGCTTTCGTGTAACGTTGTCTCCCAAGGAGTTCTCTCCAGAAAAAATTAACCACGTCGGGTTTGTTTGGGTTTCGCAGAATGTGGGGGACAGAGCTGGCGTGGTTCGCCAGTTTTCCTCAAACAAGGCTGGAAGGTTGAGCTTCTGCTTCTCCAGAGATTTCGTGATGCTGAGCAAATCTGCACGAATGAACTGAACTCGACTCATGACTCCCAACTTTGTCCCATTGTCGTCAAATAGCACTGCAACCTTTCCACCTTCGCCCGTGGTCTCCTTGAACACGTGAATATGATTCTGGCTTCCGGTCCCCTTGGCCAACCAGACGAACTTCCCGATGGAGACTGGAATGAGGAGGCGAGTGTCACTCGTGCTCGTCGTGTCCAACATGAGGGCCTGGACCATAGCATCCAATGCGACTGGGTGCGTCAAGAACCCTTCGTCCTTTGCATCCGGAACTTTGACCTCTACGAGAAATTCCCCATCCTCAGAACTCTGATATCGTTGCAGGCTCTTAAAAACTGGCCCAAAATTAAGTCCCATGAGTCCCAACATGTCATAAAATTTGTCTGTGCTCTGGACCGTACTCGTCGACATGCGCCTCTGAATCGTCACGAGGTTCTCGCCACCAAAACCTCCACCCAAATTAGGATTTAAATTATCGAGGACAACAGAGCTGAATTTGGCAGTGGCATGAATTACCCACTTTCTCGCTCCCATGTCCTCCCCATGTTGACTGTAAATCTCCACATTTGACCATCCCACGCCTCCCTCTCCCGGGTCGGAAGATGCATCCGACGAGAGGACGGGGGAGATGATGGTTTGAACTTGGCAGCCGTGACCACCGTCCTTGACCTCCATCGGGGCTGAGATTCCCATCTGCTCCACCACGATGGGGGCAACAGGGGCATAGAAATCCTCAAAGGACGCCAACGTGGATGCCTGCCCAGCAGAGAGACACATTTCGAGCCAGCAGGCCGCCGGGAAAATGACATGGCTGCCCAGAACGTGGTCGCCCAAGTATTGGCTGTGCTCCAGGTGGATGACATTGTGGTAGATCTTGGTGGGCGTTGGAGTGGGGAAGAGGGAGCCCAGGTGCGGGTGAAGGGTTTTCTCGGCCGGACCTCCTCCTGCCCTCAGCCTCGGGGGCTCGAACCAATGTCTCCTCCTCTGAAAGGGGTAATATGGAAGCCTGATCTTCCTCCCCGGATAAAACTTGTGGAATTCCTTCCAATCAATGTCTACTCCAGCCACGTAGAGTGCGCCCAACGTCGTGAGTGCCGTCGTCCATTCCTCCTCCTTCTTCCGCATGGATGGGAAACAACTCACTGCCTCCGCTGCGTCCTGGCCATCCGTATTCGCCTTGAGTAGGGCGCTGAGGACGGGCTGGGACCCAATTTCTAGGAAATGGCGACACCCCGTGCCGTACGCCGCCTGAGACGCCTCCACAAATCTCACGCTGTCACGCGTGTTATCCAGCCAATACTTTGTGCCGATCTGCTCGTCACTGTCCAGAGCCCTTCCGTACACTCCGGAAATGTAGGCGCACTTTGGCGTGTGACCATTCTCACCAGAAGTCCCGTAAATGGTGTCCAACGCGTGTCTCAATTTGGGAAGAGACACGTCCATGTCCCTAAACATTTTAATAACTTAATAGTAGAATTCTCGGAAGAAGTTGGTATAAAGCAATTTATTATTACAAGCTTTCTTACATAATTTACATAAATTATTCATTTGTTTACGATTTTCAACTTTTTCAACCCTAATTTTGATTTGGCGAAAGTACTCTGTTCCAAATACAAAATACTTTGTCGGGAATCAGAGTGATCGGGGTTAAGGCAAGTGGTTACATAAATATACATTTCCAGCAAAAAATGTACATAATTCCGCCCACTTTTTACCCACCAACATAATTCCACTCTTGACAAAATTAAAAATGTAATGTCAATTTTTCAAATTCTCCAAATCCCTATTTTTACTCCGGCACTAGACTGAGACCGGAAGCTGCAGTAATATCAAACATCCTCCAAACAACCCCCACGCGCAAAAACCTAGAATTGACTTTTGTACCTCGAATGGAACCCGTGTGCAGCGTCAACCATGTGCGTCTTGATGTCCCTCCTTCTGCAATAGGATGCCAAGGCTCGAACACTGGTTTCCCTCCCTGACACTACAGTCTGGTCTGGGGCCAGAATAAAATTAACAAATATTATATCCAACAACCAGCAAGGGTCAAGTTCAGTGAAGCTCACCTCGTGAGTTAATTGTGGCCACATCGATCCAGAAATCTGGCCCCGCCTCCTCCCCAACTCTCTCAATCATGTCCACCACTTGACCTTGGCCTGCTTTCACTGCCAACATCCTCCCTTCAGCAGCCAGTCCGAAGGCCTTGGCTCGCCCCACCACAAACCTGGCTGCTTGGTCCACACTCCACGCCCCTGCAGCCAAAGCCGAGCAAACCTCTCCCAGACTGTGACCCAGGACGAGGTCTGGTCGGACACCCCAAGACTCCCACATCTTCAAGAGGGCATACTCCACTGTGAAAATGGCTGGTTGGCTGTTGGTGGTGTGCGAAAGTTGCGGATTTGGGTCTGAGCCCCACATGAATTTGCGAACGTCCAAACCGCACTCTGACTTGAAGATGGCGTTGCATGTGTCAAAATGGTGACGGAAAACGGGGTTGGTCTCGTACAAGCCTTGTCCCATTCCGTGATAGTGTGACCCATGTCCAGTGAAAAGAAATCCCACTTTCGGCCCACTCCCTCCCGTCACCGTTGGACTTTGCAAGTAGGATTTCTTCTCGAGCTTCTTCACAATGTCCTCCACACTTTCGCCCACAACGGCGACCCTGTGACCCAAATGCGCCCGACCCGTATTCGCCGTGAAACAAACGTTGCTCAGTTCCACCGTCGGATTTTGTTTGAAAAAGTGAATATAATTCTGAACCATGTCATCCAATGCATCCGCAGACTTTGCAGACAGCGTCAAGATCTCCCTGGATCTCTTCAAGGGAAGGACAAATTTGGGGGCAGTGTGTGGACTTGGTGCCTCCTCAACGATGAGATGCGTATCCGTCCCTGTAATTCCGTGCGAACTGACGCCAGCAGTCCTCCTTCTCGTCTCGGGAGCAGCGTATTTCTTCCAAGGCCGCCCCTCAACTGGGATTTCAGCCGGAATTTTGTCCAGATTAATCCGTGGGTTCAGCTTTTGGAGGTTGATGTGCGGTGGGATCTCCTCCTTCTCAAGAGCCAACACCGTCTTCATCAAACCAGTCAAACCCGAACAACTCTCACTGTGTCCCGTCACAGTTTTCACGGACCCCACGACCAGCGGCTGCTTCCTCCCTCGCGAGTAAGCCCTCGCAATGGCTTCCATTTCCGTAGGATCGCCAACCTCCGTCCCCGTCCCGTGCGCCTCCACGTACTCCACGTCTCCAGGCTCCACACCCGCATCCTCCAGAGCCAAGTTAATGGCAAGGGCTTCGCACTCGACGGTGGGGGTGCCCATGCTCTTGGAGGGACCCTCTTGTGCCTCCCCATAGCCGCGAATCAGGCTGTAAATCCTGTCTCCGTCCCGAACAGCGTCAGACACTCGTTTCAGCACCACGACGGCGATCCCTTCCGCGCGTGCGTAGCCATCAGCACTCTCGTCAAAGGTTTTGCAGCGGCCGTCCAGGGCGAGGACGGGTTTCATGCTCTCGAAGGAGAATGGGTGGAGGAGGAGGTTCATGCCGCACACGAGGGACAGGTTCGTCTCCTGATTTCGCAAGCTTTTGCAAGCCAGCCCCAGGGACACCATTGAGGATGAGCAGCCCGACTCACTCGCAATATTCGGCCCCGTCACCCCCAACATGAAGGCCAGACGACCTGACGTGGCGCCGAACGCGTTGCCCATGTACGAGCGATAAAACTCTTTGTGACGATACCCTGTCACCGTCATCAACTCGTGGTAGTCATTCTGCGAAGGAACGGAAATGAAATTTTATTCATGGAACGTAGAAGAATAAGTGGATGGATACCTTCCAAGTTCCGGTGAAAATCCCCGTGTGCGTGCCTTTCAGAGAGTCAGGATCAATTCCTGCAAAACAAGAGTTAATTAGGAGGGTAAGATCCAGAGAAGTCATGTGATCACCCACCTCCGTCTTCCAACGCCTCCCACGTGACTTCGAGGGCTAAGCGCTGCTGTGGGTCGAGGTAGCTCAATTCCAATGGACTCATCCCGAAGAAGTTCCCATCAAACTCGTCCACAGCGCACTTCAAGAATCCAGCAGGGATGGATCGCTCATCCGGCGTGCTTGCCACCCCATCTCGCCCCGTCCATCGATCGGACGGAATTGGACGCATTTGATCCTCCCCCTTCCCAAGTATAATTTAGAAATTGCACATTTATTGTCAATGGAAAAGCTCAATTTGCAGAAAGAAACCTTTCGTAGAATCTCCCAGAATTCTTCCAAGTCGTTTGCCCCTGGAAAGCGACACGCCATTCCGACGATGGCGATGGGCTCGGTGTGGGCTCCTCGGGACGCTGTAATCTGCGCAGTTTCATTCATGGAAGACATTCATAAGTACTGGAAGGAAACATGTTCAAAATTCTCCTCACATTTCCATTGGGGCAGAATCTCGCCTGTACAACGGTGCACAGTTCTTCCCAGTACTCCAAAACTTGCTGCGAAATGTAAAGATGCATCATGCTTCCAACCAGTGTTGCTACTGCGAATTATTTGTGTTTTTTCTCTCTCCATTATTTGTATTTTTTTACCTGCTCGAATTGTGCACGAGGCAGAGACTCTCCGTTTTGAACCAACCCCACCGGGTACTTATCTCCAAACTGGACAATCTTGGGCAGTTCTAAGACGCTTCTGCGGTAAAAATATGTACAAATCAAGTTGTGTCGCATATGGTACCGTTCGTTCATTGAGGGAAATATTGAGCTCACGGTTTGAGACCCCCTTCAACCATGCCAAACGGATAGCCGTACTCGTTTCCCAACTCTACAAATCCATCCTGTGTCGATAGCCAGCGTTCAATACAAGATTCGCCTGAATTCGCAGGTTCTACATTTGCACATGCCATTTTTATTAGATTTGCCAATACCGTTATTTGCAATTTTGTTCAAACCTTGGTTTAGCAATAGTTCTTCCAATGCCTCAAAGTTGTCCAGACCGGGTTCCACCAAGAGAACGGAGCTGTCATACCCATGACGTTCTCCTCGGCCCTCGGTGACGGTCAGTGAGCCCACTCCGCCCGCCTCAAACAGCTCGTCACAGTTTTGAATTACCTGAAGATGCAGACTTACAATTAGTGCGAAACCACTCTTCACTTTTACTTGTGCACAGCAGTCTCACCAGTAGTTTCGGGTCCAGGAAGACGCATTTCCGGTATGGGAGGGGCAGAGAGAGAGTCAAGTGCTTGGCCGCCGCCTTCACTTCCTCCCTCGACGATCTCCCCCTCCTCGTCACTTTCACGACGACGTCAAAAACTTGCTCCAAATTGTGTCTGCATTACCAGAACCCGAATGAGGAATAATATTGTGTTGGATAAAGGACTGTGGGGCAAACCTCACGCGTTTGGATACGGCCGGACCTACAAAGACCAGAATCTTCCGGCTCGTCATGCACCTGCGAAGTGACTCGGCCAAAATGAGGGGTTCAAGGACGGAGTCGTCATCCAGGACCACGGTGACCCAGGCCTGCTCATAAACTGGAAAACCGTGGTGCTCGATTCGTACATGTTGTTGGTATTTCAGAAATTTGCAAATTCTAATTCCTACATGTTGTACCTTTCATTTTCGGATATTTCCTGGCTCAAATTCCTCTATGATCACGGAAACGAATTAAATGTGACTTCCGTTAGTGCAGCGCTGGTGAAGCGGAACGAAATCAGATCACTTGATCAAAAAAGCATAAAAAATGAGTACGCCATAAATTTTGGAGCTTTATTCTCTGTAAACTGTTCTTCCCCTACTCGTCATAAATTTTGATTTGATCCTGGTTTTAACAACTTTTTTAAGGTTGCAATTAAGGCATCAAGAAATGTTTACGATGGCTCTGTGGGAGCTTTTTCCGCACAGTTTCCTCCTTGCACAATGTTCCCCATCAAGAGTGACGGACAATCAGTGAACAATTCACCCAGTCAGTCATGCGAAGAAAGAACTTGGCCACACGTTCCCAAGATAATCTCAAAGTTATTGCATTCGTAAATGTAATAAATCAATGATGGTGGTGCAATCAAGGGTTTATGGAATGTGAAACAATAGGAAGGTGGAAAACAAAACATGCTCGCAGACAGGCCTTCCCTCCAACCGAATTGGGTATGCAACATCTGGGACAATTCGCTTTCTTGTGTGCGAACTTCCTCACAGGAGCTGACAGATTTTTGACATAGCTTGACCTCCCCGTCTGGATAAGATGCGTGCACGGGCCCCATCTGCCTCATTCGACAATGCGCCCTTGTTTAGGAAAACCCCAGCGTCATAGCGTGTATAGTATTTATATAATGCTGCTCTCCCATGCATGTGCCTCATCCCATATGCACCACAAATTTCTCTTTGATGCTGCACAAAAACTAGTGACGATGCTTCTGTTGTCAAATCTTAGAGGGTTTGACCCACAATCTTTGAACGTTGAGCGTTGGAAGAAAGAAGCAACGTCGTCCTTCCCTGTTCGTCATCGCAGCATTATTGCATACTTGTGGTGATGCATATGGATGCTTACGCCGTGTGTACCTACTTACGTACGTACCACTGAAACATCCCAAGGATCGTCAAGTGAAATTAAAAGTTTCTGTGTAGACAACAATTTATAGCCGAGTGTCCTTTTTCAAAAACTGGTTCTCAACCCAAGATGAGTTTCGTTGTTGCAGTTGTGCCCACACCATATTCTGCACTTATGAGGTCGTCTAATTGCCTATATCCAACATTCGACTTTGGTTTATCGCTTCTCGTGGTTTGGTTGGGAAATTGGCGATCGGGACGAATTTATTTCATATTATTTGGAATCTGTAACACGAGATGCATTCGCTTTCTTGTGACGCATCATCCCTTTGCACGAGCCTCATATAGGCAAACTGATTGTTTACAGTGCAAATCAAACAACAACAACAACAAACCTGCAATCATGAGATGTGCTTTTGGTGCATGGCTGATAGTTTAACTTGATCTGCAAGATCTTGAGATCAAAAATGTATGGTGACGAAGCAGACGTGCCACAATATGATGGCTTCCTTTCCCTTTCAAATTGATGGCGACTGCATGCGAGCCAGAGTGCTTGGCAGTGACCATGCACTGGGCAGAGTTGAATGAATCTGAAAGAAATGCAGACGTGAAATGAAAAGGAAATGAGTCTCATTTGGTCCCTTTCAGAAGACGGACATGGTTCACGCATCGGTCTGCCCACATTCGAGAACCGCTCAAAAAACAACCCCGTCCTGATCTTGTCGCAGAGTCAGAATCATCAACGCTCGCTGCTCGACCTAGGAGGTTGGTGCTGTTCGGGTCGAGGGGACAGGTTTTTAGTCTGCTGACCTCATTTCCAAAATGGGGAAAGTAAGTGGAATACGTTCCTTCCATTATTGTCCTGAATGGTCCAACTGTTCACACTCGTGCTTATTTCTGCATGTGCCCAGAGGGGACGAGAGGACGCCTTGACATCCAGGGTCGCCTTCTTGCCTTTGATCATTCTCAGCGCTTTATCCTCCGTCACTGTGGCCGAGTTCCAAGCTGGGCCTCAAATCGTCAACACTTTTTTTGACCCAAAATTCCACGACGACGGGAGCGGGGGGGATTCGCAGGCAGTCGAGTCTCAATTCGCCTCTCCGGGTGTCATCACAGCAAGCCAAGAAGCCTACTCCTTCACGACCACTGCTCAAAACAATCCAGAGGACGCGTACTTCTCTAGTTCGAAGCCTGCTGAACCAGATTCGACCGCCCCTCCGCCCGTCCACTTCGAGACGGGCAGTTTCCAAGAGTTCCACCAAGTCAGCCCCATCAACAATGTTCGGCATTACGGAGCAGGGCGTGAAATTTCAAGCAGCAACAATGTCGCACCGGAAATAAAAGATGAGCACATTTCAGAACCCGTCGCATCTTTCAGAAACCGACCGCAGTATGACCACCACCCTCATCACGGTGGTCTTGAGGTCGTCACGACGTATCAGCATCACAAGTCACCTCCCAATTCCGTTTCGTCATTGGGCGAGAGTGGTGGAAGTTCTGCGCCGGAAGTCATTTACGCGCCAGACGGGTGGATCCCGAACACGGAAACCTTCCCTGATTCTGACACCACGTATGCTAAGCCCATTTCGTCCAGCTCGGCGGTGAAGTGGCCGGAGGAAGTAGGCTCTTATGGCGACAATGGCGGGGACATCACTCCACAATTGTACGACTACGTGGAGCCTGCTTTGCGTGTGCCCACAACCACCACACCCAGACCCGTCTCGTCCCAATTCCACTACGCCACGCCGGTCGTGCCCACGACGCCCCATCTCCACCACTCATCCAACCCCTTGCTGGGAGGATACCAGTTTCGAGTCGCACACTCCTCCATGCTCGCCTCCATTGGAAACTACGTGTCCTCCTCCGTCTCGTCCCTCTTCAAGAGTCTTCCCAGACTCCAACTGATTCCTCCTGGTGGTCACACCCTTTCTCAGCTCGTTCAGCAGCAGCAGCAGCAGCCGTCACCCCCACAATCCACTCAGGTAGTGGATTACACCTCTCTGGATGGTAGTGCTGGTAGTGGGTACGGCGCTGTGCCCCCCGAGCCCCACAATGTTGTGCACCAGTCGTACTACCACCACAACCCTGCGCCTCCTTCTGGGACGAGTGGAAACCCAGAAGCAGTGAGTTCTGGTGGAGGCCGCCTGGTCTCATTTCCCGGTCAAGGGTACGGATACGCTCCACAGGCACCCAGCTACAAATTTATTCCCACGCTCGGCTACTCCCACGGCCCGCCAGCCACGCAGTCCCCCTCCTTTGAGTACGCACCCAGTTATTATCCCACCACAACCCACGCCTCCCACCAAACCTCCGCGAGCTATGGACAAGGACTGCCTCCTGCCTCTGCTCCCTACATTTCTGGGCCCAAGGTGACCTTTAAGTCGGAGCCAAGACCACAGAGACCACCAGGCCACGTGGTTCCGACTAGGACCAAGTCTGTGCAGTTCCCGGATATCCGAGGACGAGTCCCGAGCCTCACCAAGGGCTCCCTCTCCTCCTTGTACTCCTCGGCTGAAGACCTCATTTGGGACGCCCTCAATGGCGTTGAAGGGGAGGATGTTGCGCTCTCCGCCTTGTACGACGACGGAGACCTCGGCAACGACTACTTCGGACTGGGAAAGCCACTCAAGTCATATTATTCCACGCCAGAGGAATATTACGCCATTCGTAAGCATGCATAATCTGTATCTTACATATGTAAATAGTAGCTGCATACGTGCACAGTTCTCTTTAAAATAACGAATGGTATTAAATGAAAATGCCTCGATTTAGTGAACGATGGTGGAGCTGGAGACCAAGCACACAGCCCGAGACCCGGCAGCTCGAGTCATTCATCGCTTCCCGTTTCTGTGAATTACGCCTCCGGAAGTCCAGACTACGTTTCTTATGGTATTTAAGAGTTTAAGAGTTTTCTGGCCGTGAGTTTTACATGAGCTCCTCTTGGCAGGCATTTCATCGCACCCTTCATCCCTCAAGTACCCTCTCAAGTCGTACGGCTCCATCAAGGCGCCTGGATCCACCTCGGACGACTTCCTCCGTGACGTTCAGAACTCGTACGGAACTCCAAAGGACCTAAGGAAGCCATCAACGGTGGGATACTACCGCACGGCGGGCGGCTCCTGGGCACGAATCCCGTACGTTCGGGGATCATCCGGCTACAAATACAAGTACATCACGACCCAGCAAATGCCCATCATGGAGAGGGACCCACTCCTCCTGGACCTGGTCGAGGACGAGGCCGACTTCTACGACGGACTCAACGAAGGACGACTGCGTGACCCCAACTGCGAAAACAAACGCCACTGTGACGAAGGCGACTTGAGCACCAATGAGTATCGCGACATCGCGGAAAACGTCCAGCTCACACGCCGACCGAAATCCTCCTTCACCAACGCAATGTTTAAGAAGCTGATGAGGAACGCGGTGAGACAAGAAGGGCGACGGGGTCAGGGGCAGAGGAGGCCCAGGAGGGGAAAAGGTAAAAGGAGACGCTGTGGCACTCGTCCCAAAAGATGTCGAAAATACTAACCGCTCAATTCAACCATCGTACGCGACGTGTGTACATTGATTGGGTCGGGGGGACAGAAAAGATGGCAATTTAGGTAGGCATACATAAGGCATGTGAAATGGGGTAGATGCAGGTTTGAAAGAGAAATTGATTGGTTACAATAATTGCTCTATCCACGCGCTTTATATAACACTGCATATTTAATGCAAGATCATCCATCCATACGCTGCAAGTGAGGAACTGTAAACCAGTCTTACTCTGCCCAAAGCATAACTATATTATACTCGTATTTATTCTACTTACACATAGACCAACAAACTGGTTGTGCATAACCTGAGTCGTCTCATTTTGCTATTTTTATAAAAAATGTGAACGCATTATTTGTGAACAAATTCGATAAGGTGCTCAAATCTAATCCGCTTTTTGTGCATTTTGAGGAATTTGAGACGGACATTGACTATTATGTATTTATTTATCGTGAGGAGCTTAAGTTACAAATAGGGTGTTGAGATGGACATAATTTCACCCAATATTCATGATCTTTTGAAATTTAATTCGTACATAGACATTTTGTAACGACTCCTTATTTCATACGTCCGACAATCCACCATAACAGTCTAATTGAACGTCATTTACAAAATATGTGCTACAAAATATTAAAGTCCCCATTTTCGCCACACTTCGCGTATATACGCTTATCTACATATATTGTAAGTTGTATTAAATTAATGCTACCGTAAATTGTAATAATGCTCGTTAAGATTGGTTGGGATAATTAACAAGTGGTAAAAACAATGGTCAAGTATTTACATAGGGCAGCAATTATTTAAATCCATCCATCTATTTGCCTTGCTACAAGATGCATTGGCAATGGGCGAGTACGTAAGTTTTTGGAAATTGCTACCCTGAAGTCAAAACTTGTTTGACCATAGTTGGCAATGACAGTGTCCACAATGAAGTTGATGTGCAAATAATAAATTATAAAACCCAAAATCAATTTGCATGCGAGAAATGTAACAAAGCACCAATTTCTTTGAAAACGAGTAGTCCCAGAAAATAGAAAACATGCAATTACAGATATTCCACTCTGCATCTTTGCTACGAAGGATGAAAGCAATCCAAATCTGAGGAACAACATGTTGAGAAAGTGCCAACTTTATTACGAGCGACAATAACAATAAGATAAGTTCATATCATAGCAATAAGTCCATAGTAAGATCTTGGAGGAGATAATTTAGTTCACGTCCAGCGGCCTCATCATTATCAGGTTATCATTTTGCATTTGCCAGCCCTGCAACGATCCCACTTTCGATCCCTCCTTCGTTCTTGCCCCTCAAAATTTTGAAGAAGCCACCGTCTCCCCAATCGTAATTCCAAGAGTTGGCCACCAACCAGTACGCCACCCCGTCCTCCGTCCCCCAGCCCAACACCTGCGTTTCATGGGTCACATCAATGCACAACTTTTCAAAAGGTCAAAGTCCTAAATATTATTGCGGCTACCTTCACTGCATGACCACCCAATCGCAACCCGTGAACATGATGGTAGACGCCTAGAGAGGTAACATTGAAAACTTTCCAGATACACGTGTAAATTGTGAGGCTTACCTGATTTGTAGAGGAGGAAGTCGTCGTAAACCATCATGGCTGCTTCCACCGGCCCATTCTTCATAATTTCCGTCTGGATTTGTTCCATGTTGCTGGAAATGCTGTAGGAGCTGGAGCCAAAGTGGAGGTCTTCCTTGTAGGGAGTGCTGTACGACGCCTCGCACTGCTTCACGCACTTTGGGGTCTTCCCGTTCGTGCAGTTGGGCCTGGAGCCAGGAACGTGGTGTTCACAGGGCGCAATCTCATAAGGCTGGCATCCCTACCAAGGCATGCAGAAACAGTTCAGCTGAGTATCTACATCTATCTACGAATATACTGATATATAGTTAGGAACTTACGGAGCCCGAGTTGTAGGGGCCTCCGCTGACGATGCCGTGAGAGACCCAGTACCTCCACGCACTACTGGGAAACCCCCCATTGCACCCGAAACCACACAGAGACAAAATTCCACAGCAGGAAACCAGATTCTCGGCAGAAAATCGAAACTTGCTCGTTTTTCCCTTCGTGGCTATGCACAGCCGATCCGTCATGGCCTCCGTGGCTGCAAAGGCCTATGCTTACCACAGAAATAACAACTCCACTTGATTACATTATTTATTATCCAACTAGTTTGGCTTACCCAGCATGAGCCACAGCCGCCTTGGTCTCGAATCTCGTTCAGCGATGGGCAGAAGGGCCACTTTTCCCTCCCGTCAAACTGGTCCGGAATTAGGAGGCCGGAAGTGTTGTGCACTTGAAGGGGCAGGCGCAATTTCTTGGGTTCCTTCAATGCCCCCATCATACCCTTCAAGTAATTCATGTCTGTCTCTGGATGAAAGTTTCGCCCTGCCTGCACACCAAAATACAAAGCATGCATGATCAGCTAAACGTACTAAATCAAACGATGCATGGGCCAGTATGGAGATCTTATTGGAGGACATATATTTACCTGCCAATGTGGCTTCAAATTGTCATTGATATGCCGAATCGTGGCGTCGGAGAGAGGGTGCAAGTTTTCCGTCCTCTCTGAAATAACCTCTTGAGTAGGCGGCGGACTTGTAGCATCCGTCTTCCAGGGCCATCGCCACCCCTGACAAATGGCCACACAAAGTGACAACGTTAATAAACCTTTCAACGCCCACATCGCAAAATGGATGCGACTTTAGAGAACGAGTCAATAAACCATGCACAACAATGAGTGCGCAATAAAAAATATCTGAGATTGGCGACCAATTGGACCAAATATTCGTACTCGACTGAGCCAGCAATTTCCAATCTCAACCAAACTGACCTCCACTCGACTTCACTCCCAGGAAGCAAACTACGACTAAACTTTGAAGAGTTTAATCTTAGTTGCAGTCAAAAATCCAAACTAAAAAAACGACGCAGCTGAATGAATCTGACTTGTGATTAGAAGACATGACTAATATGCTGCTAGGACTGGAGATTCGTATACTTTATTGGGATACACGCCAATGTATGTTTATATGGATAAAAGTACATACAGTGACTGTACATATGCATGTACATTACATACAGTCACTCTTTTAAGCCCGAAGCTATACTTACTAAAAAGGCTTTTAAAAGATACACATGAGTTCAACTTCCTCGGAAGGCCTTAGCTACGAGGAGAATATAGCGAATTTCACATGAATTCAGGTTGAAATACTAATAAATAAATTATCATCATGCCTCCTGATTTGCCACCATCGGGTTTCAATCGCATTCGCTATTTGTCAGAATATATATTCATTCCAGAAAATAATAAGAGTCGTTGGACCAAATTATTTGCGTGACTCGTCAATCGTCATTGCGTGTCAGCTCATAGCACATACCTACATAGTTATCTGTCTGGAGGTTTTCTTTACGATAGCCCTACGCCAAGTGTAGGCACTCGGGCGTGAGACTTATTTATTTCTTCTGCTCAGACCAGAAATAAATATATAGATTATGTATATTCCCCACTAATGCTTACAATTAGATTATCGTAACTAAACTTAATTGTCAAGATTTATGGAAAATTCTGGATGGAAAGAATGTACCGAAACCGAAGGTTGGCGAATACCAGTGGGATTCGCAATTTGCGAAGCACATCAAATAAATGAAGGCATGCAATTTGTAAATGTTGATGTCAACCGTGTCCCATGTCTATGCACCTTTGTGAAAGTAAAACTCATAGAAAAGCATAGAAAATGAGTGCATAGAGAATGGAGTAAGCACCGTGTTTGATCATTTGATTGCCTTGGGTTTGCCAGTTCTCACAGAATGCCAAGAAATCACAAAAATAAGATGACTTAAATATATATCTACAATAAGTGCAATATTTCAATTACAACAGGACAAAAACCAATTAAAGTGTCTTGTCGTGTTGCTTAAACATTTTGAGAAATTCGGATCCAATCTCGCTCGAATGGTACGTTCCTTTGCTCACTTTAATTTACTTTAAATGAAAAATAATAGCCAGAGTAAAATCATACGATCTTCAATGGGCATGGGCAATAATATCGAATTATTTTGCTGACGATGATGCAAATAATCGGCGTGGATGTGAATGTGACGAAGTTGTTCTTAAATATGTATCTATCTGCATAATTATTCGCAGAATTTGTCTTTTGACTTGTGGTTGAACAAGGGACAATAGTCAAGAGCCGGATGGAAATGAGGACAAAGTCACCAGCTCACTGTTTCATGTGATGCGTGACAAAATCGAAACCCCTCCAAAAACATGTCACACTGAAGGAGCCATAAGTTGGGTGGGAGCGCTGTGATGATGACGATGGTTCGCATTCCGAGCTTCAAGTGCCTCCTCCTTCTTCTCGTTGTCGTCGTCATTGGCCTCACGGTGGGGCTAATTTCCAAATGCACAAGCTCCCCGTCCCCCCGAAACCTCCTCCAGGTTGAGCATCTACGTAGAGGCAGCAGCAACAACAACAACGACGATAATAAGGTACACATTCCCGTCATTACGTACGCTATCTTTACGCTACGTGGTTGAAAACTTGAGTTGATCCCAATCGTCCTTGTTCTTGTCGTAGGAGGGTTTTAATTACTATCAGTCCATTAACGATGGCGAAATAGAAGACGTCGGGCAGAAAAGCCATCAAGTGTCGTCAATTTTGAAAAGGCCAGCCGCAGCCATTAATAGAAAAAAGACCAAGGCCAGTATTTCAAAGCCAAATCCAGACCCTCCTAGTTTGGGCGGGCTGGACTACCCTTTCGATGAAGAAGAAGGTGGCGACGGTGGAGCAAATACCAAGACGAAGAGTGATGGTGCCCCGAGAAAGAAGGCGATTGGTGGGCAGAGTGACGTGACGGATATTACTTGCAACATTAACAATGGGAAGTACAAGATTGAGTGCAAGAAGGACGCCTCGGAGGTGTACATCCCATTCAACTTCATTCACAAGTATTTTGAAATTTATGGGAAGTTGGAGGAGCCGAAGGAAGGAGAGGAGCAAACGTTTACCTGGCTGCACAGCTTCGCAAAAATATATCGACCCAACCTGCCATACAACCCCAAAGGAATTTTTACCTATTTCGAAAACTACAATGTCGAAGTCCGAGATCGGGTCAAGTGCATCAGTGGAGCTGAAGGTATACAAACAACTATTAACGCAATTTTATTCATGTCATGTTAAGCTGTATTATCGCACATGTAACCTTAAAGGCATACGTTTAAGTTAACTAGCGATATTCCTAATTCTATAGGTGTTCCAATATCAACGCAGTGGGACCCAAACGTATGTAGCCATACATAATGTTGTAATGTTTGAATTACTGACCACCATTTTGTCTTCTGGACAACAGGGCTATTTTTACCCCATCCAAATCGCCCAATTTGGCTTATCTCATTTCTCAAAGTTCTTAACGGAGGGGGAGCCGAAGCGAGCAATTTTAGAGGACGGGGATGATACGAGGGGCGGCTGGTTTCCCATCGACCTTGTGGGTACACTTCCCAATGATAACAACGACCCATCGACCAACCACTTTGTCCAAATTCAATCACCACCTTCCAGTATAATTAATTATATATTTACTTTGCAATAAAGTTTTGCGGATAAGGAAGAAATGATAATTTGCTAATTGGAATATGCAGGTGATCTTAATGTGAAGCTGGATATTGGGGTGACCAAGCCACGAATGCTAATGCTGAGTTGGCAGATGCGTGTCATGGGGGCTGCAGAACAGAGAAGACCCAATGTCACTTTCACAGCCACCGTTCGCTATGAATCTCAACTTTATTACCTGCACTATGTTTTGGAGGATTTTCTTATCCAAGCAAAAGTAAGTTTCCCAACCATTTTATGACCCCCCGACGCCCGTCCATGTAAGGAGTCAAGTCATGCAATACATTTGTCACAGGACAAGCACATTTACCACGGCCTGGGGTCAAGGAGTCTTTCTGCATGGCATCACATTATACGCGATCTTGGTGTGGACCTCCAGAAAGGCATCAACACAATGTCACAGAAGGTCAAAAAGTCTAAAATTTTGAAAATAGTGAGATCGAAAGTGCAACTGGAGTCAATTTCGATAACGTGCACCTCCCCGGGCATCCCCATCTTGTTGGATAACATGACCTTGTCCACAAATGAACATCTCGCTCAGTTCTACCAAGCCGCAGACTGGTTTGTTACTCATCAAGACCGTCGAGGCGGCTGGCCAATCCCAGTTCGGCGGAAATTTGGTTCGGATTTTTACCCCGTCTTGAAATCTGGCTGGTATTCCGCCATGGGACAAGGTCATGCCCTCTCTCTACTCGCCCGCGCTTATTCCGTCACCACAAACAATTCTCATTATGGCGAGGCTTGTGCCAAAGCTGTCGCCACGATATTTGACCATTCCGGAGAGGAAAATGGCGTGCGTGCCGTGTTTATGGACAAATACGTCTGGTTCGAAGAGTACCCGACTACTCCGAGCTCATTTGTTCTCAACGGGTTCATGTATTCCTTGCTGGGTCTCTACGACGTCAAATCACTGAGCGTTATGGGTGCTCTGGATAAAGCAGAATCCCTCTATGATGCAGGCTTGATCTCATTAAAGGTAAATTTCTTCCCATCCATTCCGGCGACAATTGGATTATCTAACTCCAAGTGTACACTGTTTGTGGGGCCTGCGTGAGTCCTTTCACACAATTCTTAGAATTGTGTTTGTATTTAGAACTCATTTAGAACGCTCGTTTCAGCAGCCCATTTTTTGAAGGTCCACAATTAAAGCTCAGAAACTGTTGCGTAAAATACCATGAACATTATTGAAAATGTGGTATCACATTTTGTTCCAAATTTTGAGATGCAATGTAATATCTCGGCTCCATCAAGAACTGCAATGCACTTTCCTTCAGGGAGCCGAAATATTGCGTCTAAAGTGTGTATTTACTTTTATGTTCATTTGTTCATTTTTTTAAGGCAATGCTGCCATTGTATGATACCGGAAGTGGGACTTTCTATGACCTACGTCACTATACTGTATCCGGAATCTCGCCAAATCTGGTTAGTAAATATGCATTTTTGATATTTTGATAGAAAATACACATTATAATTTTATAATTATTTATATCTCTTATTCCAAACCAGGCCAGACTGGACTACCATGTGACGCACATCAACCAACTCCTAACGTTCGCCACATTTGAAAAGGATCCCATTTTTAAGACGGTCGCCGAAAGATGGATCGGCTACACGGAGGGAACGAGGGCGGCGCACAACTGACTGGAAAATGAAACCGTATTGTAATTAATTAAATTACAGATAAACCAAAAAAGTCACATCGTACATAATCGTAAACTACACAAGACTTGACTACTCAATCAATAATTTGTAATACTAATTTTAATACGATTGCACTGCATGACAGCATTTTAATGATTCTAGTCCGTAGACTTGACCTTATAAAACACACCTCCAGATACGTTACTATAATATTATAATAACAGTTATTTAACTCCGATGTTAAGAATAAGAAAATAATACTCGTATAAATATACTTAGAATATGAATTATGTATGAGGATATAAGTTGTGGATTTTGTTGGAACAATAATAAAAATACAATCTTTGAATAGATGAGATGAGCATGCATATTTACTCAGCCCCAACTTCCGGTAGAATCATCCCCAACAAATACGCCCTGTCCGCCACGATTTCACTCGACCACATGGATTTCAGAGTTGGGTTGTTTCCCAGGTACATAATTTTTGACCCTTTAATGACAATGCACGGTTTGTTGGACAATAGTTGCCCCATGACGCCAACATAGGACCCTGCAATGTCAACACCACCATTTAGTTAAAGACTGACACCGATAACTATAATGGTGAATTGGCGAATAATTGAGTGTTGATACCATTGACGATGCCAGAATGGTTGCCACCGGGCAGTGTGTTAAAATCATGGACGACGGCTTCTCCTGTGCCGTCGGAGATGCGGAGGGAGGAAGAGTTTTGCACTCCCATGACGACGCCTTGGACCCAGACCAGGGAGAGGTCGACGTGCAGTTGTTGCGGGGGGTGGATGGTCCGAGGCGTCTGCGGAGAGCTGAGGACGGTGGCGAGTGACGACTCCAACAGTGCGGGCCCAATTGCGAGGTCATCTGAGTGGAGGGTCAACCCCCAGCTTCCTTCCTCCTCGCCTGCCTGGGCAACTCGCAGATCTCTTATCTCCACTTTGTAAGCCGGCGCATCCAAGGTTCCCATTTTGGCTGCTATAACCAATAGAGAACGATAAGAACGATATATTACTTAAGCCCACTGCCCAATACAGCAAACATATGTTGTCATATGCAAATTCAGGGAAAACTACAACTTACGGTTGGATACTCAATTTAGTAACGAAGCCAATTATTTCTTTTGGTAGCAAACAATCCAGCGCAACGTCGGTTCGGTTAACCAGTGACATTTAATGATTTAACCTAATTTTATGTCTGCCTGGTTTTGTCAACAAATGGTTCCCGCAAAACTGTGAACCGTGGATTCAGTGAACATGAAACATGAATGACATGAATGTTTAAACGGAATTAATTAAAATCAATGCATCACCATTCTTAACAACTAATGTCAACTAAGCACATAAATTGACTGATTTTATTGGACATTTTCATTCCATTTATACTATTTCCTGCATAGACCTAAGTTAAGACTACAATAACAATAAAAAGAGTAAGCGTAACATCAAATGTATCATAAAAAACAGACATTCTCGTGTCATACTGATTTCCTAAAACTCTCCGTCATAATGATCATCGGAACAAAACCATGAAATCCACTCAACAACTTCCCTGCTCGACCCGTCCGCGTAATTACGATGGTCTCCCTTCGTCAAGGAAATCAACCTTTTAAGTAATTGGGACACTTTTTTGCTTTCCTGAGGGGACAAGCCTTCCCTGAGCAATCGAAAACAGTCTTGCTCAACAGTCTCAAAATCTAACAAGCTCTCCTTAATTAACAGCAATATTATCTCCTCCAATTTTGTCCAAGACAAGGTCCTCACATTTTCGGAACATTCACTTAAGATTAGAATATTTCTGGGGCTTAGCAATTGACAGTCTAAACTCCAACACGGTTTCCATAAGCAAATCAATTTCATTTGTCGTTCGGCGTTCAAAATTTGGGGCCAAAATGCAATTAAGGTAACTCCAAAGTCGACGAGGGTGCTTATCATTCCCTGAATGTTTCCCATCGGGGTACAATTCAGAATATCGTCAATGGCTGAATCCAGAACTGGGAACTTGTCGTGGAGTCGTTTCATGCAGCGGTGAAGAGTAATCATCACTCTAAAACTGGGAGCAGCAGTTGTGGTATTATTGTTATCCTCTCCTCCAGTAGGTGTGAGCACAGCATCGGTGGACGGTGGTGGATGATGAGGAGAGGCTAACGGAATTTCGGGAAACATTTCTGAAAAATAAAATTTAGGTGGTAATTAATAAAACTAATTAAACCCCGTATTATCTAAAATTATATTTAAATCCAACTAAAGAATATGCAAGTAAGGCTAGATAATAAATGCAATAATAATAAGGACCTGGTTTTATATGGATTTCAATCCACTGAGAGACTTTGTCCGTTGTTTGTCTCTCTGCAATTTGTTGGCAAATTTTTAAGGCATCCATGGACAAAGTTTCGCCAATCAGTAGGTTTACGGAGACTTGACATTTCGAATTTATGAACCCAGACACCCCTTGCAACATGGTCGTCCGACAAAGTTCAGCTGCATTTTCTTCAAATATTCTCTCTTGTGCTAGCTCATTTCTTCGATCAGACAATGTTTTCCGAAGGATTTTCACATAATTGGAAGCAATCCTATCCGAAATAAAGTCAACTGTCCTTTTTACAGAGGCTGAGTTCAGGTCAAAAAAGCTGCACTCTAGTTGTCGTTGTAATTCAGCATCAATGGAAATCGTTTTTGGGGACCTAGGACTTGGTCTTGCAGATATTGGACGAATGTGCCGATGTTGCCCGTTATTACCTGAAATTTTTAAGTTTCAATGTAATTTTATTAAATTTTCCAAGAACACTCAGAACATATTAGATTATACGCAATAAGTTAAATCGGCGGATGGTGTACCGAATGGTGATGGGGTTATGGTAGCAGGAACTTGCGGATGCTGTAATCCAGAGTGCAGGGTGAACTTCATGTGGTTGAACTTTACAGTAAAGTAAAATTTAGAAAGGTGTTCTCCGAGGAATGTTTTGGCATCTATTGGAATTATACATCCAGCCCCTTCGTTGAGGTGGGTCATGGAAAGTTTGTCAGGCTGATGAGAGTTCAATATCTGGTCTGTTAAATCGTCCTCATTGTCATGAAGAAAGGCGATGGGAAAAACGTCCAAAGAGAATAAATTTCCACACCAAAATCTAAGAAAGTTCTTGTTCTCAAGGCATAATTGAGACAAATTTTCATTTACTGAGAACAAATTTCGATATGCGGAACAAATGAGCAGAATGACTTTTTTGTAGGCGGGAAGCTGAAGAGAAATATAATCTGCGGATGATAAAAATTCTATAATCCATGGAAGTGTAAAAGTCAGTCTGGATTTTTTGACCGCATTGCACAAAATGGAATAGAGGTCCAAGGAAGGTTTTTGATGTCTCCGAAGTTCGACGTGCTTACTGGAGAGAGTTTCTCGGTCGAGCAAAGAGCTGTTGTTGGGTTGGCTAACCGCAACAGTGGAGTTACTATTATTATGAGCTTCTCGATATGGTAAAAATGCAATCCATCCTAACAGTTTTGCTAAGAGGACAGATTTTCTTAGCAAATATTCCTCCTCGTGCTCAGAAATAGCTTCAGCTTCAGCAGAAGAATCCAACGAATCTTCAATCTGAATAAAACAAGACAAATTATTAAATTCATTAGCCGACCTTTCAGTAACAATGAAAATTATTGTGAGTGCCTGTAAATACTTTGAAAAATGACTCCACCTATTCAACAATTTTAAATTGGGCTCAAATGAACTTGCCTGTTGAATTTCAAAGGAGATCCGATCCACTAAATGTTGATTGAAAGGAGGGGAAGCAGCAGTGGTGATGAAATATTGTTGAAAGGCAAAGCAATCCTTTGACCCTGATTCCAGCTCGGATATGGACGACATCCGATTGTTGAGCTTGGCCATGCGGTCCGGATTTGCTTGCTCCAAACCCTTCATGACGTCATCTTGAACCCTTACAGACCTTTCATGACGAGACTCCTCCATCGAGTCCATTGTGTACTGGGCAGAAAACAAGGCAGCAAAATGGGACAGGTTTACCCACGTCGAGTTTATGCTGAAGAGTGCTTTGATATTTTGATGTAGGGGATCCCCAATCTCCCGATTAGTTGAGGACCCCATTATTTTGGATGGCCTTGATCTTGAAAAACTATTAGTTTTATCAAATGAAGACTGATCTCTTCCACCTGGAATGGTCGTCGTCCCCTTTCGTTCCTCCCACAAAGTTTTGATTAAATAAAATAGGTCCCTCTGCTTACAAAAGGAATGAAAGTTTCCTTGTGATGGAAAGTTTGACCTGCCATCAGTTTCACTCCTAAATGTCACACACTGATGAAACTCAGAGGGTTTTCTTGACAGCTCCACCTGCATTTCTTTTCGTCCCTTGTCACGTTGGATTTCACACCAGGCTTGAAAATTCTTTCGAAATGATTTGGGTATTCGGTGAGGATATTTATCCACGAGGAGCTGCACAACTTCCGGGTCGATTGAAACTAGTGAACTGCTGAGCTGAAGAGTCAACACTTTGATGACAAAGAAAATCTGTTGCGCCACAGTGGTTAGATCACCACCAATTTTCGAAGCAATGTTCGTATACTCCAGTTCCGTGCTGGTGAGTGGACGAGTGGATACTATCAGCTGCAAAAGGAGTGAAATTTCCTCAATAATATTTTGACTCACATTTTTGTCCAACAGGGAAGAATATTCTGAGGCAACTTTGTCAATGTTTGATGCAATTTCAGGCGTTATCTCAGCAAATAATTCAGCAGATCGAGGGCATTGTCGTTTTTTGGTGATGGTTTCAGTCGATTCTCGTTTTGGAGTCAATAAATTCACTCGAGTTTTTAGCTGGAGTTTTTGCTCAGAAGTTTCTTGTTGTTGTTGATCGGCATTACCACAAAGTGTTCTCCCTTGCAGCTTAATTTCCAAGTTTCTCAATTTATTCTCACTGGCTGAACTAAATCCAGAAGAGGTAGGTTTATTATTACTGGGGAACCTTTCTTTCTGCTGTGGAGTCATCGTTGTCGCGAACGCAGAATGCAGTTCATGCATCGAGTCGTCAATGGATGGAAAGAGTGTTCTGTTTTGAATATCTGGGGGGCGCCTGGGTGCTGAGACAGGTTTAATTCGTCGACCAGGACTACCGTTAAGATTACTGGAGGGTGGCATAGCCGGTGGGCGAAGAGTTAGAGAAATGTGAGCTGCAGAATAATTATTCTGAGATAATGATGAAGTGGAGCAGGAGGAGGAGGAGGAAGTAGTCGTCACAATTTTGTTGTTTGGAAACTCTCTTTTGAATACACCAACGGGGTCAGCACTTGGAGTAAAGGAGGATGAGGATGCAAACTCTGGCGAGACTTTGCTGCATAATTAATTTTAGAATCGTTAAGTATAAAAAATGTTAAAGAAATAAAACACAGTCTGCGATACCTTAAAGATGCAAGTTTGTGAACAATGTCCAACATTTCTAGGTTGGGGTCCGTAGTTGAGGTCATCATCATCATGTGTGACTTGTTGTGAATTGTATGCTGTCAAACTCCTATCTGGAATTAAAATGAAACGCCATTTTCAACTCTCAATATTAATTATTGTACATAATATAGTATATTATTCGTCTTATATTGTATATAAATTATGGTATGACGAAACGGTGAAAACGTCCACAAATTTTAATCATTTTGAGAGAAGATAATAAAATACTGTAGCATGTACATTGCAACTATTGCAAGTATTTGTAAATAAATAATTTGTTATTCACAATTATGCCACTTGTGTACATTAGGAATTATATTTATTACCTTAATACTAGCAAAACTTTTGATTTTACCAGCTACTATTTACTATTTTATGAAGTAGCTGCCGAATGAATCAGCTGCTGAGATTTTCACATGTTGTACCGCCCGCCATCTACCATCTACCCTATGCTATCGTACATCATCTACTTTTTTATCATCTATCTTTTTTTTATCATCTACCTTTTTTTATCATCTACCTTTTTTTTATCATCTACCTTTTTTTTATCATCTACCTTTCTAAAAATCTCAAATTCCCCAAAAATGTTAAAGTGCCCCAAAACTCCGGCATTTATAAATTTACCCCCGAAATTTTTATGGGGCAATGTGAGATACATTGGGGCAACGTGAGATTTTATTTCATATTGGGGTATCGTTCGTTTTTTAGCGAGCGAAGCGAGCAGGTTAGGTTAGATCTGCTAGGTAGGGAAAAGTGTGAAATGTTTAGTTAGCCAACCTAACTAGCTAGGATAGATACAACCTAGGTAGCTAGCTATCCTAGCGAGCTAGCTAGGCTAGGTAGCTCTGCTAGCTAGGCTAGGTAGATGTGCTAGCTAGCTAGGCTAGGTAGATATGCTAGCTAGCTAGGCTAGGTAGATGTGCTAGCTAGCTAGGCTAGGTAGATGTGCTAGCTAGCTAGGCTAGGTAGATGTGCTAGCTAGCTAGGCTAGGTAGATGTGCTAGCTAGCTAGGCTAGGTAGCTGTGCTAGCTAGGCTAGGTAACTCTGCTAGCTAGGCTAGGTAGCTCGGCTAGCTAGCTAGGTTAGCTAGCTAAGCATTTCACACTTTCCCCTACCTAGCAGATCTAACCTAACCTGCTCGCTTCGCTCGCTAAAAAACGAACGATACCCCAATAGGAAATAAAATCTCACGTTGCCCCAATGTATCTCACATTGCCCCATAAAAATTTCGGGGGTGGATTTATAATTTATAAAACCCGGAGTTTTGGGGCACTTTAACATTTTTGGGGAATTTGAGATTTTTAGAAAGGTAGATGATAAAAAAAGTAGATGTTGAAAAAGTAGATTATATACAGTAGCATAGGGTAGATGGTAGATGGTGGGCGGTACAACATGATTTTCACCCGCCTCCAGATTTTCACACAAAAACCACACACCGCTGCTCATGCTGCTCCAACGAACATGTATTTCATCCCAGTGATTGATTCATTCTCTCTGATGCTGCTCTAAATCTCATTGCTTTTTCCCCGACTACAGACTTGCAAACAAAAAACAAAAAACATAAACACCTCTTAAAAATATGTGACAATTCAGGACAAGAAATAAGTACTTTTCTGTTCTCCTGTCACGATGACTTCGGAAGCCTGCGAAGCCGCGCTGGATGCAGCACTGCAAAATTGTGGAAATGTCGACGCTTTTCTGGACAACGTTTTTGGCTTCTTGGCAAGAAGGCGAGTAACGCATATTTCTGTAAATATTTAAAAAGACTCGTATATTTTTACTGTGTAATACTCGCCAGGGCAGAACTGACTTTTATGTGGAATGTCCACCCGAAGGAGGTCGATTCGGATTTCCTCCTGGTCATGCAGAATCCCTTGTTCGCTCAAATTTTGTTAAATGGAAAAAGTATTTTAGTGAACAATCAAGTCCGCTGTTAAACTTCAAAGCACCAAGCCCGACAACCAGTTCTGTACAAGCTTCTTGTCAAGTAAATGAAGTAATCAAATCGACAAATGTCGTGGATCCGTCTGCTACTTCCCCTTCTGAGATTATCGTTCCAAAATGCCTTGTAGTCCCTGACGAAGGTGGAAATTCAGGAAAGGACGATGCACATAATGGACGGGTGACAGAAAAGTATTCTTGGTCTCAAACCATAGCGGAGGTCGACGTAACTATTCCGATAGGTCAACATGTCAGAAAGGGAAAGCAAATGCAAGTCATGATTGAAAGTGGTCGAATCTTTATAGCCGAGACTGGAAGCATCGATTCTCCAATTGTGGAAGGAAACCTGTCTTTTCCTGTCAAGAAGGATGATTGTTATTGGAATCTACTTCCGGGAGAGTGTGTGCGAATTTGGCTTCAGAAATCACAAGAAAGGTGTGTTGCGTATTGCTGAGGCATTTGTTGACAATTTTAATATTTAACAAATTTGTTATTTCATTCTTTAATTTTTGTAGATGGTGGCAAGCACTCTTGGAAGGTGAGGAACTTTTGGAAATGAGCCAAATTGAAGCAGTCCGTCCCATGGAAGAACTGGACCAAGAGGAACAAATGAAAATTCAGGAACTTTGCTGGAACGAAGAAAGGAAGAGACAGGGCCTCCCCACGTCGGAAGACATGGTAGTTCTCCTAATTATTTACTGAATTAATTGCAAATTATTATTTTTAACTGTAATAAATTTACTCTGTAGAAAATGCAAGAGATTCTTGAGAAAGCATGGAATGCTGATGGCTCCCCGTTCAAAGGGACGCCCATCGACCCTTCCATAATCCAGTTTTCACCTCAAAACCAGTCAACGTTCTTCTCACCCCAACCCGACAAATCATAATCTGATTATAAATACTTCCTTCATTCATTCGTAATTTTTATAAATTCCTGAATCTACAATCTCCATATTTTTGCTACACCTATGTATGTACAAGTTTGTATTTTTAGCTAAGTGGAATAATAATTGCAACAATAATAAGCATCATGAACATCGAAACGACCTTTTCCAGAAGATCGCCTGCAAAAGTGATTGAATGTATTTACCATGCAACATGTTAAAATCGTGGATCCATCCATCGCACTTTCTCCGCTGCTGCTAGGCTAGTCCCATATCGCCAGCCCATTCGTCGGGCATGTTCGATTTTTCGCAGGCTATGCTGTTAGCTGTTCCCATGTTTTTGCACGTTGTGTGTCGAAATGTATGTACTTACTCGAGCGAGCGAGGAGACCCACTTTACTTTCACCCACTTTCTCTACAACACTACTTTCACTCAGCAACATCTCACTCCCAGCCCTGCTCCCACTTACCCACTTCCCGTTTCTCTGGCTTGAGACGCAAAGCTACCATCATTGCGTATTTCAAATTCGTACTATGAAGCTCACAAGAGAACTCTTATCAGGCATTTTCTAGCATGTTTTCTCAGTTGTTGTTAACGTGTTCAGTTTTCGTTTCGCTTAGTTTTTGTGGTGACCCTGAAGGCACACCTTCTGGCGGCAGTGATCTTTTTGTCAGCCAGTACTACAAAGAACGTGAGTAGATCCTCTTATTCTTCTTCCCTCTCCCTGTTTTCAAGGTCACTTCCACGGGATATGTAGGCTCCTTTACCTCCGGTGACGACACCTTGTCAAAGGTCAACAATGTCAAATTCTCGTGTTTGGTAGCAAAGGAGGAATAATGACGTTCACAAAATATATGTACACACACGTGTCATTTCATCTGACCGAACTCCCTTTCGCTACTTGACCTCATTTTGTCCACTGTAGCATTCAATGGCGTACACACATGCATGTTTATATCAAATGCACATAAGTACGTGGGTGAATTGGTTTAAATTTGCAGACCAAATCCGGACTGAGCAGCTTTGTCCGGACCTGCAGGAATCCCCGGCTGGAAGGGACATCGACACTGCCAACTATCCCTACAAATCAGTTTTCAAATTGGCTGATCAAGTGTGGAGGACGGCGGACCCTTGCGTGTTCGACACGCCCTCCCGAGGCCCAAGAAATCAGTTCACTACGCTAGTAATCAAAGCAATCCAGGGTGAGAATCAGCCATGGAACTACTCAGGAGCGCAACCCTGTCCAGAACATATCAAGGTATGAAATACATACTTCTTTGCGGTCACCAAATCCATCCAAATTGCGTTCGATTCCGTAGACGTATATCGCCTATCTAATTATGAAATCGTTGAAATAATATCTCATTCAATGATCCAGTTGAGGATACCAAGTCGTAGAATCTTTTCACGAACGGGGATGCCCCTCTGCACCGTTCCGAAGCCACCAAACCCAGCGAAACTGTTCCAAGGCCCGTACTACAATCCGCATGTGTGGCAGCTAACCAGGCAAAAAATGGGCTTGTCTTTCGCCCTGTATGAAAATGAGACGATTGGACAGATGAAGGACGATGAAGACGGGGGAAATGAAGCCAACAACGAGATTGGGGCACAACCAAACAACGGCTTTGTGGTCACCAATGCTGCAAAACTTCCAAAATTTGTGCATATCGTGTTCGCCCTTTTGATTGGTAAGTATCCTAAATCAAGTAGGAAAAAATGGGAGGAGGAACTCACTTTCGTAGAGTTGGTGTCCAAATTGTAGGCCGGGTGTGGTTGGGGGAGGTTAAATTGCCAACGTTTCGAACTCTTGTTCTTTTTCAAGGCGGCGGAGGGGAAGAATTTTGAGAAGTTGTGACTTCACGTGCCGAATTGTGAGTGAGGAAGGAAGGGTAAAAAAGGGTAAAGGAAGACCGTTACGCACGCGTTAACGGTCTTTGAATTTAATCCGTACTTCATTCCAACATTTTTCTAGTGAAAAGGACATTATTTCATCCAAAATACTCTCCAGTAGAAACGTTTTAAGAAATAATTCGGATCCTAATACTTTCAGCCATATCCTAGATTTAGCCCGGCATTACAACAGTCAATTTTACTCTTCCTTGCGTAACATTAAGAATCATAAATTCCGTAAAAGTCAATCGTCACAATCCGGCCATAATTCTGCCTCCACACCACACTCTTCCGCCACAATTCCCTGTCACCCCCCCATTAACCAAGTTGTTTTAATCCCTCCCGACATTGTTCTGTCTCCAGACGAAACGTCACTTTTATGCCGTGGTCTAACCTTTTCTCCGACCCCTGATAAATCTAACCTTTTCGAATTGCACCAAGACCATGAACATTTTTACCGACGACTACGTTTATTGGGCCATTTTGGTCCTCATTCTGGTTCCTCATCCCCTCCCTCCATTACACAGTTTTCCGAATCCATAATAGACAAGGTTATTCCTAAAAAAAGCTCGTAGACACCCCCTCCAAACCAATTCCCTGATCTGGAATACTTCATAAATTCCTCCCGCAAAGCCCTCCCATCCAGCGGATATAGTTTCCAATCGCATAAATCTAATCTGTCTTCTCAAGAACTGTCTACCATTAAATCTTTGTCCAACCGTACTGACATTGTCATCCGCAAGGCTGACAAAGGTGGGTCAGTAGTAGTTTGGTCCCGTGACCTATATATATCTGAGGCTAATTCCCAACTTAATAATACGAATTTTTATTGCAAATTAGATTCTGATCCGACTTCATCTTATCAGAAACAAGTTTCTAAAACGATTGGGAATTTTATCTCCAGTGGGGATTTACCTGTTTTTGCCCAGCGTTTGATTGAAAAGAACCCACGTTGCTCAGTTTTCTATCTTAACCCTAAAATTCACAAGTATGGCAACCCTGGTCGACCTATAGTGTCAACTGTTTGTTGCCCCACCTCCCTCATTTCCGCCTTTGTCGATTCGGTCTTACAACCCCTGGTCGCAAATACTCCCACGTATTTGAAAGACACGACCCATATGTTACAACTTTTAGAGAATTTTATATTCCCCGTCGACCCTGCTTCTTGTCCTACTTTCTTAGTTACCTGTGATGTTGCCCAGCTATATACGGTCATTCCTCACGCAGGTGGTCTGACCGCAGCGAAAGTCCTTTTTGAATCTAGATCCGTTCTTGATCCCCCGACTCATGTTCTAATCCGGCTTTTAGAATTGGTTTTGACATTAAACGCGTTCGAATTTAATTCTGAATTTTTTTCCCAAATCTCTGGTGTCGCAATGGGCACGAAAGTAGGCCCCAGCTACGCTTGTTGTTTTTTAGCACACCAGGAATTTTTATTCTTTGCACGTTACTCTGGTCCCATGCCCGTTCTCTATAAGCGGTTTATCGACGACATTTTTATGATTTTTCAATCCCCGGATACCGATGTCACCATCTTTTTAGACGCGATGTCCACAATGCACCCATCGTTGAAATTCGAAACCACAATTTCTAGCTCTTCAATTTGCTTCCTCGATTTGAAGATCTCTATTCGTGATCATAAAATCCTCACCTCAATTTATTACAAACCTACGGACTCACATTCCTATCTTCCATACGATTCGTGTCACCCAAAACACGTTTTGGATAGCATCCCTTACTCTCAATTCCTACGACTCAGACGCATCTGTAGTGATGACGATGATTTCCTAACCCAAAGCTTTACCATGTCACAATTTTTCTCCCACCGTGGTTACCCAAGTCACCTTATCAGGAGAACGCTTGAGGCAGTCAAGGCTGTTTCTCGTAGCTCGCTCCTTGTCCCTCATGATAAGTCCACGAAGGACATTGTCCCATTAGTCGTCGGCTACTCCCCTAACGTGACAACAGTGGTACAAAAAACCAAATCCCTCTTCAATTCAATTCTCTCACATAATCCCAACTTTTCATCTAAACCAATCGTCGCATACAGACGAGCCCCAAATTTGCAACAGCTTTTAGTCCGTTCCAAATTGAAACCGATTGGTGACTCTATTCTACAAGATTCAACAACTTTCGGTACCTTTCCTTGTAATAGACCACGCTGCAAAACTTGTAAATCAGTTTTGCAACAACCTCATCTCAAAATCAACAATTTCACCTTCAAAATCAAATCTTCTTTTTCCTGTATTAGTTCGTCCCTAATTTATGCAATCTCATGTAAAAGATGCCCGGACGTGGTATACATAGGGCAAACCTCTCGTAAATTAGCTGATCGTTTCCGTGAACATTTAAAATCTATTAGCAATAATCTTGGTACTACGGTCTGCAACCACTTCATCCGCAATCACGATACTGATGATATCATCATCACTGCCCTCTGCAACGCTCCTTCTGATGAAAGAAAGCGTTTAACACTTGAAAATAAAATCATCTTTCTTTTCCAGTCCAACAAGCCCCCTGGCTTGAACGTTAACTTCAGTTTCCTTCTAAAATAGTTTTTTGGCAAGTTCTACATACCCTCAGGGCGGTTTGCATTGCCGACGGGTGTTTGGGCGACCCCGAGGTACCTGAGCCTGGACCGTTACGCACGCGTTAACGGTCTTCCTTTACCCTTTTTTACCCTTCCTTCCTCACTCACAATTCGGCACGTGAAGTCACAACTTCTCAAAATTCTTCCCCTCCGCCGCCTTGAAAAAGAACAAGAGTTCGAAACGTTGGCAATTTAACCTCCCCCAACCACACCCGGCCTACAATTTGGACACCAACTCTACGAAAGTGAGTTCCTCCTCCCATTTTTTCCTATTATTTACTCACTATGCACATTCTACCAAATAAAAATCCTAAATCAAGTATCCTAAAGTATCCTAAACCTCCCCGATTTGCGATCAATTATTACTTGCTTGTTGTAGGGGAAACTTGCAACCTGAGAGTGCAACAGTACATTGTGGATCCGTCGCGGAGAGCGTGCAATGCATCCCTGGGTCGAATGTATGCACTGTGTGGGATGTACCACTGCAAGGAGGAGGAGCGGATAATGCAACAGGCAGGATTTGGGATGAATGGTGCGATGCATCTCAGCGAAAAGTACAAGTTGATTGACTTTCTTCGCACCAAACAGTTTCGACATTCCTCGGAAACATCCATTGTCGACTTTTTCATCAACTTGATGAGACTCTTGATCATGCCGATGGTCTTCTTCGTCGCCTACTATGTCACGAGACAGTTGAGGTATATACACACACACAGGATATGAACAAGCACTACAACCACGCACCTGTCGTATGACGAACTAATTCTATAGTTTTTTTCAAATTTCCTCAGAGAAAAATTGATCAGCAGACAGCTGCCGCTCCCAAGCCAGTCTACAACACAACCCAGCGTTCATCATCGTGGGGGAACTATTGGAGGGGGAGGACGAGTTGGCGTAAGTTCCGTCGTGATCTTGGACAGTCCTACGTCTTCGAGAAGGACACGACTGGAGGACCCACCACCACCCTACGACAGCATCATCACCCCGCCAACTTATGTGGAGGCAACCACACAAAAGATTCAGATCATGTCCCCGTCAACGTCATTTCCACCACCGTTTTCCGGTGGAATTACCACCACCACCAACCAAACTTCTTCGGTTCAAAGAACTCAAGGAGATGAAATCGTGCTAGAGCAGTCTGAGATCAGGATGGCTGAGGGCCTCGCAGAGGTGGAAGTGCCCAATTCTCAAGCATCCCCTACTCCTCCTCCCCCAGGGGAAGTAATAATTGTCCCCGTCGAAAGTGAGAGCAATAATGACAATGGCCCCGAAGTAGTTGATCAAGAGAGTGATGCAGTTCATCCGACCCACCTGCCACCAATCACCGCCCCTCCTCCAACCCCTCCTCCACAAAAAACGCAAGAATTTGACGCTACTCTGGAAAATGAGATTACGAATTGAATTCTACTTGATGACGATTGAAATTATTCCATGTTCTCCAAGCAATCGAAAGCTTCCAATCAATAATAACGCCTACAAACATATATCTCTGCATTGCATATTATGGCTGCATTTACGAATATCATGGATCAAGGCGTAATTACTTGCAATGGAACCTTTTTTCAAGCTACACCGGGATTTTCAAGCAAGTTATGTCAAAAAATCAAGCCAAAAATTAGGAGTCACATAACATTTATCTTTTCGGTGAATGACCCCTTTGAAGAAAAATACTGGGGGCAATGTTCACGCGGCCGCCTTGTTTTCGCCCCGTGGAGAGAAAAGTAACTCGAAAATAGAACTTTGCCGCCAATATATTTCTTCAAAAGGGTTATTCAATGGAAGGATAAGCGTCATGATTCCTAATTTTTGGCTTGACTTTTTGATATAACTCGTTAGATAATCCCGGTGTAGCTTGAAGAAAGGTTCCATTGTTTATTAGATGCACTTATTCTTGAATACATTTTATTTTGACGACGGAATAAATTTTAATAAAATAAATTTCACGATTACGCCTGATGCTCAACATCACATATTTATACGCATGTGTTTGGTGCATTTATTTGTACTTGATTTCGAAAATTTAGCCACCCATGATATGAGTTATTATTATATCCCTTGCATGAACGGAACACCTAAATAGTAAGTGAATGGAGGATGAAAATAAACCAGGTCAGATTGCGAACAATGGGCGGAGGCAGAACAATGTGAAGCATGAGCTGTAAGTCTAAACAAACGATGTCCATCGACCCAGGATGACCCAAACACAATTGGACTGTACTCTTCTCAGGAACCGTTCACCACTTCCTTGTTGACGTTAAATGTTCTTGGCTGCTCTCAACATTTAGACCACTCCCCAAGTGCGCTTCACTCAAGATACATCCCTACCCGTCACCTCTGCCAATATGAAGGTATTCCTTCTCGTCCTTTTTCTGGCCCTTGGTAAGTCTCCCTGGTGCAGGGACGGGTTTAAGTACCACCCACCCACTTATTTGAAGCCCATTACATTATTTTCTGGACTTTTCTGTCTGAATTTTTGCAGCCTGTCATGCTAATCGCTACCAGACGTCGGATGTCAACTGTGCCGGAGAGTACATGAAGTGCATGGGTGAGTTCATTCCTGACCTGCACTGACCTATTTGGTATTACTAAATTGTGGATGTGTTTGGGCACAGAGGTGGAAAGCCTGACGCAACCGGTGACGGCCAGCAGACGTTGCAAGGACAGGATTCGTGGAATGGACATCTGTGCCCCTCACGCAGGTATGTATAAAGTGCCCACGCCAACCGTAGGCCACTGCTGATTGAACCTCCTCGAAATAAGACAATTTTAATAAAATGTGGAAAACCACGCAGGAAATCCACAGGTTGGAGCTCCACCCCCCGGAATGGGTAAGTCTTGCTCACTTTATCGAGTCATTCGAGATGGTGGTAAAGGGTTTTCTTTTAATGTTTGTTCAGAGGACTGTGGTCCCGGACACGGTGGAAACGATTGCTAATTCCGCGTGCTCATTCACAACCACTTCGACGTCTTCAAAATTCGATACCTCTGTTCAACTCAAACCTCTGTCTCAATCTGTTTTATATGTATTTTATTTATGATTCGGCCTCAATAATAAACTCATGATAATTTGCTGTTGGAATTTTCATTCTTTTCTACGCCGTTTCTACAAACACTGTGTCCTTTAGTTATGCAAGTCGACAATGGTCATTCACACACACACACACGAATATTCTACGCTATAAACAACACAACCTTTATTGCCATTCTTTAATAAAATCGGTGATCGATGGAGCAGAAGTTAAGTACAATACTTTTTTTTACTATTTGTCAAGAACAGGTAACTGGTTTCAAGAGGATGAAGAATACAGATTTAATAAGTTAATAATAAGTTATCGTCGTCATCATGAATATATAAACTGACGGAATATTCTAGGCCAACTTTAAAACTATTCGCTACAAATACCATGTACACAATGCAGCTCACAAACTATGCAACCCTTGGTGGACACTATTTATTGTTGAGTATGCAGAATTCGTCGTCGTCAATAATATGTGAGAATTGTTTCGTCACTGGCAATGCATATTTGCCAGTGGGGGGTGGGCATGTATTAGTCTCATTTGGTGATTGCCACCTCCCTGCCTTCACTGGGAGCCTTTGCTGGGGGAGCTTGAATTACAGGGGGAGCTGCTTCCCCATCCAACTGCAATCACAAGATTTTACGATTTAGTCGACATGACAGTTGCCCGCACAAAGCTTTTCATTTGCCGTTTAAAATATCTCACCGCTTCCAACTCGCTCTCACTGTAAAAGAGCGTCAAGCTGCGTCGAATGGGGACCAAGAGGATGAGGATCAGAGGAAAGAACAGGGCGATCTGCTTCACTGATTTGACACACCACAATGCTGCGAGAGACAGGATCTGGATCGAAGTGTACATGTGGATTTTCCACGTCGGCACCTATGGCACATCAGCCCCCGTTATTGCGTGCTCATAAATATTTATTATGCTTCTCTTTCGTACCCTTCTGACATATATTGTTTGTGGATGAGCATCAACGGGCGTCAGGAAGAGGAGCAGTCGGTCATAGAGTTGAGTGGGGATGAAGGACGTGATTCCCATGTACAGAAAAACTCCAAATAAAACTGGCATCGGGATCTATTGATGGACACAGAAGGCTGAATGATTTTGGTTTTTGAGAGACTGGGGTTCCCCCTTTTCTCTCCATTAGTATCGCCGCCTCTTGTGAATATAATTCTGAGCACAACTTACGCGTTTCAGAACGGGAGCCATGAAGATTGACAAGCCGATCATAATGCTCATCACCAGGCCAGACATGCGGTTTTCTATTAAAACATTCATATTCAATTTAAGGTCAACAACCTCAACAACTCACGAGGTAAACGGGGTACCTCTGATTTTAACGACCGTGGGGAGAATGCCAGGGGGTTGATTCTTTGAATAAACCGTCAGAGCAGATATATGGGCAAGCGCCTTCAAAGTAGCAACCGAGACCCTGGACAAAAAAAACACAAGTAGAGGTATGCATTACTTGTCGATTTGGTATTGCAAAATTGAGCTTACCAAGGAAAGCCAAAGACTCCGCAGAGTAGATTTGTCACAGCAAGAATTAAAGGATCCAAATGAAGTCCGCAACCTTTTTGCAGCTCCCTCCCCAGCATTATTTTTCTAGGGAACGTTTCCAAAACATTACGACATACTTGTGACCTGAGTGCTGTAAGGAAAAAAGGGACACTCACTCGCAAATCTCGACTGTCATGAACATGAGCAAGAAGACGAGTGCTCCTGGCAAAATAGTGATCACTGGCATCCAAGGATTGTACGGCTTCCAAACGCCGAATGGCGATATAATCCATCCGCGGAGGGAGGGTGTCGTTGGCTCGAGACCCGTGGGCACCTTTATCTTGGTCGTGAACACGTCCCCAATCCCAAAGTCAATCCCAACCATAACTGCGCCACAAATACATTGAACACACGTCAACCAGCCCATAAACGGATGCTCACGGAACGACTTTTTTTATATACTTACTCATGATTGAAATCGGAACGGCAAAGTCGCTCAAAGTGATTCGAACCTGGGTAAAATACATAAATCAAGTTGTTCAAAATGGAAATTGCTGAAAATTATTACTCTTTTAGTTGGCCAATAAAGAGACGAACCTTTGGAGCGAAGAGGTTTGAGTAACGCAAATGTTTCAATTGAAAAGCGACGTAGAAGGTGCCAAACATGAGGAATGTTGACAACAAAGCTGTATTTGGTTCACGCAACGGGGCGTCATCCTCACCAGACGCGGGGGAAGTCCCATTGTTCCTGCAACCAAGCCGAACAAGAGAAATCAGTAGTTGGTGCTTATACTTGCACATTTTGTTCTTATTAGTTCCACATACAGTGATATTTCGAAATCCGTCATGCTGGGTTTCGACAAGGGATGATCCTTATAGACCTGATAAGCCACAAATTAGTTCTCATTGACCCCTCACTTGGTTAAAAACTCTACACAGTTGATCAGACAAGCAGACGACATTTTTCTCCTCAAACGAAGATGGAGGGAGGATCATCGTGCATGTGCAGGCGGTTATGTAACTGGGGGCTGAGTGGACAGATAAGTGTGATTCTTACATGGATAAGGCTCTCGAGACTCTCGTACGCAAAGATGACGGAGATGAGTGCAGAAAACGTTTCCATTGTGAAGCGAGAAAAATGCTTTGTGAAAATGCTCCCCTCGAAGCCGACGACGATCAAAGCTATGACGACGACCCAGACTCCGATCCACACCCTGGCCGGCAGAAACTCAATGTCGTTCCGTTCCATGAACTGCCAACAGGTAGGAATTATACACGATAATTATACACGAATTGTACACCTTTTAATTCATGGTCAGGGTGCTTACTTTGTACAACAACTCGTCAAACACAAGCAGAGGTCCAGTCGGCGCGATGACCTGTTCAGATAAGAATACATAACATACAATTATGATGTCATGAGTGTGATCGTTGCGAATGTACTGCTCAATGTACTCACATTCAAGGGCTGTCCTGAGAAGAGAGAAAATAATAAAACATATAAAATACTTTTAAATATGATATAATACGTTATGTATACCTGAAAAGAGAGCGAATACAATTCCACTGAGTGCAGCAGCGACTAACTGAAACGTCAGCATAATAAATTTATAGCTTAGCATGTATCTGAATTGAAAACAAAATGATAATTTGGTGAGAGGATAGTTACCGTTTCAGGTACTCCGATCAATCCATTTGTCTTTTGGCCTAAGGAATGATAACCAATATAGATACACCTGTGAGCAAAATAGCCACTAATAGCGAGATACGTGCAGTACCGAGTAGCCCTCCAAACGTTACGTTGTGAGCAATGGCTGCAAAGTAGAGAAAGATTGTGGCAGCGACCGTTTGCGAGTTGAGACCATCACATATATCCGACTTGTACAGTGGAAATCTCCTCTTGATGTCATTGATCAGTCCTCCGAACGGTCGACGCGTCCACACAAATGGACCCGGAACCTTCTCAGCTGCTGTGATACACCAGACTCGTCAAGTGTTGCTCATGTCGCCACAATATTTCAACTAGTAATATTATTATGCAAATGAGGGTTACATTTACATGGCGGCGCTGTGTCAAATGGAGCAACTCCAAAACCGTCAGCGACGGAAGTTCCCACTCGATGAAGTACTTGGGACCCTTCTTTCGCTCTTTGGCGATAAATAAGATCGCCTAGAATTAATAAACGACATTCGTGTTGCAATTGGTCATGGGATGCAAAGTATTACGATTTTATAAATAGTAAAATGAGGTGATCTTACATTTCACTTCGAGAACGTGTACGGGGAGGAGGTCGTAAAAGTTTTGTCTGCACACAGGACACAGAACAAAAACTTAATTATAACATATTCAAGTATTTACTACGCACACTATTTGCGTGCATGTGCATCAAAAGTATTTATTTGTAGGGAATTAGTCACACATGTGACTAATTCTTGAGTTTCTTTTGAGTGGAAAGTCAAACAACGGGTATAAATGTTTTGGTAATAATTAAATTGTCGAATTTCTTACCCGTACCACTTCCCCGGAGGAAGAATGATGGATTCGTCCAGAAATTCGTTGACTGCTTTTTGCACGTGAATAGGGTCTTGGGCCGTCTGAAGGTTTTGGTAGAACCTCTGCACCACCAAGAACAAAGGAAAATGACATTTGAGTGATTCATCCCTCGCGTGCAGATAAATTGACATTATTGAGTTACGAACAGTGTTGGACATGAGAGTCCCAAAGGATTTTCCCACTTCAATAAAGTCCTCGTCTCCTCCCACGGGACACAGGATTATCGCAATGAAACGCGTCGGAATTGGAAACTGTCACACGTATCGCGAGAAAAATGGGAGTTAGTATTTCCTCACTGTTTCAAAGTTCTTAATTTGTGATTAAACCTGCTGGTCACTGTCCAAAACCACGGCGTTTGCTAATCGGACGAGGATGATGCTCCCGTTCCTCCTCTTGTACCCTCCCCGGACAAATATCAAGGTGGACTCGGCTTGGAGTGAGAACGGGAGGAAGGGCTGATCTCCGCCGTCCTCGTCAACGTTTTCCGTCGAAAAAAACCGAACCAGGCTAGAAAGCGTCCCCCTTCTCCGCCTTTCACCTCTTCCGGGTGGAGTTTCGCATACCTCAACCTGCACAAAAAAAATCACGCCGCTCAATCATTTAGATAAGTCAGTAGTCGCAAATTCAGTTCCCCAATGACCATTTTACACAAATGGATAAATACGTATTCTTGTTTGTTCCATTACTTACTTGAACGTGATCCGAGGGAGACAAGGATTTGCTGTACTGCTCTTCCGCAGACTCCTGACGCACGACGCGACGTTGCAAACTGTGTCGCCGTTCTGCCGAGTTTGGAATGTTGTCGCTGAAAGACATACCTCTCTGAAGAAAAATGCAAAAAAAACATGTCATTCAAGGACTGGGCAACTTGGTCTAATTTCCATGCACACATCCGGTCGTGTCTATCTGAACCTGAAGGGAAGGACGTCGCGCTGTCAACCAGGGTTTCTTGTCACAAACTGGTCGATGGCTGAGCAGAAGGTCTTTTATCAACCCTTCACCCTCCTCCTTGTCCACGTAGCCCTTGTTCAAAAGGGTTTCCACAACCTTGGCAACAATACTTTGCATATCCGTCTCATCCAAATCAAACAGTTCCGTGCCTGCAAATTAGTGGCAATCCTTTTATGGTGACACTGTTATTTAAGTTCGTGACATTTCTGGGCAACAGGACTTACAGCTTTTCCCAATAAGTCGATGTAATTTTGTGAGATAGTGATGTGCGAGGGGAGCGATGTGAGGCTTTCCGAGCCGATCACTGCCTGCAATTTTGTATAATTACTGATTATGCTCACTATGACTTAATCCAGATTAGTGTGATAATGCTTGTGTAAACCTGCCTTCCTCGAGGTCCTGCTCGTATTTCACCCATCGGGAAATTTCGTTCCAATTCCGCTCTCCTGAAATACTCTTCTCTCCATTAGCGTCTGACAGCACGTAGAGTTGAACGAAGCCACAAACCTGAAATACATTAAAATCAATAGAAACAAATTGAGTTCCATGCAGACAAGAGAAAGCACCGTCAGCCGTGCGTCGAGTGGATCCATCAACCTCCTCACTCACATTACTAGCTCATGAATATTAATTAAGTCATGATGATCAACTCATGGATCCTCTGCTGGAACTCACTCCTTGTCAGTGCACCTCTAATTAACTTAAAAGGAACAAATAATTGGGAAACTACGTACGGCGTCGGCGTCGGCGGAGAAGCTGTTCCTGGCCCAGAAGGGTTTGTCGGTCTGGATGCTGCCCCCACTGCTCAAGTGCCTTCTCCGACTGGGAAAGGGCATTTTGATGGGAGCTGTTTGACCACCACCAAGAGGAGCACCTGCACTGCCACCCTGGTTTCCTGCCTCGCCGTTGTTCTCCTCTAGAATGATGTTGAGGTCTTCATTGGCATAGAAGTCAAAGTCACGTATCTCGCTAGAGTCGGCAAGTCTTGCAGGGTTCGGGAGAGCTGGGGAGGAAGGGAGAGACCGAGATCCGAAGTCTTCACCCCCGTCCGTCGCACCTCTAAAACACACACAAAACCATCACAGCCAACGCAACCTGCACGTACACACACTCGCACTCGCCGCACTCACGGAGGACAATCCACGCCTCGTCAGCCACAAATTACTATGAAAACGGATCGGATTCCGTTACGCTGCAAAAACCTCTGACCAATCTTTACTTACGAAATAACTGCAACTATATATTTACTAATTTATACGCGTGGCAATCTGAGTCTGTAACTGCATTTTCTACTCGGATCATTCATTTGTGGTTTACGAGGGCAATAAAGTGACAATTGTCCCAACTATCGTAATAATAATAATTATGTCTTCGAGTACAAAAAGGACTGGTACGCACACGCTAACAGGTAGTTAACAGGGTGGTATTTGTGCCACTGTACATCTGTTTTACACGCAATGGCTTCTTCCTATTCCTACTGGAGGAGGTTGTTAAACTGCTGGACTCTTGCTGGCTGGAAAGAGTTGTTGCTTAAAGAAGAAGAGGTGCAAGAACCTTAAAAAGATGCCGACGTGACGAGCAAGTAGCTGCAAATGGATAACGAAGCAACGGCCTGCAGTACTTTTCTGCACTTCCAACTTGCCCCAGACCACCTCATGCGTATGCCTGTCTTTCGGGCATTTGCTACCGTTGCTTTAGTTCATGTCCTCTGAATCTGAGTTGTATATATATATACCCAAGAATAATCTCATTTGCCCAGTAAAAACCTGTAGTAGCTAATGGAACATTGTGGAAGCCAAGTTATGGAATACCACTTGAATAACTATGTAGTATGTACATATGTATGTGCATACATACGTATTAAAGCACGTTGAGTACGGAATATGTATTACATAGCCTTCCACTTACATCTCTTTTTTCCCACCGTCACCAATTCCCATTATGTCGACTAAAATTGGTTTTAGGCAGATATTTCGCGGTGGACTTTGTGCTTGGTTGAGCAGGCAACTGCGGACGAGATCACTGCTTTCGACTCCCTCCTGCTCACATGTCCAAACCGTGAGTTCTTCCGGGTGTCTGCTTAATCTCCCTTCTGCGTAACTTCGGTCTGATGGAACTGGACGTAAAAAAGACCACACGGTCACGTCCACGTCACAGTCTTCCAAAGGTGAGGATGAGAAGGTCCATCACACCACATGGATTTGTGGGTGGGCTGAACCACCACTCCTCCTCGAAACGATTGAAATAGTGCAAGTTCAATGTCAGCCCGTGTAGAAAACTGCACCCAGCAACAGCGAGGAATGTATGTGCTGGGAGACTGTAGGAGTCGACTGGCTGTGGACCTGGATGCTTTCCTCCTCTTTCTCCTTTAGCAGCCGTAGTAGTTCCTCATTGATTGACCTCCTTTCCCCGCTTTCACTTTACACCCGGCCCACCAACCAACCAACTTCCCTCTATCACCCACCAAACTCCTCAGACCAACTCGGAAACGACCAACAAACTTCTCAACCCACTGAACCCACACAAAGCCCAAATCCATCCAAGCCAACTCATCATCATGATCCATCCGTTCGTTCGTCTGTCCGTCCGTCCGTCCGTCCACACACAGGGATCGTCCTATCCTCTTCCTTTGGATAGAGCAGTACATTTCCGCTTTACATTTCTTCTTGGCTTCATGGTGGCGAAATTGTTGTGGAGGAGCTGCTGCTGCCGTCCACATTCCACCAATTATTCTCTGAGGAGAGGAAATTGAACATGCTTTATTCACGGCTCTACAAATTTAGTGGGTACGTGCCGTAATTGAGAGTGCAGTCTGGGTCATGATCACCCGACGTGCCCGTGCCAATATCCTCCAATGCAAATGACATCCCTTCACAAGAAGTAAGTGTTGGCAATTTTCCGACATTTTATTTTTTTGTACAGCGGAGTTACATATGCGTCTTACATATATTATTACCCTATTGATCTTGTACTACTGTCGTCATTTTCTCCAAAATACACACTCATGCATGCACAAAAGCATCATCGTTTCTGCCCCTGCGAACGCATCTCTTCATATACACACACACACACTGGACTATTTTGGGACGGGGTACAGGGAATTGTGGAGCATGTGCAAATGGAAATGAATCCGAGGAATTGGCGATGGAACCAAGAAATAGGAAAAAAGTGTGCAGAAATGTCTTATAATCCCCACGGGGAAGGTTTCGCGAGGAATTTTGCGAAAACCTTGGCTCACATGTATTATAGATTCAAATGTGTATATTCTTTGGCTGCTATACGGATACACATAGTCCGTAGTCATGCACATTCTTTGAATGAAACTCGATTCATTTCATGAGACAGCTCGATTCAAGCCAATGGAAAATTTCATGTGTTATAAGAGTCGGTCTCACGGGTCGGACGAGTGCACGGCAATGATAATGCATGCGAGGCAAATTGAGTCATGCAGTTGTTAGCACAATGGAAGACCCCAAAAAAGTGTCAAATAACACTCATGTCAAATAAGTCGTCGTGTCTACATTGCTCACATATTGGGGTTGGCTGTATTGTACGTATGCATGCATAGTACGAATCTAGGAAAAGGACGACAAAAAGTCTCCCTGATAAAAATAATTGCCCAGCAAATAAGCGATATCAAAGAAATTATTTCAATTAGCCTGGCCGACTTGTAGATAATACTTGTGCATGTATCCGATCGGAGCAGTGGGACATGCACCCACCCAACTATTCTATTATCATCCAAATTGATTCTCACTGTGCGAACCATTGCCCTTTATTTACCTTCTGTTTTGGGTGACAATTTATTTCGGGTTCATTATCTTGATTACTTTCATGTCAAATGGAGCCGTTGATATGTGTGCAAAAGTGGGATACGCACATAGTTATTTAGTCGCCATCCCCACAATCCAGAAACCTGGAAGTGATTGGTCAACCAGTGATGTATGTACAGCTCACGATTCGTAGACGATTACTTGCATTCGTAGTTTTCAGGATTGTTTAGCCAAGACGATGTAATGCGTTGTATGCTTTAACGAAATCTCATTGTTTCGCCTTTCCCGTGTCAGTTTGATTCGAGGTGACCGTGTGTGAAAAGGAGATGGGACGGGACCCCCAGATGTACTTCTGGCCATGTAATGACGCGTTCAGTTCGTAGGGAACCATCGAGCGGAAATTAAAATCTCCACCTGCAGTAATAATTGGTGCCATGGGCTCATTTGTAGAAGCACTATTGGTGTTTCTGTCCAGTTGTTGTTGGGGCAATGGGGTCGCTGAGGCAAGTGTTGCAGGGGAAAAGACCTCTCACTCGAAAACCACTGCAGAAAAACACGCTCTGTACAAGGTGGGTCCGTAGCAGCGGATCAATGAGCACATGTCATCAGATGATTATTAATTCATTTCTTCGTACTTTATATTAGTTTAAAATATTGATGGAGCCCGTGCTCTTTGATGACGGGTTGAAAGAGGAAGCGTGTCTTGTTCGCTGGTTGAGAGGCTCAAGCGAGTTCAAGTCTTTCAATAATATCAATAATAAATTAAGTCACGCCGTGACAAGTGTCTCGTTGCATCGGTTGTCAGCATCTCGGTTTGACGTCAAGAAGGCAGAGAGAATGCCGTTAGAGGTACCATCAGCCAATCTGCACTATCAAATGGCACCAAATTCTGCAATAAGTAAGCTTACAAATTTAAATGCAATTTGTATACGTTTACAAGTTTCAAATGGACGCGATTCACGAAGAAGACTGGTCAGAATTCCAGGAGAGATTTCCCTACGTGGTTTCATTCGACAAGGAATTCCAACCAAGTCAAACACATCAATATACTTACCCGATCAACAAAAGCTATCACTTTTACGCAAAAGTCATACAGTTAAATTGCAGCAACTGATGGCCGGCAAAAATCCGTGAAAAGATACTAGATATTTAACGTAAAATAAACTGTCAATATTGCATAGAATTGACAGTCATATTCATGCAATTTAGCCTCAAGAATATTGCGTAGAAATAACCGTCAAATTAATGCAATTTAGAGCGTAGAATATTGCGCAAAAGAAACGAATAATTTGATGCAAAACTTGCAGTTAAACTCCATGCAATTACTGCAGTCAAATAACACGAATTATTAATTTTTATCAAAATCATTTATTTCATAACAAAAATTATATTGTTACATTATACAAGGGAATGCAAATGTTTTCATCTATTTTATCCGACGGGAGTAACCAACATTTCTTATCAATATCATTAATACCTATTATGGTTACGCTATTTGATAATTTGCTAACTTTAATTATTCCTAAAATTTTACTTTCACACGGACAAGTGAACAAGTTGTCCGAGTGTTTGAATTTTCTACAATTTATATGTTTTTTATCTTTACTTATACTACTTATAACAACTACTTTCCCATCCTTTAATATAAAACAATGATCCTTTCCGTTCGATTTTATAATACAGTGTCTATTTAAATTCACAGGGGACTGGTACTTATGATTTTCTCTCTCAGCAGTGCGATTCACAGTTTGCTCAAAAGGTTTATAGTGAGCTCGTAGCGAGCGCTTTATTACTTGCATATTATTTTCGAAATCGAAAGCACTAAAAGAATCTAACGGGCCATGCTTTAAAGCGTCATCACTAATATGTATAAGAGAATGCATATTATATGATAAGAACTCTTCTTCATATAAATTGGGAACATTTTTAACAAACTTCAATAAAAGCTGTCGTGCATAATCGTTCCAATTATTTGCTTGCGCCTTGGTAGTTATAAGAATCGTGACTGCTACGCAAAGATTTAAAAAATGTGTATACTTTTTCGGCGACAATAATCCTTTTAAAGCGACGGGTCCTGTATAAAGAAGAAAAGTTCTAAACTCTGTCGCTTTCCACATATCTAACTCTTTTACTGACCTCGGCTTACGACAAAATTCTTTAGGGCAACTATGCGAAAATAATACTAATTTACTTGATAAAGTTGAAATATCACGAGAAGATAATTTAAATGGCAATGGACCTTTTACCCAACTTCTTAATAGTTTTCTAACCACACCTAAGCAAATGAGGTGCATGTAGTCAAGAGGAACCAAAGAAATCATCAAAATTTTAAGCTCCGTAAACGGGGAAATGCCTACATGGTGGTGTTTATCTTTTTGAACATAAAAATCTTGATCTGTCCTAAGTGGACTATCGAATGTTCTGAAAATTACACGTCCCTTCCAGAAACCTGGATCTATACATTTCTCGCATCCATTGTATGCATTATGACTTTTACATTGCTTTAAAAAACTCCTGGCTGGCGCATCAGCTATTATTTTTGAAACCTTACAAAATATTTTCAAATTATTGTAACTAATCCCAACTCGCAAACTTTTTAACTCTGCTATCAAATCCATCAAGTATTCGTCAATACTTTCTGGTTTTGTCTTGCCATAAATAAAACCCACGACAAATACGCCGTACGTACTTTCTTCACACTTTGCTTGAATTGGCCAAAACTGGTTACTGTTACTCTTAGAAATGGGCAATCCATCAAAACTAAATATAAGGTTTAATTTAATTTCGCTACCAGAAGCAAGAATACAATTGGAATCTATTTGCCGTTTTATATTTTGAATAACATCAAAGTGTGCATATTGACCCTGACCGATAGTTTTCATAGAGTATTTAATTGAGTTTTTAAGCAATGTCCTACTATCCAATGGAAGAAATCTAAATTCTTGATAAAAGTTAAATATGCGTAGAAGATCGTTTAAAGCTACTCCCGTTATGTTATGTCGAAGCGACCAGTCCCTCAAGTCCCGTGTTAAATCTAAAATATTCCTATTATTTTCTACTACACCATTGTCGCTTAGTGAATCGGAAACTAATGGCTCGTCACTATTATGGATAACATTACTGCTTCTATCATTATTGCTAATATTACTACCTGAATCGCTATCCTCAACGACAGAATCACATATATCTAACTTTACAAGATTATTACTAGCAGGTATGTTTTTTGCACGAGTGAGATTCTCTCTAACCCGTTTTGCAATTATTCGCCTAATGTTTCTCGGTGATTTTCCATCTCGATCCATGATTATGATGCAATTCCCGAGGGAGCGTCGTCGTTGCACCTACTTTTTGAAGAACGAAACCAATTCATTGCTGCAGTTTGAATTATATCATCGGTGGGAATACGGCCGCTGGGATTTTTGGGATCGGGAACGGACTCAACTGTAAAGACGTTTCGCACGGTTTCTGAAATTTGCAATCCAATTAAACATTAAATAGAGACCAACAATTAGAAAATTTTCTTCATTTTAGAATATATTTTAGCACCTTTTACGACTTCCAATAGTTTTAGGTTTTTCATCGATGTCTTGTTTCCTTTACCCGTAAAATTAATTCGCCTGCCAAATTCATTCGTAAATAATTTTTTCAAGATTTTTCTAGTGCTCGCCTCGATCTGTGTCGCAGTTGAAAATGCCAAATATTCAACCTAGTATCAAATATAAGAAAAAACATTAAAGTTTAATTATGCATGTAAAATATCTCGATTAAATCGTACCAGTAATTCGCGATTTGAATCCACCTCGAGCCAAGATTCAAACTCCGCCAGTGCTACCTCGTTGTCGAGGGGTAATTTTGGAATGGCACTGAAATTGGGAGCCTTCCTACCATCCGGCCTTTGTTTCACATTAATCAGTAAAGCCTTAATGTCTTTAATGTCTTCAGCCTGCTTTTCCAACAAAGTTAGCACACTTTGCGTTGTCCCTGCAACGTGATTACAAAGCGTTAACATAATACATCAATTTTAATAAAATTATTTTGCTTGTACTAACTTGAAATCAACAGCCGTAAATCATTTAACTCCTGCGAATTTACAACAACAAAAGAGGTGTCTCCAGTTACAACTTGATTTCCTACTTGTAGATTGCTTTGCTCTTCAGTTTCGGGAATTATTTCAGGAATGCTCAATGGTTGGTCTAAAAGCATCACCATAATGATTAGTATAAAATATTTGTGGCAGTATTATAAGCCTACCCAGCTCCAAATTATCCAGAAGTGAGCCAGACGGAGGACTGTTTTTGTTCGCGTCGCTATCCTCCTCATCGGATGAAGACGTTACATCCCCTCGTGTGCTGCTGGGCTGAATATCGGGAATTATCTTCTTGCTCCTTAATCTGCTTTCTGGTTCTGTTTCACTTTCCAAGTTGGAAGTGTCCTCGGCTACTTGAAGTTTTTTTGTCGCAACTTCATAATCATCTAAAATAATGATATTTGTTAGTAAATGTAAAATAATTGGAATGACTTCTCATAATTTGAATTAAATAGCTATTTACCGTAATTCCCAATAATCCTGGCGTAGCTAACTCTTCCCCACTTGACATCAGGAATAGCAGTGCCCTTTTTTATCAAATTTCTAATACTTGGCCCAGAGTTTGGTGGCCAGAGACAAACTTTCTCTGCGGGGATAACCCAGTGACTTGGAACAAGCTCCACAGGCACTGAATTGTATTTATCAGGGGGGAATTCAATTATGTAATATTTTTTTGGCGACATTGAGACAACAGATAAATTAACAGGGAATTAAATTAACAGGGAATTTACGAGACTGCGAGGGTGGGAGAGAAAAGGAAATACCACGCTTCTCTTAGATTCAAACTCTCGCGCGTTGCCTGTCTCTTCGCACCCACCATTCATTGCGTATAAATTGCATGATTTTAACGCCTCATGTAATGTGGGTATTGACGAGATATTGGTGCGGTATTTTTACGCAATATCTCAGCACGTTTGGGTGCAATAATTTTTCAACCATAGGTTACAGTTTTTTAATGCAAATTTAGCGTGTCTCACGGTGCACACCAAACTTAGCACAAAATTTATGCAATAATCACGCCTTTTTTTGTTTGTTAAAAATTTTCACCATGGATGCGTTACTTTGACGCAAAAGTAATAATTTTTGTTGATCGGGATATGTACCTAATTAATTGTCTAATGTTACGATATGCATTGGTACTAACTGGGTGTTTTTTCTATACATCCGCAGACATGGTGACACACAAGTCACATGGTCACATGGGACTTTCGTCAGGCGATTCTGACTGAAAAGCGAAACCAAATGCTTCGCTAAATCTTCAAAATTTTGGACCAGATGGAGGGTGCTATTCAGAGGCAACAGGATGAGGGCAGTGCTCGCAACGGGTCCGGGTCCCAAGACCCGTTTTTACCGGGTCCCAGGTCCGGGTCCGGGTCCGGGTCGGGTCCGGATCAAAAATTTAAAAGACCCGGACCCGGACCCGCCGGGTCCGGGTCACCGATTTTATATGGTATATAAGCGGGTCTCGGGTCGGGTCCGGGTCCGGGTCCGACGGTTGGAACCGGAGCCGGACCCGGACCCGACCCGGACCCGAAAACCGGGTCCTTATGACTACTTCAAATCTGGGGTAATGAGAGACAGAATTCTATGTTTAATCAATATGTTTAATCGTAGAAGAATTTAAAAACGTTTAACATTAAATATTTAAGTGAGTGTACGAAAAGCGAAGGAGACTTCATGACCCAATTTGCGCCAGCACACCAACGCAAGAGGACACAAAATGCGAAAAAATTATCACCGTTTCATGACCAAAAATCTAATTTCAATCTTTGATTTTTTTTACTGTCTTGATTGCAAGTGTATATTTACTTTTTAATTTTCAAGATCAAACTCAACTTTAAGAAATTTTTATTTTTTGGAAAACATATCCCTGGTTAGGAAATTTTAGAAAATACTTTTTTTTATAAATAATTAGTTCAATTTGGATGTGATAAAACAATAATGCACGATCACGAAAATTAGGAAAATTACTAAAAGGGAGCGAAAATTGAATTGTTGGTAAAAGTTTAAATGCGGCAGTTCTAGCGGATGTAATGCTTTTGAGGGGATGTGGCATGTCGTAGGCGGAAATTGGGCCATGGAGTACAATCCTCGTTCAGTTTTCGTGCACACTTTAGAACTATCTAGTACTGCTGCATATCTTAAAGGAATCAAAGCAGGGATCTTTGAAGCTTAGATGTAATATGAGAAAGGAAGACCCGGGTCTCGGGTCCGGGTTCGGGTCCGGGTCCGGGTCCAGATCCGGGTCTAGAAATTTCAAGACCCGGACCCGGACCCGTCGGGTCCGGATCAGTAGTTATAGGACCCGAGTGAACCGGGTCCGAAGACCCGTTTCTTAATTCGGGTCCGGGTCCTGGTCGGGTCCGGGTCCCACCTGGGACCCGACCCGTTGCGAGCACTGGATGAGGGGACGATGGTCACACGAGGAAGCCAAGTCTCCAACCTTAGCGGATACAATTTAATGCAGCATGTTGTGTCCAATCATTGGACTCCAATGTACATATGTCGCAAAATTTCATCCACCTCAAGTCTAGTGCTGCACAAGTCGCAAGTCCGCTTCATGTGAAGGTATCTTACTGGAAACGATCCAAGGTCTCGATAGATATTTTCCAGCCTAGAGGAAATAAGATCACTCGCTCCACCAATGACTTTTGATGTCATATTTTATATCAAAAGTCTTCAATTGTCCACTACGAAATAGCTCCCCATTCTTGCCAGTACAGGTTCTTGGTTCCATTCATGAAATTCTACATACTCGTATCTCTATTCGAGGTATATCATTTACTGACATGTTTCGCCATCCCGTTTCCGATTACATGTGATTCTAACGATTTATTCTCATCCCTATTTGTGTAATATTGCTTTATTAGCTCCATTACTAGCCCACCTAAGCAAATGCTCTATGAACTAAAACCAAGATTATTACTACCCATCTACCTCATTAGTCTACCCAACTTAATCTTCACATATAAACGATGACACTATGTGCCCAGCCAGCCATGCCATGCGTTAAGTGTTTTTCATTCCATCCAGCCTCTCTGTCCAAATATCCACGAATGAGTGTAAAAATAGTAAAAATACCCACATCAATCACAACCTGTTTATAAAACTAATACGCGCAACGTTTGGCATGTGTATGACTATGTACATATATATGTCGACGCAGGGAATAGGATACCCTTCGTCCTCATCATCACACTCCAACTGTGGACATTGTTCCAATCGTTCAAAGCAAATGGGTTTCTTGGGACCCAACTTCGGGTGGAAGGAAAAGTATAATTATCTCGCAATGGACACATGGACTACAAATCACCGACAATTCCTCCACCTTATTCCTCCTTGCTCACAACCTTTTCCAGAGACAACGACCACAAAATTCAAAGAGATATTGTGATGCGATATGATTATGCATTTCGTTGGGTGAAATTTTATGGACCTTTGTTCATATTGCTTGTGTACAAAGTTTCTATGAGTTAGTGGACAATTATGATAACATGTTATATATAATGTCCCTGATTATGGTCATCACACTGCAGGCAGAATCAGTAGCTCCTTATTATCTCCCTCACCAAATTTCTACCACACATTCAAAGTCATCTCCAGAAGAGAGACGTGACGATAACTTTTAGCTAGATAATTTTCTACTTTCAAAATTTGTCTGTACCACACAATCTGGTCATTTCAAAATCATTGTCAAGTACTTTGTGTCTCAATTTGATTGTTACCAATTGTGGAAATGGAAGCGGAGAAGACTGACGTGACCATTATTTCTCCAAGAAGGATTCGCACGGAGTATGCACTGGGAGACGGGTCGTATGGGATCGTTTACAAAGCCATGTGGACCGTTGGGAAAGGTGTCACCGCGACGGAGACGGACGTCGCGATCAAAATTCCCAAGAACCCCGTGCTCAAGGACCACGCTTGGACGGAAGTGACCAGGATGAGTTTGCTCAACCACCCAAACATCCTCTCCCTTCACGGCATCACTTTCCCCCGTGAGACCTGCGTCACCATAATTAATGCTCAATACCGTGCTTCACGTCTATGGTGAGGACTAATTAATTATTGCTTTGCAGGTGGCGAGGACAGTGCCCCGTGGATAGTCATGGAATACATGGCTTGCGGAAATCTCCATTCGTACATCAAAGCCTATCCAGGTGGAGGGATGACCTCGGTACGTACCCTCTGCCCACCCATATCATCATTGGGTCGATTCTCCCTTGCTGGCTACCTTTTTCGTGACCAAGTCGTAATCACTTAATTCCACAGACGGTAATGGTCAAATTTGCCTACGGAATAGCGTGTGGGATGACCTACCTCCATCATGAAATGAACCAACGTCACGGCGACTTGGCAGCTAGGAATTGTCTCGTGGGCCCCCAAGAAACGGTCAAAATTGGAGACTTTGGGAAGTTTGAAGACCACGACCAAAATTCCAGCCATGACAGTGACAACGTTCGTACGATAAAACCAAGTCGCATTACAGAGCAGTGGAAGTAAATGTAAATGTTCCCGCAGAACCCCTTCCCCTGTCCGCTGAGATGGATGGCCCCCGAAAATTTGCCAGCTGCCGACCGGCCCCCTCGCTTCACCAGAAAAGGGGACATTTATGCATTTGGAATCGTGTTGTTTGAGATCTGGAGCAAGGGTGGGACACCTTTCCAAGGTCTGACTGACACACAGGTGACAGTACTTACTCACGGGGATGCCAATATGAACTCGACAATTCAAATTCCATGGGTGACATCCTGCTATCTTTTTGTACCCTCAGGTGATGGCTGCCTTGGCGGATGGTGACACGCCAACTCGCTACCAAGCCATTGGTGCCAAGTGGTTCATCATTAATCTAATGGACGCGTGCTGGCAGTTTGACCCCTCCAAACGCCCAAACTTCAAGTACATCAAACGAGAACTGGAGGACTGTGCTGGGCACGTTTTGGGTTTACCTAATTTGTGAATTTCCATACCAAGTCGTCTCAACCACCGCGTTTTTGAGACCTGCATGTAAATATTCTACGTTTCACCGTACCACTCTTAAATACTTAAATCTCAAGCTACAATGATTATGCTGGTACATCACCGAACTTTGTGATTCTACGTATCGTATAAGACTGACCATAAGTATTGGTGCTGTTGCTGTCACTAACTTATTGTTTTGTGAAAGCCTTATACATAATATTTATTTATTTTCTTTTATCAATTCTGAGTTCGAGCTGAAGGATAAATTTCCTACTTTCGGAAATATGAGATGTGAAATACATGTTTTATGCTAATGACATTTATTTGGTTACGTCGCAAAGAATTTTTATAGTGTTCTAATTGTGAATACATTTTTAATGATGAAAAAGTCCCCGGGATTGGAATTCTAAATGATTTTTGGACATACTCCATTTTTTTCTGAAATCATCTTTATTTAAATAGCATCATGAAGTCTACGAACGTCCCTTTATCATGACAAATTATTCTTCAGTTTTTAGTTGACCAGAAATTTTCACGCTCAATTTTTCGTTTAATTATCAAATGCTCTCTAAAACCTTAATTTTTAATAAACTGTTTGATTTTTTAGCCCGAACCAGGACTTATGTAATTGTCATGTCCGTCTGTCTGTCCGTCTGTCTTTCGATAACTCTCGAACGAGTTGACCGATTGACTTGAAATTTTTACCATATGTACATTGGACAAAGTTAGGAAACGAGTTCGAAGATGGGCGAGTCCATCGGTCCAGTGGTTGACCTGTGGGGGTCATCGGAGTGGGTGGGGTATTATGCACCAAAATTTCAAAATCGTCATAGAAAGCTCAAATTTGGTACAAAGGTTGCTAATGGCTCCTAATGAAAGAATATGAAGTGAAATTGGAAAATTTGTCAACCGGAGGTACCCGAGGGGGTGACCCATACCGATTTTTCAAAATCATCCAATCGAGCTGAAATTTGGTATAGAGGCTGCTAATGGCCAGTAATGGAAGAATATGAAGTGAAATTGGTAAAATTTTCATCTAGAGGGACCCTATGCTATGGGGTGACCCCCACCGATTTTCAGAAATTAACATAGAAAGCTGAAATTTGGACCAGAGATCCATACTGCTTTTTCACGAAATAACATGAAGTTAAATATGAACAAAAATTAACCAGGGGGGCTACAGAGACGACCTCCACTAGGAAGTAGTCAAGGGAAGGGATAGTAAATATTTTTAGAATTTGGAGCCTAGTAATACGAAGGATTGATGGAAGAATTAGTGCAAAATAGTAGCACATAATTTCATAGAAAACTACGGACAAACACGGGTTTACTAATCATTCCTGGTTCGGGCTAAGCAAGGCTGTACTGATAGGTTTTTAAATTTGATTTTGTCACATTTCAAGAGAACTATTTATCTGTAAATACAGATAAATGTTTGAGATTCAGTAGTTAGAGTAAACCAGTTGTTATGTATTTCAAGACAAAAGTATTTGAATGCAGCAGCTCTGTCATTGTGCTACTTAGTCAATGGGTTGCCGAATTTAAATCTGTAAAAGATAATCCAAATATTATTGTGGCAGAGGAAGTTGTTATTCTGCAGATAACAAAAATATCTGTAGCAGCTTCTTGCTATTGTGCATTTAAATGTTTTTTTGTAAGATTGGTTTCTGTAGTTAGTCAGGCAGGCAGTCGAACCCCACAAATAATTGAATGGATGCCTATCATCTCCAACCAGTAAATACATAATATTAGTACACACACAGGAGATTAGAGATTAGTTTTTGGTGCGTGAGTAGGATTGGGCTGCGTAATCCGTGGCGTTCACAGATAGTATATTTTACTCTTGCATTTCACAAATGATCTCTGTTTCCGCTTGTTACCTCAACGCTTGTTTTCATTGCAGGCGCAATAACAGTTGCCTCCATGCAGCTATGTATGTAGGTTGTTGGATGAGGCTTAAATAAGCCAAGTCTCAGCATCTCACAGTACTGCATAACAACCGCAAAACAACACACCTTTTGGCTACATGCAGTATTAAAAGGCCTCTGTAAAACTGCAGTTCTTGATGCAACCCAAACTTTTACTAACAAGACTAAAACATGCAACCTTTTTGCCATCGTCGTCGTCATACCATAACAAACGAACCTGAGACGTCAATTTCATTCTGAATCTCGAGTGCACCAGTCAAACCCAGTGAATTGGCTCCAACATGCGCCCCACGAGATTCCCCACTATTCATAGAAATTGTAAAAGCTCAATTCCCTGGTTAGAAAGATCGTAACAGGCAGAGAAGGCAACTGGCAAACGTGACTCCAAGATGAACGTTCCTCTCGAATTCGAACCAATCGAGCTGATTTACTTTGTCCTTGTGATTCTTGCCCTGGGGTTCGCCTTGTTCTTCCTCCTCGTCAGTTTCGCAGTGTGTTGTTCTTATGTGAAGAGTGGTTTCGGAGTGACCAACACGGAGGACACGATTGCCACCAATGACACGACACACAGGTATTTTGTACACATATTAAACCACCAAAGTCATCCCAATCATTAGGAAGTTACAAAAATTTTGACCCGAAACTATACATAAATTATCCCCAGCAGCCCCCAAATTTTGTCGGTAATTTCGATGGACCCCACCTGCTTCGACGAGATTTGTCATGAAGGAGAGTACAAAACATACTTGTCCACGCCAAACTACAACCGATTCGCCATCGACGAACCTCCACCTAAATACGACCAGATTTTCTCATCGAAAAACAATACTTTTTATTAAATGCTCAGTCCAACAATCATAATTTATGTAACTAATTGATAACACGATTAGAATTAATAATGTTTTATACCTAAGTTATGTACTTCTCGATAACGGACTATCTAGACTAGCTATTTACTTACTAGTAAAACGTTTTGTTAGTCATTCCAATGCCAAGCCAAAGTAGCACGAAGTCACACGCTGTTAATGTGTAACGTGTATTGTTAATTGTATATCAAAGTAATAAATTAGTTGTTTAACCAGCCAAGTCACAATCCGTCCACCCCGTATCGCCGGAGTAAATCAGATTTGGACAAAAAATCAAGGCCCTCTCAATTTTATATGTGCAAAATAATATCAATCATCATCGGTTGGTCCATTGTCACAATTCCCAATAGTAATATTCATTAAATGAAAAACGTCTCCTCTCTTGGAAAGTGATCAGAAAATAGTAATCACAGATGAGCTCCTTTCAAGAATGCCCCAAGAACGTCACGCTGCTGGAAACCAACAATAGAAGCGTGAGGACACGATTACTTACAAATTTTAAACTGAAAGCAGACGTTGGTGGCTCGCCATGCAGTGGTTGGTTGCAGATCCCTCTTGATCTAGTCATTAGTATATTAGTATTATGTACTTACTTCCCGTCCTCATAAGTCCGTTACATAGGTGCAAGTGCACAGAATTATATGAAATGGATACAATCTGCTATGAAGATCTGACCCATTTTTAGCAAGACTCTGCAGCAATCGTTTAATTGTACGGAGATATATGTACATGTTTTAAACGCAGTCTAATCCACTGAATGTGACTAGCACCTGAATAAAGGTAAAATTGCATCCACGACAATTCACGTATGTATATGTATGCCTTTAACGCGCAATACGCATATGCACATATATTGCATTATGCCAAGAGGAGAAGGAAGCATGGCACTATTAATTTGTGTAATTTTTGGCTGGCTGCACGTTATTGCTTAATAACACATTCAACATTCTTAACCCCTTTGTACGAATTACTTCTGAATTATTATTGTTATCAGACCCATTATCATGATCACAGCTCTGTGATTTGAGCTGGTCAGCAGCACACACTTACAAATGAATTTCGTAAAATATAGGATTGGGCTAAGGTTTAGTTGTGTAAGAAAAAGAAGAAAAAAAAGTGACCAAATATTATGCAAAAAATCAGTCAAGTGTGGTCTGCCTGCCTTCCACATGTGCGTGTACACATTTACAAATGCACGAACTATGAATGACATGTGCATAAGCACTCAAATCAAGGACCATAGTAGTTAATAATTACCACTGGTCGTCGTACACCAATTAGCTTTTGTGAGAATCTGGAAGCATCTCTCTGAGCACAATGAAATCATTTAAATTTCAGATCGTCATTTAAAAAGTGAAAGGACATTTTTCCTCGGCCTTTTGTTTCAGGATGAATGTAGAAAGAAATTTGCTACAGTTCCACCTCGACCATTGTCTCACAACAACCCATTGTATAAAGTTCTGCCTGCTAATGAATAAGCAAATGTGAATGTGACAGTGCAGTGGCTCAAGTCCACACATGATCGAGATGGAAATCCAATGCATCTATCATCAAACTGCAACAAAATGCCCTGATTCTAAATTATTTGCTCGATTGCATCTTCCACATTGATTTCTACAAACTTTTTGTTAAAAAGTCGCGTCTTTAGCTTCATTCATAAGAATTAAGTATTTGGTCTTCCAAACGAAATTAAACAAAAAAGACGCACTAAAATCGAGGCAGCGTGAGAACGAATTGATTTCGGAGTGAAAATGAAAGTTTCTTCACTGGTGATACTAATGAGTTGAACCTTTAATTCCTTACATAACAACACCCCACGCATTCAGTTTCACAGAGTAGAACCACACAGAAGAACACTAACAATTCTTCTACCAAATTTAATGAAATTAGAAGCTGTCTATTTTGCAGAAAGAAAACGAACATTATGCTGTGGATTTAATTGTGTGTGGTTTAACGCATGAGTGGGTGGAATGCCTTGCAGCTTTTTATGATTCCTACAAATAATGTTTTAATCGATTCGCTACGTTGTAGAAGAGGAAAAAAACAAACTCTGAGACGAATTGAACTTGGTAATGACATTCATCATTTTCACTTGAGCAAGCATTTCCTAAACTCCGCTAGCTTGTAGCTGTGCTCAAGACCTTTCTTAATAGTTAAAAATCATGCAATTTCTGACAAAAATTGTGCACCTAAGTTGTACAAACTATAATAATTCTGCATTTAGTAACTCACTCATTTTTAAATTTTTGCTAAAATATACTCCCTCTGCACACCTAAATCCGTTGAATGAACTGTACGTAGGTATGGTTTGCAATAAAACTGCTGCTGGTAGAAATGCTGATAATATTTATTGATACCTAGCGATTTATTCAAAAATAGATACATAATCGCTGGAACCAGACTTGGAGTGGAACTTTAACACTTGTTGGGCTTATTTCAAGCTTTGAACGAGGTTAGGGAAAAGTACCAAAATGGACCAAACCACAATACCAACTTGCCAAGACCAAGACCAGGGTCAGGTTTAAAAATTTTATATTAATATAACACAACTATACGAATAGAAAACCATATCCACAGATTCTGCGTAGAAATTCGCAAATTGTAATAAAAACGGTAGTGAATTATTGAATTATACTCAATTTTTTTCAAATAATGATTGCTCATTTGTTTGCGCATTGCATCATCAATATATTCCATCATATTCCATACGTCATCACCATATAACTGCTCATAAATATGTACGTACAAATATATACATATTTACAAATACATACGCTGTGTGTGTATGCATATATTTTATATCTGGTCTATATTTTATATTTTTTATTTGGTCGTAGTAATACCATACCTCGCCACCTGAATATTACGCTAATAACGTGTCACGTAGTTGCTGCTAAATATTAGGTTAGTAATGGTCTGGAATATAAATATATGCAGAGCATCTTAGACAATGACCATGACACTTGGATTTAAATAAGAAATGAGTTTGACTCTTCGCACAGTTCCATCCACTACGTAGGACAAAGTATTGAATTAAATTCATGAAAATCACACGACCATTCACACCAGTTTAGCTCGGATCATCTAGTTTTTAACTTGTCTCTGCAATGGGTTGTCTTTCGGGTCAGAGACAACCTGCAAAAACATCTTAGTACTTTTAAGATTTAATTCTGTGACTGCAAGTAAAAATGCTCCTCCCCTTCCTTCTGCTAATCTTCGTACTTTTCTCCGTAATTATTTTCTGTTTCTACTTGTGGCTCAAATTGTACAACTTATTATTTGGAACGTACGAGGAAAAACATCGACTTCCAACTCACATTACTATCCAGAGGAAGCCGCCTACTCAAGCTAACCACAGGTGATAATTGATTAAGCTGTATTATATAATCAGTCACATGACTAACAATGGAACCCTTTTTCAAGCTACACCGGGATCGACAAGCGAGTTATTTGAAATAACTCGCTCGTCGATCCCGGTGCAGGTTGAAAAAGGTTCCATTGTAAGTGTTTGCAACCGGACATGTGTACGTAGGTCGACAAAATTAAAGGTTCAGTCCTTCCGATGCAATCCTAAGGGTAATCACAAACGGAAGCACAAGCGGTCTCTCCCCACAATTCTGGAAACTACGATAAGCATTGACGAAGGAACAGACATGAGTACCAGCAGCTCTTCATCTTTTGATAACTCATTCCAAAATTCGAATAATTTGACATTCGCGTTGGCCGACTTGGAGAATCAGAGTGTGTCTTTTTCAACACACAAGAGTGAAAAACGGTACTTGGTGTGAACATCGGGTTTGTAATACAAACCTAATACAAACTTTGTATCCTGATACACGTACTTATGTACAGGACATTTGTAATATTTCTCTCCTGAGCTTAAACTATCAACTTTTTATCATTTTAATCTGATTGTGATACGGTAAAAGAAAATCTGATGGACTTACTCGATGGTTCCTATTTTTGAAGGCCAATTCACATGCACACGCAACTATTGCCCATACTATATGCATCAATGCATGTACATACATACATTATCATCACAGTTTTTGGGAGTGCATTAAAAAAAGCCAAAAGCTGCAGAATATAGACTTATTTATCTTGCAAGTATTCAAATAATTGGTACAGAGATGCCTAGAAGGTGGGAAAATCTTGTCACTACATAACTAATCATGTATTTAAAGCTTAATGATACTAAAAATAAAATGAAAAATAAGGTTTCTGTAATTCGAGGGTTATTTCGTGGTTTATTATACTAAAAGTGAGTTAGTTTGAATTGCGGAAAATCCCCTCCCCCCAATGGCCTCCCAGTAATGACCTCCGACCAATAGCCTCCTGACGAAATTGGCCTCCCTTACCAATGGCCTCCCAACCAATCACCTCCCACCCAATATCCTCCCATGATAAATATGCGCATTGTTTTTTAATACGTAACTTATCCAAATCTGAATTGTGTCATCATCACTATTTAGAAGAAAGGATGAAGCGACTAGAGCTCTTTGTTCATAAAGTAAGGGGGATAACTACAGGCCTGTGCCTGAGTGGTGGCGACTGTGTCCTATAGAAACTGATAAATCGAACTTGCACGCCACATATAGGCAGTGTTTCTGCTGTTAAATAACACCTGCACGAAAATAGTGCACGAAAATGTTGTTAAACGTTTAAAAATGATGAAGTAATAAATGATAATTTTAAGAAATTTGTGAATGCTCACCACCCCAACATATCAAACAAAGGTCTTACCTGGTCCAATTCCTTATGGGAAATCACATGTTAAATTTTTTCTGATCAAAGGTCCCTACCTATGAACTTTGGCAAAATTCGGAAATTTTATCTTTTCTCCTCTATCTTAATTTATCCATCAGATCTGAGTTCCCGGCAATCATGGACACCAAAATAGGCGTCTATATCATGAGCGATCGCAACCCTACAGCTCATGAGAGTTGCTAAAAAAATTAAAATTTCCAAATTTTGCAATATTTTGCCCAATAAATGCCATTTTCTTTGGATCTGTAGGAAAGACAACCTCCCAGCAAGATTATTTGACACTTTATCAGTCTATAAGGTTACGACAAATGGCCGAGTTACAAAATAAATTTACATTTTTATTAGCCCGAGGCAGGGCTTATGGAAACGTCATGTCCGTCCTTCCGTCTGTTTTTCGATAACTCTCTAACGAGCTGACCGATTGACTTGAAATTTTTACCATGTGTGTACATATTGGACAAGTTAGGAAGCGAGTTCGAAGATGGGCGAAATCGGTCAAGTGGTTGTGAGTAGATGGGATAAAATTTCGAAATTCAAAATTGTCGTAGAAAGCTGAAATTGAGTACAGAGGTAGCTAATGACTTCTAATAGAAAAAAATGAATTTAAGTTGGAAAATTTTTCATCTTGAGGGACGCTTGGTGGAATTTTATTTCGAGGGACCCTATGGGGTGAACCAAACCGATTAGAAATTGCTTGAAAAACATTAAATCCGGCACGGTAATACTTAATGACTTCTCATTAAAGAATATGAAGTTAAAATGCCAAATAGTACAAAATATCTAACAAACACATAGCCGTCCACTCTAGGGAGGTTGGTAATATTATCATGCCGGTTTAGAAAAAAATAGAAGTGAGCTCGGACTCAGCGAATCAGGGACAGAATTCCTGACTCTGGCTAAATGGACTCTGCACTGTAGATTTCCAAAAATAAAAGCTGTTGAAAATATGTCATGGGTTATATACAATGGGAAATCTAATTTTTAGGCCTTTTTAGGCCTTAGGATGGGCCTATAGATTTGTCAAGATGTCTGTGCGCATGATAACCCTTTAAACACAAGCTAGCGACCTGAAATTTTGCGAAGTTCAACTTGGGGTTGAGTAAAAAGAAAGTATGGCATGAGAGTTGGTACACCCCAATATTTGGCACTGAACCATGATTACGTTTTTAAAATTGAAAAATAAGTATTTAAAAACTAAACAAATTTTTAACGGGAAAAATAGTATAAAAGATGTTTTCTATGATGGCTTTAACGAGATTTCTGTCAATTATTGGAATTGGTTTTTTCGCCCATCGGAGAAAAACCAATTTTCAAAATAATAATTTTTTTTGCAACTCGACCATTTGTCGCAACCGTTAAGGGAGAAGCGTTACCTAGATACTTAATGTCAAGCAATCGTGACCTCTAAGGCATGGTCATTTAGTCGACAACGTAGGTCTGTCCTATCATAGTAACATGAATTGGACGTAATTTAACTTACAAATTGAAATAATGGACCATACAAGGTTCCTTAATAACGACATTGCCCGCAAGGTTTGGTAAAATGTCAGATCTGCGGTAATCTTTAAGCTTACGCCAGCCCGGTGAAACTGATTTCTACCACAAGCGCCGACTTCCCCTATGTTGTCCACTCCAGTGGCTCTCATTTGAGCCCCATTTCAAGCCAATACAACGGTGGGTTCAAATTTGAGAAGCAGTCAAAGTTTGGTAAAATGTCAGATCTGCGGTAATCTTTAAGCTTACGCCAGCCCGGTAAAACTGATTTCTACCACAAGCGCCGACTTCCACTATGTTGTCCACTCCAGTGGCTCTCATTTGAGCCCCATTTCAAGCCAATACAACGGTGGGTTCAAATTTGAGAAGCAGTCAAAGTGACAAACATTAGGGGAAGTCGCAGACGCATTGTTGCGTAGAAATCAGTTTTACGGGCCTGACGTAAAAGGCTTATAAAAATTTACCGCCAGATCTGACATTTTACCAACTTTGACTGCTTTCTCAAATTTGAAACCCACCGTTGTATTGGCTTGAAATTGGGCTCAAATGAGAGCTACTGGAGTCGACAACATAGGGGAGGTCGGCGCTTGTGGTAGAAATCAGTTTTACCGGGCTGGCGTACGCTTAAAGATTACCGCAGATCTGACATTTTACCAAACTTTGACTGCTTCTCAAATTTGAACCCACCGTTGTATTGGCTTGAAATTGGGCTCAAATGAGAGCTACTGGAGTCGGACAACATGGTGAGGTCGGCGCTTGTCGGTAGAATCAGTTTTACCGGGCTGGCGTACGCTTAAAGATTACCGCAGATCTGACATTTTACCAAACTTTGACTGCTTCTCAAATTTGAACCCACCGTTGTATTGGCTGTGAAATGGGCTCAAATGAGAGCCCACTGGAGTGGACAAACATAGGGGAAGTCGGCGCTTGTGGTAGAAATCAGTTTACCGGGCTGGCGTAACGCTTAAGGATTACCGCAGATCTGACATTTTACCAAACTTTGACTGCTTCTCAAATTTGAACCCACCGTTGTATTGGCTGAATGGGCTCAAATGAGAGCTACTGGAGTGGACAACATAGGGGAAGTCGGCGCTTGTGGTAGAAATCAGTTTAACCGGCGGCGTAGCTTAAAGATTACCGCAGATCTGACATTTTACCAAACTTTGACTGCTTCTCAAATTGAACCCACGGTTGTATTGGCTGAAATTGGGCTCAAATGAGAGCTACTGAGTGGACAACATAGGGAAGTCGGCGCTTGTGGTAGAAATCAGTTTTACCGGGCTGGCGTAAGCTTAAAGATTACCGCAGATCTGACATTTTACCAAACTTTGACTGCTTCTCAAATTTGAACCCACCGTTGTATTGCTTGAATTGGGCTCAAATGAGAGCTACTGGAGTGGACAACATAGGGGAATCGGCGCTTGTGGTAGAAATCAGTTTTACCGGCTGGCGTAAGCTTAAAGATTACGCAGATCTGACATTTTACCAAACTTTGACTGCTTCTCAAATTGAACCACGTTGTATTGGCTTGAATTGGGCTCAAATGAGAGCTACGGAGTGGACAACATAGGGGAAGTCGGCGCTTGTGGTAGAAATCAGTTTACCGGGCTGGCGTACGCTTAAGATTACCGCAGATCTGACATTTTACCAACTTTGACTGCTTCTCAAATTTGAACCCACGTTGTATTGGCTTGAAATTGGGCTCAAATGAGAGCTACTGGAGTGGACAACATAGGGGAAGTCGGCGCTTGTGGTAGAAATCAGTTTTACCGGGCTGGCGTAAGCTTAAAGATTACCGCAGATCTGACATTTTACCAAACTTTGACTGCTTCTCAAATTTGAACCCACGTTGTATTGGCTTGAAATTGGGCTCAAATGAGAGCTACTGGAGTGGACAACATAGGGGAAGTCGGCGCTTGTGGTAGAAATCAGTTTTACCGGGCTGGCGTAAGCTTAAAGATTACCGCAGATCTGACATTTTACCAAACTTTGACTGCTTCTCAAATTTGAACCCACGTTGTATTGGCTTGAAATTGGGCTCAAATGAGAGCTACTGGAGTGGACAACATAGGGGAAGTCGGCGCTTGTGGTAGAAATCAGTTTTACCGGGCTGGCGTAGCTTAAAGATTACCGCAGATCTGACATTTTACCAAACTTTGACTGCTTCTCAAATTTGAACCCACCGTTGTATTGGCTTGAAATTGGGCTCAAATGAGAGCACTGGAGTGGACAACATAGGGGAAGTCGGCGCTTGTGGTAGAAATCAGTTTTACCGGGCTGGCGTAAGCTTAAAGATTACCGCAGATCTGACATTTTACCAAACTTTGACTGCTTCTCAAATTTGAACCCACCGTTGTATTGGCTTGAAATTGGGCTCAAATGAGAGCTACTGGAGTGGACAACATAGGGAAGTCGGCGCTTGTGGTAGAAATCAGTTTTACCGGGCTGGCGTAAGCTTAAAGATTACCGCAGATCTGACATTTTACCAAACTTTGACTGCTTCTCAAATTTGAACCCACCGTTGTATTGGCTTGAAATTGGGCTCAAATGAGAGCTACTGGAGTGGACAACATAGGGGAAGTCGGCGCTTGTGGTAGAAATCAGTTTTACCGGGCTGGCGTAAGCTTAAGATTACCGCAGATCTGACATTTTACCAAACTTTGACTGCTTCTCAAATTTGAACCCACCGTTGTATTGGCTTGAAATTGGGCTCAAATGAGAGCTACTGGAGTGGACAACATAGGGGAAGTCGGCGCTTGTGGTAGAAATCAGTTTTACCGGGCTGGCGTAAGCTTAAAGATTACCGCAGATCTGACATTTTACCAAACTTTGACTGCTTCTCAAATTTGAACCCACCGTTGTATTGGCTTGAAATTGGGCTCAAATGAGAGCTACTGGAGTGGACAACATAGGGGAAGTCGGCGCTTGTGGTAGAAATCAGTTTTACCGGGCTGGCGTAAGCTTAA